ATTTAACAGTCTAAAGGCCGGGTGCATCTTTCATGCGAATGAGATGCGAATATTCGCAGCACAAAACTTGCCCAGACGTCATAAATTTGTGTTTCCGTTCTCTTTTGAGCTGGGTCTGAAGTCATTAGAGTGGTTGCACAAACTTCTACTGCTCAATAATCATGAAGTCATTGGGGAGAAAAATGCAGGTTGAAGTATTGGATTTGGGAAAAAGTTTCAATAAATTTGTGTATTTACATGTATAAAGCAAAATACCCATGCTGGTACATAATAGGTATATCGATGTACACGGAAGCTGCCTTTGTTAAATATTCTGCACACTATTTATACAGAAACGGACCAGAAACTTCAATATTGAAAATCACTTTCTATTGGCCAATACAAACAAATGTATGTAGTTGTGTTATTTTTAAACCAGAGTTTTAGAAGTGAAACCAGTTGAACTGATGGCATCAAATCTAAACAGCCTCATCAATGGTGACACCCTCTCACCCTATTAGTTAGGAGTGAAACAGCACATTATTACATTCGCAGTTTACATATGTACATGTACTTTAGGAAAGGTCAAATTTAAGAAACATATTGCCCTTTCTACATTTGTACATGTTTATAATGACTACAATACAAAAGTAAGTTTTACGTAATGTATATGTGTACTCTGTTCTTACAATGTACTTTGTGTGGTCTTTTAGTCACTTTAGAAATGAATAATCATCAGTTGTAGTCTATTGAATAATTGATGTGTATTTTCCTGCACATATACCGGTATATATGGAGAGGCCGGTTCATTTTTAGTGTGCAATGTGAATGAAGGGGCGCGCACCCATTCACGAATTGCTCAATTACAAAACAACAATGACAGCTCGACTTTCTCTTGCTTTCATTGCAAGATGTCCCAGTCCTGGAATTTCTTTCTTAAAGGTGAAGGGTCATTTTTTGTCCTTTAAAAAGGGCACTGGTATGGCCAGAAAAAATGCCGATCATTTGGACAATCAAAGCCAAGATTGGGGCAACAGGAGGACTTAGTTGCCTGAGTTTAAAGGTCCAGACCAGTAAATTGACTGCCATAGACCTCAGTGGTAAATACGCGCACTTCCCCCAAAATTATTTAAAATACTAACAACTCTCCAAGGTGTTTGAGACGCACATCAAATTAAAGCTTATTTCATCAGCTTTCATTTTCCGTTCAATATTTGGGGGGTTAACCAATGACTTCGGGGAGAAAATTCCATCCAAAGATGATCACCCCTGAAAGCAGTCCTGAAGCCCATCGCCATTTTGAAAATGGACTCCTATGCTCCATTGCAAGACAGAGCCATTTTAGGGCCTAATTTCTTCAGTCCTCTACATGGCTTTCACCCTTCTTTTTAAAAAAAAATCCTAAAGTTCACAGCCCCCAAAATGCTCTAATATGAGATACATGTAATTTGAAAGCATGCAAATCATGATTAGGCTGGCGTAGGCATGTTGGGCCTGTTTACAGGTCTGCACCCTTTATTCTTAGCCAGGGTAGAATGTCATGGAACAGCGTAGTACCGGTATTGCTTTGTAAGCTTTTCGAGCTCAGCAATATCAGATGGGGAACTGTCTCAAGCAGTATACAGGGGAAGTCAAAACGAAAGTGACTGAATTAGAAGAAAAAAAATATGTGGTTCGCTCCATTTCCTGTAAATAACATAGGGATAAAGTACATGTTATTCACTAGTAAAAGTGAACATTTCGCTTAATTTGCATACAATGTACTCTATTCCCAAGTTATGGCTATTTTCATAAAAAGATCTCAGAAACCAGCTGTCCACCACTGATCATTTATTATACCACACCTAAATAAATCCCCGTCATCTGATTGGTGGATCATTGATCACATGTTATTGAATTATTCGTCCCAACGCAAGGCGCGCGCGGCGCGCAGCGCACAGTGCAATGGAAGTTCCATTGCACGGTGAATAGAACTTCCATTGCACGGTGTCATCGCTGCTGGCGGTGGCGCTGTTTTAAATCGAGATTACTTGAATATGATGGTTCTCAACCTGTTGAACAGTTTGCATAAATTAAATATGATGAACTTCCTTGTCAAACTTTCAAACAGTTTTTAACCTGAATAAATTGGCTATTAAAAGTCAACCAATCAGATGACAAGGATTTATTCAGGTGTTATATAAAACAAATAATGAATGTTTCACGTTCGTGCAATGGAAAGAATAATTTCATTCGGTGACAGATGAAATGTTCCATTCCACTCGGCTTCGCCTCGTGGAATGGAACATTTCATCTGTCACCTCATGAAATTATTCTTACCATTGCACTCACAAACATTCATTATTTGTATACCATCCCATGAACTGACGAATACCCATTAAATACAATTGATGTTTTCCCACCTCCATGAATGAACGAAAGCTTGCAAAGGAACAGAGACAAAAATCGCCATCGACGTTTCAGGGGGACAAAAATGAGTTGACTTGTTCCTCATATGCAAAGAACAAAATACGACTGTAAAAATAATGTTTCAGTCATTTGTGTTTGAATGCCTGTGTGTAATCTGTAATTCTCACTCAGCTCAACAGCCTCCAATGGCATTCCATGGACAGCTTAACAAACTAGGTTCTTTTAGTAAAACATGCATAACTTCTGATAGCATGGATCAATTTCCATAATAAGTGGAAGAACATGCTCCTTTCAGACGTACTCCATTGGTGTATCAAATTTGAGTCATTCTTAATATTAGTTGAATTACAAATTACAAAATAACTCAAGAACAGGAACAGGAAAAAAGTCACAATTTGGGCCACCCTATAAAAGCAGTCACGTATTAGTAGCAGCGTGCAATTGGCCCCTATGTCTAATTAATAAAAATAAATTATTACTGTAATTCCTTGCCCAGTTGCGTATGGCATTGTTGCCATCCTTGGCTCAGTTGGTAGGCATATTCACGTCTGGCCTGTCAATCCCTGAGCTTGTGGTTTTCATATCTCTACTGCCATGTAATTCAAGCAATGCTGCTAGCACTGGAATGGTCATAGCCGGTGCTGTATAGCCTTGCTGCCTGTTTGAAATGACCCAGGATGAGTTGACTATATAAGGATTTTTATAGGGCTTACAGATGTCATTGATTGTCATATTAATTTATTTGTTTGTTTTAAAGAAATTCAGGAGTAGTAATGCATGCAATTACAAGTACATGTGCAGCCTTTTATAGGATCATTTGCGACACTCGCAAACAAAACTGCCAAAATAGTATGAAATACATGTGTAGCCTGCTTGATTGCAAGTTGTATAATAGTATGAAGCATCCTGTGAAATCATTGAGCCTGGTATGCTGTCATTCTCAAGAAAAGAAGAAGTTTGTATCGCAGTACTAATGATGATTAGGACAAACAGTTTTCTCAAATACTACATCTGTTAAACGGCCACGAGCCAGCTGTTGATTTCATGCGTTCGCTCGGGCATGCTACCGTACATGCATTGCTTTCCAACAACAGATCCCTGTGACCTATTGGTTCTACATGTATGCACGACAGATTCCACGAGCTGCCATTTGATGGTTAGAAACGAATATTGTTTTTATTCTTCTTTTTCCAGCACCAAACGACACAAAATTTTGAACAGCTCAGTGGAACGATGTCTACTATGAATTGGTGGCCCTTTTATACATTAGTGCCCATTTCATGAAATTAGTATTAATATTATTAATCATTTATGGTAATGAAACCAAGGATTCCTCAAAAGCGCCCCAGGCACTGTAGCTCGCAAGCCTGAAGAAACCTGTGGAGAGAAGACAATGAGAAGAAATTACAGTTTTAGAGGTGGGAGGAAAAGCCCAGAAGAATATTCTGGGGAAAACCCACGGAATCAGGCAGGGACTGAAAACCCAATCCACATGTTGGCCCAGGCGGGATTCGAACCCGGGTCTCAGCGGTGGAAGGCGAGGAAAGTACCGCTACGCCAACCTGACTCCCCTTAAATTACGACAAATGCAAATGATCCTATCTTTAAATGTGTGTGTTTAATGTAAACATTTCATGTCCAGTTTCCCAACCCCTAAATTTGTTAATCATCCCACTTCAATTAAATCTGCATCTGACAAACCTAAGGCAATAAATGTGTGCTTAGCCAGTTTTAAACAAGTCCGTTTAAGATCAGCTGGGGGAATGGACTCTAATAATTATAGCCGAAGGCGAGGGAATATTATTGGCGACCAGACCCCCAGCCACTCTTTTAACGGACTTGTTTAATACCAGCCAAGCACATATTTATTCCCATTCATAAATACCTTTTCAAAAGAGTCAAAACAAGCAAAAAAATAATAAATTTCCAACGACTTTGCTCAACAATTTTACAGTGTACTTTGTGTTTATTCAATGGTGTGAAATCTCAGCTTTGAAGCTGATTTCAGCTTTTTTGGTTTTGGATTTCAGCTTTTTTTTCAGCTTTTTCCCTCACTTGCTGTGTACAAAAGTATAGCTTTTTTACACCTTTTTTCAGCTATTTTTATCAGTGGTCACTCGCACCCCTGTTTATTAAACACCCTTCTATCGGTGACTATGTTATGGTATATGTGTCTTTCGCAAGTAGTCGTAAACAACTCTTTATATGGATATTGGTGTGTGATGGTGCACATGGCGCGTACTGCGCGATGTGGCGCGTACTGCGCGATGTGGCGCAGAGTGCAGCTGTGCCAGTGTAGGGTGAATTTAGGACTATGAAATACTGATTCAATGGTACCAGTAGGACTGCGCATACCTAAGTTAGGATTGTGAACTTTCATCCAATAAAAGGTAAAGGGTCCAGGTTTTATATGAGTCCAAATTTCATCTGAAACTGGAAAAGTGTTTAAGACCAGCCAGCCAGTGTTTTGTCAACCATTTAAGACCGGCCAGGTGATGGGCTCTGGACCAATAGGAATGAGTACTCTGTCTTTGGTATTAATGAATTCCTGATATTACTTTTGAACACCACGTTACCAGTAGAGCTTGTCTCTTTTCATCCCTGTCTTTTAGCTCCAGCAGGCCAGTCAGCCCAGCAAAACTTCCAGCAGCAGCAGCAGCAAGCAGCAGCAGCACAAGCACAGGCAGAAGAAGAGGCAAGACAGAGGTGAGAAAACAGGCACAAAATGACTGATCCGTCAAGCTCCGCCCCATCATGCTTTGACCAAGAAAGCCTTGATTACACATGCGCTTTGCTATTGAAGAGGCGCATGTGTTGTCGCCCGTGTACTTAGTGTGCGGGGCTTAATGGCTTGGTCTATTTAACAATTGTTGGCTGCTGTGATGTGGGATATGACGTTTTTAACACCCGAGGGACGCATGCGCCTGAGGGGGTTAAAAACGGCATGTCCCACATCACAGCAGTCAACAATTGTTTCGTTATATCGTGCCAATAACTGAAAAAGATAAATGGTTGTAACATACTGTGTGAGAAATAAATTAAATCACTGCGAGGTAACCTTTGATAACTGAAGGTTTTGATGTCCTGCCGGACATGAGACTGAGCGTTTTACATTGCAGTTTTCATTGCGCAAAACTATAGTGCGCCGGCAGGTTCCACACGAGCGCCCAACGCCCGCAATGAACGCAGTGCGATATCACCCTCAGTGTGGGACATGCATTTTTATTGTCCAGACACGTGGTCATCTGAGACCAATGAAATTACATTATCCAAGCACACTTGTAACAATATAATTTCAACACTAATAATGTTAATATTATTTTTTTCATGAGAGTCACCATCACAAGGCCCTATACATGTAGACCATCATCATGTTGCTGCCATGCTGCTTCTTTCCCATTCCAATCAACGTAACCAAAAAAGAGGCTGGAAGGAAAAATAGTCTGGTTCCTTTTTTCTCAAAACACATTATCGTTCGGTACTGTTATTGGATACAGGGAACATGACTGAAATGGCGGCAGCATGATAAACGTCTATTTAAGCGCCACTCAAGGTGAGGGCTGCTCAAAGAAGGGACAGAAAAGTAACCTTCTTTTGTAAGAGAAAGAAAAATTACTTCAAGTAGAAAGATTTAAGAAATGTGTGGGTCCGTGATACAGTGACAGTGGTCTGTCCAAGGTCTTTGGTTTGGTTTGGTTTTGTGTTTTTAGAGATGCCGAAATTTGCAAACAACAGAAAAGCAAAAAATAGTGAACTGGCAAGTGTCAAACAATGCTGATTGCATTGTGATTTGCTATCTGCGGACACTTGCTGAACAACGTGCTAAGCACTTTTTACTCTTCAGGCAAGAGTATAAACTGGAGGTTGCATGAAACAGAGCCCTGATTTTATGGATCTGCTTACCGGTACCGCATTAAGCAAAAAAATCCCTGCTTACTGCAACAGAAAACTCTGTGGCTCACAGTTTACATATTTCACGGGTAGCAGGGTTAGTCCATCATTTGTAATTTGTGCATTTTGTTCGTTTGAAGCAACAAAAGTGTTCAAAATCTAATGAAGGATACTGAACAACTAACCTGATGAAGTTTCAGCTCAGCTTCAGCTGTATATTCCGAGAAAAACAGCATTCTAGGATCTCAATTTCAAATCAAAAGTTGCTGAATCATGTTTTGAATTGTTTTGAATTGCAGCTATACGCGATGTCGGGCACTGATCCGACGAATTATAGCAACCGCGTGCACCTGTGCGTCGTGCCAATGCTTGCGCGCACTGCGCCGAATAACAAAACAACTACTAATTTAAATTTTCCTACGATGCGTCTTTAATAAGACGCACCGTTGGAAAGGCCTTCTTCTGTTGATTACTTCAAAATGAGAGCTTGCCAGAAAGATTAATTTCACAGGGAGTTTAGTCCACTTACTATCTTTCAACAAAGTATGTTTTTCAACAATAATACGCCAGTTACTTTTTCGGATGGCTGCAAATGATGGACTATAGCTTTAAGGCTTATGTGTATGCATACATGTACATTGTACATTCCATAACTAAGGATTCTGAGCTTACAGCGGCGGCACAGAATTTTTTGGCTAGCGCCATTGTATCATGATATGTGTGATACGGAATGATGCTAGTAAGCGCAAATTTCTGTGGAATGCACGTTAAATTCTTTAAAAACCAAACTTGTTACATGATCCCATGTCTCTGACGTACATGTACATGTATCCACTCTGGTTCAAGAAACATGAGGTTAGCAACCCGAGATTAAAAACATCAACATCAAACCACGTTTATTTTTACAAAAGAAGAGCAGGTGCACGTAGAAAAATAATGGTTAGGTTTGGTGGGAGAGAAAGGCAGTTGTTGCAGAGGCCCGCTGAGTACAATTTTCTTGGGTGTCCATACCACGACGTGAGTGTGATTTTCCATATTTCCTTTTCATGGAAATTGATGTTCTTGAGTCAGTTGTCAAGTCAGCTTCTAGACGGAAAGCGATTCATTAGCGGAACTCATGTTGATCGTCAATTAAAAAAAAATAAGTTTACTTCGTCATGTGTTGGGCATTTTTGTCAAAAATATGTACATGTATGTGCCTGACTGCAGAGTTCCGTATCCCCATCTACATGTATGTGTTTTCTGACTTTTTAATGAAGTCATATGTTAGTCATTCAACTGTTTTTTCGCAACTGTTTAGGCCTATTTATTGGGCTTTTTTATGCAGATTCGTACATATCTGCAGCTGTTACCGGGATTAAAGGTTTTTTTGTGAAACTGAAAGGTTACTTTTTCTATACATGTTATGGCGCAGTGCAAATGTTCAGTCGAATGCACATGTACATGTGCTATGCAGGGGCGTTTTCCGCCAGATTGGGGGAGGGGTTACAGTTGTGAAAGTAATAGGTTTGCTGAGTTACGAAAAGGATACTTGGGGGGGGGGGGTAAAAGTACAGTACAGTATGGTACATGTACATGTATTTTCCTATCTGTACTTGCATGTACATTTTTTTGTACATGTACATCTTTTTGCACATGTACAAAGCAATTGTGTGTACAATTACAATGTCTATTAATAGTTCCCCCATCTTTCAAGAAGATGTTGAACTGTCTGTAGCCCTGCCCGTGCGTTGTGCAGTAGCCTGACATTCAGGCCATACCATGCATGCCATGCTGACTAAAATGGCTGACATTCCACAGACACATAAGCAAATGATTTAAGATATGCCTTCCTGAAGAAAAAACAGTTGTATGTTTTCTATCAAAATATTAATGTAAGTTTGAATTGTGAAGGGAAATTGTGGCAATTACAATTAAAAGTTATTGTTGCATTAAAAAAAAAACAATTTGTGCGTGATATGAACTGCTTATCAAGAATGATTGGCGCAATAAGGAAATGGTTGTGCATTGCACAAAAAGGAAAAATAGCTTTTTTTGCGAGAAAAAAAAACATATTAATCCTCCCCCCCCCAAAAAAAAAAGGGGGGGGGAATAAATAACATGAAATAAGCAGCTACCCCCAAAAAAACCTAGCAATTGAATCGACAACATTAGATTTTTTTACAAATTACTTTTTGCATTGTCGGTCAAAGACTCCTTAAAAATCATTTTTTTGATGTTTAAATATCATTATTAGAATCTAAACTTTCTTCACTGCTGTCCTGGCCAATTGAAAAAAGATCAACTCGTATCAGAACTAAATGCATACAGTTTTGTTCATTGTCATCAGAGTTTGATAATGTGCAAATCCCATAATATCAAAAAGACATGGTACAATGTAAAGCAGGTTTCTTCCTCAATCGTAACCCCAGTTCTGTGGATGTGACCCCTTCACAAAATATTGTGAAGGAAATGCTAAACTTTGTTGTAACAAAATAATCATGATACAGTATCCTGTATGCACTCTGTAACCAACGGCCACATCCCTTGCACACAAGAGCATTGACTCTTGCCATAGTGCCAGGTGTACTGTATGCCCTATCAAACTACATGTACATGTACGTGTACTAGCACGTTTGTTTGTGGTGTAAATCGAGGATTTTCTTTTGTTCCTCTTCCCTATTCCTTTGTTTGTACTTTAACTTTTTTGCAACAGCTCTCATTGGTTTTGTGCACGTTTTCCAACCGAGGAGTCCTCGATTCGGTTTCTGACCTCGATTATGATGTTGTATGTGTGTGTCCTCGATTTACACCATAAACAAACGCATTTTTCACGTACACTATGTGCATGATGCACTTGAATAATATCTTTCTAATTATAGCTCTAAAACATGGCCAATACTTGTGTCACCAGTCTCCTTGTGGTTGCATTCATTTTATAATGATTCAAGGTATAAAAATGATTGGGGCGCATCAGAACTTCATTGGTTGACATCATGGCAGTGTCGACCAATCAGCATTCAGGATTTTACACTGCCTTCTCAGTGTCCATTATGCAGAATATAATTTTTAAAAGCTTTCAAAAAAGACTGGTTTTTTTCCAAGGATAAGTTGAGGGACTCAACCCTAGAATAAGCTGAGGGACGTTACCCTTGATATTTGTGGAACTTCCCAAGACAAAAATTAGCATACATTAACTTAAAGGGAAAATACAACATTTGCAAACATCAAAAAATAAAACTACCGAATCATTTTGAAATACCTTGCTGGACTGTTAGTGAATGACAGTGTAAAGCATCCTGTAAAATCATGGCACCTGGTATACTGTCATTTTCAAGAGAAGTGGTATTTTTGTATCAATTTCCAACGCTGATCGGCCGATCAGCGTTGGAAAAAAACTGGCTTTTTTTCTCTAATACTGGCCCCAATTGACCATCGCACTTGTTTGCAATCGATTACAAACCTATGAACGGGTACAAGCCAGCTAGACTGTTTCCCTGACCTTACAATTCCCCAATGTATGTAAACTGCTCTGTTTCTTCTTATATGGAGTCAGGGAACCAGACTACAGGAAAATGATTGTTTTTCTTGGTTTTTATAGCATTAAAACCTCAAAAAAGTCAGTGTAACTATATTTGCTATATATTTCCAACCCCCCAATTCCATCCATTTCTGAAAATTACAGCAAAAGCAAATGATGTATATTCCCTTTAATTCCAACCACACAGTCTCTTTAAAACAAGCCTAGCTTAATTACATACATTGCTGTAATTACAGCTGTGACACCAATTTGAATATTTGAGAAATATGAGCGTTTTCGAGAAGATGAAGAGAAATGGCTGTGATGTTATTTCAATTGTATCTTTAAAATCTTTTAAGAACTGCAAGTCTGCTACATGTACATCAAAAAATAAATACATGTATATGGATACATAAACTGTATACCGGTACATGTATACATGTACATGATATACTTAATATTTATACATTCACCCGAAGCGTGATCAGTGGACCATTTCATTCCCAATTGATGCATGCGCATTTATTCCAGAGCATGCACTTGACTGGCATGTTAGTCTGGCGCATGTAAAACTTGTATGGTGCGTTTCGAATCTCCAAATATTCGATTGAATCCTAATTCGAAAATGCATAGCCCTAAAGTATAAGAGTGAAATACTTGTACAGAACCTAATAGCTCTACAAGTATTTTGCGACATTAAACATCTCTCTGTTGAATGGTTTCAGGGCGCAAGAGCAGCAGAGGGCACAGCAAGAACAGCAACGACGACAGCAGGAAGAACAGCTCAAACGGGAGCAGCTTGAACGGCAGCAGCGACAAGCCGCCGAGGCTGCAGGTAAGGTCCACACGCATCCCCTAGAAAACGGAATATTGTATTGCCAGTTAGTGCTGCACAACTAGTAAAATTTTCAGTGTTATAAATAGTTGCGACTACCCGACTACATGTAGTCCTAACTGCTTGCCATCATGGTCACATGTACATGTAGTTCTTAGGAAATACATGTACCTCAATTTAATGGATGTATTTTACTTCCATTTCATATTTTGCATGTTCAGTACATAAAATACGGTTATAACTACATGTAACAAAAGCCAACTTTCTGTGTGTAAACACATGAACTCTACGTTGTTGTGTATTCCAAACAACTGGCCATCGCACTTCTTATCTTTCCTCAGTTGCAGAGGCTTGTTATCTGCGGATCATTGAATCCTTCCAATTCCTGCATAATATCCCAAATGCCTGCCGGCCATATTATCAAAATTATGTCCAACAATCAAATCTATGTCTCACTATATATATTTAGTTCTTACAAAAAAATCAAGACAAAGAAACATTCGTGTACATTACATAGACTTGAGTGAAGAAGATGATTTAAATGTTATCTCTAGATATTCGGAAGGTGTGTTTACGTATACAAGTGACCATTTTGGATTTGGCTATACATTGTATTGTCTAGCCCACTGGGCAATTTGGCAACAACACATGCAACTACCCAATGCCACATTTCATGTTCCAGCTGCATTTTTGGTCAGACATTTTATTTCACAGTCAGGGCTTCTGATTGGTCCAAACATCATTGGGCAGGTTTTATCCAATCAGTCTATTGAACATGTAGTGCCTGAGGAGATGATTCGTTGACATGCATGATGATGGTCATTATCAGGGTGAAAACTATGCCAGTTATTCCAATCACTCATCGCCATCACTATTCAAACATTCCAACACTCTGCCGTGAGCCTTCCTTAAAGGCCAATTCTTGCAAGTGTGAAACGAGTTGGACATTATTGAGACAAACAATTCACCAGCATTGCAAAATGTATTCAACTTATGCTTGTTCTTGGTTTTGGAAAATTGAAGTTGACATGATCTGGTACACGGTGCCCTGTGGAGACATGTGAATAATACGGAACAAAAGATCATATACGTCTCCACAGGGCAATTTCTGTCTAGGTGAATACGTCTCCACAATGTTATTACAAAATAGATATATGAATTTTACTCAAAAAGTAGGAATTTCCAAGGTGTGTTGATCTGTTGCAAATTGAAGAATTTTATGTAAGGGATGTTAAGTCCGAATTTCAGCCCAGGAAATTAATTCTAGTTAAAATAGGAGCATTTTGAAATTAGATTTTTCAAGCTCAAAGTTTTACTAATACCCGAGAACAAAGAAACGATTCCATAAGGATACAAATATCAGTATGGGTGTACGATGTATGTAACACATTTGCCATGCATTGACAAACTTGTGGTTTATTGAACTTGCCTTGAGTTTGATGTTTCTGTAGTCGCTGACTTTTCTGACCTGATCATTGTTGTTTTCTCCACAGCTCCTGCTGGCCCGCCCCAACCTCCGGCCCCGCCACCAGCGCCACCAGCTGCCCCCCAAGCCCCGCCAGTACCCTCTGCCCCATCACAACCACAGACATCACCCAGTGCTGGCCTGCCACCAGGTGTGCCCCCTCCCCCGCCTCCCCCACCACCCCCTGGGGCAGGTGGGGGTCCCCCTGCACCCCCACCTCCACCCAGCGGTGGTGGTGGGCTGGCTGCGGCAATCGGTGCGGCCAAGCTCAAGAAACGGGTGAGACTTTTCTTTTTCAGTAACTATAAATGTTAATTACCGGGTACTTGTGATGAATCTGTGTCCTAATCCTTACAAACAACACAACAGATAATATGACAAGAATACAAATGAATTTGATGGAAATACCTTTTATATTTTCCACTTGAACAGGTATCTTATCTATTTCAGTCCTACTTTAAACCTTTTCAGCTTCATAATTATATCAAAAAAATAAAGAAATTGCACAAATGGAAAGATAATTGCACAGTGAGCTTACAGTAAAATGTTTCACTGTTTGAAGCACCCTTGAAAAGGATGAAAAATCACTTCTTTTTCACAATGGCATATTCTCAGCAACCAGTGTGCTGTTTTCATGATTTTTTTTTCAATATTTGAAAGAATAAGCTCTCAGCTTCAGTCTGATATTCCAAACATAAAAATTCACCGATCACGTTTTTGAAAAACAGGAAAATGTTTTTGGGTTACATTTTTTGGGGTCACCCTGTACATACTCGCACATTGACTTCTTCAAGTCATGATATTGGCCTATGGTAATCGTTGCTGTTTCTGCTAAAATTAGGGAAAAAAATTAGGTAAACATTAAACAGCAGTTGGATCCAATCTCGATATGTTAAACAGAACAACATTAGGGTAGCAGACCAGTAAATAAACTTCCATAAACCCCAATGGTAAATGCTCCCACTTCAAAAATTCGGGGAAAATACTCACAACTCCCCAAGGTGTTCGAGACACACATCAAATTAAAGCTTATTTCATCGTCTTTCATTTTCTTTTCAATTTTCGGGGGGTCAACTGATGACTTTTAGGAGAAATTTCCATCTGAAGATGATCACCCCTGAAAATAGTCCTGAAGCCCATCGCCATTTTGAAAAACGATGGCTACACTCCATTGCAAAATAGAGCGCTTTTTGGGTCCAAATTACATCCAAATTACACCGAACTGCAAGCTCCCAGTCCTGTGCACGGCTTCCACCCATATTTTTTACAAACCCTCAAGTTCATGGCCCACAGCATGCTCAAATACTGAAGATTTTGAGGGCATGCAAATCGTGATTTGGCCGGCGTAGGCAATTTCGGACCGATTTACTGGTCTGCACCCTTAGGACCTTGATTTCAAGACTTTTTTTCTAGCAATTTCTTAATGATGTTTTGGAGCTGTTTCATTGATCTAGCTGTTATGTTATTTGATGTACATCTGTTGATGATTCTGTGTCCAGGAGGAGCCCTCCAGTGCAAGCAGTTCCAGTAGCAATGCGCCGAGCAAAGCCGGTGGTGGAGGAGGTGGAGATTTTATGAGCGAAATGGCGAAAAAATTACAGTTACGCAAGCAGAAAACAGTGAGTAGACTAACGTCTTAGTAGCATCCACAGGGGAGACCAATTCCTCACCTAGATGGACTGATGTTACCATTTTTAATTCTTAAAGGGAATATACATCATTTGCTTTTGCTGTAATTTTCAGAAATGGATGGAATTGGGGGGTTGGAAATATATAACAAATATAGTTACACTGACTTTTTTGAGATTTTGCTAAAAATGCTATAAAAACCAAGAAAAACGATCATTTTCCTGTAGTCTGGTTCCCTGACTCCATATAAGAAGAAACAGCAGTTTACATACATTGGGGAATTGTAAGGTCAGGGAACCAGTCTAGCTGGCTCGTACCCGTTCATAGGTTTGTAATCGATTGCAAACAAGTGCGATGGTCAATTGGGGCCAGTATTTGAAAAAAAGCCAGTTGTTTCCAAGCTGATCGGCCGATCAGCGTTGGAAATTGATACAAAAATACCACTTTTCTTGAAAATGACAGTATACCAGGTGCCATGATTTTACAGGATGCTTTACACTGTCATTCACTAACAGTCCAGCAAGGTAATTCAAAATGATTTGGTAGTTTTATTTTTTGATGTTTGCAAATGTTGTATTTTCCCTTTAAGTTGAACAAAGAAATTGACTTGAGCAGGGTTTGAACCTGCAACCTCTGTATTGTTGTTGCAGTGTTCTACAAACTGAGCTATCCAGCCCTATGTTGGTGGCTCCCCATTTTGTCAATGTCTTTGTTAAAGGGGTGCTAGTCGGAAGCCATGAACCCATACTTGTTTGACGTGTAGGCAGGGATCACGACCAAAGTCACAATACTAGTAACATTAGCAACATTTTTTTTTAATTCTAACATTTATAGACTTTGTGAAGGAATAGTAGATGTTACAATAAGGGAATAACAGTGTGAGGAGCCGGTCTTCACTGCGTGATAATGACCAGGTGTGGGGGTGACCGCTGTTAATGGACCGAGACGAAGTCGAGGTCCATTAACAGCGGTCACCCCCACACCCGGTCATTATCACGCAGTGAAGACCGGCTCCCCACACTGTTATTCCCATTAATAAATACCTTTTTAACGAAATAAACAGTTAAAATGCTCCAATTTTGTGACTTTCTTTCGGCGATATTTCCAGACTTTTTTGTGTTCATGTTCATGGGCCATATTTTAGCTTAACAGCTATAACGACGTAAACTCAACAGAAACTGCTGCCGTAGCGAAACAAATTACAACAATGTTTTCATATCTTTACCTGATGGAGGAAGCTGAAATCTCGTTTACACATTCCTTGTGTCCGGAATTACAAAGATGCTTGGTTTAGGAAAGGTAAATATGTCGGTGGGTGAAGTGTTCAAAGAAAATAAATCGTAGATCTACGCTTTCGTCGTAAACATCCTCAGTATATACTGCACTGCTGTACGATGTCGTTTCAAAACTTCCTTACGCGCGCACGCACGCACGCATCCCTAGCAACTGTGTTGCGTACGCGCGCGTCAGTCTCACGCGATGGGGGTTGAGCGCATGTGCAGTGCTCTATTGTTACAAGCTACCGCAGGACTGTTACTATATTTTGACCAATCATTGGCTTGCATGGGGCTGAACGGGGCTTGATCAATGCTGGTTCAGGGGCCATTTATTCCCTTGATCTTTGAAGCCGGTCCATTATCACCGTTAATGCCCGGCCACGTGATCGAGTCTCGACCAATCAGAAACCATCAACTCTCCAAGGTATTTATTGATGTGAATTGATGAGAGCTGCTGTATGCAGTATCATCATCATCATGGTGACGTCCGTGCGCGTGCAGCGCACGGGCGTTGCTCAGTGACTACAATAATAGTTATAATAATTGTTCAGGATACATCTGCTGCACCTTTCGGGAATTGAGGAAAGGCCTGGTATTTCAATCTTCAAGTTCAACTGATCGTTGGTTTTAAAGTCAGAGAGTCAGAATGGCCATCTTCTTGAGCAATAGCTGTTGATTCCAAAACCTCACTCATGACAGAAGTATTTCCTCAGTGGGAATAACGGGAAAGTTGGGGAGACCACTGGGGGAGACATTGGAACGCCTTGCCGATGACGCCCGACGCTTACACAAAGATACTGTGTCTTTGTACACATTCAGAGTCATGCGTAGTTAGCGCTATTCACGCGTGAACCAGTACGTCGTTTCCCGTCCTCTGAGATCACGAAAGTAGTAAAACGAACGCCGCCCTCTCTTCTTCTCGCACAGAGCCCATACCACGACACAAATTAATAAATCTGACGGCATCCCCTTGTAAAACATCTGGTGGTTGTTAACAAAGTGAATTCATTTGTTTTGCAGGAGAGCGGGACAGGTGGTGACAGCAAGCCGCAACAAAACGACGTCGGACATCCTAGAACTGGTTAGTAGACTCCTCTCCCTATTTTTGACCCCGCCTTCCTCACCCCGCCCAAACTTGATCCAGCCCACTCTCTTTTAGTCTTCTTATCTAACAATTTGGGCGATTCATAATGCAGTGCGCCACCAAGAGTTTGCCACGGAGAGTTAATTTTCCCCAGTGCATTGTGGGAGATGGTCGACAAATTCGCACTTACATTTGAAATTGTAAGTATTTCCGGCCAGTATGTTCGTAAGCATATGATTCGAGTATCTGTTTGCCCTTTTCTTTTCGTTTTAACAATATGGAGTTTTTTGTAAGGCAGCAGAACGCTTTGCCCCAATCTGTAACAAATTAGCTCAAGTTTTCTACCGACACTCGTTCAAATGGGCCATGTTTTGTCGACCGTAAACTTGAAAAAACGAACTCTCCGTGGCAAACTGTTGGTGGCGCACTGCATTGTGAATCGCCCAAATTGAATGTTTCTCAAATTCTAACATCCCGCCCCCCAAAAAAATTAATAATAATAATAATAACAGGATATAATTTGGGCTCAGTTTCAGATGGCGGTGTAAAAAAGCCATGGGAGAAGCCATCAGGTCCGCCCACGGCCGGCAGATTTGGATCCAAAACCAACGGCATATCCCATGAGGCCCAAGTCAGCTCGCCTAAACTCAAGTAAGTGTGGAAGCAACGCAGCTCCAAATGAAATGCACTGCTTGGAACTGTTCCATCCAGTGGGGACTCTTTATAATATGTGACCTGCTCTGTCAAAAGCAGACGCTTCTGGGCAGAGGTTGAAATTGAGATGGGGCCAAAAAACGCTGTGGGGGTGATTTGTTTTCCATTTTCTAATTTTTGCATATTTGTAATCCTGAGCATGTTTAAAATATACCATAAAAGTTTAAAACCCTAATTTGATCTCTAATTATAGTACTTTTGATGATTTGTTAAGGTATATCAGTTAAAGAAATGTCTGTTTTGTGACGTTCGTGGCCATTTTCTCTGTTTTCTACTTTTCGACCCAGTGAACTTCAAAATAGCATAACTTTGCGCAGGAATGACCGGTTTCAAAAATTAAGCCACCTATTAAAAGGAAACAGAACATATTTTAACAATATGCAAAAATCTCATTTTTGACCTTATGCCCAGAAAAGTCTGATTTTGACAGAACAGGCCACATATTGCCTTGAATTTGACCTTTGTTTATGTTGTAAAATTAAGCACCATTCTGTATGGACTGCCAGAAGGGCATATATATAGCTTGTCTGATTGTCTTGCGTCCGGCACCTGTCTGACAACCTAATTCACATAAGAAAACAGTGGGCACTGCACAGCTCTGCTGTGGGTCCTCAACTTTTCATAACAGTGTCTTCTAAAGTCATGTTAAAGGGAATGTACAACATTTGCTTCTGCTGCAGTTTTCATAAATAAACGAATTTTGAGGATAAGTATGTTATAGCAAATATTGTTCAACTGACTTGTTTCACGTTTTGGGCTTGTAGATGCTGGAAAAACATACTAAACCAATCATGTTCTTGTAGTCTGGTTCCCTGACCCCACTTAAGATGAAACAGAGCAATTTGTAGACTTTGGGGAATTGTAAGGTCAAAGAATCAGTCTAGCAGGCTTGTACCCCTTCACAGGTGTGTAATCAATTGCAAAGAAAATGCGGAATAGCTAAATATGAAAAACTAGGAGTAGTTTTTGAAAAAAGCCAGTTTTTTCCAACGCTGGTCGGCCGACTAGCATTGGAAAAATACAGTTTTTCTTGAAAATGTCAGCACATCAGGAGCCACAATTTTACAGGATGCTTTAGACTGTCATTCCCTAACCATTCAGTAAGGTATTTCGTGATCATTTGATCATTTCGTTATTTGATGTTTGCAAATGTTGTATCTTCCCTTTAATGTAATCTTCAGGAGACATTTTTTCGTCATAACTTATACCTTGGGGAGACACCGGACGTCAGGGAGACATTTCAATGTCTCCCTGATGTCACAACTCCCATTTAGAGGCAAAATTTTACTGTGGCAAATAGGCTGGATCGATTGCTCGTGGTCCAAAACATAAATACACCAACAATTTGTGGGGGTAGAAAAAGGGAAAATTGTGGTTAGGGGTCATTAAAGTTGGAAGAATTTTGTGCACAACCCAATGAGAACGTTTGCTTAAAGTACCATTTCCGTTAATAATAAAACTTATTATAACACCTCACTCACAGATTCTGTGTCTTGATTGGCCAAGAGCGAGTCACATGGTACTTTCTATTTTTGCTATCTTTCAGTGCACGGCCGAGAGTACTATACCATTAGCAACTAAAGTACTATACCCATGGCACGGGTTTTGTTTGCAAATGCATGCTGGTGCGCGCGTTGAGCGTTCTGCGTAGCGCATTTTGTTCCCAAGAGAACGCGCCACAGAGTTGGGTTCAAACATTTCGTGATGGGATGGTTTGGAAGAGAGAAATACATTTTCCCTCGGCTTCACCTCAGGAAAATAGAACAATGTCCATGGATCACCTCAGGAGGCTAGTTTTACTACACCACTCGAAGCATTCCATATTTGTATACTATCATTATTTTCATGACTACAAATTCAGCTAACATGACCTTGACCCGTGAATATATATTTTTTTTTCTCAACAGACGGCGGGGCTCAAACCAGAGCAACGGCTCGTCAAACGAGAGTGAAATGGAGCGACTCAAGCAAGAGATCCTGGCAGATATCCGAGTCCAGCTCAACGAGGTCAAGCAAGAAATCATCGAAGGTTAGTGCATTCGGCATATATTCATAGAAACAGAAAAGCATTGTAAAGTTGTTGCAAGTTGTTACAACTGATAATGTAATAACCAACGGATAACGTATCACCAACCGTTAATATAACAAGAATTGACCAATGGGCTCTGTGCGCGAGTACCCCTTCAACGGCCAGAAAAGGAGAGTTAGGGGAGACCTAGACTGCTTCCCAGTCCATTCACTGAGTATTTCAAATGATCCAAAGTTATTGGGGGCAGGAGTTAGTCTGGGAGACCATCGCAAGTTAAATTTGAATGTATTCGCGCGCCGACGACGCCTGACGCTCATGCGTGAAGAAGCTATGGCTTAGCTTTGTGCACATACATGATAAGTAAGTTGTGCGTACTTCGCGCGCGAACCAGTAGAGTAAGCACACGCAGTGTCCCGTCCAAACTGATAAAAGCACGCCCTCTTTTGTTGGCGCACAGAGCCCATACTGTATCACTAACCGATAATGTAACAAATAGTGTAGTACATTCTACTACACTATCGGTAAATTTTGTAAAATTTTTGGTTAGTGATACAGTATCAATGAATTGTTACATTATCGGTTGGCGATACCTTAGCAGTTGGTTATTACATAATCAGTTGTAACACATGTTCAATGTATCATTGTGATGCTTATGTGGTGTTTAATGGTCTTCTGTCAACCTTTATAGTCGGTGCGATGACTGGCCGGTGTATTGTAAAAAGGCTCCTAAGGTGCTCAAACAGTGTAGGAATTGGTCATGGAAAGCCCTAAATTTGTCCTGGAAAAATCATGTGAAATGTCATTGAAAATCATTTTTGAGATTTCTGTGAGAACTCGGATATTATCAGGCTTGTAATAATTACACTGAACAAAGAAGTGTTTTATTTTTGGCTTATGATGGTGTTTTCAAGTTTCTTATAGCAAGGATGGCTCCAGTGTGCTTGTTACATCAATTAATTTGGGTGTTGATATCACTCAATGTTCCCTAGATCTCATTGGCACTTAAAGGTAGAGCAGATCATTTGCAGCTATCCAAAAAGTAACTGACAAAATTATTGTTGAAAAGCTATACTTGGTTTAAAGATAGTAATGACAATAAACTCCCTATGAAATTATTCTTTCTGGCATGCTGTCATTTTGAAGAAAACAATAAAAGAAGGCAATTTCCAAAGATGCGTCAAGTGACATATTTTTGGGGAACGGGTGCACGCAAGTGTTGACACGACGCACGCATGCTCCCCGTTGCTTGTATTGGTCGGTTCTGTACGTGGCATCGCGTAGCTTTGATCAGCTGAATGAGAACGTGTCCCGGACGCTGATTTAGGGCGCAACTCAAAACATGACTCGGCAACTTTTGAATTGAAATGAGATCCTAAAATGTTGTTTTCTCGGAAAATTCAGCATTCACCGAGCTAAAACTTCATCAGGTTAGATGTGAAGCACCCACCTTCAAATTTCGAGCACTTTTGTTACTTCAAACCCAAAAAAAGCACAAATGACAAATGATCTACCCCACCTATTAAATGCAGATTAGCCATGAAATTTGTTTTAAGTTGGGGGAAGGAGCTACTAAAAGATAATTTCTTTGACTCTGAAAAAGGAAAATTTGGTCACGGTTAATCATCACAACTGTGTACAAAAACAGGTAAAATTGACAATCACCTCACTTCTTTGTACCCCATTCTTGCTAGCAAAATTTGCCATGTTTGTATGTTAGGGTTTTCTTTCTTTTTTTCTCTACAGCCGTCAAAGCCGAGCTGAGTAAAAGATAAGAGGAGCCCAACCATCGACCAATCCGTCAAATTTCAGTGCCTCAAATTGTATAAACAGCGCCATCAGTTGTCTTAACTAGGTGTATGTTATGCTCTATATATACTATAGGTTGCTTTTATTTACACAGCAGACACCACTTGTTGGTTACTTTTTCTACCCTCGTGTTTTTGAGGGGGCAAAACTAACCTTCAAAAATAGCCTCACTATGTGCAAAGAATTGTGGCTATGTGCAAAGTGGTTTGCACTATTTAATTTTGGTCTTAAGGGAACTGCAAATGAATATATAAAAGTGCTCCCTTGAATGTATTATTATGGGCATCAGATATTAGCGTTTTACTTTATTATTGTATGAAAATGTAGGTCTTGGGGATATATTTAATTGTTCTGCGTTACACAGATTCCAAAGGTAATTACCCAGCTAGTACATGCATGTAGATTTCGTACTAATATTAGGAGTATGCATGGAATCCTACCGGTATGTAGTTTGTATGAACACATCACATAATAGGGGCCATTAGAAATTGTGCAGGTACAGGATACGAATGCGGCGTGGAAGAAAAACTAGCTGGTTGTTTGCCATTCTGTGTGGATATTTCACAAAACCCACACATACATTGTATACATCTTAACCAGTTTACGCCGGGATTATTTTGGCAAGAACAGAACGAGGCGCGGGATTTATTTTCACTCGACCTCAAGCCAAGCGGGTTGAAGCCATCGCCCTCGGGCAGCACACTCATACTTCCGGCCTCGCTCGCTGTGAATGGGTCACTGACAGATATTTCCGGCCTCGCTCCCTGCATGTTTATCTGTCATCCGTTCGTCAAAACTTCGCATGTATACACGGCCTCCAGCGCGAACTGGTTTACATTTTGATGTGAAATGCACATCACCCATCGTGTGCCAGATTAAAACTACCACGCAAAATGGTGATTTAACAATGTACTTTTTTTTTTCGAGCCGCATGTGTTCTCTGTAGCAGCACCATTTCTGATGGTCCCTAATTTCTTGCTTTCCCTCAAAAAGTGCTTACGCCAGAAATGATTCCGCCCGTTTGTTATTAGTTTGGGAGAGAAAAAAAACACGTAAATTTAGTCAGTGGCAGTGTTGTAGCACAGTCCATCCCAAGTTCCTGCAAGACCTCGCAAGTCCATCACAAGTCTCAATTTGACTAACAAGCTGTTCAAATGAACTTTATAAAGTCACTTTTAAAGAACTTTTTATCGACTGTTACTTGTGAATGTACCTGTGATTTACTCGCGACCGTTCTTGTGATGGACTCGATGACAATGCTGGTCGGTGGAAAAGAGTAGACTTTTCTTTGAGCAAAATAGCATTGTACTAAATAAACTTTTCCCGACAACTGTGTGTTTGTGTAAAAAAAACAGCAAAATAGTGAAAGCCTCAAGATCAGAATATAACAAATATTTGGAAGATGTCCTCATTTCATCTATGCAAGAAATGCATAGGAGCCCAAACGGTCGGGATCAAATCAACGTCAGCCTGAAAGGCTGGCAGTTTTGAAGCTTTTCAAGTTTTTCAACATTTGTTTCAAGATAAAAAGAAATCTCCCGTGAGGGATTCATTCAGGTACACCCTGTCTTTCTCTCAAGCGTGTGATCTCAAAACCATCAAATGCAACTTTTTTATTGAGATGATATTGGTAATAACAAAAATTAAATTATATATGAAATGGCATTTCTCGGACGAGAACAAATTTGCTGTACAGTACACGCCTGCATAGAATTTGTACGCAGTAGCTATGAGCAGTTTAGAACATACTGGTACACTCTTTATACAAATGTACGTGTATGTCATGAATGAACTGTTAAGTCAATGAACTTTATTAATTTACGATCTAGCCTATGTGTAGAACAGGGCTCCCCTAGTCATGGAAAAAGCCTGGAAAAGCCTGGAATTTAAAGCTATCATGGAAAGTCATGGAATTTTGTTATTTTGACAAGGAGTCATGGAAAGTTGATATTCCATGATAAAAGTCGTGGAAAATTCATGGAATGCTGCGCAACCCATACGTGATGATGCGTAATATTTAGTGCATGTGTACTGTACGCAGTTGCTATAGTCGTAGTGGTGCCCAGAGCTTTGTAGTACCACGAAATGCTAGGAAGGCAATGACAGGATGCCTTATTACAACTGTTTAATAACATATTTTAACATAAAACAGTTGGGGTCGGATGGCTGTGGAGGGAGGTGAAGCCATCTTGATGGTAAATCACACTGCTTAGACCTTTATTTTCAGTGTACATGCCAGTTTATTACAATTTATACATTTGGATTCCTGAAGATACCAAAACAGTGCAGGTATTGGTCATGGAAAGCCCTTATTTTGTCCTGGAAAAATCTTTTTAAGATTTCTGTGGAAACCCTAGTTTGTTGGAAGGTTTGATCACACTACCTTTGTCCCACTTCTTATGTAAAACAACCCCACTTACTACTTTCCCGTGCAACAGTTTCTTGCTGAAAAATTGAACATGCACCAAACCAGCGCTTGCTGTACACAGAGAGTATGAACACACCCCTCAATTAAAGGCCACTTAGTGTAAGACCATTGCAATTTGTGTGTTGTTTTTCTACAATTAAATATTGTTGTTTAGGGGCAAATTAAAAGGTCTTACGTTTATATTGTTGGCATTATAATCCAAACTCATCACCAGACAGTGTTGTATAGCTGTTATGCTCAGATAACTTAAAAGTCCTAAACAATTAATCCTAGTGAATATTTCATCTTATTGAGAGCTCATCATGTTTTGACACAAAACAGTAGAGAAATCTGTAATGGTTTTCCAGTCAGCACAGTGCTTCAAGGACCTTCAAGGACAGGGACATCCAAGTAGTAGTTTTTATATCCAAAAAAGGATATCTTAAAATGCTAGTTTAGAAAAATGGTATCATGTTCAAAATGACATTTCTAAAAATAAAAAAATGATGCCATTTCACATGTACTATGATTAACATAATAATTAATGACTAGGGGAAGAATGGTGTCCTGGCTAACAACTTAAATCATGCCACTTAAAGATGGCCAGTGCATACTTAATGCAAAATAACTTCTTCTTTTTTTAATTTTGAGCAGTTGGATGAAACAGAGCATGCAAGTCTCAGATTTTCGTTTTTCTTGTGAACGTCTTGGTACCTAAACACTGACTAGTCTAGTCACAGACCCCCATGTTAGAATTTGTATTAGAATTTGTTGAGTGTGTATTAACGAGAGTCAACTGGTCTGGGTTTCTCTTTGAACTCAAGTATATTTTGTATCTTTTGACAGAATTCAAAATAGTCCTGGGATTTTACTCCATGAAATTGTTATGGTTTATTTTATTCGAATTATATAACTCATAAAAATAGAAATTGAATAATTCTTTCTTTTTTATAATGAAATTTGCACGATTATCATGTAAGCAGTTTTCACTTAATATTCCTGAGTTTTCTTTTCGTTTCTTTTCTTTCAGAAAACATATCAGGTATCTTCATAAATGAGGTTATAGGTCATTCCCCCCCCCCCGGCAAAAAAAATCTACCCAACATATTTTGTCAATCTTTAGCTTACATCTTTGAAGCCTTAAAAAATTGACTGAGAATTATGGATACTCTGGTGCTGCATGAGCCTTTCTGTGCCAGAAAACTGTTTTCATTAATTAACTACTGTCTTTTACTAAGTACTGGACCAAGTCCGCCAAAATCCATCAATCAAACTGCTTCCAATGCATGCTTTGCTTTAGGCCTTTAGGCCCAAGTCCATCATACTCCATCAATATGTATTCAATGCAGGACTAAGTCTCCCAAAATCCACCAAAATGGGGGTATGGATTTTGATGGAGTTTGGGAGGTTAGTGTTAAAATGGTTTTCAGTCTTGGATGACTTTCGGTCTTGGATGACCCCCCCCCCCCCACTTTCCCCTCCAGCCTTCCCCATGCCACCACCCCTCTTTACCCCCATTCACCTGCCTTTTCCCCCTTCACGGTTTTGTCAGTGCCTTCAAGCCACTTTCCCTTCAATAACTCATATTTTAGTCCCATAATGTTTCCTTACAAATACAAGGTACTGTTAATGAAAAGTTTAGCTATCTAAAGTTACCAGATATCAAATCACTAATATCCATTTTCACCCAGATTTCATTGTTTGAAAGCAAATGGAATAGATGTAGGAGTTTTAAAATCGTTTGTGTACAATTCATATAAATGTTTATAACTATTGTAAGACTTACAAATCATGCGTTCAGTGCTTTGTGTACATAAGCCAAGTATAACCGAATAAATGCATATTATACTAATGAATTTCAGTAGACAAACTCGTACGAAGATTATTTTGTTGTTAGAAATTTCTTTTTAATTTAATTAGATGTTTTTGTATATCTGTAAGAAACGGCCGCTCAAGAAATAAGACGCTTTATATATTAAGTGAGTTTTACAGGTGATAGTTGAGAAATATAGGAAGATTTTGTTTTTAAATGTATGGTAGAAGCGTATGAACTGGGCTATTGATTAAGTTATGTTCCTCTTCACATACAAGAGGAGTTGTACGGCAATATACCAATTTTCTTTTAATAGAAGTCTTTTGAAAATACCAGGCATTTACTGTTATTTGGCCAAAAAATATGGGTCGTGTGTTTGACGACACTTTGATGATTAAATAAGTGCAAAAGAGACAATTTTTTATCATATCTGAGAAGAGATATATCCGAAATTTGGCAATGACATCTGTACTGCTTTAAAGTCCGTAGCAGTGTAAGATGTTAATCCATAACCAATTTGAGCAAATTGTATATCTAAAATTTGAGCACTTTCTATATCGTGGGCAAAAAATAGTTTTTGTAAATTGGATTGACTAATATTCAGTCATAAAGCTTTTATTAACTAGTCAATTTATAACGTTACTTATGCAGCACACGCTATACTGAATAATGTTATTGATGGTGTTGGAATTTTCTGTTATTTGTAATAAATATAAATATATCTTATTTGATCTGTCGAAAATAAATTATGTCAAATTAACTTGCTTAATCAAGGGTTTGGTTTTTTCCAAGTGTAATTTATTTACCATAATGTGAAAACACATGTTTCGTGTCATTTTTTGTGACCAATATTTCATCAGACCATCGATTAGTCTAGTCCTAATTCAGAATTTAGAAATGAAATGTCTAATGCATTATAATGATCACACCACATTACTGTTATTGTTTACATGAACGTCAACTATCTAATAAATTTTCAATTTTTTTTGCATCCTAGCTTGAAAATGCCATGTCTTAATTGAACAGAAACCGCAAAGCGTTTCATAAAATGAATTCTAAAGTATTTATATTGGTAGCAACACATTGCACACATGTTGTACAGGGTGGGTATAAAAAAAAAAGGAAACCCAAATGGCAGGACCAGTTTGTTTGTTTTTTTTGTTTTGTTTTTTCAAAATTTAGGACATGAAAGCCCAATTAATAAGCTTTCTATTAGTATAAGAATCATTCAAATCGGTCATGAGTTTTGAACACAAACGCCGTTTTGAAGTTCTGTCCACGGATCACAAAAAAAGGTAAGTGTTCTTTCAGCAAAACGACAAAAATTCACATAAGGCCAAAAAAAAAAAGTCTCCGGATTCTGGTATGCGCGCGCGTCGCCGTAGCCATGCGCGTCGGCAAAATGAACAAGTTTTTTTTCAATGAAAGATGATGTCTCAAAACCGCCAAACTCACTGGTTTGACTGGAATCCTGCTGCTGCACAATTTTAACGTGTTTTTGGATGGGGTTATGATCGAGAATAAGCTTTATGTGGCCTCCCATATATTTGCACTAAGTTTAGTCGGGCACCATTTGCAGTCATCAGCCGACATTTGAGGCAAAAAAAATCAGGTAAAAAAAAAAAAAAAAGCCGCGTCGCCGCACCACTTTTTGGGCAAGCTCCATACCAGAAACCGGAGACTTTTTTTTGGCCTAACGATATGAATTGTTTTCGTTTTGCTGAAACAACAATTACCTTTTCTTATCTGTTGACATAACTTTTAAACAGTGTTTGTGTTCAAAATTCCGTAACTTGAAAAGTACATGAGTGATTTGAATGATTCTTGTACTAAAATAAAGCTTATTAATTGACTTTCATATCCTAGATTTTGAAAGTGCTACATTCAGAACTTCATTAAAAAGAAATGGTCCTGGTATTTGGGTTTCCTTTTTTTTACTCACCCTGTACATCAAGCTTTAGTTGATGTCCTGAAATAGTTGCCAAGAATTATCCATATAATTTGTGGTTGAACACTTTGGCCCTGCAATTCAAATTTTCTTAGCAAATTTCGAGTACCCTGAAACCTGAAGCAATAAGCGTTGTAACTCTTACAAAATATGTATATTTTTGACCATTAGGAATAGATTCTAAGCAGAATTGTACAAATTAACAATGCCTCTAAGTATACAGACATTATGAATCATGGGAAAATAATTCTTTTTTAAATGGTTATTGTGTTAATTGTTAACTAATACAGTCGATTATTTTACTTTTCTGAAAAACAAGAACTCAAAATCGCTGCTCAACTATTTCAAATTGAAAGTACAACCGCCAAACTGTATGGTTTTGGTATCTTCACTGATTTTATTTTCTAAGTGACATCTATTACATCGCTGTTAATTATTTATCTGTTTATTGAAAGTACATTGTATAATCCTGAAGAAACTATTCAACTTAACATGATAAGTTTGAATAAAATGCAAGCTCGATTTTTCATTAACATGCCAGACTCTGGTTTTATTTTGTTGGACGTGTTGTTTCTATTGCAAATTAAACTGATCACTTTGTGAGTGGCGCCGTCTCTTTTATAAGTATGAAATCTTTAAAACTTACTGGGGGAAATATACATTTTCGAACCATTTTACGTTGATTCATAGCGGCATTGCACACAGTCTGTACACGGATCCCTCCCAAAAATGTAGGTTGTAACTTGTACGTGTCTTTTATGAGTTATCTAGTGTCCCTTGAATTGTAATTCGAATGTATTACTTAATTGAAAAGTTTCTTCTTTTTTGTGTGTGAGAGTCTCGCAGGCCCGTAAGGGCCACTCAAGATGAGGGTTAGGCCTAGGCCTAGGCCCTACATAAAGAAGTAAAGATAGAAAAAGGGGCTAAGAATGAGAAAAAAAATCTTCAAGTAAAAAGATACGTACTTGTGTTAGGCTTCAACTGGGATATTAAAATCAACTGGAAAACAAGATAATAAATGAGAGGTTTGCGGAAACACCATGTGGGAATAATTTCTCAAACTAAGAAAATGGTTCTGAAAAACCTTCTGAAAAGAACCAGAGGCGTTTCCGCAAACCTTTCATTTAGAAGTATTTCCAGTTCTCCACCATGCAAAGCCTCAAATCTTACTTAAGATACAGGTAAGGAGTTCCATAGTGAAGCTGTGCGAAACTTGAAAATTTCTTAGAATTTGCTTTGGAAGCAATTACTGTATGTGGATAGCTGGATGGAGAAGCCTTCAGTGCGCCCAAAAAAGAACGATTAAAGACCGTTGGAGCACTTATTTCCATGATAATAGTTTCAAAAATGTTTTAAAATATGCTTTTTCTTCACGTTTTTCCAGTCTTGCTTTCCTACCTCCGCGCTTTTATGAATGAATAAGTACCGTTTACTCAAATTTCACACATATCTATTGTCCACATCATTTTGACAGCTGCACGCATACGAACGCCCTTGAAAAAGAGTAAATTAGCATAATTCGCTCACAATGTCCAATCAGCGTCAAGTACCTTTAACCCTTGTTAGACACAGCCAATCAGCGTCCTTCCCGCTGTGGGACCGCGAATGTGAAAATATTACCGTTAACTGCGTAACTTGTGTGTACGTTGTTTCTGTTGTGTATTTGAATGTGGTTTTTTGCAAGGGATCGCTGGTTTATTGTTTTATTTTAGACCAGAATTATAATTGAGGTAAGAATTTAAATTAAATTTAATTTTTTAGTGATTTTTTTAAGAATTAAAATCAAGTTAAAACGAATAAATAGATGAAAAATATTGTGCTCCATTGAGTTGTCCCGTAGGTGTCGGAATTACACGCATTTAGCTGCAATTTATTCACGTTAACAATGAAAGTTCCATCATGGCGCCAAGTCAGAGCTAAATAATTATTTATTGGGTTTTTGAAACCTTTGCTTCGGCTTCGCCTCCGACTTCTGAATCACTGAGAGGCAAACTAAACGAAATTATTCCAACTTTTGTCTTCGTATCAACCGATTGAATGAAATTGAAGCATTAAGTGATTAACAATAATAACAGGCACCAAAAATGTAGCTGGAGTTCCCGAAGTCGGGGCCTAAAAATGTCATTAAGACGAAGCCAAAGCCAGTCGTTTCGAAAACGCAATATTTTAGGCCCTACCATTAATAAATAAAATAATTCACTTAATTATTAAATTAAACGCAGTGGCTATTGTTACGGCAGCCGTAACGCATTTCCCATTTTCTATCGTTACGGTAGACATGGTAGACTGCAACTTTTATAAAACATGACAAGAAAATATAAAATTAGAAGGGAAAAAGTGAATTTGAACGTTATGAAATTCGGACTTTATTTCCCTTTTAAAAAAAATCCTCCAAAGCCTCAGGTTAGAAAAGGAAAAAAATTCGAGTGCAAAACTGAGTTTCGAACCCGCAACTTCGCGGTGCAAAATCCTACCCTCTATCGCCTGAGCTGCCGCACTGCTTGCTAAAACACGTGGAAACAAATAATTATATACCTGCGTGCGTATCAAAAAAGTATCGTAGAGGGCGCTAAACAACGACTGCCGTAACAATAGCCACTTCGTAAATTAAATTGGCCTTAACCTTTTTAAATAATAAATTTAATTAATGAAATTAAATTAGGGCCTACCTTTCAAATGTTTTAATTTTGTTTAGCCTATGCTGATTAGAATGGATGTATTCACGTCGCGTTTTCAGTCCCAATCATTGTCAAAAGTTAGCTTGAGTAACTCCATCTCCAATGCTTATCGCATTTGCATTGGAGCTGGAGTTACTCAAGCTAGTCAAAAGTGGCCCCTCAAAAAGATAACAATTTGGAGGGGAAAAAACGTAAAAGTTCTAGCAGAATAAAGTTCACATTTGCCTCAAACTTCAAAGAGAAACTGCCCAACTTAACCACCCTGTCCTCGCGGTATCAGCTTGCAAGGTCTGCCATGAAAACCGGCCACACATATCAGTGCAAGTACCAGCGATAAGAGTAAGACCTCAAAATAAATACAGAAAATGAAATATTCCATCAAAGATATAATTTCACTATAAAACCTAAAAGGCCTAATATTAGGCAAAGTCTTAGGACGTACAATGGACATGATCATGATGGGACGTTTGAAATCTTGAATTCGACAGCAAATATTTACTTTGAATTCATAGGCCTACCCCACTTTTCAATTACTGTTCTCCGATTTACTTGGACCCTACAAAATGATCCAGGCAAGTATGTTGTTAAGGCCAACTCATTCTGTTTTCAAGACTTGGTCTTGGACGATGACCTAAATGTTCCTTCAACACAACACAAATCTTTAACTTGCCTTGCTTTGCTATCCAACTTTATTTATTTATTTATTGCATTTCTTTACCCAGGTTATTCTTGCAGCCTTCAAAAATGCCAGTTTCTCACAAGTATGATGTCGGGGAGAAAGTGATGGTGAAATGGCCGGGCAGTGCGCTCTGGTACCCAGCCAAGGTCCTGGCCATCCAAGGCGAGGAGTACAAGGTCAAGTTTGAGGAAGGCACCGAAGACGAGGTCACTGCTGACTACATCAGGGTCAGTATGTCATTACATTACTGACTTACTCTGGCCACTTCTGTCGGACATTAGTGATGGCTCTCCAAGATCGTCTTTCTGTCGTGCAACTATGAATTTCCCTTGGTTGTAGCCGGGCGTCTTGGCACAGTGTATCAACATATGTAGTCTTTGGTCGTCCCACGTTTCGCCACCCTTGGGTTGGCTGCCAGAGAATCAAGCTGGCCACTGGTTGGTTGCTGGATCCTCTGCAGTGCCATTCCTATCCTAAATATCAAGTTCTCAAGATTAAGGCCTTTTCACACAATCGCCATTCCTACCAATGTTGAAATCAATTTTTCACCATGACTGAAACTGGATCCCATGAACACGGTCAGGTAAGGGGTACCGTAATATAATGCAACCATCAAGGTAAAAACCTCTGTGCAATCCATCTGATCCATTCTACCCTATATTTTCCCAATGCCTCTGCAGACTGTAGGCTCCTTCAGGCGGCGATCTTCATCCAAGTCCCCATCCCGGCGTCGTTCGAGGTCCAGGTCCCCGGCCCGCTCCCCGTCCCGGCAGCGAGTCTCCCGCAGCCCCAGCCGCAAGTCAGTGGCACAGAAGCAGCAGCAGCAGCAGCAGCAGCAGACCAGCTCCAAGACCGCCACCAAGTCCACCACCTCCACGTCCACAGTGGTCACACAGAGCAAGAGCATGCCTAAGCCAGACCTGACGCCCACTAGGACGCCTAGCAAGAGAATCCTCACCTCCAGGGTTAGTTCTCATTAACCTTAACTCCCACTACCTTAACCCTGGCAAATACCTTAACCCCAGCTACCTTTACTCTAACCACCGCATTAACCCAGACCTCTTTACCGACTATGTTTATCCCAGCAAACGCACATAACCCTAGCCACCTACCTAACCTTACTTGTACCCTCTACCTTTATTAACTTTAGCCACCTTAACCTTAACTGTGTGTAACATGACTTTATTTACCATAACGTTAATTGCCTTAAAGCTAGCCAGTTTATCCAGCATTCATTAACCATGGTAACCATAACCATATTAACCCTAACGTACCTGAATCCATCAAAAACCACACCCCTACATGTACTTCGGGGGATTTCGGCAGATTCAGGATACCTCCATATATATTGCACAAACTATGGGATTTTGATGGATTCAGGATTGTAAGCCTAGCAGAACTGCAGGATTTTGATGGATTCAGGATACCTCTATATTGAGCTGTTGGGGGACTTTGGTGGATTCAGGATCTCAACAGATTTACTCCCGCCTAGCTGGTGGATTCTAATGGACTCACTGGCCACCAACATTTTTTTGCGTGGCAAAATTGATGGATTTTGGCGGATTCAGGATACTTTCTAGTAAAAGAGCCCAAGGAGTTAGGGTTCAACCTTAAACCTAACTTTACCTTAACAGTCCTGAATCCTCCAATTTTAATATGATTTTTCACACGGGGTAAATTCTAACTACTTAAACCCTTACCATGTTAATCTTAACTAACTTTACCCTGGCCACCTTTACTCTATATCATACCCCTTGCTTCTTAAACCCTAACTATGTAAACCCCAATACATTAACCCTAACTACCTTAAACCCTAACTACCTTAAACCCTAACTTCAAATTAACTACCTTAACCCTAGGCACATAGCCCTATCTTAACCCATATATATCAGTGCCTAACTACCCCCAAATTTTTCAAACTCCAAAGTAATTTGATGAATACCAGGTTGTACAACTTGCTCACCATAATTCTATGTAGTTGTAGTAGATCTCGAGCAAGTTCAAACTAGTCGTTGATTTGTGTTCCAGTCAAACGTCGGTCGAAACGTCATCACAAACATTCATGGTCCCAGCTCCCTGCTTTACGTAATGATGTGCTCAGTTATTGGTTACAGGGATGCAACTGTACCTTGGGCTCTGGTTCCAAATAGTTGATTAGCGTATAACCATGCTGAGTTCAACAAGATTCTGCATAAAGTAAATGAACCCTTGAATGTTAGGTCTAGAGTAGTCTAACCATCAAATGTTCAAGTGAAGTTAGTTGAACCATAGTCACCCACATATGTAGTCCTCGCTGGAACTTGCACCTTGATGCTCCTTGATTTGATTGGTTCACCTTCTCAATCAGTGCCTATATCATTTTGCTATCATGTAGTCATTTTGATAAAATTCCCTAGCTTCTGTAAAACAAAGAGTCAACTTTTTCTGTGATTCCTCAGAGTACGACTGAAGTGCACAGCTATACAACGCGGTCATCCACCAAATCAGGCCAGCAAATACTGGAGCCCATGGTGGAGGTCAAGACAGGCAGAGTCCCTAAGACTAACAGCTATGAATTTGGAGGACCAATTGGTATGCCAATAACACTGTTTTAATTGAATACATAAGCCCCTGCTGTACTTTTATCAAAGGCTGATCACCAGCAGTCAGATCATATGTCAAGCAAGTACTTTGACTAGTCAAACATCACTCACCCGGAGTCTGAGCAAAGCTGTATCAAGTTTAAAACTTAAATAGTCCCAGACAGTCAATCCTGCTTTATGCAGGCTGAGAATTCTTAACTGTTGAAAACAGCTGAAAACAGAACTGTTAAAAACAGAACGGTTCGAATCCCGCCCAGGCCAATATGTGGATTGGGTTTCAGTCCCTGCCTGATTCTGTGGGTTTTCCCCAGAATATTCTTCTGGGTTTTTCCTCCCACCTCTAAGGCTAGGTTTACACTATGTTCCAGGCGGCACGGCAATCACGTTTCTGGCCACCGTGGACAAAACGGTATGGACGTGAGACAACGCCGGGGGACGGGTTGGGCAAACGCGACAGTCCGTGATCGCCGTGGATGCTGGGCCAGATTTTTAACTGTCAAAAAATTTGCCACGGCAGTCACGGTGCGTATGAGAAACCTAGTAGTAGGCCGTAGTAAAACGGGGTGAACACAACAAAACCTGAGAGTACGTGATAGGCCGTAACAAAACTTGGAGATGGTCCGTAGTGGGACTGGAAGCATGTGCATTCCCCGGCATCTCACGGTCCTTTCAAGTTTTGTCACGTTCTGCCGCGTTTAGCGGGCGTTTTGTCACGGTTGCTGCGCATTTTGTCGCGTTTTGCTTCGTTTCTCACGGCAAGCTAGGGTGTACGGTAGCCGTTTTGTCGCGTTCAATCACGGCGCGTCCAGATGTGTGACGGTTTACAGGCCCGGTGCGATGCTTCGCGTTGCGTTCTACTACGGTCTGATACAGCGAGCGCGGTCTGGGAGGGAGTATAAAAGCATACAATGATTGCTATTGCTTGGGAGACCTTCTTTTCATACCGTGGGCACAAACTTGCTCCGAAGCTGCCCGGCGTACACGTTTCATCCGTAGAAAGCCTTGACAGAACGCGAAAAACGTGTCAGACTTTGATTAGAACATGAGGAACGTGAGGGACCCCAGAGGGACCCATTCAGAACGTGACAGGCCGGGAGGGAACGTACTGGCATCCGTGGTAGACCGTGGGCCGAACCGTAGTGCGCCTTTGAGCCTCCGGGACTCAGCAGCCCCTTTCCTCGACGGCCCATCACAGATACCGTGATAGACCGTGAGAAAACTTAGCAGGACCTAACAAAACTTGACTACGGAGGAAAAAAATGCCAAAATCCCACGGCGCACTATGTTTCGGGTAAACGGGGCTGCCGTGACCGCCGGAAACATAGTGTAAACCTAGTCTAAAACTGTAACTTATTCTCATTGTCTTCATTCCACGGGTTTCTTCAGGTGTGCGAGCTACAGTGCCTAGGGCACTTTTGAGGAATCCTCAGTTTCGTTACCAGAAACGATTAATAATAACTACAGGGTGTAGGAACAACCACACGGTGTTGGCTATTATGTTTGAAGCAATTATCGTAAACTTCGCCACACACATCAACTCAAAATGCATTTTGACATTTTTTCAACATGCTGCTAGATGGCGCTCTAACATTTTATAACGTCACCTGTAATATTTGTGTAAAGCACAACGTAAGCAGAGACTCACATCGTTGAAAGCAAGTTCACATCTTTTGCCAATTTTAAATTATTTGGCACTTCATACGATTTGTATGAAGACAAAATCTTTCAAGAGCATGGAATGTATATCTCTGGTATTCGTCTCTCTTCCTGTCGCAACAGGTGCGTTCTTCATCATGGTCAGCCTGCCGCTGTTCATCTACTACCTGTACTTCACCTGCAGCAAGACCCTGTGCAAGCTGCAGCTCTTGCCGGCCTGCACCCACGACTGGCGGGACTACTACGACCGTGATGCCTACCTCATCTTCCTGGGCTGGATGGTGCTTCAGGTCTTCCTCTTCATGCTGCCTGTTGGCTCGGTGAGTGTCGCTTTCCCAGAGGGTGAAATTAAACACACATAAACTGCTCAGACAAGAACGACCTAGAAAATGAAAAAATTATTTGGAGCTGTCGCATGCATTAGAATGCACACTTGCGTGAAATAATTCCAATAATAGCCTTACTTTGGGCTTATTTTTTTTAAAATAGTAAATCAACGTATGGACATCATACATATGTACCTGTGTACCTCAAATTTCAGGCAAAAATGTCAAGAGTCCACTTACTATCCCTAATTATTTGTGGGGATAAATATGGTTAATGTAGGGCAATATGGCCATTTTTAGGGTTTTAAAAGGCCTCGAACACTTAAAATAGCCTTTATGGCAGAGCACCATGGCCAAGTACATCTGTCCTTTATCCATTGTGTACATGAGCTTAGAGTATACTCAAACTGAGCCACAACTATATTTTTGAATCTGTATGGAATAATTTTAATACATTTTTTTTTTCGGACCAACAAGATCACCGAGCCCAAAACCAGTAGTCTTTACTAATTGTACAAATGGGATGGCTCAGGAGCAATTGTTGTGTAGCTATTTAACATCATTTTATTTTTGTTACTTAACAAAGGTCGTGAAAGGCCTGCCACTTCGCACTGGACAAAGGCTGGAGTACAGGTTGAATGGTGAGTACTATCAACAATATGAAATAATATAGTAGCGTTGCAATGTTTACACATCGGTGCTCTGGATAAAATGGATTACAATTTTACAAAACATGAAATCGCGTATCAGTAGGCCTATGTTCATGCTTTGGAGGTGTTGCACCATGAAAACTGAAATGTAAATTGAATTGCTGGTTTTAAACAATTTAATATTAAAATTTATGAGCTCTGAGATTGAGACATGGAGACATTGCAACAAAATATTTACCCAAAATAAGTATCAAATGAAACATATTTCAACTTGTAATTTAGATGCATCCCACTCTTAAGTCCTACACTATTAATGTATAATTCTTAGAGCTTACCGTTGTAATATTTTTGTAAGACCAAATATTGTAGAAACAACTGTTTGCATTCAAAAATCTAGTTTTCTTCCATAATTACTTAGCAAGAGAAAATCCTTAAAAGATGTATTGTCTGTGTTATTTTCAAGTTGCAGCCCAAAAAATAGATTTCATGTATAATTTGCAATTTTGGCAATAGAAAGGTTGTTTACTTTGAATGAGACTGGAATGAAAACAAATTACCCCACGTTTAGTTATGAAATAAGTTCCTTACAAATTGTGAATTATTTGTAGGCAATAATTTTACTTCTCGCAGGGTGGACAGGTTTTTGCCCCTCCCTCCCGTATTAGAATCAATAATGTAGTGACTGAAAACCAGTCTACTAACAGGGAGTATCTGTTTGTGTGCAAACACAAACCAAATTACTATTTTATTTCAGATGGTTGCAGACGCCCAAAGTAGAAAAAAAGTAGATTTTTTTTTTTTTTAATATACAAGGGAAAAATTGCGTCTGATAAAGAGGCATAGACATTGGACAGTACATCTTCTATTTGGAAATTTCTGCTAAGTGTGGGGGTACGTGTGGTCTAGCGGTGGAGCACAGGATTCATGATTGTGAGATTGTGGGTTTGAGTCCCGCCGTGGCCATGCGTGTTGTGCCCTTGAGTAAGGCGCTTTACCTCAATTACTCTTCTCCACCCAGGTGTTAAATGGGTACCGGCATTATTCAATGCTGGGAAGGTAACAGACTCGCTGTGGAGGAGGTGTGGCGATCCCCCCAAAGCAGCATATGAGTCTGGCCCAATCGCTAACGAAAGAGAGATGGGCACTCTGTGACTCCGTTCCTGTGAACACAGGTTCATCCCCTTTACCTTTACCTTTTCTGCTAAGTGCAGACTATCAAGTTAATCCTTTTTCTCGCCTACCCCTGCCAGGTTTCTTTGCTTTCATCGTGAGCCTGATCCTCTTCGGCGGTCTGGTCTACAAGAAGTACCCAGTCACCGTGGTCTACGACAAGTTCCTGCCTCTCTTGACGGCAGCTATGATCTTCTCCCTGCTGCTGAGCGTGTTCCTGTACGTCAAGGCCAGGAAGGCATCGGGGCACGCCTTGGCACCCAGCGGAAACTCCGGTAAGTCACTTCTATGGCATCCGCAGCTAATTTCACAAAACAGTACTTTGTGTAGGACTTACAAAACAAATTTGTTGCTCAATTGTGTGATAAAATTATGATCGATTTCACGAAACTTGGGATAGCTGCGCAACGTTTTAAATAATCTAAACATCTTAAACGAGGAAAACAGCGATTACGACGACGTTTGTGTATGATTTTGTTCGGTCATGAAACAGTTGTTGAATGGCCTCCACCTGCCATTTTTAAAATAGAGTTGTCCTGTCCGACTTTGGAAACATGCGGCGACTCTAGAGAATTCTGTCACAAGTAAAATGGCAATTCATTTCACAAAGCTGTGAGTGTCTTGTATCAACCTTGATAAGTTGTGCAATGACAGGCTCCACGATGATCACGATTTGCTGGTGAAATAGGCCAGTTTTGTCGCTACGCCACAACCTACGCCACCTAAAATGATTGTGCTAGTTACGCCATAATGTGTTGATCAAGTTGGGAACTTAAACACTATGAAACTTTCGTGAAATGTGTCATAACTGAAATGTTGCTTAGCGTGAAATACTGCGCAACTTTTTCAGGCATTAAATTGTGGCGCAAGTCAAATGAAAGATGATGAAATGAGCTTTAATTTAATGTGTGTCTCAAACACCTTGGAGAGTTGTGAGTATTTTTTCTTGATTTCGGAAGTCCCCGTATTTATCACTGGGGTCTATGGCAGTTTATTTACTGGTCTGCAACCATCAAGTAACAGGTCTATACCATAGATGTCTTTATGGTTTCTTTCAATTCATGTCATGTGTCTTTCCATCATCTCATCAGGCAACATTGTCTATGATTTCTTCATGGGTCATGAGCTCAATCCTCGCATTGGAAGCTTTGACTTCAAATTCTTCTGTGAACTCCGCCCTGGACTCATCGGTTGGGTAAGTCCACTTTCAGATCGTTTAGTTTACTTCAGGCATCTTGTGAAAATTGCCTAGTGTAACTTGGCCTTTATTCCATTCCAACAATGCACAGTGTCAGCAAAGCAAAAGCATTTATACTTGTAGATAAATCCAGCAGCAGTACGAAAACACTTGAGGGTTTCCTGACTCTTCAGATCGCTGAAAGTGACCTAGATGATAAAATCTATAGAAATCACACGAAAGATCCTACATTTTCACCCTAATTTCTTGAATTATTCTGGTTATACCATTATTCATGTTATAGACCGTTAGTGCAATAGCTAGTACTTACTAGCTATTGCACTAACGCTCAGGATGAAGCTGTGCAGTTGAGATATTGTAATTTTTTTTTGTAATATTTTTTTTTTCTGGTAATGAAACCAAAACCTCAAAAGCGCCCTAGGCACTGTAGCTCGCAAGCCACAAGAAACCCGTATAGAGAAGACAATGAGAAGAAATGACAGTTTTAGAGGTGAGAGGAAAACCCCAGAAGAATATTCTGGGGGAAAAACCCACGGAATCAGGTAGGGACTGAAAACCCAATCCACATGTGGACCGAGTCAGGAATCGAACCCGGGCCACAGCGATGGAAGGTGAGGAAAAAGAACCACTGCACCAACCTTTTTGTGTATTTAGTCAGCGTACAGTAAACAGTCGTCTGATATTCAACAAAGAGTCGTCGGATCTCAGCTCGAAATTTGTTAAAACGTAAAACAAAATGGCGGTCGTGCGATGCAATTTTGAAGGAAAACAAGCTCTCAGTGGACTGTGTAGCTACTTTGAAATTTCAACTCTAATATTCCGGTCTAATTCATAATTATTCAATGAATTGTCCATTTACAACTTTACACACATTGCCTCGGTATTATAATCTCGTAAATGTAATGTTTATGGCATAAAACTGGCTTAGAAATGACTCTTCGTATTTTGCGACGACCACTAGACACGTCGTAACGTGTTTCAAGCCGTTGTCAAGGAACTTACGACGTGTTCAACACATCGCAACATTCGTGAAATGGAAGATACGACGCGTCGCGAGTTGAGACGTGTAACTCGAGTTGCGACGCGTCGCAGTGCTTCGTGAAATCGGGTGCAGGACACACAGCGTGTGCGTACTGTACTTTACTGGTTCATGTGCACGACTTCCTGAATGTGCCAAAGCTATATAGCCACAGGGTCTTTGCTTGAGCGTCAGGCGTCATCGGCCCGTGAATACATTCGAATGTAACTTGCGATGGTCTCCGAGACTAATCCCCGCCTCCAATAACTTTGGATCATTCGAAATACCCAGTGGATGGACTGGGAGCCAGTCTAGGTCTCCCCCAACTCTCCTTTTCTGGCCGTTGAAGGGGTACTGTGTGCAGAGCCCATACTAAAACAAAATCCTAATTTCGAAGGAAAACTGAGGGCAGTCTTCAAGCCTTTTGATACAAAGCAGTACAGATACATCACGAGTCATGGCCCTATGGCCAATTAAGTACTAACTCACCAGGTCCCTCAATGGTTGCAGACCAGTAAATCGGTCCGAAATTGCCTATGCCGGCCAAATCACGATTTGCATGCCCTCAAATTCTTCAGTTATTTGAGCATGCTGTGGGCCATGAACTTGAGGGTTTGTAAAAAAATATGGGTGGAAGCCGTGCACAGGACTGTGAGCTTGTAGTTCCGTTCAATTTGAATGAAATTGGGGCCCTTAAAGCGCTCTATTTTGCAATGGAGTGTAGGCATCGTTTTTCAAAATGGCGATGGGCTTCAGGACTATTTTCAGGGGTGATCATCTTCGGATGGAAATTTCTCCTAAATGTCATCAGTTGACCCCCCCCCCGAAAATTGAAAAGAAAATGAAAGATGATGAAATGAGCTTTAATTTGATGTGTGTTTCGAACACCTTGGAGAGTTGTGTGAGTATTTTTCCCGAATGTCTGAAGTGGGAGCATTTACCATTGGGGTCTATGGAAGTCTATTTACTGGTCTGCAACCCTATGGTTGATTATAGTACTATTTTCTTACTGCTACCCCTTTTGCTTGTGTGATCTTCAGGTGCTGCTGGATCTAGCCTTTGTGGTCAAGGTCTGGACAGACTTCCCAGAGAATCCTCCCTGGCCGCTCCTCTTGCTCACCTTCTTCCAGCTTCTCTACGTCGCCGACTCCTTGCTCTATGAGGTCAGTCACTTTGGTCAACTTCAAAAAAAGTGTGTTCCTAAATGTATCCAGCTTTCGTTTTGGTGAAGAACTCTTTGCGGTTACAATGAAGCTGGACCAGATTTTTCATAAAAGCTACTAAGCAAGCAAATATTCGTGCTAAGCACAAATCACCTACGTGTAGGACGTATTGGCCAGCAACCTGTTTCTGCTCAACAATGCTTTCTGTGCTATAAAATTTAATAGCAAGATGTATGCACTGTTCATTTTATTTACTTGTTCATTTTATTTACTTGTTCAATTTATTTATTTGTTCATTTAATTTACTTGTTCATTTCATTTACTTGTTCATTTCATTTGCTTGTTCATTGTGCAATCATCAAGTGAATGATCAGTAAAGCAAGAATAATTTTTCTCTAAAAAGAAGGAAGTAGGCCAGTTCCTGGTCTGTCCATAATATTTTCAATTTTAAATGGATTCGTTAGAAATTGAATGCTCATAATCTGTCATGTTTTTAGGTGAGCTTTAACTTGTCTTTTGAATGTCGACACTAATATGCCTTGTCTGTAAAGTGACTTTTTGTTTTCGCTTGAAAATAGAAAAAATATTTTCAATGTGTTATGGACTTTAACCCTAACCCTACCAGATGCAACCCAGTGCATCAGGTGTAAAAAATCAGTGGGGCCTTGCTGCACTGAGCCATCAACACCAGTGCATAAACGGCCAATTCTGAGACAATGGGAGCTTGTCCCATTGAACAATGCCACAGTTGTATCCTGCTGCAGTTGGTTACCAAAGACTCCGAGGCAGTTTGGCCTTGAGATTTGTGACCCGATGGATCTTGCTACACTGGGCAGGCTTGTCACTTAGACAAGTGTTGCATGTTGCGGCGTTCAGCAGGGCTTCTAGCCAAAATACCCCGGAGGGTTAGGGTTAAAGGGAATATACATCATTTGCTTTTGCTGTTATTTTCAGAAATGGATGGAATTGGGGGGTTGGAAATATATAGCAAATATAGTTACACTGACTTTTTTGAGGTTTTGGGTTCGAAAATGCTATAAAAACCAAGAAAAACAATCATTTTCCTGTAGTCTGGTTCCCTGACTCCATATAAGAAGAAACAGCAGTTTACATACATTGGGGAATTGTAAGGTCAGGGAACCAGTCTAGCTGGCTTGTACCCGTTCATAGGTGTGTTATCGATTGCAAACAAGTGCGATGGTCAATTGGGGCCAGTATCTGAAAAAAAGCCAGTTTTTCCAACGCTGGTCGGCCGACCAGCATTGGAAATTGATACAAAAATACCACTTTTCTTGAAAATGACAGTATACCAGGTGCCATGATTTTACAGGATGCTTTACACTGTCATTCACTAACAGTCCAGCAAGGTATTTCAAAATGATTTTGTAGTTTTATTTTTTGATGTTTGCAAATGTTGTATTTTCCCTTTAATCTTTACACATTACATTACGACTGACGTGTAAAGCGTAGTTCTGTTTATAGGTCGATTAAAAGAAATTGTGTTTACACACAGCATGCAATCTTGAGCACCATGGACATCATCCATGATGGCTTCGGCTTCATGCTGGTCTTTGGTGACCTGGTCTGGGTTCCCTTCACCTACACGCTGCAGGCCCGCTACCTGGCTGACAACCCAAGCCGCAGCACAATGCCCAACTACTGTCTGATACCCATTCTCATCCTCGGACGTAAGTATCTCAGTCCCATTTCAAGGAGCCACTACACCTGAAAGTTTGTTGAGCAAAGAAATGTTTGCTAAGCATAACAAGCTTGATCGGAAATATCTTGGAAGCTTCGGGCCAACGAATTCGTGCTCATATGCATGAGTCATGTGATTGTGCCACATAATTTCTGTAAGGAGTATTGTGTTGAGTAAACCAATATCAGGTTTTTAACCCAAGTTACCCCATGATGACCTTTGACCCCAGCTTGGTCATGTGACATGTTGGGGCTGGGCTACTGATCCTTTTGAGAAAGTTTGGTTGAAATTGGTCAAAATATGTAGGAGCAATAGACAATGTCAACGTTTGTTACTAACTAACCAACTAACGGAGAGACATGATTCGTTGAGCTACTATTCGGCAGCTAAAAAAGGGTTACCAGCCAAAACATGATGTGTTGTGTACTATGTGTGACTGGTTCTCAGCTAACTCATGCTATGCACGTGAATTTTCTGAGCAAGATAGTCTGCTTTGTGAGCAAATGCGCCAAGGGCCCCATTCAATGGCACTGCTTATCACTCAATTTTGTACTAACGAATAATCCAACTTGGAAACAATTTTTAGACGTTTTTGTTTATTGACAATCTCATCCTTGCTTAGTGTATATTTAAAACAGGGCACTGCTACAGTAAAGTAAAAAAAAAACGGGAAAAAAAACGTTAAGTCTGTCACAAGACAGTGTGGCCCATCGGGCCAGTGTTTATCTCCAGTTTCAGTGGCATGAAACGATTGACCATATTTCTATTCCCCCTGGATGGGATGCCGGTCCATCGCAGGTTACTCCCCAGCAAATGCCAGTACCCATTTATACTCCTGGATGGAGAGAGGCAAGTGGGGTGAAGTGGCTTGCCCAAGGACACAACATGCTACAGTAACCATACGTAATAAGCAAATGTCATCACATTTGTTCAGCGATTAATTTCCACTCAATCATTTCTTCTTTGCACAGTAATCGGCTACTACATTTTCCGTGCGTCAAACTCACAGAAGAGTGCGTTCCGGGAGAACCCCTACTCCAGCAAGTTTGCCGGTAAGTATTGCCAGCAGAAATGACAGCAGAGAATACGAACGATCCACAATAACTCACAAAACAAACTATTCTCCATCAAATCAAACGTGCTGGTTCATAATTAGCTCCAATGCAACACGTTTTTGACGTGGCATAACCAGAACAAGAAAGGATCAGAGTTGACATGTGTTGAACAAAGAAATTGACTGAAGCTGAGTTTGAACCTACGACCTCCGGAATGCCGTATCGGTGCTCTACCAACTGAGCTATCCAGCCCTATGTTGGCGGTTCCCCATTTTGTCAATGTCTTTGTTCAATGTCTTTATTCAAAGAACAAAAGCATTGACAAATTGGTGAACCACCAACATAGGTCTGGATAGCTTAGTTGGTAGAGCACCGGTACTGTATTCCGGAGGTCGCAGGTTCAGACCCTGCTTCAGTCAGTGTCTTTGTTCAACTTCTTAAAGGGCACTGCGTACTGAAATCCCCGAACATTTCATGCATTGAATTGTTTACTTATCCTATTTCAAACATCTGGTTAAAAGTAGTCCAACCTAATGTCTTACAGTTCCTGAGAAAAGACAGGGGAAAAAAACGATTGTTTACATCGGACACGACGGAGTACGTTTTCCTGTCGTTTTCATTCAATGTACAATACACGTTGTGTGTGTCACATAAATTACACACAGCACCAATGCACAAATGTGGTTTCTTAACACGTCCGCAAAAGGCGAACACTTTACGGCTGAAATCACAACCAGCACGCACAGCCCGATCTGTTGGGGTCGCAAAAGTGGAACCCAAAATTTGTTCTCGCACGAAATGACACAAAAACGACCAGTTTTTAAAGGATGGTTGTGTGGATGTTTACATCTTACTTTTGAATGTTCTTTACGATTAACATCATTTGGTTCAAAATGCATTTTGTAGCCCAATTGGGCACTTTCCAGGACGCAGTGTCCCTTTATAACCCTAACCTCACCTAAAGCTACAAGATACTACTGAGTAGAAACCTGTAGTACAGTGAACTCCGGCTAAACCGACATCGTACAAATCGCTCAAGTCGGCCGTCTGACTAAAGTCCCGATTGTCCGTAATGCATTTCCATTGAATTTTTTATTTCTAAGTCGGCTTTATAAGTCACCATTTCGCTCAAGTCGTCGTGTTACTCTCGGTCCCCTTTCCATAAAAAGTATTACAAAATCCTTTGTATAAGTCGGCATTCAACAAATCACGCATTGGCATCGACTTCCTGTACTGCAGTTGGCAAAGTGTCGAGTGAAAAGTGGTTTCGCACGGCCCGTGATCGCTGCATGCATTGGTGTTGAAAAAGGGTGTCCTACTGCATACATTGCATATGCATCGTGAGCATGTCGTCTTATTAAATGACTACTGCTGCTGTAGTCAATGCGTGCGTGGCATATACCGGACCACACATGCATTTAATTTGTTACTGTGCACGTACATATGTACTTTATGTATCGTGGTCGCCAATACCCCAAACGTGATGATACAAGGATACATGTTTTGGATTCAACTCAAGCATTAAGGAGATAAACCAGGGTAAATCGAAGCCAATTAGTGCAATGAATCATGTGTGCAAAAGACCATTCATGTAAGTCGGCAAAATGACGACTTACAGCAGATATCGGCATTTGCGTAAGTTGTCACAAATTCTCGGGTCCCCAGAGTGCCGGTTTAGCCGGAGTTTACTGTATGCATTTCTTTCCATACAAGTGTAAACAACTCATGTAGTATTCTGTTATATTTGGTCCTTGACCCCCAAAGAGCCCTTACAACGTTAGGGTTAATATTAAAACCCACACCAGTTGAATATTACCCTTTTCTACCCATCCCCAGTCTCCTCACTGAATGATATCAGTCCAGTTGATAATATCCATTCTCTTCTGTCCCCTCCTAGCTTCCAACATCCTGATCACGGCGTCCAAGAAGCGTCTCTTGATGTCTGGCTGGTGGGGCTGGGTGCGTCACCCTAATTACCTGGGAGACCTTATGATGGCACTGGCTTGGTCCCTCTGTTGCGGTAAGTCAGAGTGCACTCTCCTCAGAGTTATAGTCACATCAATCACAGAACAAAACACATTAGCAAGGTGGTGCTTATAAAATCGCTTTATTTAAGTGTCTCAAAGCGCTTCGTAGTTAATACCCATGTTGCACACCCATTTATTCTCCTGTTGAGATGGGCAATCATAATAAAGTGTCTTGCCCAAGGACACAAACACGATGTTTCCCATTGGGGTTTGAACCTATGTAGCATTGCACATGAGTCAGACATCGTAACCATTGGACCAGAGTGGTCCATGAGCCCAATCACAAGTCAGATAACAAGTAAGAAGTATCAAGCAACTGCTAATGAATATTGATATAAACAATGCGCTTACCACAGTTCGTTTGAATAGCTTGTGAATTAAAAGCTTGGGCACTTTGTAGTGGGCATGTGAGGGCTGGAATTCAAGTATGGTATGGGTGGCTTGAGCGTAAACCGCTCGCCTCTCACCAAGGTGACCACGGTTCGATTCCTGGCCTCGGATCCTGGGCTGGCCGCGGATCACATGTGAGTAGAGTTGTGCGTTGGTTCTCTCCTGTGCCACGAAGGTTTTTCTCTGGGCCCTACGGTTTTCCTCCTTCCGGAAAAATCCAACACTTTCGATCTCGGGCTGTGCTCCGTGGTCATATATGGGTCGATGTGGCCGGCAGCCATAGGCGCCTTTACGTGCCAGCGGCCCGACCAGGTTGTAGCTGCGTCCTTTGCAATTCAGCATACCAGCTGCGAGTAAGGATGATTAGCCTCCCCAAATTATTATTATTATTGTATTCCATGCAGTTGTCGTAGATGAGGCTATACATGTGGCCTATTGATGCACACACTGGCTTGTGAATGCAAATTTGGGCCGGTAGGGCCTACTTGTGAACTTACTTGTGACTCCAGTACATTGAACCGGTGTGTGTCAGTAAAGTCTACAAAAAAACATCAAATTAAACCGTGTAGTTTAATTTGGCCTTTTGCCAGATTAGAATGGCCCTTCAAACTCTTACTCCATGAAATATGACATGAAATTTATTCAAGTCACTTATCCACTTTGTGTTGGACACTTTGTGTTAGTCAGTTTGTGTTGGACCTGTAGTGTTATATATAGACCATTGTATACAACGGACACAAAATGACCCTTAACTGTGGAACAATATACCTTCCAGTAGCAGATCCCTGGACACTGTTTCTTCATTCAAAACACAGCTCAAAACACACCTATTCACGGTATAATTGAACTTCCTTTTACCATTGATGGTTGTTGCTGTTTGAGCGCCATGATCTAGATGGAAGGAGGCTATAGAAATCCCATTTAATGATAACAATGGACTGAAATACACCGTCACTAGAAAGTCATGCCCTAATAATTGACGGCTCTCTTTCCAGGCTTCAGCAGCATAGTGCCCTACTTCTACCCCATCTACCTGCTGATCCTGCTGGTCCATCGCGAGATGCGCGACTCGGCCCACTGCAAGCAGAAATACGGCACCGTCTGGGCCAAATACTGCGAGAACGTCCCGTATCGGATCTTCCCCCGCGTCTACTAAAGACTCTGTCAAAGGGGTCGCGTTGCTGTGCTGCATTGTTCCTACATTTGGCACTGCGTGTGACACCGTGACTATCACCTATCACTGTGTGCCACTGTGTCAAAGAGTGTGAAATTACGGTTGGATATCGGACATTTTCGGACCGTTGGTCACATTTGCCTGAACAAAGACGAATTTACACAGTCAAATTTGGTACTGTGAGTGCATTGTAAGTTAAGGGAAGTTTTGAACCATGCATTTGGCAGCTCAAAATTGATTGTGCTTTTTCACTATGTTCAGGCACGCACTGTGTCTCGTTTCACCTTCTGCTGTGTTACAATCAATCAGGGATTTTATACTTGTAAAATGAATATTTGCGTCGTGGGAATGTGAATTTTGATATTGGTTTTTGACCTTTACCGATTTAATTCTATAAGAATAGAATATGTTAAGTTCTCCTGTCAACAAGATAGTACTTGTGGTATTCGCTGCTGCATCGGATTCGAACCTCCAACAGACCCAGGCGAGATGTATGATTTCTGCACTAGTAAGCAGGAGGGTGTGGGTTCGAGTCCTATCCAAGCAAGCTTGCGCAAACTGTCTCACAGCTCCCAGATAGCACTGATTAAAGCTACAGTCCGCCATTTGAAGCTATCCCAAAAAGTAACTGACGTAATGATTGTTGAAAAACATACTTGGTTGAAAGATAGTAATGGGACTAAACTCCCTGTGAAAATTCAGACGCGCCGTTGTTTCAAATAGGAGTTCGTTTTTTTTATTCGGAGAAGCGCGCGCAAGCATTGACACGACGCACACGCGCGCGCGGTTGCTATAATTCGTCGGATCAGTGCGCGACATCGCTTCTCTGCAATCAGCTCAGTGAGAACGTGTATCGGAGGCTGAATTCAGGCCCAATTTAAAACATGATTCAGCAAATTTTGATTTGAAATCGAGATCCTAGAATGTTGTTTTTCTCGAAATATACAGCTGAAGCTGAGCTGAAACTTCATCGGGTTAGTTGTTCAGTACCCTTCTTTAGATTTTGAGGACTTTTATTGCTTCAAACGAACAAAATGCACACATTACAAAGATGGACTATAGCTTTTAAGCACTACAGTGCTTATAAAATTACGTCGGTGAAAGGTGAACACCATTATTAAAATTTCATGCTTCGTCCTGTGATATTTTGTTAAAGGTTTTATCATTCCATATATGCAGCTTTTGGTAATGCCTACTTTTTCTGAATGGCTTTTATAAAAACTTGGATTGGTTAACTGAGTTGGATCAATTTACATTTTTACACAAACACAATCGTCCAAAATGAAAAGTTACAAAGAATAAAGAATATTTGATGAAATCTTCAGTGTAAAATGAAAAGAAATGTATAATTCTTCTTTGTATATGAGTCTCTCCGAACGAATCTTCAGGATGATGGACGCAGAGTACCAAAGAAAACATCCCCTTTTTAGCAGATTGTGATCACTTATTTATTTAGAATGCTACAGGTTATATTGGCTGCCGTTCAGATTATCGTTGTTTCTCTTAGTGTGCTAGTTTTGTAAATTCTGCCAGGTTTTGTGATTTAATGCTTTCACACTGTTGTGATGGAATTGCTTATGTAGTATGAGTGTTGAATTTGGGTTTTATGGTATGGCAAAAGGGAAAACATGGCGGTAACTTTTGCAGTGTTAAATTCTCCAAAATATCACATTCATAAATTTCTTGAAGGTTTTTGCGTGGTTTTTTTTGTTTTGTTTTGTTTTTGTTTTTTCAGGTTTTGTTTTTGTTTTTTAACTTTAATCGAAACATCAGAAAGTAAGAAATGTAGTCTTAAGCATTTATTTAATGATTATTGAGTGATTTTAGATCTCATTTTCATAGATGATTTTCTTCTGTTTGATTATATGTGATAAACGGGTTTTTTCAGCGTACAATATTTTGTTTTCAAAGGAAATAATTGTCACTGGGTGAGTACGTGTATATAAATTTGTGATTTACTATAGACATTCTGTAATTTTTGTTTTAGAATAATGGGGGTACTAAAATTCTGCAGTTGTCAATTTGGAATGAGAGGAAATGCCGAATCTGTAGAGTTGCTGGTAGGAATTTCACTGTATTAAAGAGATAATGTTAAAGGACAACTATTAAAGGGTTGTTTAGGGGAAAGGAATTTAGAAGAAAACATGAGGTTTGGGAATAATCTATAGTTTTAAAGGTTTGCACTATACAAGGCAAGTCAAAAAAAAAGGGAAACCAAAATGGCAGGACCACTTTCCTAGTAAATTTCTGCATGTAGCACTTTCAAAATCTAGGATATGAAAGCCCAACCAATAAGCTTTCTTTTGGTACAAGAATCATTCAAATCACTCATGTAGTTTTCAAGTTACGGAATTTTAAACACAACCACCGTTTTAAAGTTCGGTCCACGGATCACAAAAAGGTGTGTGTTCTTTCAGCAAAACGAAAACAATTCACACACATCCCTATGTGAGTAATTTGAATGATTCTTATACTAAAAAGCTTATTAAGTGGACTTTCATATCCTAGATTTTGAAAGTGCTACATGCAGAACTTCATTGAAAAATTAGTCCTGTCATTTGGGTTTCCTTTTTTTTTTACTCGCCCTGTACATGACAAAAATACTGTCAGTTTCGATTTGGTGTCCAAAAACTGGTCTTTCTATCCGTTTTATATAGGTATTTTGCGAAGTATTCGAAGCAAATTTAAGGAACACTTTTGTCTCTATGATGGTTGTAAATATCTGTATTATATATTGTAGATGCTTGGTTGTCAATGTAACGGTATTTGGTAACGAAAATACCAATGCCAATAGATAAACTTCAGAATTAGTTGAAACCTGGTATAGTCATTGTCACTTCTGAAGAGATCACAAACCATTGTTCCGATACCATCATTTTCAATTTCTCCAAGAGACCGGAATTAGAAATTATTCAGTAACTTTGAGATTTCACTTGGACGAAAATTCACATTCCTTTGTTTACGTTAATTGCATTTTAAAATGAAATGTAAATAGAATGTGGATTGTAATGTAAATAGTATTTTTAAGCTAATTTCTTCTCAGTCATAAAATTATTACCAAAAAAACACCTTAGGAATCTTTGTAGATAGACAAGTATCATTTATGTTGGACTAGTTTTTAACCAGAAATCAAATGGGTAATGGCAGTGTATGCAGTGAATTTGTATTGTCATATTTAATCTTATTTCATATCCAATTTAATTAGTTTGACGATTGAAACAGGTCTTTAAACAATCCTTAAAGACAGTATTTAACTCTTTTTTTTTTCATTTACAACTACATGTAATGTTCCTTTTGATTTGCGACTAACCTTGACTATTACTTAGGATTTTCAACTTCTAATATCGCTATATAGCGTAATGTATTCATTTCATTAACTGAGTTTCGAAGCAATTTCAACATCCTTGTTTCTTGAAACATTCTACACTAGATTGCTCTAACCAAAGTGCCTACTTTACCTTCAGTGAAAAATGTTTTTAATACTCCCATCTGAAATGTGTACGATTACGATATAAATATACATTGTAGTTTTTTGATAGGTTTTGTTTGAATGTAACAGAATGAAATAAAGTTTCTTGAGTCGATGTAACTGAATTCCAAGCAGATGAGTTTTACTGTAAATGTTATACAGTTGGGTCAATCAAAGCGATTATTCACTCTTGTATTTCTAACTTGTGTGAATTCACTTCATCTATCCGAGTGAAACGAGGCACAAGACAACTTAGAGTGAACTTCATAATTTCAATCGAATAGATTGAGTATTATATTCCAGGCCTCAGCGAAAACACCTACGTGTCAAAAGAGGTCCTACTTTTTGATCCTAAATAACTCTGTTGTTTACCAATAGAATTAAACCAAAATTTCAGATCCTAAGCAAGGCATGACAATTTAATGGAGCGAGTTTCAACTGCTTTGTGAACAGGGCGAGATGTAAACGCCACATCATAAATTCTGCTTTTCAGAATTTGCCACTGTCGACTTGTGTAGGAGGCTCACCAGAAATTGTGGGCCTAGGCCCGGTAGGTCCATGCGTTAACCCTAACCGCCCTGAATCCTTCAAAATCCCCTTTGCCAATGTGGAGGAATCTGGAGGATTGAGGTTACGTGGCAAAAGTGCGTTATTGAGTTCGTAAGATGCACTTTGTCAAGGTCTTGGGCCGGACCTTGTGGTTTTTTTTGTTCAGCCATGCATATGGGCGTTGATTATGCTTGAAATCCTCCGTACTGCTCCAGGATGTCACTGGCCAAGCCTCAACATATTGACAGTCACTGCCGCAGGATTTTGTAGGATTCAGGCAGTGGTCACCCCTCCACGGACCCTATTCAAGATATAATGGAGGAATATGCAGAATTGAGGCTATAATAATGCCATTTTCCACGAGGTCAGTTGGACGATTTTACAGAATTGAGGCTATAATAATGCCATTTTCCACGAGGTCAGTTGGACGATTTTGCAGACTTGAGGCTATAATAATGCCATTTTCCTCGAGGTCAATTGGACGATTTTGCAGGATTGAGGCTACATCTTAGCAAGAAGGCCTAGGGAGTACATGTACTAACTGCCCCTGCTCAGCCTCCGACCCACCGGTGAGTCAAAAATGCTTTATCTACCACCTTTGTGTTTTATACATGCATGGTATATTCTACATGCAGACGTTGTATATATGTTAAATCAATGTATTCACAAAGGTACAGGGCTACCAGCATAAAGTTTTGCTCAATGCACTGTGTTCTTTGAATGATATTTGAAGCTCCGAAATATTGCTGGTATGTTCAATACACGACGCAAGTCGAAAGATTAAGCCTACATTGATTGTAAAGCAAAGTATAACTGTAAGAGTTAGCACAGTTGGGTTTTTCATTTAGACCTGCATTGAACTACATGATTTTGTCGACTAGAGAGCAAATCTATACTATGTAGAATGCAGGTAAGGCCGAACATGCAAAAAAAAAATGGTAAATTGTTGCTTAAGTATGAATCGTTGACAAAAAAATATGTGTATTTAAAAGGATGTCGTTTTCTACTTGCTTTAGGGAACTCAGGTGGCGTTAAAACGTAAGATGATTTGGTGGCGGGCCTGGATATAGGTCACTATTTCCCTATATTAAAATGGTTGCAGATTGTGTGTACAATGATTGGATTAGGAACAAACGAACCGGCATGATGTGGACTTTGAAGACCTTTATCTATTACATCGAGATTATTTATAAACTGAACAGATAACAAAGATATTCTTAGACTGATTCGGTTCGATATAGTACATGTATTATCTGTTCGAGTTCATGCACGTGTGGAATTGTAGACATCTTGAAAGAACCCGTTCCAAAGGTAGCAATTTCAGTCAACGACCGCAGCAATCCGTCTGTCAACAGAGTTCAAGGTATTTAGGAATACATGACTGACATGCCATCGAGAAGAATCATTTGATATCAGTCCCTGTCCTCAATATCACCACAGACCAACGGCACATCACTACCGCATTCCCTCGACAAGCCCGGCGGGCCCAGCGCTGCGAAGGACGGCACCATGGCACAAGACAACGGGAAGGTACCGCAGACCGCTCATTATGAATTTGGAGGGCCAGTAGGTAAGAACGGTGTTTTAATCAGTGTAGGCCTATTTCTAACTCGATGAAAACGGGCTTTGTAAGGCTAATCTTGATTCCTGAAATGTGTTCATAATAAAAGAATTAAAAAAAAAAAAAATCCCGAACTAACTGAAAATATTACTCCAACCCCTGAAAAAAGTTTTAAAACAATGTTACTAAGATGAATTCAATTACATGTACTTATCCCGGAAAAGTGTCATGTTCTTTTCGGTTGTGTACTATATGAACCTAGCAACCAGTTGTGTAAAAAATTGAACTTAAGTTGTGTAATATATTACACAAGTTGTGTAATATTTTACACAAGCTGTGTAATATTTTACGCAAGTTGTGTAAACAGCAGTTTACACAACAGGTTGCTAGGTTCATATAGTACACAACCGTTTGATGAACTAACTTTTCATCCCCCTAGTAAAATGTATACACATGACTAGACCTCTTGAGCATCCATTGATACTGAATTAACATAACATAAACACACCTCAAATATGGCTGCTGAATACGACCGATCTACAGGGTGAGTCAAAAAGAAAGTGACCCGGATTAAAGATTTTGTTTTCGTAAAAAGCAATCAACTTTGATGCACCGATGAAGTGTGTCGTAAAAGATGTGCGTCCACTCATCTGAAAAAGAGGAAACGATTTACTGAAATTGATCCATGCAATTAGAAGTTATACATGTTTTACTAAAAGAACCCATTTTTATAGCTGTCCATGGAACGCCATTGGAAGCTATTGAGCTGAGTGAGAATTGCAGATTACCCAGGAGCATTTAAATACAAATGAGATTTTAACAATTAAAATCAAGACTGAAACATTATTTTTAGTGTCAGATTTTGTGTTTTGAACATGAGGAGCAAGTCAGCTTTTTTTCTGAAATATATTGATGGCGATTTTTGTATGTTGTCCTTTGCAATATCTCGTTCATTCCTGGAGGTGGGAAAACGTCCATGTTTCATTGTACTCAATGGGTATTCATCAGTTCATAGAACGGTAAATGATCAGTGGTGGACGGCCGAGTTTTGTGATCTTTTTAATGAAATAGACGTAACTTGAGAATAGAGTATGCAACCTGTGTGAAATTTTCACAGTTACAATTCAATAAAATGCCCTTTATCCCTATTGTTTTTATGAAATGGAGCAAGCTAAATATTTGTAAAATATTTTTTTTCAAACACGGTCACTTTCTTTTTACTCACCCTATATATGCAGTCATGCGCATTTGGTCTCTTTCATCCATCCTTCCAATACGAGAAAAAGAAACCCGGTGGCATTTTCATGCGTTTATTGTTGACTTGTGTTTTACTTTGTGCTTCTGTTTTTTCCAAGGTGCCCTGTTCATCATGATCAGTCTACCGGTGTTCATATATTATCTCTACTTCGCCTGTGATAAGAACTCATGTGCAGTCACGCTGCTACCTCTGCTACCCGGCAGTTGGGATGAAATATTTGACCTACAAGTCTTCATGATATTCTTGGGATGGGTTGCTTTCCAGGCCGTGCTGTATATGCTTCCAATCGGAAAGGTATAAATGGGCGATTTTAAAAAAAAATGGTAGACGGTAAAGGTAAAGAAGACGACATGTGTTCACAGGAACGGAGTGCCCATCTCTCTTACGAAGCGATGGGGCCAGACTCGAGTCCATGAAATGCTGCTGTGTGGGATCGCCACACCTCCTCCACAGCGCGCGAGTACCTTCCCACCAGCATTGAATAATCCTCTATCTATTGATTTTACTGATGATTAATTGATTGATATATTGTTCAATCTATCAGTCATTCAGTGGTCACGAAAAATATCGAAAACGAAACCGGTCAAGCCATCACCAATTCTGTTAGCATAAACACAATGCGTAATTTCGACAAAATATTTTGCGATTGACTTAAACAATCTGTTCAATAACCGAATTGTGTTATTTTTAATGAATGTTTTACGTTATTGCATTCATACTTTATAGTGGTTAGAAATCATTGCTGCCTAAGTTGCAAAGATAGCATTTGAGATCATGAGATGATACTAATATTCCAAACGATAATCCATTTCATTCCATTTTACACACAGAAAGTCAAGGGTCTCCCTTTGAGGACAGGGCGGCGGTTGCAGTACAGAATGAACGGTGAGGCTAGTACTGTGTTTAAATTGCTTTCTTATTAAACTCAACTTTGCTTCCCCGTGTTATTTCCAAGTTTTGATGATTTTGTTTTTATTATAAAACTTCCATTTTTCTTCCAACGCAACAGTTATTCACTCTTTAATGCGATACCGAACGAAAACAATTTTCTTACATGTAATTGTGGGGAAACTACATCACAAATTTTAAATTATTTGCGTCCAAACAACAATTAAAGGGCACATGAAATGTTTTTTTTTTTAATGCAGTCCTTGAAAATGCAACTTGGTATCCCATTTAACCTTAGGCCTATTTTCCATTTTCATTTTGCTGTTTTCAAGGGTATTTTGGTGCCTTTTTGGTTTTTACGCTAATGCGAATTTCCATATTCATGAACAAAAGTGTGATGTCAATTCAGGCAGAAACCTCAATGTTGCAATTGGTTTGTGCACAAAAATTTGCCAGAATTTTGGATATTTTGCAGTCGTAAACTTTCTTTTCATTAGTGATTCGTTGTTATGTCAGTTCACGGTAGTAAGCCAATGAGCAAACTTTTCTCACAAGTGATTTCAATTGGCAATTTTTTGGGTTCACAGTTTCAACAGAAAACACCTTATATGAACAGTGTCTTATTGAAATGACATCACAGGAACAGCGTCCTCATTTGTCAGGAAAAGCATGGCAATTTTAAAATGTTTATAGAAGTGCACTTTTTCAGTAAAATTAACCAAAAATGGATTTCAAACAGTTTTCATACACTTAAGAGGATCAGAAAGTAGCACAAAATAAGTTCCTAAGAAATATTCACTTCATGGCCCTTTAAGGCAGGTGTTTTTGTGCGTTAAAAGCGCAAAAGTAACCCAAAAGAAAGTAATTTTCAGAGGACTGCAGCTGGTCAAATAAAGAAACAAGTGCCTTTTTTCGTTAAAATAAAACATACAAATTGAAACTTTATCGAATCTGCACGGGGAGCAACTTTAAGGTAATCGTTAATTCCAGAAATTGGTAGGAAAGTGTAAATGCAAATCTCATTTCATTTCGACAGGTTTATTGGCGTTCGTGATCAGCGTGGCGCTGTTTGCTGCCCTGGTCTACTACCAGTACCCGGTCACCATACTCTATGACAAGTTCCTGCCGTTCCTTACGTCCTCTGTCATCTTCTCTGCCGCCCTCAGCGTCTTCGTCTACATCAAGTCACTGGCCGCCCCTAACCACGCCCTTGCCGCGGGGGGAAATTCAGGTCTCTGTCCAAATGTGTTCTTGAAACTTTTCAAATTTTGTTTGATGAAATTTGTTTCATTCATTTTTATCTTGGTTCTCCCTCTATTGCTATAGCTGTGTGTTAAACAATAGCAACATATTCCCCAATGTTTAATTCGTGTCACCAATATTTTCTGTCTATTTTATCTATTCTAAAATGATTTTTTTTTTTAGGCAATATAATCTACGATTTCTTTATTGGGCACGAGTTGAATCCACGGCTGGGGAACTTTGACATCAAGATATTCTGTGAACTTCGACCGGGACTCATCGGATGGGTAAACACAGTTGTTTGATTTGTTTCATCGTAATTATTGTGTATTCACCGGGGGCTTTGGTGACTTTTTCACTTCTCTGTGCCCTTATATTTGGATCGATTGTGTTCAACGGTGACTCGGGGTCAATATACGCGTGCATCATTTACGCACGGAGTGTATGGTTGCAGACCAGTAACTAAATTCCCATAGACCCCAGTGATAAATGAAATTCAGGAAAAATACTCACAACTCTCTGAGGTGTTCAAGACGTACATCAAATTAAAGCTTATTTCATCATCTTTAATTTTCTGTTAAATTTTCTGGTGGTTAACCGATGACTTTTGGTAGAAAATTCCATCCAAAGATGATCACCCCTAAAAGCATTCCTGAAGCCCATCGCCATTTTGAAAATGGACGTCTACGCTCCACTGAAAAAAGAGCCATTTTAGGGCCTAATTTCATCCACATTTCACAGACATACGAGCTCGCAGTCCTCTGCACGGCTTCCAACTTTTTTTTATAAATCATCAAGTTCACGGCCTTTCAAAATGCTCTAATACTGAAGAATTTGAGAGCATGCAAATCGTGATTTGGCCGGCATAGGCAATTTCGGACCGATTTACTGGCCTGCACCCGTATACGTGCTTTGGTGTTACCGAAAAGATACCCATAATGCTGTGCGTTTCCTTCACTAAATTGTCGTGTAAAAAAAGGTTAGCGGTTACTATAGCGCCCATTTAGAGGGGGAAAGGCACGAGTGAATCCACCCCTTCAGGAGACGCTTGTGCCACTGGTTCGATAGTACCGCTAAATTCGGTCAATATTAAAATTAAAAGCAAACTACGTCCGCTAGTTTCCCTGTATCGGTTGTACATAACCTGCTGAACTCAAAACGGCGCAGTAAAGTTCAAGAACCGAAATGTCAGTAAAACAAATCGTTTCCCTTCTTTATTGCAAAGTATAAACCAACCTCTTTTGTTTATTGCGGTGATATCAAGAGTATTCCCAGGTATGATCACAGAGCAAAGAACATATATACTCGGGGAAACTTCAGTTTTTGACCGCAGCGGCAGAGTACCGAAGGCTGACCTCGGCTGTCTTTGTGCTGCATGGTTCACGCGCTGGCTTGGTTGATGTCTTCATACACGAAAGCTGTGTGCGTGAACCAGAATATACTTGGCACACTTCGGTACCGCTGTTCAAAATAACCGCCACTTTGCCAGATCAAAAACTGATGCTCCTCGGTTGCACGTGCTCTGATTTACGCTCTACATGAATTTTCATTTCCATGTTTAATTTGCTTGTATTGACTTTGATGCAGGTTTTGATCGATCTGGCGTTCGTGGTCAAATCCTGGACGGATTTTCCGGACAACCCGCCGTGGTGTCTACTAGCCGTGACCTTCTCCCAGGTCCTGTATGTAGCGGACTCACTGTGGTTCGAGGTATTATACGAGAAGCATTTCTGTTTTCTCTAAACCACAATACACTAGTCAATTTCTATATGATTTCATACAGAGCGGGTCGACAGCGTTTCCTTGCCATAAGTATAGCAGTAACATAAAGCAAGTTATTCGGATCTGTGTGGGCCAAACACACCTGAATGCCTAGATTTTTTATTCTTGGGGGTTTCCCTTTATACCAGCTTTAGGCTATTTTGCCCTGGTTAGGCCTATACGTGTTTAATCTCTTGGCGTTTTGCGTTAGCACCCTGGATAGGCTATATCTCTAATTGTGAGGGGCCAAGAAGGTTGTTCTGAAAAGAACTGATAATTTAGAAGCACCTTCTTAGTCGGGGCGGATCCCGTTAAGAGGTTTAGCGGGCATGTGCTATCTTTCTGCTATTTTGCGGCCCAAGGGAAGTTTAACCCCCATTACCCATGGGCGTCCCCAGGATGGGGCAAAGGGGCGCCTCCCCTGGAAAAGCGACCCCCAAAAAATAAAAGTAGAAAATAAGAGGTGTGAAGTCATATCTGCTATTAATTTAATACCCATAATGTCCCCCGCCCACTCAAACAATGATAAGTTGAGAATATGCTAGAGAAAGTACAAGGATATTTGGAGGAAAATGTGCTCCCCCCCCCCCCTAGAAAAAAATCCTGGCGACTTTCATGCAAACACACCCACCCTACGCAGATTCACCGTGCACTCTTGTATACCACCCCATTTTATGGTGTTTCTGCAAAACCTTCGACAGTTCAGAGTTTGAAACCACCAAAAGCTTTATATCGATGAAATGAATGCGTTCTGGTGATGGGTTTTAAGGTTTCATGAGCCTCGGGAAATCTAAAAGACCATGGACCATGGACCATGGAGCCGGAAGTGAAAACTCACCCCGACGTATGTGTCATCCTGGGTAGGTGCCGAACTGGGTCACAGTGGTGAAAAGCGAGGAAATTGTGCCTTCTTACACTGTAAAAAATTTGCGTAAAATACTGTTGGGCAATGTCATTTACCCGACATTGGTATGAAATTACCTCATATTGGGTTGAATTGGGTTGAAAACTGTCAAACTATTGGGAAGAATTTGCCCAAGAGTGTAGGCAGTTGATAATTCGGTCAGCACTGGTCGAATTTTCAACCCATTTTGCCCAACTTTTTTACAGTGTACTCTCCAGCAATACCTCAAATGTTATATACCAATTCCTCGTCAGAATATCAACTCTGTACCCACCACCCAGACCGTGTTTTTATTCTATACTTCTTTCCTGACAAGGAATGCATCTTGAGCACCATGGACATCATCCACGATGGCTTCGGTTTCATGCTATCCTTCGGTGATCTGGCCTGGGTTCCCTTCACCTACACGCTGCAGGCCCGCTACCTGGTAGATCACCCAGAGAAGACCATGCCCAGTTACTGTCTCATGGCTGTCGTTGCTTTAGGATGTAAGCAAATATCCTATACCATCAACAGAAATGGTGGCAACACTTTCATATTTACATTCGGTTTGTTAAAGAGATCTCGTAAAATTGTTTAAGGAAAACTTGGGTTTAATTGCAGAATTAGGAAGGTATACCAATTCTCCTATCAGCAATTTCATTAAAAGGATCTTCAAAGAGATACAATAGACTGGGCAACAGATAAAAAAAAACTGCATATTTTTATGTTCTATGAATTTACAGTGGCGGATCCAGGATTTTTTTGCGCGGGGGGGGGGGGGGGGGGGTGTCATCAGCAAATCAATGCTGAAACATAGACAGGATTTTTTGTCCGGTCACTTAGCTCCCCAAAATCAATAGGTGGGGGGAGGGGAAGGGGGGGGGGTCGTACATACTTTCAATGGGGGCGCTGTTCAAATCAGACAATTATTAGCACTTATATTACAAGATTGTGTACAATACCTCCGTAACCAAGCTGGCTCTGTCTGTATTTTGTGCACACGTGTACATTAGTACCACTATAATTGTTTGGGTGTCAATGCGGAGGGGGGGGGGGGTGAATTTTTTTATGAATTTCTGAGGTAAAGAACATTTTGACAGAGCTGGCAGGGGGTTGACCTCCCCCCTTCCCAAACCCCTTCAACCCCAATCAGAAAAAAATCTTTAAAAATCGTTCAGTGTAAGTCCTTCAATTATTTCGCATGCGCTGGTTAAGTAGCATATCACGTTAGAAGTTCCACTTCTATTTGGAAAGCTTTCTTAAATGCCTTTATTTTTCTCTCTTTTTTCCACCAGTTCTTGGCTACTACATTTTCCGGGCTTCCAATTCTCAGAAGAACGCCTTCAGGCAGAATCCCCACGGGGACGGCGTCAAACGTATGTATTCAGCTCAAAATACGGCAAAAAAATGCTATAGGCCTACGGATACTTTAGGCAGAGTTGTAATGACTCGAGTCAATGACTCGACTCGGGTTCGACTCGAGTCTCAATTTAGTCTGGTTCCCAGACCAAAAGATTCTGACTATTCCCGATGAATCTTAGGTCCGGTAGCCTCCGGTAATACATTGTATTACAATTTACGTCACGTGACTAAAACGGGAGGAATTCCTCCTTTTCCCGAAAATTTCCGAAGTTTGCCGAAGTCGTTTCGTCGACAATCGGATAGCGCCCGAGTATTTCCGAGTGTATGATATAGGTTTAATTAACTGCTAAATGCTAATTAATTTTATTTTAAATGAGTTGATAATTAATATTCATTGCTTTCGTTTAGAAAACTTGAAATTCAACGACGATTTTGTGCATCAAATATACTCGGATCGTATGGGCGAACTTTTTGCTGTGTCATGTACAATTTTGAATTTGACGACCGTTACCGAGATTTTCCAAAACTCGGTCTTCATTCGGCTCCGCCTGCTAACAGTGCTATTTTGGTGCCTAATTTTGAAGATTCCAGATCAACATTAGTCAATGTTATCTTACAGAAACATCGAACTGTATTATCATAACTGTATGATATTACGAAGCAAGTGATTTATTTAAAAGTTTGATCAGAACATTAAAAGCTACAAGCGATAAAGCGAAATCGGAAACGAAGCCGAGCTTTGAAAAAGGGCCATCAATGGCGTCATGTTTATTTTTAGCCACGGAGGCTGCCTGACCTAAGATTCATCAGGAATAGTCAGAATCTTTTGGTCTGGGAACCAGACTAGTCTCAATTTTTGGTGACTTGATTCGACTCGAGTTACTATGAGCAAATGATTCGATCTCGACTCGAGTCTCTCATCAGAAGGTGACTCGAGTGGAAGGCTAATGAAACTTGGGCGAATTCCAAACCCTGTTTTCGAGTGACCCGCCAGTGTTCTCGGGTAGCGGATTACGAACGACGGCGCGGATCAAGGGGGCCGAGGGAATATATATCCTTAGAAGTTAATGAAAAAATCGAACCCCCCCCCGCTCTGACACTCCCCCCCCCCAAAAAAAAAATTTTAAAAATCAAAAACCGGAAACTACGAAAGCCCGTTAGTGGCAACATTTTTTATTTATTTATTTTTTTTTGGGGGGGGGGGGAGTTTTTTTGGGGGATGGGAAGTTTGGACTGGGGAAATTTTTTGGGGGGGGGGTTTGAATTTTTTTGGGGGGGGATTTTTTTTTGGACACTTTACAAAACGAAGGTTTGGTACGTGGGCATTGCCGTACTTCATGTCCATAATGTACAAGAACGATTTCTGGCCATAGCGGAAGTGCCGTTTCTTGGTCCATGGTTTCATAAAGGCCGCACAGTCTATTTTTAGTAACTTTTGGAAATTCCCTTTTTTTTCTTTGAATTTTTTTTGTAAGGTTTTTTTGGGGAAAGTTTTTATTTTTCGAAAAAAAAGTGTGTTTTTTGAATATTTTTTTTTGGAATTTTTTTTAGGGGGGGGGAATTTTTTTTTTTTGGGGGGGGGGTTTTTTTTTACCTACCTGCGGCGCCATTCCAAAACATTCAGATTCATCAGGAATAGTCAGAATTTTTTGGTCTGGGAACCAGACTACTCAGGGGAAGGGCGCCGCTGACAATCCTTCCCCCCCCCCCCATAAAAAAAAAAAGAATTAACAAAACAAAATTTAAAAAAAAAAATTAAAAAAAAAAAACATTCAAAAAAAAGGACAAAATCCAAAAGTTACTAAAAATAGACTGCGCGGCCTTGATGAACCCATGGACCAAGAAACGGCACTTCCGCTATGGCCTGAAATCGTTCTTGTACATTATGGACATGAAGTACGGTAATGCCCACGTACTAAAACTTCGTTTCGTAAAGTGTCAAAAAAAAATTAAAATTCAGAAAAAAAAATAATAATTTCCAAAAAAAAAAAAATAACTCCCCCCCCCCCAAAAAAAACTTTCCCCCAAAAAAGAGAAATGTTGGCACTAACGGGCTTTCGTACGAAACAGCAATAAAGATTGGCAAAGCCAACTTTTTTTTTATCGTTACTGCTCCTGCACTGCTCCTGCACTGAATGGGAGTCTGGATGGGTGGTAATTACCCTCGGCTTCACCTCGGGTAACTATCACCCATCCAGACTCCCACCGGTTTTAAATAGAGCGCTGTAATACCTCCCGAACACACATTTATTCCCTTAATATTAACGCAAGTTCCGCCATCTTTGTTCTTGAGGTTCTTCATCTACTCCCCAATAAGTGCGGAGTGAGAATCCTGTTAGCGAACGCCATTCGGTGTTGGTTCCCGGCATTCGGAACCCTGTTCTCGTGTTCATTCAACACGAGAACGGGGTTTCGAGTACGACGCCGTCAAGTCCCAAAACTGTGGAAAACATAATATTTGCCGTAAATTACTGTACAAAGTTATTAATGTTCGCACTCGTACTTCGCGTTACCGTCAAGTAGTGATCTTATCGTGTACAAATACACGCCACATCACGGACACTTTTAGTCCTTCCACGTGGTTTTGTAATGTAGCGCACAAACTATTTTTTTATGGAAACAGACTTTAAACGCATTTCCAAATTTTTGGTTTTATAATCGATTTCGGGCGATTGATGGAAATCCGAGTAAATTTGTGAAAAATAGAATAGATGTTTGATTATATAAACCTATTTTGGATATACGGTGTTTCATATCAATTTCTAAAATTACGCCATGAATAGTGGCAGTCATAATAAACGTTAATTGGTAGTTGGAACTAAACGTTGTTTTGATTAGTCACAATATTAAGTACATACACCTACATTTGTATTTAAATAATTCATGAAGTAGACTTTCGTTTTGTTTTAATATAGTTTTATTACCATAGCCCTGCCGAGCAGACTAAACCAAAGTTTTAAAAAAAAAATAGAGGATAAAAAAAATCAAAAAGTTATGTGCTAGTCAAGCTTTCAGGGATCGGTCTGAGCCATAACAATGCCCCAGCCGATCCCTTAGTTCTCTTCCGGGGTCTCGGCGTCCCCGACCAATACACACTTCCTTCCCTATCCATCCATATAACCCCGGAGGGCCAGGCACCATGTAAAAGCAAAGAGCTAAGGGAGGAACAGGGCGGCCCCTAAGCCCTGATCCTCCGAGTGGACCACATGCCCTGAACCTGTACGAAGGCGCCAACCTGGAACTCGCGGACAGTACCAGCAGCAGTGCTTACCGATTAAGCTAAGGTACCGTTGGTACTTTACGACGGGAAATAAACTTTCTTATAGTAAATGACTGAATGCGTACATTAAAAATCAAAAAGACACCAGCGGGATTCGAACCCGCGGCCCCGCCAACTGTGGACGGCGAATCTAACCACAAGGCTGTTCGGCCACCTTGGAGTTCTCTTCAAAAGCAATTTGTCTTAAATAATAGGCGAGGAAACGCACCGGGACGGTTACTGGTTGCAATTGCTTTGACTCCGTGGACGAAAACAAGTCGACATTTTGGAGGGGTAATGAGCCCACTGTGCTTGATCCGTTTGGAAGTTGTATACCGCAGCCATTGTGCGAAACGGCCGAGTATTATTAGGTGATCATTGCGTAACAATGAACGCTGCAATTGTGTATTTTAAAAAGCAGACGCGTAAATTTCTACTCTTTGTATCTGGACACGCACATATTCTCACCTCCCTCTACAACTACTTCGACTTCATGTTCATACAGATATCTTAAAAAGAGATTTTGTTAAAATTGGTTTGTGAACACTGTCTCTATCGCCTTATATCCAACATCTCAAAATCGGGCCTTAAACCTGTTCGCTGTTCCTAATACTATTAGTAATAGTCCTTCATCACTCAGCTGTAATCAAGCATCATTTTTGTGCGAATAAAGCTTGTAAAATAAAATTCTCAGGGCAAACAATTGTGCGTTCTCTTCCTACTGTTTAGTAAATAAAAAGCGCAGAACTGATTTAGAAATAGTAAAAGAGCTAAGTGGGTGGAAAAGTACAAATTAGTGAAAGCATCGTGAAATTCATTATAAACATCAAGCTGAATCATCTAAGTTAGAATGAGAAACTGCTTGTACTCAACTCGAAATATTAAATTGAGTAACATAATTGGGTCAGAAAAGATGTTTAATTGAATAAGTTTGAGTCTTGTAAACAAAGAAGTTATGCAAAGCATCGCGACGATGAAAGTTGAAGGAAGTCGCCTTGTTTTGCGTGGGGCCTCACACACTTTTTTAGCGGACTGTCGATCTCCGTTCTTCCCCTGTTACGGGTAAACCCCAGTAAAAATGCCAAAAATTCGTCCGCCGAGCTCATGAATGAAAGTTATATACTCAAATTATTCGATATTAGCGAGTTCTGAGCGCCATGCATGAAATTGGCGAATTGAAGACATGTGGCACTGTAGGCCTGGCCTGGACTTGGGGTTTCAAATTCTGAGCATTTTGGATGCAATGGGGTTCGAAAGTGGCGCCATTAGCCATGTTTTGGAAGGATCCTTTTTCAAATGGCTACTTTTCCAGTCTGGAAAATATCGTTCGTTTTAGGGGTGGTCTTCTTTAAGTGAGAATTTCTCAAAAGGTCATTGGTCAACCCAACAAAAATGGAAAGGAAAGTGAAAGACGACATGTTGATCATCATTTTTCTGCGCAGCCTGAACACCTGTGAGAGTTTTGAGTTTTGAGAGTGTTTTAACAAGTATTTTGAAGAATGGGTATTTATCACTGATGACTGGTCCTTTTTTTATACTGGGATGCACCATAAAGGATTATGCGCCTGCGATAGCGTTATCTATATTCATATTTTGTATACAAAGGTGTATGTTGCTCTGAAAAGAACCAGTTAAAGCGTTTTTTCGAGAAAAAATATGCTCCGTTCGTCTCCAGGATGTATCATATTTCTAAAAAGAGAATCATACACGCACATGGTGCTACGGAAAATTTAACTCGGTGTTCTCCAATATTTCAAACCTACAAGCCTAACATAATGAGAGAATAGTGAAGAAAATTAAATCACAGTTACACCTGTTAAGTGTTTGCCTGAATACCTAATCTTCGTTCTTTCCCATCTGCTTCCTCGTCTGTAGATCTTCAGAGTATCCCGACTGCTACCGGTAAGCGACTCTTAGTGTCCGGTTGGTGGGGGCTGGTCCGGCACCCTAACTACCTGGGTGATCTCATTCTGGCTCTGTCCTGGTCTTTGTACTGCGGTAAGTCATGGACCATAGTTTGTCTTTTGGAATTGAAAATTCTGGACTGAAATGCCCCCCCCCCCCCTTTTGGTGGGGGGGAGGGGGTGGTGGCGTCGATATCATACCCTGTTTTATATTTCTTCTGTAACTCAATTTTAATTAATAAAACAATTGCTATGTTTGTTTTTACGAAATGGATTATAAAATTCATGGCAACAAAAAATACTTCGAAACTTAGTAAAACTTCGACAAGAATTTTAGAAAATGTCTGGGAAAAAATAGTATAGTTTTGTTAAATTATCCTCAAAATTTTTTTTTTGGGGTGGGAAAGAAAGGGTAACCCTTACCCTCATACGATCTGCTTGCTTCCAACTTTTAAAGAATATTTTTATGAGGGAAAACAACAAGCCACAAAGTAAAATGTACAATCCATGCACATTTTAAGCTACCAACTAAGGTATACGTTCGTTTTTCACTGGAGAGATATCATTACATCAAAGTATAGTCTACCAGATTTTTAAAAAGTAATTGTAAATGCGATTTTTTTAAACTTCCCATCATACATAATTATCTTTCCTACTTTTGCATTCTCTACCTCAGGGTTTGACAGCATCATCCCGTACTTCTACCCAATCTACTTCACCGTCCTCCTCGTTCACCGCTGCCTCCGCGACGCGGCCATGTGCAAGGAGAAATACGGCGAGGCATGGGACCGCTACTGCCAGAAAGTGCCGTACAGAATTTTCCCTTACATATTTTAAGCTCACACTGAAACGAGGCTAGAAAAAAAACGATTCTAGAGCACACACAAGTCTTTTCAATTGATTTCGAATGGCCGAAAGGTCATTGAAGCAAGTCTAGTTCACTAGTTCAAGTAAGTAACCAGTCTAATTAAAGGGAATGTACAACATTTGCTTTTGCTGCAATTTTTTTTTTAGAAATAAATGGATTTGGTGAATTAGTATGTTATAGCAAATACCGTTAAATTGACTTTCTTCACGTTTTGGGCTCGGAGATGCTGGAAAATCCAAGAAAACCAGCAATGTTCTTGTAGTATGGTTCCCTGGCACATCTTAAGATGAAACGGAGCAAATTTTTAGACTTTGTAAGGTTAGATAATCAGTCTAGCTAGCTTGTACCCCTTCACAGGTGTGTAATCAATTGCAAAGAAAATGCGGAATAACTAAATATATGAACAATTAGGAGCAGTTCAAAAAAAAAAAGCCAGTTTCTCGGCCGACCAGCGTTGGAAACATACAAGTTTTCTTAAAAACATCAGCACACCAGGAGCCACGATTTTACAGGATGCTTTAGACTGCCATTTCCTAATAATCCAGTAAGATATTTCGTGATAATTTGATCATTTCGTTTTTGATGTTTGCAAATGATGTGTCTTCCCTTTAAGAAGTGGCAGTGCGGTCGTTGAGATACCTAACCAGTTTAATTCACAAGTGACAGTCAGTCAATGAGATGGGTAACCATCTTATTCACAAGTGACGGTAGGTAAAGACTTTAACAAGTCTAATTGACAAGTGACTGCCAGTCAGTCAGTCAGTCAGTCGAGTCGGTCGGGGAGTCGGGGAGTCAGTCAGTCAGTCGAGGTGCCAGTCAGTCAATCAGGTACAAAGATGATTATAGGCTGGCCCCTTTTGAACCAGCAAACATTAAAAGAGGGCAAACTCATTAAAGCTTAAAACAAATGCTTGTGACGAATTTTGAATAAGCTGTTGTGATATACAATTACATGGGAAACCATGTTCAAACTGTTGGACACTTCCACAAGGCGACTGCGATGACACTATGGCAATCTGTCATGATTATACGTTGTTTTACGTGCTTATCAAATTAATGATATTATTATCTAACTTATGAATGATATTTTGTTTTAAAAGCTGAAGTAAAGACCGTTTGTTAAAGTTAGGCCTACATAGGATCATTTGCATTTGATGCTTTTTGAAGCAAAACAAATGTTTATAATTTTAAGTAGAATGCATGACAACTATTAAACACGTTGAAGTTTCAGCCTTGTGGATACTATATGATATTTTAAGAGGGAACAGGAAAACAGTGTGCACAGTTTTTTTTTGTGGTCTTGTAACTGGAATACTGGATTCCGTTGCTTATGCACGTTACCACCTTGAAAACACCTTCAGTGTTGGTTTTCTTTCAAACGGTACCATGGCTTTAAACACAAACTTTAAGAAAGAAAAAACGAACTTTCTTTACCAATCTGACCTTTAAACAGAACCGAATAATGGCTGACATAGATGTTGTCGTATACATTGTTTAAATTCAATTTTTGAATCAAACATAAATCTTGTTTAAATCACAATAAACGTTAGATTAAATATTCAAAAGCTTCACCCAAGTATTAATATGATTTTTTTAAAGCAAAATAAGGATTGTATTGGTCGTCTGCCATTCTTCTTTGGCGTTCGTTCACGTATTCCCAACAAAAAAACCTAAAACGTAGATATTTCTTGTATGTGATTTTGATAGAAAAAGAAAAGTTATGACGAGCGTTTTTATGAGGTTCATCATTATATTGCATTAAAAAATGTACGGAATTGTGTGATTTACATTTTTGTTTCAAGTCATAACCTGTCGCAAAACAATAAAGATCGTCTTCTTTGAAAAGTGCTGAAAGTGTACAGGAAAATATGGTCTTGTTTTCCTTCTTTATTTGGGACAACATTCATGAGATGTTTACGTTGACTCAGCCATAACGGTCCCTGCGACTCATTGTGGGATAACCTCCGCACGGTGACGTCATCCACCTTCACCCACTCAGTCCATAAATGGAAAGTACACCCCTTTGTTGCCTTCTTCAAAGCCAGCTGCTGCCCCTATTGTCATGCAAAACACGGACGGAATATTTCGGCTTTGGAACTCACCCACCTGTGTCAGGTGAGGGGCCAATATCACTGCGCATACCAATGCATTGTGATGTGAGATCGCACTGTGTGTTTGTTGTATACATTGTACGTAATCAGTATATACATTGTAATGGTGAAATGACTCATATGTGGACCATTGGTGGATTGCAGTGATAGAAGAATTTACCAGACGATTTCAGGGATTATTTGGAATTTAGAAGCCAATGGAATATAACCGTCAGCTGGTCTGATAATACAGAAGGACATTAGAGAAAACTGTACGATATAGGCTTGAATCCGTCAACGTTTAACCGAGGCACAAGGCAGTACGCAGCTACCAATACACAGTACACTACTACAGGTAAGGTTTTTATTCAAGTAAAATTATAATTATGAAACACTACATTATGGTAACTTTCAAGGGCGGATCAAAAGTGGGAGTCACTCCTAACATTTTCCCAATAAGACAAACATGATAAAGTAATCAAGTCTCGTGTGTGATTCTGTGGTTCTGAAGAAAAAAAAGAACCAGTTTGGTAACTCGACGTTTCGAACAGCATCTATTCGTCCTCAGGAAACTGCCAGTGGTGCCTTCCCACCATGCAAACCTTAAGTATTATCGACTTATACATTACTGAAATTATCTGCACACGAATTTTGCCTCTATGCCATATTCTGCTCTTATGTAGGTTATTTTCCATTTTTAAACTCAGTCATTTTGTCGTTTCGAGAAGAAATGATTTCAATTTAATGCAATTATATGGAAGGCACAAATTATATCGCGAATAGCAATCATAGCTGAATTAAACACGTGATATACAATTGAATAAACTAAGAAATTACTTAAAATACCACTTATGTTACACATAAGAAATCGAAAACTAAATTTTATCAGGTTCAAACAAAAAATTAAGCGATGGTTGGAACAGATAAAATGTTATTAAGTGCGAATTTCGTCGCCGGTAGAACGACCGGACTATGTAAGCCTAACATTAAACAAAGACGTAACGGGGAAAAACAAATTACGCAAAGTGCCTTATAATAAATCTTTCAAAATAAATTATCTGTAGTCCTTTTTTATAGTTCGTGACACACAAAAGTATTTATATTGAATAGATTACGTTCGTTTGCTGTTTTGGTATCTGTATCTGTATCTCATGGTCGGTAAAGCATCTCAGGGGAAACATCACACCACCAACTTAGAGAAGACAATGAGAAGAAATTACAATATCAAATCAAAACAAGCATTTTATACACAATTGACATCAAAGTATAACTGTGTGCGCAATTGACATCAAAGTATATATGTATACAAGATTGACATCAAAGTATACACTGTATACACAATTGACATCAAAGTATACACTGTAGGCCCCTATACGCAATTGACATCAAACTATACATGTACTTGTATAAGCAATTGACATCAAAGTATACATTGTATAGGCAATCGACATCAAAGTGCATGTACACGCAATTGACATCTACGTATACATTGATTGACATCAAAGTATACATGTATACAAGATTGACATCAAAGTATACACTGTATACGCAATTGAAATCAAACTATACATGTACTTGTATAAGCAATTGACATCAAAGTATACATTGTATAGGCAATAGACATCAAAGTGCATGTATACGCAATTGACATCTACGTAAACATTGATTGACATCAAAGTATACATGTATACGCAATTGACATCAAAGCGTACATTGTATACGCAATTGACATCAAAGTATACATGTATATACGCAACATTTATAATTTAAATTCAACAAATCTGAAATAAATTTAACGAATTAGTCCCAAACCAAATACCCGCACTGAAGCAATTATGTTCTTCCCATAATAACGATATATTATAGTACACACCCTTCAGTTACCAATGCAGAAGCGACCAGTAAAAAATGAATCATCGTTCCGTTATTTGAATAAAATCCTGTGCACCTGCTTCTATTTCCGTAATGATGTCGTGATCAATTCTTCACGTTGTTTGTGCATATTATTATCGCCACATATTAAAAAAAAAGTGAGGCATACATAGTTTTTTCTTGTTTTCTTATTTGTTTTCTCGGATTTAAAAGTGAACACGTACAGCATGCAACTTTCAAAATCGATTGTAGTTTTAGGTGGAACTGGGCGTGGGTTTATCCTCTCGGCATTTGAACAGTCATCGTCGCGTCACTGCAGTCCGCAATGCTGAAGGAAACTTAAGTCTTTTTTATGTGCTTTGAAAAGTGAATTATTCACATCGGGAATATGATAAGTGGCGAACGACAAGTGAAAGTTGTGTACTCCTGTTGCTTAAATTCCAATGATACATGGAATTACATTATTAATATCAAATTGTTCCTATTCAGATTTTAATTTGTGCATTTCACATCGAATAATGCGTTTATTGATTTGGCATAAAAGAGCAGCGTTATAAATATGACTTTCCGCCATGTATAAACGTGAACACCATCTGTCACAAACGTTCACTGTAAAGGGGTACTTTCGAGAGAATGCGCCCATTTTGGGCTCGAAACGCATTATCAAGAAATGATAATAGAAATAGTAGAGTACGAAAGCTCGCACAACTATATACCTTCGTAATATGTTGAAATAACCCAAGTAAACAATATTATTGATAAAACGTGAAATCTGGCTAAATATGCACTTTAATTCAGGAATTGGCTATGTACATATAAGTTTGTTAAACGAGATATATGCATGACGGGGCTTTTCGTCTTAAAGGTATAGTCCATCATTTGTAATTAGTGCATTTTGTTCGTTTGAAGCAACAAAAGTGTTCAAAATCTAATGAAGGATTCTGAGCAACTAACCTGATGAAGTTTCAGCTAAGCTTCAGCTGTACATTCCGAGAAAAGCAGCATTCTAAGATCTCAATTTCAAATCAAAAGTTACTGAATCATGTTTTGAATTGTTTTGAATTGCAGCTATACGCGGCTTCGCGCACTGATCCGACGAATTATAACAACCGCGCGCGCGTGTGCGTCGTTCCAATACTTGTGCGCGCTGCGCTGAATAACAAAACGAACTACTAATTTAAATTTTCCTACGGTGCTTCTTAAGAATCACCGTTGGAAATGCCTTCTTTCGTTGATTACTTCAAAATGACAGCTTCCCAGAAAGAATAATTTCACAGGGAGTTTAGTTCCCTTACTATCTTTCAACCAAGTTTGTTTTTCAACAGTAATTACGCCAGTTACTTTTCGGATGGCTGCAAATGATGGACTATAGCTTTAAATCGTGATAACTATGACGTAAAGAATTCTGCAGAAGGGTTAATTCTGCAGAAGGGTTAATAAAAAAAAGAAACACAAATGGCAGGACCATTTTTGTGTGTGAAGTTCTGCATGTAGCACTTTCAAAATCTAGGATATGAAAGCCCCATTAATAAGCTTTACAAGAATCATTCAAATCACTCATGTACCTTTAAAGTTACGAGATTATAAACAACCACTGTTACGGTTCTGTCCATGCACGGATCACCTAAAAAGGTAAGCGTTCTTTCAGCAAAACGAAAACAATTCACATAGGGATCACGTGAATTGTTTTCGTTTTGCTGAAAGAATACTTACTTTTTTGTGATCCGTGGACAGAACTTTAAAACAGTGTTTGTGTTTAAAATTCCGTAACTTTAAAAACCCAAATCCTTTGTTCCATATGATTTCATCAACTGTGGGTATGTTTGTCGTTGGCGGGCACTGGAGGTATATACCAATCTGGGCACGCTATCATTTCTATCACGATGGCCCCCTTCAATGGCGAAAGCATTGTGCTAGCTATTTTTCAAATAATTCTACAATAGCTTTCGCCATTGAGCGGCGCCTCGTGTGTGTGTTCTGTGATCACGTGCCCGGATTGGCCTTTATATACAAAAGTTATTCATAGATTATTGTATTATTGTTTTAACGCATGCATTGGTGTTTCTGATTGGTTTTAATATTATGTGAACATCCAATTTAGCGCAAGTCCCTAATTTTCCCCCTTCCAATTGAAGCCAACCTTTCAAGGGTTATATTATTTATTTATAAGAAAAAGGACTCGTCGATATTTTATACCAGTGTAACCTAGTGAGATACAACAAAATAATCCATTTCAACTGCTTTATTGGTTTTTAAACTTCTCCTTTCAGAACAAAATGAAGTACAATCAACTCTTGATCATCATTATTTCGAGCTCTCTCGCGCATCGAACTTACGGTAAGTACCGGTAAAACAGAAACCAGCGTTAAATGTTAACTGTATTTATAACTTGTAAGAAAAAATGCAGCCTATCCCCCATAGATACAGCCTATCCCCCATCGCGTCGTGCCGACGCGATGTCCTTCACACCTGGGGGGGGGGGGGGGCTAATCGTCCTTATTGGCAGCAAAAGCTGAATTGCGAAGGACGAAGCATGGAGGTAGGATAGGAACTAGCAGGAGGCATGTAACAGCGCCTTAATATATCCGCCATACGACCCATTTCTGACCGGGAGCACAGCCATATCGAAAGTGTTGAGTTTTGGGAAGGGAGGAAAACCGGAGAAAACCCTCGTGGCATTGGAGAAAATTAACGAACAACTCTACTCACTACGACCTGAGCCAGGAATCGAACCCGGGCCATAGCAGTGAGGAAAGGCGAGCACTTTACGCACTGCACCACTCATAAATGCCACCCGTCGCGCCGCCTCTCACACCTTGTCGACAATGCGACGCCATGACGAGACGTAGCCGTCGCACCAGTTCGTTGGGAGTTGATGAGGTAACGCGATTTTCCGTTTTTGGAACTTCATAGATGAGGGCACCTGCCGAATAGCTTGTCTGTTATCGGAATGTTTGGGGGGGGGGGGTAAGGAACACTCCAAATTTCACCCATATAATGTAGGTGCATGATCTGCGAAACACGACGACCACGTGCTCCTGATAGCCCCTAGCTTTTAATTTTGTCCATAGCCGAAGTCCATACACAGGTCCCACAGTACAGTATGTACAGTACTGAAATAAACTATTATTTTCCCGCCCTGTTGTTGCCCGATACTCAGCATACGGGCTCAATATAATTACTAAACAAACACCCAAGCATTCAAGCAACTCCCCGAGTTATCTCTTAGGTAACAATTTCCACTTAAATTTCGTCTTGAAGTTTAATGTTCGTCCTTTCGTGAAATACCACAATTAAGTGAGAGGCAAATTTCACTGAAAGGAGAAATTGGGGAGTTGCAATTTTTGTGGGGAAAAAATGTAACCCTATTGAGACTGTACAACGTGAGCCCACTCAGGAGTTTCTACCGTAGCGGACAAAATCTGTCGGGAGATCTCCAATTAAGTGTCTCTCAGAGTTCTTTCGTCAAGTTTGTCTGGCCTCTGAAATTTCCAAAGCCTGGATTATCCTCTCTCCATTCCTCTGTGGTGCTCTTGTCTCTATCTGCAGCGGTCACTGGCAATCTCTTCCAAACCTCTCGAAGCCCATGTCCAGCACCTTCATGTCTCATTTGCAGACATCACAAAAACGGAGACTCGGGGGGGGGGGGGGTGGGGGTGGGGGAGCGCCCAGTTACTCTTTTGCGAGAGCGGAGCTCGCCATAGAGGACATCCTTGGGAAACATCCAATCCGCCATGCAGTGAACGTGGTCAAACCGTTCGGCCAAGACCCAAGCGTGCTTGCAGCCATGGCATCCCTTCACTTTCTCAGTCAAATAGGGCCCTATGCATTTTCAACCGTAATTTTATCAATTCTGCCCTCGGATGGAAGCCCCAAAACCAGGGAGTTGTTCCTCGGCTACATTTACACAATATCATGCCACCGTTTTTTTAAAGCCAAACGGTCTCCTTCTTAAAAAAAAATGCTGTAACCATGTCTCCAGGACACCTTGTGCTGGCGGGGCTTGGTCTGGAAGAAGGCATTGGCAATGCCTGTGGAGCGTGCATATAGTTCAAGGAGTCAGTGCCTGTTTTGTTCCTCTTGCCAACACCAAACTGTCTAAGGCAGGGGGACATGGAGTTATTAGCACCCACTCCTGTGTTAAAGTCACGCAGCAGCAGAAGTTGCACCTCTTAACTTAGCTAGGCTTATAACTTTTGCTTCCCGTGCTGTGCCATCCCGCAGTCCTAGTGCCATGATAATTATGTGGAGGACCAGTTGTTTCCCATGCAGCAGGTTTTCCATACTTCAGATCCCCCTCTCCACGCAGCCGATTGGTCAAAGCAAAAGGCAGACGCAAGTACTACTTGGCGCCAGTTGCGTCACAGGAGATGCCAGGAGGAAGGTGCTGAGAACAAACCAGGTCTTCTCCGACTCAGGATTTCGATCTGGGTTTACTCCCCATAGCCTTTCCTTCAAGAGGGTTGGCCACAAGGGAACAGAGGTTGTAGTTCGGTGTTTTCCTTCACCTGGATGGGTAGTATACTAAAAGACTGACGATCCCAACTGCCCATGGAATGATTGTTACCTCTTACTGAGCTGACAGGAGTGTGCTACCTTAAGTCTGACCTCTAGCCTTCGACTTGTCTGACTCTTTTACAAAAGGACTTCTGTCAGTGTCAGCATCGCTCTCTCAGGGTCTCACAAGAGGTACACAAACTCCTGTACAGGTAGTAGTCAAGAAAAAGGGTTAGACAGTGATCATAGAGAAGCCTTGTGCAGAATATCAGGTTGAATAATGCCGTTGAAAAAGACTATTTTTCAGTACATTTTTTTCAGACGTGTAACGTCGGCCTGGTACTATAAGGACATGAGTGCAGTTGACTGGCCCTAGGCTAGACCTGGGGCTAGTATTAAACTCTAATATGGGTCTATATAATGTATTTCCTGTGGATGATCACTATGTAAGACTGATATATAGCTATGTGTTTGTACATTTTGATTGCAGCTACCTATTGTACATCCGATCCATGTGAGAATGGAGGCACATGCTTCACTGGTGAAAGCTCCTATCTGTGTGTTTGCCCCACAAGATATACCGGCCAAAACTGTGAGACGTATATAGATGAAAGTAAGTATCAAAAAAAGGCACTTTCTGAAAGTTGTGCATTCAAAAGCAGTAAGGTAGGCTAACTCTGTAAACCAAGGTGGGCAAGCTGTCAGTGACCAAAAGCATTGTGCTAGCTGTTGTTGAGATAATATGTCACAGGATAGTTGCTTTGTACAATGGTTTCTCAATGCTTTCGCCATGGAAGGAGGTCTCGCAATTGTCACACCCCAAGGGTCCATCCCAACTTCCGTTGGCATGGTCCCAACTTAACTTGGGACCAATGGTATATAGTTGGGGGTGTAACATAGCTATTGGAGTGTCCTTCTTTTGTCTTCTCAACACATTTACATGGATGTATTCGAAAAAGAGAATTTTCTATGGACTTGAACTAAAAATACAACACTGTTCCCTAACTTACTTAGGTATAAGCTTATTTCATGGATATTAATATCAGTCGCAAAAATGTTTTCTAATTACTATAATTTTTTTTTGCTTCTATAACTTGTAAGATAACATAATTTTATCTCAGAAAAAAGGAAATTGGCAAATAAAAGTCAACTTTTACTTGAAAATGAATAAAACTGCTGCAACTACTTGCTGACTGGATTTGCCTGAAATATTCAGATCAACAAAATTATACGGCCTATGTTTCGATCCTAGCAGAGCCTTCGTCAAAGGCAAAATGGCAGGGGTAAAGGCAAAATGACAGGGGTACAGACACAGACAAGTGTGGGACACACAGCCATGCATGGGTGGATGGTTGTGTGTCCCTTTCTGTACTTTGTCATTTCGCCTTTGAAAAAGGTTCTGGTAGGAAGTTAGGCCGTCTTATTTTGTTTGAGATAAGTATTACTTGTTAATCATCTTCAAGCTATTCGACTTTGACTAAATGTATCCATATAATTGCCTTGTGGACTTTAAGAATGATAACTGAAATATTTACAATTTTCTTGGTTTTACAGTCTTGATTGTTTCCTTTTATTAAAAGCTGATTACAGCACAACTGGTAGGAAGTTAGGCCGTCTTATTTTGTTTGATTTAATTATTACTTGTTAATCATCTTCAAGATATTCGGGCTTTGACTAAATGTATTAATACAATTGCCTTGTGGACTTTAAGAATGATAACTGAAATATTTACAATTTTCTTGGTTTTACAGTCTTGATTATTTCCTTTTATTCAAAGCTGATTACAGCACAACTCCTTGCACATCTAGCACGTGCTACAATGGGGGAATCTGCTACACTGGTCCCAATGGGTCTTACTACTGCAAGTGTGCCAGTGGTTTCGGGGGGACCAACTGCGAAATAGCAGAGGACACAGTCGTCGCCAATACTACAGGTTAGTGTTGAGATTACAGCACTTAATATCCTCGCACAATGTTCATCTCAATAGTGCTGTGCATTTTGGAATACTTTAGTATTGGATTATTCCAACTTGGTCTTGATCAAATATCAATATTCAATTTCGAAATGTACTGTTCAAGTTACATATGCGCCAGTCTAAATTTCTAGCCACCGATTGGGATTTCTGTGTGTGCCGAACTTGTCAAAAAATTGACAAAGAGCTTATCAAAATAGTATAAAGAAAAGGTAGCTGTGGCTAATATTTGACCAAGTTTAAAGAAGATATGTTCTAATATTCAACATGGGAGCTAGCTCTCAATCATGCGCAATAATGGCTTTTAACAAAGTGGCTTTTTAAGTGTGGCAGTTTACAAACAATAAAACCACACAAGTTTATTAAGTTTTTCATCATCTTTTTGAGATAATTAAATAAGCGAGTTTGGTATTCCAAAAAAGTCTGGTGCACAGCAAGATTCGAAGATTTTTTCGGGATAACAGTGGAAAACAAGGCTATTTGGGACATGGTAACCAAATCTGCATTCTGTGCAATTTTTCGTGCAATGGAAAAGAGATGGAACTTTCGTTCAAAAAAGTTTTGATACACAAGAAACATAAAACAACCTTCGCTGTCCAAAGGATTTTTGCAAATGTTGTACTTCAGAACACGGTGATCTCTTCAATTTTGCTGGTACCCCACTATGCTTTTGCATGCATTCGATGAAATGTTTATCCCGAAAGAAAAATCGGCAAATCTTGATGTGCACGTGTGCAGTTGGAATACCGAACTGGCTTATTAAGAAATACTATTTGAATATTCGGTTGATGATTCAATGTTCGGTACATATGGCACAATCCTTTGTCTCACTGCCTGAATTTGGCACTAACTCCACATTGTAAGTGTCAATCATCTAGGTGTCTCTTTCACATCTCTGTTGTGGAGTCCATAGCATAAAATAAGACATGCATTGGCCAATCTAAAGAGAAGGGAATACATGTACATAGCAAACGAGTTCAATTGAAAAGTTTATTTCCATAAAAAGCGACATATTCATTTGAAAAAGGGAAAATTGTGCACGGTTGTGAAAAACACAGTAAAACTTCATTAATTTTTTGCCTTATTGTGCTCTTAAGTTGTGTTTAAGTATATAACAGCCGTCGAAATTGCTTTTGGGCACCTAGAAGAGAACAGGATTCGAAAAGGGAACAAAATGGCGTATATCACATTTCGGAAATTAGTTCCCCAATTTATCTTATAATACTTCAAACTTGATAATTCTTGTAAACATTAGAAATCCCAAATCAAATGTGTGCCCATGCTTGCGTCCCCATACACATTTTGCTTCATGGATAGTAGGGTCATTCTATAAGTTTTGGGTCCACTTTTTTTCCTGTCCCTGTTACACCTGACATAGGTGATTTTATGATGCACTCCTTAATGTAGTTGCCCTCCAAGAGTGATATTGAATAGCAAACAAACAAATAATAAATTGTTTAAAGTCATTCTTGAGTGGCAAATTACAAAGTACCAAGGTATCAGGGACAGGAACAGGAAAAATGTCACACTTTGGACCCCAAATTGATAAAATGACCCAAGAGCGAGTGAGCTTGGTCATCATAAAATCATTCTTTCTGTTTTTTTCCTTTAGACCCTGGTAGTGTAACAAGCTGTACATCGAGCACCTGTCACAACGGGGCCACGTGCTACACGGGCATATCCTCCAATTCTTTCTTCTGTCTGTGTCCCAGTGGCTATGCTGGTGTACAATGTGACAGAGTGACTGCAACAGTACCACCTCTTGCCGTCCGTAAGTTTTTATGGGGCCGGACTTATGAGGCGTCGGACCTATGAGGCGTAGGACCTATGAGGTGCAATGAATAAATGTTATGTCTCATAAATCCGACGCCTCATAAGTCTGAAATTTTGGACTGATGAGGCGTTGGACCTATGAGGTGGCAGACTAATGAGCGGACCCCATTTTTAGTTACTGATCATACTCCTTAAAGATTAAAATAGAAGATAGCTTGACAGGTTTGCCTTAAAATTGTAATTTCTGTATACACTTACTTTCAATTTCATTTTATGCAAGCCAGTGCAGAACTGGCTGCAGCCCAGCAGACATATATCCACCAGTATTTGTTGGTTTCTTCTAATGCCCCAAAAAGAAATTGGACTATGGTTTGTTTTGGATTGTAGCCCTTCTATCCAGCTTCAGTTGTAGATATTTCTAATGCCAAATTGAACAGCCTATACAATGCGCCAGCTGAGCCTAGCTAACAGGCATAAAAGTATAATGTACATATTAGTATCAGTATCAGGCAACCACCAAAAGGCCTGACTGAGAAAGTGCAATATTAGAGAGGTAAAGTCTGTGAAGCAGTGTACAGGTGTGCCAAGGATTCCTTTTAAGGAATTCTTTGTTTCATTACCAGAAAATGATAATAATAATAAGCTAGGTATAATTTTTTAATTGACTGCCAATCACATCGGCATAATTCTCTTCACATACATGTATACTGTTTGTCTGCTCATCTCTATGATTTCCTGGAATTCCATGCTGCAACTGACACTTTTTTATCTCGTTATTGCAGGTTATTGTGCTTCGGAACCTTGTGAAAATAATGGGACGTGTTATACAGGACAGTCTGGGTACATCTGCCTTTGCTTAGCCGGCTTTACTGGACAGCACTGTGAGACAAAACGTAAGTGGTAATGAAAACAAAAGAAGAAAAATACAACTAGAAAACAAAAATGAGATTTTGTATAAAACTTGAGGAAGGAACAGGGTGAAAGTTGGAAAAAAATCACTCGGGTGGGACTCGAACCCACAACCTCCTGCTTTCTAGTGCAGACGTCTTACCACTCGACCACCGAGCTTGTGGGATCGGTTGTCTGGTTTGAATGTGATGGAAAAATGGTCCTTGTGCTAGCAAGGCACTTTACCATTATTGCTTCGTCATTCGGATGGGACGTAAAGCCGTAGGTCCCGTGTGTTGTGTAATGCACATTAAAGAACCCAGTAACACTTATCGCTAAGAGAAGGGGTTTGCCCTGGTGTTTCTGGCACTTGGCTGCAATATGCACCGCAGCACCTTGTATACCCTTTATAAAGGTGCTACATAATGGGTCTCATATTTTTCATAAACTTTATTTACCTTAAAATAGACATAATTACCAGTGCCTTGAGTACCTTATTGTTGGTAGATACGTGCGCTATATAAGACTCAGGTATTATTATGTGTAGGTCACACAACAATGACGATTGAAATCCAGTCCGGTTTTCTTCTTTTTCCCCCATCTTCTAGTTTTGTGTAATTCCAACCCGTGTCAAAATGGCGGTACATGTTTCACAGGCCAATCCAGCTACAAGTGTGTCTGCCCCGGTAGTTTCACCGGGGAAGATTGTGAGACTCCAGGTACGTAAAATTACCAATGTGATCAAATGAAGTAAAATTTTTGAGACAGGGCTAGAACTCAAGGGGTAAAAACTACATTGATCGAACCTTGTCATGATTGAAAAAGACACAAAGAGTTAGAATTTGAAAATGAATAAAACTGCTGCACACTGTTTATTGATAGGATTTACCTAAAATGGTTTTAAGGCAGTTAGGGCATGGCATCACATTGCATTAAGGGCGCTGTTTACGATACAAATGTACATCTTATGCAAACTGGCGCGCTTACAATTCGTCAATTTACGGTGCATTTACATCTTTTGTGCCGTTCGATCTCCGTTTTTGCAGTGCTGTTTAATACATTATGGCTGTTCGAAAGATAGAAAATAGCGTTAAAATCATGACTTTTTGTTTTTGACCACAAAAATCTGAGGGAGGGGGGGGGGATGATCATATGGCCCATCCACCCCGGGTCAACACATTGGGGACATATGTCCTCCCTATCCCCCCCCCCCCCCATATCAACCCTATCCCATCCGCTGTGACCCGGGTTCGAATCCCGCCCAGGCCAACATGTGGATTGGGTTTATGTAGATTATTAAACTTTAAGGCATTTCATATTTGCCAATTATGCCTGCAGTTGTAGATTGGTGTGATTGACATGATAAATCATCAATGATTGGCATGATAAATAGTGGGCAGTCATTGAAAACCTTAAAACCTAACTACCCCGAATGTAATCAAGTATTGCAGTGCCTAAACGGTTTTGTAAATTAAATGGGTTTGAAACCATTGATAAATATTTATGTTATGGAGCCTATATACTATGTTTAACTCAAAGGAAGATTGCATGATAGAAGCCTGTCTCATTTTTATTTTTCAGGTTTTGTTTAAACATTTTGGAAAATTTGTAAACGGATATAGAATTGTTTTCATTTCAGCATTTAGACGTGTAAACATCACATCATTGGTTATTTGTGACTGATTTTTTTTTTCTTCTTTCAGCGAGTTGCACTGATGTTCCTTGTGAGAATGGGGGTTCTTGCACTCCAGTTGGTGGGAACACAGCAGACATGGTGTGCACCTGTCCAAATGATTTCTATGGTGTGCAGTGTGAGCATCATGTTGGTGAGTGCAAGACACTGGGGCACATTTCTTTCTACCAAATTGAAAATGTTAATCACATATTTTGACATTTATAATGTGAGTTAGTTAAGACAGCTTTTCTGAAGAAAAAAAATCCCTCCCAAAAAAAGGGTTTGAACCTGCAACCTCAGGATTGCTGTTCCAGTGCTCTACCAACTGAGCTATCCAGCCCTGGGGGTGGGGGTGGGGGGGGGGGGGGTGCTCATACCATACTTTCAATGGGGGGGTTCGAATCCAACGATTATTAACACTATATTACAAAATAGTTTACAAATACCCCTAACTCCGCTGGCTCTATCCGTATTTTGTGCACAGGCAGACATTATTGCCAGTATAATTTTTTTGGGTGTCAAAGCAGGGGGGGGGGGTTTGCATTATTTTTAAGGAATTTCTATAAAAAAAAATTGACAGAGCTGTTTTTTTTTTTTTTTTTGAAACACCCCCCCCCCCCTCCATCCGCGCCTGATGCCTGAAGTCACGATGCTAGCAACAATTAAACTGCAAACCTGGGAAATAGCAAATTGGGATTTCTGAGAAACGATATGCCTTTTTATTACAAATTTTCAAATCTGACTAAGTGTACCTAGTCAGTTTTCCTTTGTTTATTTGAAATAAATGCGTTTGTGGATGAATATCAGTGATTCAAATTTCCAAAGGAATCTCATATGGTTCCGTGACAGGAAATGGCTTTTTCATCTTGATCATTATGTAAATTAGCCATCAAGCAACCTCATAAAAAAGTACAACAAATTTAAATTCCCATTGATTTTGTCATCAAATGTTGAACCTTTAAGCACTTGTATTACATTGTATTTACTCCTCAATAAAATAAATAAAGCCATAGCGTGCGAGGCGATTTGAGGCCTGAGGCGGCATGAGGAGTAACAGGCAGGACTGTGTGGGGCAGCATGAGGGCGAATGGGTTTAAATTCTTCGTCATATTTTAAAAACTATGGTATACAAATAATGAATGTTTGTGAGTGCAATGGTAAGAATAATTTCATGAGGTGACAGATGAAATGTTCCATTGGAACATTTCATCTGTCACTGAATGAAATTATTCGTTCCATTGCACGAACGTGAAATATTCATTATTTGTTTTATATAACACCTGAAAAAAATCCTTGTCATCTGATTGGTTGACTTTTAATAGCCAATTTATTCAGGTTAAAACTGTTTAAAAGTTTGACAAGTTCATCATATTTATATTAATACAAACTGTTCAACAGGTTGAGAACAATCATATTAAATTTATCTCGATTTAAAACAGCACCACCACCAGCAGCAGTGACACCGTGCAATGGAAGTTCTATTCAGCATGCAATAGAACTTCCATTGCACTGTGCGCTGCGCGCCACGCGCGCGCAGTGTGTTTGTATGAATAATTCAATGACATGTGATCAACGATCCACCAATCAGATGACAGGGATTTATTCAGGTGTTGTATAATACCAGATAAAAATGCCATTATTTCACAGTCTTCTATGCCTTTCAATTGTCTAAGCATGAACAAATTGGACTGTTTTCTGCAGATATTTGCTCCTCTAGCAGCCCATGTCTGAATGGAGGAACTTGCTTCACATCGAGCCAGAACCAGACAGCATTTATCTGTTCTTGTCTTAGTGGATTTGAGGGAAACCTGTGTGAACGTTCAAGTAAGTCTCTGCCTGTTCAGACTGATGGCATACTTTCTTGGCTTTGCCTACTGTATGAACACTGTGTAAAAACAGTAGAAGCTGCTTTTTGACGGGGGATGCCCGATAGTCTGAAGGTCCGATAGTCCAAAGGTTCGATAGTCCAAATACACAAAATTTCCATAAGAGGGGGTTCGTTAGACCGAAAATGAAATAAGGTTTGTTAATCCAAACATTTGATGCAATAGTCCCAAGGTTCATTAATCTGAAGGTTCGTTAGTCCGAAGGTTCATTTATCCGAATTGACAATAAGGTTCAATAGTCCGAATCGACAATAAGGTCCGATAGTCCTAATCAACAGTAAGGTCCGATAGTCCGAAGTGTCATACTGACGAACTGTATTGCCCATTCGGACTATCGAACCCTACCGTATATTCGGACTATCGAACCTTATCATCTATTCGGACTATTGAATCTTATTGTCGATTTGGCCTATCGAACCCTATCATCTATTTGGACTATATCAAACCTTCGGATTTATTAACCTTATTCTATTTTCGGACTAATGGGCCCTTCGGACTATCGAGCCTTCGGATTATCGAACTTTCGGACTATTGAATCTTCGCACTAATGAACCTTCGGACTAATGACCCCTTAGGACTAAAGAACCTTCAGACTGTTGAACCTTCGGACCATCGGGACTTGCACTGTCTATAATGTGTAGGTCCACCAGAAGATAACGTTTATGAGTCTTTATAGAGAGACGACGATTTCACATGATGCGGGTACTTTTTTCAATAACACAAAAAAAACGGGCACAGTTGCCCAAGCCAGATATTCGGGAATTTTTCGGGTCGGTTTGGTTTCAGGTCAGTTAATTTTGCTTACATTTTTTAGTCGGATCAGAATGTCGGATTAGGGGAGTTTAGATTGGTTTCGGTTCGGAGTCGGTTTATAGCTATAATAATTCGGGTTGGTTTGGCTTGGTCAACCCAACCTGATGTACAACATTAGCGCGCACTGTACTGGTTCGCGTGCATATGGCATGACTTGTCCTCGGGTTTTCAGTGGGATATAGTCTACTACCGCACTACGCATGCATATTTAACTGTGTGTAAAACCTCACATGCCACATGCTTGGTTAACAGCAAAACTAGCAGCTGACACGTGATGGTTAGTAGACTAGTGCGGAGAACTCGGCTCTCGATCATGAATGTGTATGAGGTAAAGTAACATTGAGGTATAGTAACACGTACAAGTGTATCAATTGTGATTCCAGTTTGAGCTTGTTGTTAACCACGTGCCTGTTTTCCCCATAGATCCATGTGCGAATAACCCCTGCCTCAACGGTGGCGTATGCTCGCATCCGTTAGACCCAACCAACGACATGATCATGTGTCAGTGCTCCAACGGCTTTGTTGGTCAGCGATGCGAGATTATGGACACTGGTGAGTTGGCCAATCCTCATTGATAATTTCGTGTCAAGATTGAGGACTTGTCATTTTTAAGGGATGAGTTCATTTTTAAGTTTGATGAATAGGTAAACAAAAAAATGCTTCATGTATTGATCATTGTATTGAAACATGACAATGGAAAGGACAGTGGACACGATAATCATCCCAGCACAGGGACGGCGGAACACTTTTGAAACTGGGGGGCAACACCAAAAAGGGGCAATTGCTCAGAATAAGGGTCACCCACCGTCGTTGTGAAAGCGGAGGAAAAGAATGTGGTCCCATTCATTTCGCTACAAACCTATATGACAAGGAACAAATTATGAATACATTGTCCATCTTGCTCTTTGTGTTTCTTTTACCTAGTTATGTAGAGAGACCATATTTTTTTATTGCGAGAGGGGCACTGTTGCTTTTGATGGCCAGTGCAGTGACCATTTTATTCGCGTGAAGAGCACTATTATTTTCTAGGGGCCAGTTTTCCATCTTGAGTGGGGGCACAATTTTAATGTTGCTGCTTTTAGAAGCACGGTATGTCATGCAGTCTGTCTGAGAACTTGTAAGAAAAATTCACGAGTGTACTCTGTTTATCTCTGGGCAGGTGTTGGAGCTTGTGTTACAGGTGTTTGTATGAATGGAGGCACCTGTATCCCTTCGCCTTTTGCTGCTGGCGGCCTGACGTGCCTGTGCCCAGCCTCCCACACAGGCACTCGCTGTGAACAACAGAGTAAGTCCAGCTTTCATATGTCATGATCGTTAATTAGAGCCCCTCTACATTTTTGTTTAACGCTTTTTGTTTGTTCCTTTAACCATTTCTTACTCATGGTTTATAAGAAAGAGGGTAGCATAGTTTTCAGTCATAAGTTGAGCCTGTCACAAGCCAATGTGGCCCATCAGCCGGCGTTTATCTCCAGTTTCAGTAGCAGGAAACGACTGAGAATATTTCTATTCCTCCTTGATGGGATGCTAATCCATCGCAGGTTACTCCCCAGCTAAAGCTGGTACCCATTTATACTCCTGGGTGGAGAGAGGCAAGTGGAGATGAAGTGGCTTGCCCAAGGACACAACATATGGCCAGCAGCTGGATTCGAACCCCTGACCCTCTGATCATGAGTTACAAACACTAACCACCAGGCCTTCAATCAGATACGCTTGCCCACAATTTTCATCAGTAAAGAGTTGAAACTTTGAATACTCTTTGAATAGCTGCATTTTCTCAAATATGTGCAAGTGTTTGAAAGAGAGATTGTGTCCAAGTTGTACAAAACATTAAAAAGATTTTGCCAAGACTTGCATCCTATGAGTGTGTCCTGTTAGATGACAGCTAAGCTGCTAGAGAAATTGTCAGACTAACTTTACCCCAACACCTACCATTTACTGATATATTTTAACAAGATTGAGTTGACTCAACATACAAATATATATGGTCAGAAAATGGTGCTTAACACTTGCCAGAGAGCTTGAACAAAATTCTAAGGCCAATTTTTAGGACCAATTTTTTGTCTTTTTGTAAGTTCTTTTGGGGGGAGTGGGAGGGGGAGGAAAATAAATATTCGGGCAATTATGATAAACATAATTATGATATAACATACTTCTTCAAATTGTTCCCAGTATTTAGTTGCTTTTACGGCGGAGGTATTATTTTAACAGCCAACAGGTTCTAATCCAATTTGTGGCTCTTAAAACCTAGACAAAAGTTGCTCACAAAAGTTTAAGTTGTTGAATAACTGATTCATTGTCTACACAGATCCGTGCAATTCTTCTCCATGCCAGAATGGTGGATCATGTATACCAACCAGCAATGGTACCAGCTACCAATGTGAATGCCCGGAAGACTTTGTCGGCATTAACTGTGATGTTCCAGGTATTAATAAAAACCAACATTTGCAATCCCAACAGATTAGGTGTCATCCCTTCCCAAAACAAGCAAATTTGAATCTTATTCGTTAGGAAAGGGGTGGGGGTCACATGTTGTGGAACAGTCCTGAAGTTAAATGTGAGAGGCACAGTACAGTCTCTGTAGGGGGGTGTCAAAAGCTGGGATGAAAGAACAATATTTGCTGGTTCCAGAGGGCCAGCCTAGTGAGCGCTTTGTAAATATCTCACTGATGTCATTTGCAGGCTTTCAAGTATTCCTACTTTTCCTACTTTTTTTCCCGGATTTGGCTCGGGCTATTTTCTGCAACCAGACCCCTAGCCAGTTTTAAACGTACTTGTTTAAATCCGGCTGAAGAAACAACACCGTACTCCTTTTGGAAATTTTGCAATTGTGTTACTATCTGTTTTATTTTTTTAATATAACTTTTGAAAGTAAACCGTGATAAATATTATTTAGGTTGAAAACTATATTTTGATATTAGATTCTGCCCTTCACAGACATATAAACACTGTATACTCAGTGTGTTCCCAAGCGAAAGTTGGGCAAAAAATCACCGAGGTGGGACTCGAACCCACAACCTCCTGCTTTCTTGTGCAGACATCTTACCACTCGACCACCCAGCTTGCAGGTTCGGTCGGCTGGTTGTTTATACATCGGTGAAGCTAGGGTAAAACCTAATATTGATTAACATCACCTTGACGCATATTCCATCTTATGAATAAATGTATTTTACTTGAAACTTTGAATACTCTTTGAATAGCTGCATTTTCTCAAATATGTGCAAGTGTTTGAAAGAGAGATTGTGTCCAAGTTGTACAAAACATTAAAAAGATTTTGCCAAGACTTGCATCCTATGAGTGTGTCCTGTTAGATGACAGCTAAGCTGCTAGAGAAATTGTCAGACTGACTTTACCCCAACACCTACCATTTACTGATATATTTTAACAAGATTGAGTTGACTCAACATACAAATATATATGGTCAGAAAATGGTGCTTAACACTTGCCAGAGAGCTTGAACAAAATTCTAAGGCCAATTTTTAGGACCAATTTTTTGTCTGACTACTTTAAATTGACTACTTTGTCTAGCTACTTTGTATGAGAAAAAAAGAGACTCAAACAAAATGTGCCCACGATGTCTTTCGCTTCGCCGGGGACTCACCCGAAACGCCGCCGCACCCATGAAGCTGCCTCCCCATGTAGCAGGCGAGGCAAAGCCTCCTTACAACAAATGTTGCTAATTGATTTCACAGAGTTTGTGACTGGATATTTACTGTTAACTTCTAAATGCAGAGTATTGTTCCTATTTTGTAACTTAGACTATAATTTCTTTCTTCTTGGTTAACAGTCCCCCTTGCCTGTGGCAGCGATCCTTGTTTGCACGGCGCCGCCTGCATTGACGTGGGGGATGGAAATTACAGGTGCGCATGTCTGGAGGGCTACACCGGGCGCAGGTGCGAAGTCATTGGTAAGTTTGTTATGCAGTTAACCAGCAAATGTTGTTATATCATTGAATATTCCCATTGGAAGACAACTCACTTGAGGTCTAAATTGTATGTATTACAGCATACGTGGTGTGCATCACTTCACGTACCATGGGGTGCTGTGGTCCAATGGTTACGGTGTTCGACTCGTGTGCCGTGGTACATGGGTTCGAATCCTGACCATGGGAACATGGTGCTTGTGCTCTTGAGCAAGGCACTTTACCATTATTGCTTCGTCCTTTGGATGGGACGTAAAGCCGTAGGTCCCGTGTGTTGTGTAATGCATGTTAAAGAACCCAGTAACACTTATCGCTAAAGAGAAGGGGTTTGCCCCGGTGTTTCTGGCATTGGCTGCAATATGCGCCACAGCACCTTGTAAACCCCTAAAAAGCGCTACATAATGGGTCTCATATTTCTCATAAACCTCATTTACCAGTCTTTAATTTTAGACATAATTTCCAGTGCCTTGAGTACCTAATTGTTGGTAGATACGTGCGCTATATAAGACTCCGTTATTATTATTATTATTATCATTATTATATCACCTTGATCATTCTCAAAGACTTTTGAAATATTTTCATCCTGGCTGCTTTACATAACACAGCTTAATACTGTATGTGCAAAGTCCTTTTCTGAAACAGAAAAGATTTTCAGCATACCTTGTTGTCTATGAGTGAGTAGTTGAGATTTGTTTATTAGAAATATCGAATATTTTACATTTGGTGTTTAGGTCCATGTGTGTCTTCACCTTGTATGAATGGTGGACTATGTGTTGAAGTTGTCTACAATCCTGGGAACTTTGTGTGCCATTGCAGCAACCAGTATACAGGGCCTACGTGCACCATCCCACCCCAGGAAGGTAGGATTATGCACCGGGTCTGTGGCATTGATTGGAAGAAACTTCAGAACTCACACTCCAAAATTATAACCTGAGTAAGAACAGACTTTTCCTTTAAGCCCTGCTCCGTGATGTTTTGACCAATCATAGCCACAGTTAATGTCCAACATGCATGCACAACTTAAAGGTATATCATATTTGCAGCTATCCAAAAAGTAACTGACAAAATTATTGTTGAAAAGGCATACTTGGTTTAAAGATAGTAATGGCACTAAACTTCCTGTGAAATTATTCTTTCTGGCCTGCTGTGATTTTGAAGAAAATTATTATCTTCAAATTATTCTCTGTAACAGCCAAAAGGTTCTTTTCCAATTGTGGCTCTTTAACCAGTTCGCGCCGGGATTATTTTGACAAGAACGAAACAAGGCGCGGGATTAATTTTCACCCAACTCAAGCCAGACGGGTTGAAACCATGATCCTCGGGCAGCAAACTCATATTTTCAGCGTCGCTCACTGTGAGCAGGACGCTGACAGATATTTCTGGCCTCGCTCCCTGCGTGTTTATCTGTCATCCGTTCCGAATACCACAAAACCTTTGCGTGTATACACCTCATCCGGCGCGGACTGGGTAAGGCTAGACACAAGTTGCTCATGAAGGCTTAAGTTGTTAAATAACTGATTCATTGTCTACACAGATCCGTGCAATTCTTCTCCGTGTCAGAATGGTGGATCATGTATACCAACCAGCAATGGTACCAGCTACCAATGCGAATGCCCGGAAGACTTTGTCGGCATTAACTGTGATGTTCCAGGTAAATATAAACCGAAATTTGCAATCCCAACAGATTAAACCCCTCCCACTTCCAAAAACAAGCAAATTTGAATCTTGGTGGAAGATTGGGAATGGGTTGAGGGGGGAGTTTTTCTCCAAGAGAAAAAGAAAAAAAATATGCGAAAGATTCTTGACCATTACTGTTTGTTTTCCTTCACTCACAGATCCCTGTAGCCCCAGCCCTTGTCTGAACTCCGGTGTGTGTAACGCCATTCCTGCGGCAGGCGGAACGTGGGGCTTCTACTGCGTCTGCACTGGCCAGTACTTGGGCTTGACGTGTTCTGTACAACGTGAGTATATAACATGTAACATTCAGAAATCGTTAATTGTCCAGGCTGAGTTGTAATCAAGTTAGTCACAAGTCAAATTGTCAAGTTGCAAGCTTAATGGGTCATCCTATAAATTTGGAGTCCACTTTTTTCCCTGTCCCTGTCGCATCTGACATCTGTAATTTTATAATTCTGATGCACTCCTTAATGCAGTCATCCTCCAAGAGTGATTATGAATAGCAAACTACCTACCCAACAAATAATCCTTCATGATACTTGAATAGCAAATGACAAAGTACCAAGGTAACAGGGACAAGAAAAATGTCACACTTTGGACCCTAAATTTATACATTGACATTAGCCAGCCTCTGTTACTTGCAGGGGCGCCAATCGCTTCTCAAAAGTGGGGGGATATACCTTGATCACAACTAATGCGAGCACAAAGCGCAAAGCCCTTACAGCATGGGGTTCGGGGCCCACTTAAGGGCCCCGAAAAAAATTGATTCTAGACGCTCTTTGTGGTGCGATCTGAGGCAATTTCTGACCGCTTTAACCTTTTTTTTTAAGCAAAAGATAATCATTAAAACATCATTTTTGAGGTTGGAGTCATTGAATCAGCTATTATATTCTGAGCTAAAGGCGTGGGGTTCAGGGCCCGTTTAAGGGCCACGAAAATTTTGGATTCTAGATGCTCTGTGGTGCGATCTGAGGATATTTCTGACCACTTTAACCAATATTTTCCTAGCAACAGATACATTGTATATAATAGGGTCCTGTAAATGAGACACAGGAGTTCAAAAATGGGGGGGGGGGGACATTTGATATTGTGCCCCCCCATCCTTCAAAAAGTTGGGGGGACATGTCCCCCTGTCTCCCCCCCCCCCTCCCCCGCCCCCCCAGGATTGACGCCCATGGTTACTTGTGACCGTACTTGAGATTTCCCTTGTGTTTGACTTACAATTCAATATATCTATGATTGTTTGGAAATAAGAAAAACCTGCTGTTATCCCTTACTGCAAACCTTACAATAAAACAGAAGTAACTTTTTGTGTGATAATGTATCCTAAAACTGGATGTGCAGCGTACTGTACAGCTAAGGTTGAGCACATTTCCAACTATAAACCTATGCCTAAGAATCAATTAAACAAAGGCCCGAGTGTGATTGAAGACAAGTGACATGTTCAATTCTCCATTTTTTTCCAAAGAATCATGTGTAATTCTAAATGTCCATTAATTTGAATTATTCCTTATGTTATGACGCAGATATTTTAAACATTTTCTCTTAAGATTTTGGTGTTTTTTTTCAAAAGTAAGGCCAAAAAAAAATTGTTCTGCTTCCGATTACATGGCATTTGAAAATAGGGTAGGTAGGGAAATGTTATTTTTTTTTTTTGCCAATTTTTTTTTGTGTACGATCACATGGAGGTGTCTGCATGTAGTCAAGGGTAAAAGGTAGAAATTGATGGTTTTGGGTGTTTTTTTCTCATTTTTCCCATAAAAAAAATTAGCGTAGAGACTATCAGAATAGGGTAGGTAGGAAAACCGGAAGCAGAAGTATTATTAGTGTTTTTTGGCCTAAGAATAAACTTTGAAAAGTTTGTAAATTGTTTGAAATACTTATTCAAAAATGAGGCAACAGTTCAAAAGGATCAGTCAACATTTTGTTTTGTTCGCAGATTTCTTTCCATCAGAATAAACAATGAAATCAACATAAAGGGACTACTGTTTTAATTCTGGCAGGAACTTTGTCACAGTGCCTTGCTACGGACGACTGGAACTTCATTCAAGAGTACATGAAGACTAATTATGCCTTTTTTCCCCTCTTTTTCTAGGTGCCTGCGTCAGTAACCCCTGCTTGAATGGTGGACAATGTGTAGATGTACCTGAGTCAGCAGGCCAGCCCATCTATGGAACTGAACTACACAGTGGGATGCTACATTACAACTGTCGCTGTCTGGACGGTTGGACCGGCCAAAACTGCGAAACACAAATCACAGGTAATCCCTCATTGCTGAATATCTTTTCCAAAGACATCCTGGGCCAGATGCCATCCGGTTCGTTAGTAAAAACGTCATACGTGCGCGCACATCACTGATTACTCGCGCCCATTGGATAAACACATAGGTTGCGTTAACTTCCGGTTCCAATGATTCCAATGCTACTTAATGGGCAGTGGGCGTGGTTTAAACTGAAGTGACGTCACACTAACGAACCGGATACAGCTATCAAGTATAGGCTCGGTGCACATATACCCCCTCAACGGTTACAAAGAGACAGTTAGGGAAGACCACTGGGAAGGACATTTGAAAGCGTTCCCAGTGGCATATGGGGCTCAAGTGATGTCTGGTGCTCACGTGACGACGTCTGGGGTTTACAGGGATACGCCATTGAAGTGGAGTGCCGTGGCCTCGTGGTCTGTGGGCATTGAATTCGTGGTCGGCGGGAAATGCTGCGGGTAGTTGGTTCGATTCCGGCCTGGGGTTGTGGTACATGTGCCCTTGGGCAAGGCACTTAGTCACTCATTGCTTCTTTCCACCAAGGAGTAAATGGGTACCTGTGAGGGCAGAGATGGTTATTGTGATTGATTTTAGCTGTGACGTCATCAGGTGTCACGTACGTTACGTACTTCACATTAAAGATGCACATTTTCCCCATAGGTTTTGTACATGCTTTAAAACGCTCCACTTTGGCACTTTCGTAAATTTGATCAACTTTATACTTGGTACACACTTAGACCACTACATATAGATGGTCCAAGAAGAAATTCATCATCGTGGCGTCATGAGGTGTCAGGTTACATCACATTAAAGATGTATTGTTTCCCTATTGGTTTTGTACACGTTTTTCTTCAAACTGAACTTCGGAAGTACAAGTCTGATTGGGTTAAAACTTGGTATGCAAATTCACATGGATGTGTTATAGATGGAAATTGAAGTGACATCATCATCAAGTGTCATGTGAAGTCCCTTAAAGGGGCATTTTATTCTTTTATAGGTCTATATCTACAGAACTAAAATGTTCGATTTGGTTGTAACTTGACATGTACATATTATAATGTGCTGTTATAGATGACATTTATAGTGACGTCACTGATTGTTCATCCCGTGCTCAGAGTATTTCAAATATCCGAAACAGCTTGTGTTTGTCCACAAACACATTTCTAGTTGTGATTGATTTTAGCTGCCTTATGCCGAAATGGCTGCATCGAGCTGTATACTCCCAAGGGAGCTGAGATGGTTACTCCCTAGCTAATGCTGATACACATTTATACTCCTGGGTGGAGAGAGGCAAGTGGGGGTGAAGTGGCTTGCCCAAGGACAAAACATACGACCAGCAGTTGGCTTTGAACCCCTGACCCTCTGATCATGAGTCACAAACCCTAACTTCTGGGCCACACTCCCCCCACGGCTTGCTTGAAACCAGGACCTGTAATCCTCGACTTTCAATAGAACATTGCATAACAGTGATTTAGTATTTGACTATATACAAATTTACCCGTCTGTTCTGCATTTTGGTCAGATCCCTGTCAGTCCCTTCCATGCAAGAACAATGGCACGTGCTTCAGGAGCCACTCAACCAATAGGTTCTTCTGCAGTTGTCCTGAAGGCTTCTATGGACAACTCTGCGTAGGTGAGTGCAAAATGTAGTTTGCAGTTCTTGTTTCATATTGGTGGTACATTTGAGATAGTTTGTTCTCCACCTTTTACAAGGCTAAAAGTCGCTGAAGGTACAGAGATGAAACTTTTTTGATTTCAATCGGAAAACCAACTTTTTGACTTTTCCAACGAAATTTCCGATTTTCTTACAATGTGTCCCACAAAATTTGATTTTGTAACGATTTCTCCACAAAATGTGATTTTTTCTTAAACTATAATTTCGAAAAAAAGGTGATGAAAAGTCGATGAAAACGACACGTAAAAATAATCGCGAGCGTAGTTTTAATCTCTTTCACCAGTACCAAATTGAGTGTTTCTACTGTAGAAACACCAAGGCCAACGCTGATCGCGCCCTTTTCCGGCTGGAGCATATGCCCCCCCCCCCCAGTTTTGTCTTTGCCCCCCCTCCCCCCCCCCCCCCCCCAGTTTTCCCAGAACACTTTATGTACAAGTAGATTAATTATGTTTATTTTCTTTGCTGTTAAGATTCATAAAATGAAAGCATTAAAATATTGGTACTTAACCCTTAAAGGGCTGGGTTATTTTGACCATCTCTCCTCTCCCCCCCCCCCCCCCCCGGCCCTTTTAGGGTTAAGACAAAACACGCCTCACATGCATTTTACAGCCGTAGATAGTGTGCAGCCAACGTCTTTGCACATTTGTTTTCATTTATTATACACCATTCTGCAGTTTGATACATTTCTCATTCATAAAAACGACTACACCTCTAAGTTGCTCTAGTGGCTTATTTCCAGACCATTGACAATAGTACGTGCGCACGTACACAGGCTTGAGATTTGTTTTTACTGCCCCCCAAATTTTCCCTTGCCCCCAAATTCTAGAGCCTGGTGCCGCCACTGTTCATAAGACTTATTCATAACCAAGTATCACTTTAAACACAGCATCCTCTCATCACAATGATCAAAAGTTTAATTTATCGTTTCATCCAATAGCCGATCCCTGCGCAGCCAACCCGTGCAAGAACAACGCTACGTGTCAGTCAACCGGGAATGAGTACACCTGTATATGTGCCACTGGCTACTCGGGCGTTGACTGCACGGTGGAGGGTGAGTTGATATTAATTTTGGATTCCGTGGAGAAACTTTAGTTCAGGATTTGCAACCTAACCATGAAAGCAAAGGAAAGCCACAGTCAAATTGCAGAGTAGAATGATGGTAAAACTTCCTTTAGAATGGAGGCTTAGCAGCACATCCATGCGAACGCGAAAGACATTTCGTCAGCAACACCACGAAGTTACACCCATGTACATACCAGTAAAAACTAGCAATCGGAGAAAACGGCTTCTAAAGTTGAAGGCCTTCTAAAACAACACTTTGCATCAAAGTGGCAGAGCATTTTCAGTTGGGTTTCTCATTGTGGACACTTCATGAATTGAATTTATTAAATCTGTTGTTTTTCACCCGTTTGTGTATTAAATCAACAAGAAATAAGAGAAAAAAGTCTTCGTTCAAGGGGTGCTAGTCAGAAGCCATAAACCCATACATGCCATTGGGTGGCATGGGTGGCTTGTGCGTAAAGTGTTCGCCTCTCACCAAGGTGACCACGTTTCGAATCCTGGCCGCAGATCGCATGTGAGTAGAGTTGTGCGTTGGTTCTCTCCTGTGCCACAAGGGTTTTTCTCCGAGCCCTCCGGTTTTCCTCCCTCCGGAAAAATCAAACACTGTCGATCTCAGGCTGTGCTCCGTGGTCATATGGATCGATATGGCCGGCAGCCATAGGCCCCTTTACGTGCCAGCGGCCCAACCACGTTGTAGCCGCGTCCTTCGCAATTTAGCATACCAGCTGCGAGTAAGGATGATTAGCCTCCCTCCCAAATTATTATAGCCTGGGATCACGTCCCAAGTCATGATGCTAGCAACATTAGCAATGCTGCAAACCTGGAAAGGCAAACAGGAATCACTCAAAGAGGATACAGCTTTTCAAAAGAATCAACATGTAATTTTTTTTATGACTGTGCATTGCAGCCTCTAAACCTGATACCTCAGTCATATTTTTAAAACTTTACAGTGTTAGATTTTGACAAATTCAGGCAGGTTTTTGACAAACTTCCCTGCATATATAGGCCCTAGCAATTGTTCTTTATAAAAGAAATTTAAACCTGATGATAATTTGTTTGACCTCAGATCCATGCCACACCAATCCCTGTACGAATGGAGGAACATGCACATTGACGGATACATGGTTTGAATGCAGTTGTGCCCCAGGCTACATTGGCAGTGACTGCTCACAACAAGGTATTGAAGCATCATATGAGACCTACAATCCTGGCCAAATCTCGCTGGGCCCCAACCCCCGGCCCCGCTCAATGTAATTGTCTCTCATTGCGCAGTGTGTGCTCCATCAGCTGGAGAGAACACCATTGACAAGGGGAGCGGGGAGTGGGTGACCGTGGGAGGCTAAAGTTACTTCCAAGTGTCCCAACCATTTTGGCCAGGATTGTAGCCGTCACCATGAGATAAGCTTATATAGTCAGAAATTGCCACTTTGCAGTTGGGCAAAGTCAAAATTCAAAAGGGTGTTTGATTGTTTGTTAACCTTAAAGTTGGTATATATGTGTGTTTTTTTCAAAATTGCAATTTACTTTTCTGAACGAATTTGTAAGGAATTAATGTCCTGTAACAAATGAAATTGCTTGTTTGCATTTGCAGGCCTTTCAACAGTTTTTAGAAAAAAAACATATTTTTAATAGCGTTTTGAAATACATACTGAAAGTAGGTTCAAATCCAGCTGTGTTTTTCTATAATTGTGTGTTGACTTTCTTATGGATTTACTTTTTTTTTTTTTTTTTTATTATTTATGGGTTCATTCACTTTGCTGGTACCTTTCTTTTTGAGATACCTTGAAGAAGTCCGTAGCGGGGATTTAATCCTTGGTGTTGTACGTTTCTTTGCTGCCTCGTTCACAGATCCATGTTTTGAGAATCCCTGCTTGAACGGCGGTAACTGTATGAAACGTGGCGCGGGCAACACGCTGGACTACCAGTGTCTGTGTCCTCTTGGCTACGGTGGCCTGACCTGTGGAGTATATTTCGGAGGTGAGATCCCACGCTTTTATCGTTGTGCCTCTGTCATCTTTTCAAAAAAAATTGCCTGCACCCAAACCCTTCAGACTGTTGTCAGTCTGCCAACTTGTCCTGTTTATATGGTCTAAAAGAATTTGTTCAAATAGCAAAAGCGGAATTTAATTTCTTTGTTCATGTACATGTATGTCTGTGCCCTTTGCCAAATTGCTTGCCTATACTTAAACTGTAACGTGTCTCTTTTTTGTTTGTTGGGGGGGGGGGGTGGACAGCATGTGTTTATATCACAGATTAAGACCACTTAACATTTACAGAAATTTAATGTCTTGTTATTTCTTGAGATCACAATATTTCTTAGGCTAGGTTATAAAATGCTAAATAAAAAGGACAGTTGGATTCCATGATGTCATGCCTTGGGCTTTACAAGGAGTTGCAATGCTTCACCTGCTGATCAGAGCCAGAACCCCAAATTCCCCCCCCCCCCCCCCCCCGGGCCACCAAAAACCAGGAAAATACCAACACCAGATACTTGTTACCTCCCCCTTTTCACAGCAAACCCCTCCCCCTTCTTGAGCCCAACCTGGATCCGCTCCTGACTAAAGAGAATGACCATGAAGAACAAATGATTGAAGTAATGTCAGTATCTGGAATGTAGGCCGTGGCATATTAAAAGACATTTCATAACTGCAAAGCGTTAACACTCACAGCTTCCAGCCCTGTTATTTGTTGCACTCTTAAAGCTTTTTGAAAATCCTTTCTACTCCTCCCATCTTCCATCTCGCAAATCTTCCGTTTCTTCCTGTCCTCTTCCTGTCCTCTTCCCTGCATTGAAGAAGTGAACAAGTGCGTGCTGAACCTGTGCGAGAATGGTGGCAGTTGCTACCAGGGCTCGGCCTCCTCGGCGGGTGCCTACATCTGTGTGTGTGCCCAGGGCTACCAGGGGAGGAACTGCAACGAGCTGGTGCTTGCAGGTATGTAACCCTTCCCCATCCCAACCCAACCAACCCCTAACCCCCACCCCAACCCCAACCCCACCCATCTCTGAACCCCACCTGCAACCCACCCTACCTCCACCCCAACCCAACCCCAACCCGGCCTTCCGAACCCCACCCCCACTTCCACCCCCAATCCATCTCCCACCCTCATGCCTGCACCCCCACTAACACACACCCATCTCCATCCCCACCCAAACCCCAATCCCCAATGCTCATTCCTGACACTGCTTGACCTATGGTCTTTCACTTGGGGCCTGTTGTGTTCAATGTCAATTTTATTGTTTTTGCAAAATTAATGGTGCCTGGTGATTTCCCTGAACAGTTGTGGATCCAGGGGTGGGGAGGGGGCGTGGAGGCCCCCCCCCCCCCTCCCCAGCATTGACCAAAATGTTCTAAAATATGTACCCCAGCACAGCTTCAGCCCACCCAACACTAACCTCTCTAGATCTGCTGTTGCTGAAGCTGTACGTCACTTTTAATCTTCACGGTTGTTCTTCATAATGAATTATCATGTAGATTTTTTCCTGTACCACACAAACCGAAATGCATACATGAACTCTCGTAATAGAAGAACCATCAGTATGCACAGGAAAAAAACAATGAATTCTTCCAAGCCACCAGAATGCAAAAGTACTCATTGTAAAGTTCAAATGAATGAAATTTTTTTTTTAACTGCATATATTCTTTTTAATAAAAACCGTCCCTCTCTGGCTGGCAACTTCAACAACGCCATCACAACAGTCAAAATAAATTAAGTGGCTGTTTGTTGTTTTAGATACAGTTGAGTTCTCCCTGCCTTCATAGCACAGGATTGACTGGCTGTGCACCATTCATGGAACACGACACAGCTATGCTTTGACTATAGTTTGATAGGCCAGCTCTGCCTACCAGTTAGGCGAGACCGTTCGGGGTTGAGCCCGCCCAGTATGTTGAAGGGATTGGGACCTTGCATGGAACCGATCGGCCTGGATTAACTCCACCAGGCTTCTGCACCATGGCTCTGGCTCATCACAAAGGAACCAATTTGTGACGCGCTAATCCTCCAGTAGGCAACAATGACTGTGATGAGCTTCATAGAAGTTGCCGCTGGCAATCCCAGTGGGCTGAATAATCCTCCAACAATGGCCAGACTTCAATTTATGTTGCCTATTGTGAAACCCTGAGTCACCAGTTTGGACCTATTGGGGCGTCACGCTTCAGTGACCGGGTGGCTTCTGGCTTCGTACCGATTGTGGTGAAAGAAATTAGCATACCGGACCCGGTACCCGAACGGTCTGTTATCTGATGGCTCGCCTTACATGCTTTTGTCTGTTGATGGAATTTAACTGTCACAGTTCCTGCAACAAAATATGATCTGACTGTTGGTGACTACAGTCCCGGCCAAATCTCGCTGGGGCACCCTCCCCGGCTGCGAATTGCTTTTCCCAAACGACATCTGTTTCCCATCTTCTGATTGGTCCATTACATGCATATCTAATGTCTTGTTCTCCACAACACAAACCCAAGATAGGCTTTACGTCTTGTGAGAAATGTTCCTTCCTCACTTTAGTTATTTAAAAGGTAAAATAAGAAGAAGTGAAAAATGCTCACTGGGGTTCAAACTCGGATCACCTGATTATTAGTCAGGACTACTTCCAACCAGTCCACGAATCAGCTGCCAATCGTCGATGATTTAAACTCCATTATTCCTCGTTATATAACTTATTCTCTAAAGCCCCTGTCACACCTTTGCGTATCCTAATTCCTTATGTGTTCCTTATCAAAAATTTTCAATACGCAGCCGTACGCTCAATTAACGTCGAAATGTTTTGATCACTTTGACTTATGTGCGACGCACATCTAGCGTACAAGTAACGAATTCAGCGCATCCATTGCGTATGAGATGCGTATGAGTTCTGTATGCAGTGCACAACATTATTTTTCGGGCTGTGAATAGGTCAGTATGCAGTGCGCATGCTGAGCGTATTCCGGACGCACCCGACTTATGCCGACCGCATGCTTGACGCACTTCTGAGCGTATTCTTGCCGCATTTCCGCCGCTCGCCGTCCAGCGTGCGTTGCATCTGCGCTGCAAGTACGCTATGTATATGTCCAATACAGGCGGCTCATAATGCTGACGGGGTGCGTCACGAACACATAGCGTACTCGTAATGCACTCGACCGATGCGGGACCGATGCGCTGCGTAGTTTTGTGCATGCCCAAAACTATCCTGCGTACTGGGCTGTACCATGCGTATATCTGCGTACATAAAACCTACACAAAACGATAGAGATGCATATGAGGTGCGTATTGTGCGTACGACTGCGTATGAAAAAAATGTCAATGCGCAACTCATAAGGAATTAGGATACGCAGAAGTGTGACAGGGCCCTTAAGTTCTGGACATCATGTATATGCATAATGCAGAGAGAGAGCGCCCTGTTTTGATATTGGTGGATCTTGTTTGGGAACAAATAATTCCCCCCTCCCGGCCGCCGGTCATTGTTGTCTCTCATTGCGCAGTCTGTGTTCCAGCTGGAGATAACGACATCGAGGGGACTGGGGGACTGGGGGAGGGTATGCATGTCCCAACCATTTTGGTCGGGATTTTAGCATGTGTATAAAGGCATGGCAGGGGGAAAAGATCGACTGTCTGCTCATACAGCAGGAGGGTTATTAAATAGACGCTAACTGTTCCCCTGATGTGTTCCTGCTAACGCTTTTTTCTTTGCCTCCTGTACTCCACGGCAGCCCCTCTAAGTGCGACCCGTAGCTCTTCCAATCCCTGTGAGCCGGATCCGTGCCAGAACGGCGGTAGGTGTTTTCAGGGTAGCAATTCGACCAGCTACTTATGCGTGTGCCCGGAGGGTTTCATAGGAGACCACTGTCAGAGTCCAAATACGACAGCCGTACCCACGACTGGTGTACCCATGACTGCTGCACCAATGACTGCTGCACCAGGTGAGGGGCATGTGCCACAATGTCATAGATTCTGTGCATGAACAGAAGATGGCTCATCATTACTGGGTGGTATTATACAAGTATAACATGGTTTGAGGGTGGACAGTTGATATTAGCTCCCCGAGGTATTGGAAGTTGAAAACTATTCGTCTTGGGAACTAGTTTGTCAACTTCCGATACTGGGGGAGCTAATATCGACTATCCACCCGAAATAAAACATGTTATATTTGTTTTTACTATGCCCCATGCAGTATGCACCTCGCGAGCATAAAATCTTTGGAAGAACATTATTGCTCAACCTCAGAAAACTTCACTTCGTTTGCAATACAGTAACTCCTAAGAGTTTTTAATGAATTGTGGATAACTTTTTTTTAATACAGGAGGCATCTTTATTGTCCACAATATTCTCCGGTTCAGCATAATTGAGCTCAGGAAAATGAAAATGAACATTTACGCATGCAACCGTCTATTCATGTGTAGCTAGGTATGAGACGATGTTCGCAGGTGTGTACTATACACCTGTGTGACAGTTCCACAATTGCCAGGCCCGTCGACAAAGGGGGGGGGGGGGGGGGGCTGGATGGGCCCATGCCAATTAACACCTGCACTCAAGTATGTGTCATGCAACACACTTTCCAAATATGGGTTAATTATGCAAAATGAAAGGTCACAGTTATGCAAATTGGTTATAATGATTATCTTGATGCCTAATTGAACAAGTATTTTTTTCACAAACAATCTTGTAGGTTGTGTCTATTCATCCCAAACGTACATGGATGGAGAAACTTGGCAAGATGGCTGCAAAGACTGGTAAGTAAAAACTACTCAGCAAAAAAACAAATGAAAAAGTAAAACTCAGTAGAGTCTGCTTTATGTATTTTTTTTAAAGGGAATATAGGCCTACAACATTTGCACACATCAAAAAACAAAACTACCAAATTAACACGAAACACCGTACTGGACTGTTAGTGAATGACAGTCTAAAGCATCCTGTAAAGTCATGGCACCTGGTGTGCTGACATTTCCAAGAAAAGTGGACTTTCATTTTTTCCAACGCTGGTCGGCCGTCCAGCGTTGGAAAAAAATGTGTTTTTTTTTCAAATACTGCCCCCAATTTACCATATAGTCAGTCCACATTTTGTTTGCAATCGATTACACACCTATGAACGGGTACAAGCCAGCTAGACTGATACCCTGACCTTACAATTGCCTCGTGTCTATAAATTGCTCAGTTTCATCTTGAGCGGGGTCAGGGAACCAGACTACAAGAACATGATTGTTTTCTTGGTTTTCCAGCATCTACGAACCCAAAACGTCAAACAAGTCGGTTTAACAAAATACTAATCCATCCATTTCTGAACATTACAGCAAAAGCAAATGTTGCATATTCCTTTTACATTTGTGTCATATTGCTTGCTTCTTAAGTTGCTGAGCTGAAATTTATTATTCGTCTTAAAACAAGATGTGACTTTTAACCTGAAGATCTGAGTGAACTACTCACTGTTACTGTCACTTATTATTTTTGTGGCACTGACGAAGTGTGTGTTTTATAAATGATTTGATCTTGGTTTATAAATAATTTCATCAGTACTCATCACTACCCATTGTTGGGGTTTTGAAGAGGGATTGTTTTTGTCTGAGAGGACAATTTTTTTTAAGCAGGATGCAGAATGGGAGAATGGAAAATATAATAATGTATAATGCTTATTTTATAAAGTGCACGTATCCACCAGTATTGGTCCTCAAGGCACTACATCGGTCATTATTACCCTGTTCATTGGGCCAAGTGAAACATACCATCTCAGCTCCCTGGGAGTATACAGCTCGATGCTGCCATTTCAGCGCAAGGTAGCTACAATCTACCACAATAACCACCTCTGCCCTCACAGGCACCCATTTACTCCTGGTGGAGAGAAGCAATGAGTGACTAAGTGCCATGACCCCAGGTTGGACTTGAACCCACAAACTGCAGACTTACCAGCAGACCACGAATTCAATGCTGCAGACTACGAGGCCACAGCACTCCACACAAAAAAACCCACATAATTTCCAAACTTTTAATTGAAAAAGAGGGATGGGGGATTTATAACATTTGTCACAAAGGTGTTTTTGTTGTTTTCAATCTCCTGTGTCATTTCTTTTTGCAGTATGTGCAGTGGAAGTGAGTACTCCTGCACAACCGAGCGCTGCCGTGAGTATTTAGCATTTTGCATTAGTATTTGTTATTTTACAAGGAGTCATTGAAAGTTGATATATTCCTAGAAAAAAATCATGGAATCCTTCTCAACCAAAATGCGATGATGTATGATATTTTGCTATGACGTTCTCCGAGTTTGCATTCCGGTTTTCCTTTTTATGCACTATACTTCCTCTTTATGCATAGGTATACTCTATATTTGTTGCAGGTACAATGCACAATTCGTTTTCACGAAGGGACGGGCAAAATTGACCATTTTTTATTATTTCGAGTTTTTTTTGCTACATGTATTTTGCTTTAAACATGGTGCTTAAGCATTCTGACATGTTTCCGTAAGCAAGACATCATTACAATAATGATGCCAGGGGAGGCATCTCTATCATTGCCAGTTTTTGCGTTTTTATGAAGAGACGCAAACATGCCTGCCCCTTGAACACGTACAAAACGTATTGCACGGAAAGGCATAAAAGTAGGTCAAATGAGATTTTCGTTTTTAAGAAGGGATGGACATCTTTGTTACATTCTCAGCTGCACATTCGCAAACACATGGCCCCTTCTCTTTGGGAAAACACTTTGAACAAGAAGAGCGTAAATGTGGAAAACTGGGATTTTCATTTTCATGAAGGGATGGGCATCTTTACTCATTCATTTTGGCTTATTAATCACTGTGTTAATTCTAATTACTGGCTTCAAATTCAAGTTTACCTATCAAAGAATTGTGTGAAGGTTTCCTTTTGTTTTGCATGAAGTTGTTGCAAAGTAGTAGTTCTTGCAGTTTTAAAATAGGAGAAACTTCTCTTCAAAATCCACATGCCCGTGACGAAACGGTGACAAATTGTGATGCTTTTGTGGTGCTCAGTGGTCTTGTGTTAAACTGGAAGGCTGAAAGGGAGTGGTGTCCCTTGCCTCAGTGTGATGACTGGCCAACGTATTGTAAATAGGCGGCTAAGATGCCAAAACAGCGTAGATTTTGATCATGGAAAACCCTATATTTGTCCTGGAACAGTCACGGAAAAGTCATGGAATTTCATGTTAAGATTTCTGTTGTACAAGAATATGTGTTTCAAAATCCTCATCAAACCAATTTCTTTTTATACTTTCTGTCTACCAAAGTATTGAATGGGCTGCCTTATTCAAAAAAAAAAGTTTCAGGTAATGTCTACTTTCTGATTCCAAAGCTTAAACACCTCAGTCATTCTCAAATTTGAAATTATAATAATATTGCAGTACTTATATAGCGCTTTATACCAACGGTTCAAAAGTGCTTTGCAATTCGTCACTGACACCACGAAGTAACACTCCTTGTGTTAAACCATATTTTTTTTCGGTTTTCAGTTTTTTACATTTTTAAACATTATTCATCAAGGACTACCATTGCACGAAGTTTCAAATCTTCAAGAGCTTTACTTTAATAATTACGCTAATTACCATGGCAACTTTTGCGCGAAAGTGACAATTTTCGTTTTCACGAAGTAACGCTCAAGTTCCATTTACCATTGTAATGCATGGCGGGCACTCTGCTCAAATGCAAGCAAAAACGTTTTCACGAAGTAACACTCTTCTTGTTTGAGCGCGCGCGCTGACCTCCGTTTCCACGAAGTAACACTCTTTTAGTGTTGTAATACATTGAAGCGTGCTACTTTGTGAAAACGAAAATTTACAGTTTCGCAGCTTTTTTGCTTTCACGAACTAGCACTCATCTTTTTTCTCTTATTTCTTGTTGTTTTAATACACAAACTGGTCAAAAACAGCAAATTTAATGACATCAATACATCAAATGTCCACAACGAGAAACCCAACTAAAAATACTCTGCAGTTTTGACGCAAAGTGCTGGTTTAGAAGGCGTTCAATTTCAGATGCCGTTTTCTCCTCCCTAGGTACCCATTTATACTCTTTGGTGGAGAGAGGCAATTGTAGTAAAGTGTCTTGCCAAAGAACACAGGCACTCTGTTCCCCGTCAGGGTTCGAACCCACATACCACGGCACATGATTTAAAAACCGTAACCACTGGACCACAGCGCCCCACAAAATGATATCTTAACTTGGCTGATGAAATTCTCAGAACCCCACCTCTTTCTTGCAGAAATTTAAGAAACTTTAATCATAAAAGTTAGTCAAATTGGTGAGATTTTGCGTAAAAAAATCCTGACATGTTGTTTTCTCCCTATGTTTTCACAGAGTGTACCTCAGGCAGCCGGATATATAACAATGGGGAATCGTGGGAAGTCGGTTGTCTGTTTTGGTGAGTTAATTATTGCCACGTGATAACTTGTGTTTGGAGAAGGTTTTCTTGTATCCACAAGAGTTATTAGAGAGTAACAAGAACGCATATATCCCCCCACTTTTTGACCAGGGGATGGGCTATTGAATCATCCCCCCTCCCACTTTTTGGGTTTAAAAAACAATTGAAGAGTGCCCCCGAGTGTATGTGGTGTCCAGCCAGCCAGCCCCTCTCCCTCCCCCACTTTTTGAATTTCCGTGGCTGGGCAATTTTTGGAATTTGGTCTTCGCCAATCCCCCCACTCGCCAGCACAAATTTACGCCACTGCTATTGCGTCATGGATACACGCGTACACAAAATATGCAATTGCAACACACGTATGACTACTGACTTAATACCGTAGGCAGGGAGAAACAGGCAGGGTGGTTCGGGGTGGCACAAAGGGACTACAGTGAAACGCCGCTATAACGAATATCTCGGGATCCACAGAAATTGTTCGTAATAGTGATCGTTCGGTATAGCGATTTTAAGGCGATACTTACCAGCTTGTGGTTTTTCACACATTAGTGGCGCCCTCTTTTGACCATTGTTACAGTGAAGTGGCATTTACAATCTGAGCTGATTCGCCAAACTTGCCCATTCATCTTTTCAATTCCGTAAGCAGAACTTCACCCTGTATATGCCCTGGTAGTTACTAAAAGACGACTTTGAATACATGCGACTATTGAATCAAGTAATTACACAGTTTTTTAGCTTACACAGGTGGCTTTTTCCTTCTATTGCTTGGGGAAGTTGACATTTTTCAACAACAATGTTCGGTACATTTTATACACAAAAATTGAGAGCCAAGGATGATGTTCGATATAGCCGAATATTCGGTATAGCGGTGTTCGGTATAGCGACGTTCCACTGTAATGGGTCAGTCAAATATGCACTTGTAAATAAATATATAGAAACTACACATATAGCAGTGATGATGTTTACATGTGTCATTTGAAACCAAACCCCAACATCCATTCGTAACTTCTAGCTATCCTGCTTTCACTTCACAGCTCCTGTTTGAATGGTCAAGCATCCTGCTCGGACATGAACTGTGCAAACCGTAAGTATATTCACCTGTATCTTGTGATTTTTTGCAGGGATTTTAGGCAGGGCCCCAGACCATTGCTAATATATAGTTAGTTTTGTTGTTGAGGCAATTTGAGGGAGTACTTGTGCACAGAGTCTAGTCCGAAGACTAGATCACCATATGCGGACTCAGGGTACCCACAAAAATGCCGAAAGCATTGTGCTAGCTATTGTACTTTAAGGTAGAATACATCATTTGTCATTTGGGTTGTTTTTTTTTTCGTTTGAAGCAACAACAGTGCTCAAAATCCAAATCAGGGTGCTTAGCAACTAACCTGATGAAGTTTCAGCTCAGTGAATGCTGTGTATTCCGAGAAAACAATATTCTAGAATTTCAATTTCAATTCAAAAGTTGCCGAGTCATGTTTTGAATTGCACCCCAAATCAGCGTCCGGGACACGTTCTCATTCAGGCGATTGCAGCTACGCGATGTCACGCGCTGAGCTGACGAATAATAGCAACCGCACACTCGTGTACACACTCATTGGGCGCACTCATTCATGGCTTTGCCGAATTAATATCAAACTACGAACGAAATTTTTCAAAAATACGTCTTTAGACGCATCATTGGAAATGGCCTTCTTTTATTGTTTTCTTAAAAGTGACAGCATGCCAGAAAGAATAGTTTCACAGGGAGTTCAGTACCATTACCATCTTTAAACCAAGTATGCTTTTCAACAATGATTTTGTCAGTTATGTTTTGGATAGCTGCAAATAATGTACTCTGTCTTTAAATAAATTACCATATCCTACATTTTTGTGAACATTAGCTGCCACAATGCTTCTCCCATTACTTGAAAACCCAACAGTTTACTGTCATTCCATTTCCTTGACTACTGTATTTCTTGCTGGTACGTACTAGTTGTTGAAGGCCATCTGTAAACATTTTTGACATCATTTTTTCTTCTTCTCGTAACCAGGGTGTCTACATGAGAGTCGTTTATACGATCCTGGCCAGACCAGAACAGATAACTGCAACATGTGGTGAGTCCAGGCGCGGATCCAGAGGGGAGGTGTTCGGGGTCAGAAAAAAAAAACAGGCTCTGACTCAATTTTTTTTGAATAGAAATATTGTAAAAAAATTATGTGGAAACACCCCCCCCCCCCTTGCTCTGACGCGCAAAAAATTAAGACAATTATACCTGTAATAATTGTCCGCCTTTACACAACATTCGGACTGAGCCAGCTGAGGTACGGGGGTATTTGTACACTATTCTGCACTACAGTGTTCATGATTGTCGGATTTGAACAGCGCTCGCATTGAAAGTATGGTACGGTCACATTTTAACTTCAGATTTATTGTATTGTTCCTTCATACGTCAAAAAAAATACTTTTTTGCAAAGGGTGTCCCTTACCTTAAACTGTCTAAGTACAGTGTGAGTAAAAAAAAACGAAACCCAAAAGTCGGGACTATTGTTTCAGTAAAGTGCTGCATGTAGCACTTTCAAAACCTAGAATATAAAAGTCCAGTCAATAAGCTTTCTTTTAGTACAAGAATCATTCAAATCACTCCTGTTCTTTTCAAGTTACAGAATTTTAAACACAACCACAATTTTAAAGTTCTGTCCACGGATCACAAAATAAGTGTGAGATCTTTCAGCAAACGAAAACAATTCACACACATCCTTATATGATTTGTTTTCGTTTTGCTGAAAAAAAATCTTACCTTTTTTTGATCCGTGGACAGAACTTAAAAACGGTGGTTGTGTTTAAAATTCTGTTACTTCTTGTACTAAAAGAAAACTTATGAATTGGGCTTTCATATCCTAGATTTTGAAAGTGCTACATGCAGAAATTTACTAAAACAATGGTCCCGACATGTTGGTTTCAGTTTTTTTACTTACCCTGTACATTTACACAAAATTGTAGTAAATAAGTATGCAGCTCACTTAATTTGTTTTTCCTCTTATTGTTTGTTATCTCTCAGTACTTGTAATGCTGCCGTCTGGACGTGTACAAACAATCCTTGTGGTAAGTTTTTTCTCTTAAATAAAAACTGTTTCCAAACTTGTCAAAGTTGTCATTAAGGGTGTAGAGTTTTGGTCCCTTTTCCCCCATTTTTACCCCCCCCCCCCCCCCCCGGTGACCATAAGGTAATGTCAAAATTCTGCTAGATGCGCTTGAAAAATCTGCTGGATTTAACAAAAATCTGCTGAATCACCTTTTAATATTACATACTGAGATGCAGATGTTATAAAATTTCCTTAAAGAAAAAACAAACATCGTAAAATTTCCTTTACAAAAATTAATGCAAACAAACTTACAAAAAATTGCATGTGTCTAGCCTGGCTTGCAATGGTATAAAGTACTTTACTGTGCACTAATACACGTCAGGGAACCTCAAATTGAGGCTTTTTTGAAACTAATCAGCTATATTTTTCAAATCTGCCATTTTTATGTCAGATCACCAATTTTACACAATTCAGCTGGAAATCTGCTGAAAAATTCATTTTGGTAAAATTTTTTGTCAAACTTGTATTTTTCGAAAAATTTGGTCAAGTTTAGCTGAAATTGAGCTAAAACGGTCACCTTGCCACGACCCCTCCCTTTTCTACCGTGTCTGTCAGTGTTACCCTGGTCTCATTGAATTAACTGAAAACATGTTCAAGTTGTGAACTTTCATTTTTCCGTAGGTAAAACTTGCACATATATGGGCAGAGTGTACCTTGCAAATGAAAATCGGAAGGACGACTGCAACACGTGGTATGTATGTTGAGTCGCACGTAAAAATTGTTGTGTTCCTTAAACTCACTTTTGGACAATAATTTGTCGTGTGACAATGTAAAGGAAGCCAGCAGCCCAGGCATGCAACAAAAAAAACAAAAAAATGGAGATAATCAAGTTTAAGGGTTTGGTGCTACCATTTCCAAATTAACAATCACATAAGGTTGACATTTTGACTCATGAAATTTGTTAAAGGTATAGTCTATCATTTGTAATTTGTGCATTTTGTTCATTTGAAGCAACAAACGTGCTCAAAATCTAAAGAAGGGTGCTGAACAACTAACCTGATGAAGTTTCAGCCCAGCTTCAGCTGTATATTTTGAGCAAAACAACATTCTAGGATCTCGAATTTCAAATCAAAAGTTGCTGAATCATGTTTTGAATTGGACCTGAATTCAGCGTCCGAGACATGTTCTCACTGAGCCAATTACAGCTACGCGATGTCGCGCACTGATCCGACGAATTATAGCAACTGCGCACGCATGTGCGTCGCGTCAACGCTTGCGCGCACTTCACCGAATAAAAATACAAACTACTAACTGGAATTTCCAACGGTGCTTCTTAAGACGCACCATTGGAAAGGCCTGTCGTTGATTTCTTCAAAATGACAGCTTGCCAGAAAGAATAATTTCACAGGAAGTTTAGTCCCCTTACTATCTTTCAACCAAGTATGTTTTTCAACAATAATTATGCCAGTTACTTTTTGGATAGCTGCAAATGATGGACTCTGGCTTTAATGGAACATATTTTGTTACATTAGAATCACACGCTAACGTCATTTGCCTGGGAAAAATAATGAAAACCTCCTTCCGTCTTTTTCATCCTGTCAGTTACATCAGTATGACGTAGCCAAAATGTAAATCAAATGAAAGATATTTCCATGCTCTATCGATTACCCGAAAAATCAGAATTCGACCTTTTGACTCATTTTTGCCCTAATGACCTTCTTCCATGCACTTGAAACGTTTTTTTTTTATGGCTTCTGACTAGTGTCCCTTGAACAAAGACATTTACAAATTGGGGAACTGCCAACATAGGGCTGGATAGGTCAGTTGGTAGAGCACTGGAACGGCAATCCAGAGGTCACAGGTTCAAACCCCGCTCCAGTAACTTTCGTTGCTCAACTTAAAAAGAAAAAGGATTTGATGATGCAAACATAGCTTTTTGCTTCAGTAGGTACTCTGAAGAATATACAAAGAGAGAGTTTTAAGGAGATATTCGTTTGCTTTGCTGAGTGAATGTTTCCAGTGCCATAACTATTATATTTGTTTTTGTATCCAATTAATTAATCGCAATACACGTGTTTTTCGTTCCATAGTTCCTGTATAGAGGGACAATGGGGTTGCACAGAGAGAACATGTGGTAAGTGCATTCATTAGAAAGTATCCTGAATCAACCAAAATCCATCAATTTTGTCATGCGAAAAAATGTTGGTGTCCTGAGTCCATCAGAATCCACCATTGAGTCCATCAGAATCCACCAGTACATATACCTCATACACACCAAACATATAAGGAGTTAAACTGTTGAGATCCTGAATCCATCAAAGTCCCCCAATCGCTCAATATAGAGGTATGCTGAATCCATCAAAATCCTGCAGTGCTGCTAGGTTTACTGTCCTGAATCCATCAAAATCCCACAACTTTTTCAATATGGAAGTATCCTGAATCCACTGAAATCTCCCCAAAACAGGGGGTGTGGATTTTGATGGATTCAGGTACGTTAGGGTTAAAGTTTTGTTCCCCGTGCTCTTCAACAAATTCTGTGTTTTCTCCTTTTTTCGAATAATGACATTTCAACTTGTATTATATTTAAATGTTTAATGCCAACCAAAAACCCCTCTTTTTTTCCTATTTTGGAAGTCTATATCACCATCTGAAGAAAAACATTTTGTTTTGAGCACAAATAGATCCACTTTGCAAGCAGACTGGCTCCCGGTCCGTACATTATCGATACTGATTGTGGGGCGGGAACCAGCCTACCCCATAAGAATGTTATTATTTGTCTGGCAGCCAATAATTCAGAATTGTACAGTAATTCAGTAAGTTGCCTGTAAATTGCCACATGTAATATACTGCGTATGTGCATTGTTTGAAACATTTAATTAATTATGCCTTTTTTTCATTCCCCTTTTTGTCTTAATTGTTTTGTTACTTTTTTTTTTCACTGTTTCCTATGTTGCTGTTTTCTCCTGTGCACTCACCAACCTTCAGATGCCGCGTAAGTAATGATCATCTCATGATTATTAGTTCAGATGCAAATTTAATTTCAAGTATTCTCTAATCAAAAGAACAAGCTGATAAAAGGAGGAGTTTTCTGACACTTCAATGCAAATGATGAAACTCTGTTAATTGTAGATTTTACAGGCGCGGATCCAGAGGGGGGTTTGGGGAGTAAAAAAAAACCAAGAAAACGTCAGCTCTGTAAAAAAAAAAAAAAATTCTCATACAAATTCCTAAAAAATAAGTCGAACCCCCCCCCCCCTGTGACACCCCCATTTGCTGATGAAACCCCCCCCCCCCTGCAAAAATTCCTGGATCCGCCCCTGTTTTAAATGCAAGTTTCGGAGGATTGGCTTTTTAAGCAGTATTCAAAGGGTTTGCTTCTAAGTGATTCTTGGTGACTTCAGTCTTATTTTGCCAGAAACCAATCAATAATTCAAAATATTCTTGGGCCGAAAATCAGTGTGTCTGTCATGCGTTGAGCATAGTGTGCACTGCGTGATGTGTAAAATTCAGTTGTTAGAAAAGCAAGTTTGTACATACGTCCATGTATCTGTATTGCGCTATTTGTACTACGTTATCCATTGAAATTTAAAACCCTACAGGAAGCGATTGAAACGGATGACGCATATAATATGCATAAAGTGTAGTGGTGGGGTAAAAATTTAAATATTTACGGCTTGCTTTTAAAACAAAGCAGTTTATGTGAGTTTCAATTTTCAAATCCTCCGTTGATAAAACATTGAATATTCATATCCTTTTGTATGTTATGGAGAAGTTAAATGTTAGCAACGTTAATTTCGTAAAATGTGTACTTTGACAAATCTAATCCAAATTTGATTGAGACTTGATTTTTCTACTCGCAAAACTACTGCATGTTCTCTATTTGAGCTTTTACGCCTGTCATGTGTGCAGAGAAATACGTACACATGGATTTTCAGAGTACGCATAGTGGATGCGCAAAACGCACAGTGCAATACGCACACCGAAATGGACACGGATGTTCAACCTTAAAAACGGTGAAGTCTGCTACAAACTTAAAATGTTGAAAAATCGTCATGGATCAGCATTGTTGAGCTATGTATTTATTGTGTATTTATATGGCTTGTATTTTACACTTTCGTCTCTGCTTTCTGTACACAGTCCAATTGTAATCCAAGTGGAATTTGACTTCACCAACGATTTCAGTAGCGTAGCTGGCAAGGAAGAACAGTTCACTACGTGAGTTGAATTTTTTAAAGAATTAAGTTATTGTCTCATGTGGTGTATGAACTTCCTGCACAAAACCCATCATTGTTTATAATGAATGGCAGAGTGCCAATATTAATGGAAACTTGAAGAATTTGCTTTGCACAACATGATAAAGTTGTGTCCATCTTATAGTCCCTATGATACAACCGAGGGTGTACCCGTTGTTACCCAATACATATGTTCCCCAATACCTATGTTAGGATTAGGGTTAGGGTTGGGGTTAGGGTTAGGGTTGGAGAGCATAGGTATTTGAGAACATAGGTATGCACCCGATACAACCAGCATCGAATTGTTTTGTGTTCAATTGTACACTTTTTCACGTCATAAATTTTTGGCCACTAGATTATGAAACTGTAGTAATAATGTCCCTAAATTGTCTAGAAAACAATTTAAGAATTTTTTGTTTAAATTTCATTTCAGGGCATTGAAGGCAAACCTCATGCAGTTGTTACGAGTAAGGGAAAGCCATATTCAGAACTTGACGGTAAGCTAAAAGCTCAATCATATTGAAATGTAAAAGACACTTTTAGAAGCCTTTTTCTTTTCTTTTGTCCATGAGCTGCCACCTGTGTGCAACAGTGCTTAGCCGCATAGTTGGTTCACAGCTTCGGTGCACGGACCTCGTTCTTTTGTCTAGCTAATAGCGCATGCTCTGAAAATAGGCCCTATATTCACTAAAAGGTTTGACCACTCCAGGCAGGGCTAAACTTGTTACAATAGACCTTATCATGCCACCATTTTAGTCATGTTCCCTGTATCCAATAACAGTACTGAATGATAATGTTTTTTGTGCAATAAAGAACCAGACCATTTTTCCTTCCAGCCTCGCTTTGGTTACGTTGAATTGAATGGAAAAACAAATCAATATGACTGCAATATAATAATGGTTTATTTGTGACAATGTAGTACTGGTCGTGTAGCTGTGCTTTTCTATGCTGGTAATAAGTTATTGTTTGCATTATTAAAAAAAAGTCAAAATCTGTCTGTATACACATTGCCAAACAATAATCATTTTATTGATAAATTTCATTAAATTTTTTAGTGCTCATACTTTTGTTTGTTATTATAGATATCTGCTGGCAGCATAAAGGTCAGGTTCAACCTTGTCGAGAACAAGACAAATAATGTGGACATTGAGACAGTGGCTGTCGTATTGGAAACATCGGTAAGAGAATTATTTTTTCTTACCGAGATTAGCTCCCACAAATTGGCACTAGCTGTAAAAAAAAAATAACTTAAATGACAAAAAGGAAAAAGTTTCACCTGATTTTTATTGTTTTATTGCTTTATCCAATATTTTAGGGGGAGTAGACTAATGATGTGCATCGGGTCGTGTTGACCAGGCCAAACTGACCCACAACATTAGAGATATAAACCGAATCTGAACCGAAACCGATCTTAACTCCCTCAAACCGATCCGACCCAACCCGACAAAAAATAGGGTAAAACCGACCCGAACCGACCCGACCCGAAAAAAAGAAGAAAAAACCCCAAATAACTGGCTTGGACAAAGTGATCACTTTTTTGTGCCTGCCCTTACCCACATGGCATGAATTCTTTTGCAAAACCATCGTCTCTCTCTCTGTCATACTCAGTTGGTTGATCAAGAGTAACTCCGCTTATTGAACAAACGCATGGTCACCACGCAGTATCATGAAAACTGTTACAATCTATCTATTTCACTGTCAGTCCCGATCCGACTGGAGAAATTAATACCGTGGGAACTTGATAGTACGCATGTTGGCCACACCACACTAGGGCTGCAGTCACAGTGACTGTCAATAATATTGCATCACCTGAATTTCTCATTTGTTTTGGTTTATTTCGGTTTTATTTCGTTTTTTTTTCTTCAAAAGATGGCTCAACCGACCCGGCCTGACCCGAAGTCGGTTTTGGGTTGGGTTTGTTTTGGTTTCCGGTCAGTTTTGCACATCATAAGATTAGACCCTTCTCACGTGACATCTACTTGTATATTCTTAAGATTTTTTTTGGGGGGGGGGTTGTTTTATTTTCAGCCATTTCCAATAGCATTGTACATGTTTTCATCGTGCAGGGCACTTGGGCACAAAAATCAATCCGATTGCCTGTAGTATACTTTGCACACACTTAGACTAGCACCTGCAGATGTTTCATCAAGTCATTTTTAAGGCCTATATCAACAGAAGTACAGGTTCAATTTGGTATGCACCAACATTGGGATGCGCAAATTATCAGTCTATATCATGACGTGAATTTATATCAACAAAATTCCGAAACAGCCATGTGTTGGCCCACAAACATCTAGTATTTAATAGCATTTTTTTCGGGGGTAGGGGTAGGGGATAGACAAAAGACAATCGCTAGACAATCCCCCGTAGAACCGCGCCTGGTACAAGAATTCCATAACAAATTTGCATTTTTTTGTTATTACACCTTTCTTTCCTCGGTGTCACAGATCAGCAAGAATTCCTACACCTTCATATTTGACAACCAGCAGTATGAATCGGACCCGGCATCTTTCAGGATAGTAAGACAAGGCACACCTACACCGACTCCTGGTCCTGAGTCTAACTCGCTCATCATCATCATAGTTGTGGTGACCTGTGGGGTCGCCGGCATTCTTATAGTCATTGGATCTGTCTGTTGGATGGTAAGTTTGTTTGTTTGTTTGTTTGTTTGTTTGTTTAATTTATATTTTTCGGATGTGCTGTGTAGTCATGTGTCCAGTTATTTTCGAAGTGCAAACAGGAATGCTGAAGTGGGGAGTCAGGTTGGCGAACTACTTCTTTCCTCGCCTTCCACCGCTGTGACCCGGGTTCGAATCCCGCCTGGGCCAATATGTGAATTGGGTTTTCAGTCCCTGCCTGATTCCATGGGTTTCCCTTTTAATATTCTTCTGGGGTTTTCCTCCCACCTCTAAAGCTGTAATTTCTTCTCATTGTCTTCGCTCTACGGGTTTCTTCAGGCTTGCGAGCTTACAGTGCCGAGGGAGCTATTTGGAGAATCCTTGGTTTCATTACCAGAAGTAATTAATAGTAATAATAATAATAACTAGAAAGCACTCAGAGAGCGCACACTTCCGCCACGGCTGAACAATTCCTTCCCATATAGTTAGTACACCCATACATCCTTGCATATCCATTGGACTTCCATATTTTATTGCACATTTATAACATCCTTAAACTCAAACATTTTGTATATTCATGTATATGCCTGTGTTGGTCTACTTTTCCACTCCCCCATTGTATAACATGGTATAGTCCAGGCGCGATTCTAGAACCAATATTTTGGGGGGGCTAGCAGGGTGGATCCAGAATTTTTTTCAGGGAGGCGTGCTGAAATGTAGACCGGTAATTTTCTCCAGACACTTAGGTGGGGGGGGGGGGGGGGGGACACTATATTAACTACAAATGCATATTTTCAATGGGGAGCGCCAATAAAATCCTAAAATCATTCACACTATATTAACTACAAATGCACCCTTGTCAGGACTATTTCTTTAGGGGGAGTCCTTTCGCATGTACATCACAATCCTTCTTTTTGCTAAAGCAAAATCTTTTTACGGAATTTATTTTGGGGGGCTAGACAAAATTTGGGGGGGGCTAAAGCCCCCCCCTAGCCCCCCCGTAGAACCGCGCCTGGTATAGTCCATTGACCTAGTGGTTAGATTAGGTGGGTTACAAGGCACACAGGGTCAGACAAACACACTAACCAACCAACACAAAAACCAACGCCGGTGAAAAAATAACTTCCTTGGCGGAGGTAATAAAAAGAGCTCACAGTAGGAATAAGACCTGAGAAGCTAAGGGATGTTTGTTCAGATTTTTTTTAAAACTGTGTCCTTCTTTGCCTTTTGTGGCATCAAATTTATAGTCAGACTGAACAGACGATATATATGCATTCATTTTGTGCAGGTGAAAAGACATAGTACAACAAGAGGCATCACAGAATATGGAGATGACCGTTTACCCAGCGTAAGTCTGAAACCTTTGACTTTCCCCAGAAGAATAGTGGTAGTTAACCAGTTGGCGTCGGAGGACGTGATAACACGCACTGGCTGCTTTTATACACAGGCACGGCTGACGGGTTAAGACGTCAAGATTGCCTCGACTCGCCTCCGGGTTACGTCTAAACACGCTAATCCCTCGTGCCTTTTGTACACACACACAAAGTCTGTGAAGTCTGTGGAGGTAGACCGTGTGTTGATCTTGCATTGGGGGGCAGGGGGGCACTGTCTCCTCTCTTGTAATGCCAAAGTGCCCCTCCAAAACACAAGTACCCCTCTCGCATTAACAAGATTGTGCACCTTCTCGAGATGGAAAACTACCTCTCGAAAGCACACATACCCCTCTCGCAATAATAAAATTGTGCCCCTCTCGATCGACATGGAAAATTGGCAATCAAAAACAGTAGTGCTCCTCTCGCAACACTAAATTGTGCTCCCTCTCAAGATGAAAAACTGGCCCCTAAAAAGTGGTCACTGAACTGGCCATCAAAAGCAACAGTGCCCCTCTCGCGATAAAAAAAAAATGGTCTCTCGACATCACTAGGTCAAAGAAACACAAAGAGCAAGATGGACAACATATTCATAATTTGTTCCTCGTCATATACCCGGTAGCTTTATAGCGAAATCAACGGGACCATATTCTGTTCCTCCACTTTCACACCGATGGAAGGTGCCCCATTTTATGAGCAAGTGCCCCTTTTTGGTGTTGCCCCCCCCCCCCCAGTTTGAAAAGCGTCCCGCCGTCCCAGAGGAATACACTCCAACACTACACATTGAGACAGCAAAATACAATATCTAAAATCTCTTTGAGAGATGCGTCATGCAGCTGTTGATTATTTGCAATTCCCACAAATAGGTCATTCATAATCTGTAGCAAATTCCGTACTTTCAAATTCTCCGCATTTGTGTGCTTTAAGCCGTGTGCCATAGTTTATGCTCTAGTCTGTGATAGCGCATATCTTTAGTTCAATGTTCTTTATAAAATTGTTTATTAAAAACACGACCAAAAAAACCCCCGCAAATTGGTTGACGCAATATTTAAATGATATCCAAATACATGTATTATGAACTGTTTTATAAAGTCCTTCTTTTCTATCTTTTTTTTTACAGCATAACCCTTCATTTGACTTCGATAATGGAGGAGACGATTATCAAAACTCCATAAGCAAGATGTGATTTAAAAAAAAATTCTTATTCAATTTTTTGTATATAAATCATTCATGTATAAGTAAACAACCAACTTTTTAATGTAGAACATGCACAATAGATTCTTTGCATTGCAGCCATCTTTGAGATACATGCTTTTGTATAACATGAGTAGACTTTGTCTGCAGTCATTGTTACAGAATTAAAATGACAAACTCACCTCCAAAATGGCACCTGAATTCAAAGGGTCTATTGTAATTTTTACCTTTTTTTCCATCAAAAGCCGGAACTCTGATCCTGTACATAATTATATTCAGATTAGGCAGCTCAGACAAAGATTTTTTTTCTGGGAAATAATTTGAAACTTTATAATGTTAATTGAACTATATCTTCAATATTAAATATTTTTAAAAGTTTTATATTATAAATGGAAAAAGGGACCAACTTGGTGGTTTGAATTTGTGCAAACTCCTACTTGAGAATTGTTATGGATGTCGACATGAAAAGCATATAAGATCATTTGCATTTATCCTAAAAGTAACCTCCCGAATAACTATCTAAAATGCTAACTTGGTTGAAGATTGTACTGGTACTAAATATTCAGTGAAACTGTTCCATCTGGCTTGCTGTCATTTTGAAGAAATCAAGAAATGCAGGAGATTTCCAACGATCAGTCAATTGCCTGATTTTTGTAAATAAGGAGTGCTATCAACGAAATCGTATTTCATGATCAAAAGGTTGGCATGGTTTTTCACTATTTTCTTGAGAAGTGTAATAACCACTGAGATGAACCTTCAACAGGTTAGGTTTTGGACATTCGTCTTTGGATTTTGTGTTATTAGTGTGGTGTTATTATTGGAAGCAGACAAAATGCATGGAAAGCGAATGATCGTATATGTCCTTCATTCATTATTGTTTGTTTTAATCTCAGTATATGTACATGCTCCCTGGTGGAGAATACTGAATGTTAGAGTTTGCAGTCAAGTAATCATAAGCTGTCATTAGTCAATTATAAGTCAGCCAGTTTCTTTTTTTTTTTTTTGCTATAATGGTCGGAGATTTGACTTGTACTTGTCTTAACAACAACTATGCCTTGTGCTTATTTTATCAAAATTATATTCAATTGTTCCATTGATTTATGATCAAGAAATTGTTAGTGTAGGACTTTAATTATATTTTCATTATGCCGTAATTTGGAACAGACATATTGATGTGAGGGATGGTATAGTTAGAATCCAACAATGTTTTCCAACTAGAGGCCAAAAACAAAATGCCTTGTTTTTGAAGAACACTTTAAATTTGGAAATCACAATGCAGTGGACTTTTGAAGAAGATTTTAGGTAATATTTTGATAAGCTTTCTATCGTTGTTATGAAATTAAATCTGTGCCATGAAATAATCATAAGGTGCACCAAATTTTTGTACTATATTGAAATTGAAATTGTGATTTTGTTTTGATATTTTGTTTATATTATAGTAGAAAACAAGTTTATAAGAATTATTGTAAGTGGAATGGAAACTGTATTCCTGTTTTCCCCGAAAGCAATACTATTTTTGCATTCCGACTTGTTCGATAAAATATGAAATATTATTTGTCTCATGTACTATTTATCTCAATTTTGTTGTGTTCTTTCTGGTATTAATAATGTACCCAGTTTATGTTACCCATATTTCTTTTCTCTGCATTATGTTTCTCTTGTTTACTTGCAGGCAACAATTGCATAATTCACTGTATGGCTAGAAAAAGCACAGTGCCAAAACTTTCCACAAAACTAACATGATTTATCGTGTGTACTTGATCGATTTTATGTTTACTTGGAAGTGGAGGGATTGATAGTAAGGACTATGTACATGTAGGTTAAAGAGACATTACCAATGCATATCAGAGTTATCTGTGAAAACAAGGAAAAGACGGTTCCTTAATGATAGATAAGTAACGTTTTTCCGGTAAGCAAATCTTGGAATACGGCTTTTCTGTGAAAGATTTGATACAACTATATTATGAACAGCATTGTGGGATGACAGGGCATTTGATTTATTGAAGGAAAAAGGAAAACAATGAGGTTATTGAGCATTTGATGCACAACTGCTACAGGAATGTATTTCATTCTTTTGGGGTGTTCTTCATTGACTTGTGATTTTAATCTTTAAAAATATAAATGTGATTTCTGATTGATCATATTAAATGGTAACAAGAGAATAATGTGGCTTGCTGGTCGTGTCGCACAATGCAAATCGATGCAAGCACTAAGTAGCCATGGATGTAGCAAGATCCGGGCAATTCTTGCCTGTATTTCTTCTTCTGTACCACAAGAAGTGGGCATCTAACAGGATTTATCAATTACAATGTTTCTCAATGTATAACCAATTTTTTTTATCCACAAAAAAGAATAAATATTTGGTCCATCTGCAAGACTAATCAGATTTTATAATTGTGATTCTGTGACTCGGCTACTGTTTCTTTCCGTGTGGGAAAGCCACACGAACATTGTAATTGATAAATCCTGTTAGATGCCCACTTCTTGTGGTAGAGAAGAAGAAATACAGGCTAGCGGTTTAACCCTAGTTACACCACTAGTGGGCCATAAAAGTTGGGCAAAATGGGTTGATAATTCGACCAGTGCTAGTCAACTAATCAACTGCCTACACTCTTGGGCAAATTCTTCCCAATAGTTTGACAGTTTTTACCCAATTGAACCCAATATGAGGTAATTTCATACCAATGTCGGGTAAATTACATTGCCCAACAGTATTTTACCCAACGTTTTTACAGTGTACCTGGAGGTGCCTACATTTTCTCAAGGCGACACTGAAGGCAAATGATATTTTTGTTCCATTCAAGATTTTGGGGAGGGGGGAGGTACCCGGGGAGCACGGTCTTCTGTTGGGGGAGGGGCACGTGCCCCCCCCCCCCCCCCCCCATAATTACGCCACTGGGAAAAACCTTTGTGCAATGTGCAAGTTTCTAGACATTTCCTAGAGGAATATTTGCTTAACTTTAAATAATAGTAAATTGTATCTTTGAGTCATATCTTTATCATTGTCATATTTCACCCTTTTTGACAATATCATAAGTTTCCTTTTTATTAATGAAAAATGTATAAATAGACATGCAAACTAACTGAAATATTTTAGAAAATACATGCAGTTTCATTCTGACAAATTAAACCAATAGAAAATATTGTTTATGTGGCCTAAGCGATTTCAGAAGCGGCGTAGCAAAGGGGGGGGGGGCGCACCCCCCCACCCCCGCACTGGAAATGTCTTAGTCCTATAAGTGACCATGATTAATGGGTTTTAACAAAAACTTCGCGCCCCCACTGTAACATCCAGCCCCCCCCCTTCCCACTCATCCAGCCCCCCCCTTCCCACTCATCCAGCCCCCCCCCCCCCTTCCAACTCATCCAGCCCCCCCCCCCCCTTCCCACTCCCCCCCCCCCCCCCCCCCCCCCCCCCCCCCCCCCCACGATGACAATCATGGCTACACCGCTGGTTTTCAGTAATCATAATCCCCGGGCTTCCAAAGACTTTGCACTTGACCACCCTAAAAAAAAAAACATATTAGATAGCTCTCTGAAATGTAGCCACAGCAACGTTGATGGCCTTTTGTTTTTGCGCCTTCCGTCGACGTGTCTTGGAAATTACGAAATCACACCTGTTGCATCACGGACACCGTGTAACTTGCGACCAATCACCAGCCTGCTTCAGCGATGGTGTATCCAATTAATTTACTGTATGCGCAGCGCGTAGACATGCATGGCATGCACTTGCTTGCACACTAGAATTGCGTGCGTATTTTTCTACAGAGCGCCATTTTATATTCGACGCGACCTGTGCGCGTGACAACTGCGTGTGTGCGTGTACTTTTCAACGAGTTCTTGGGCATTTTAGACGGTGAGATTGGCCTTAAAAATAAGCTTGATGGCCGACTTCGTGGACGTGAGATAAATACACATAACACTGTTACTTTTTAGTTGCAGGAGACAGGTTGACACAGTGACAGCCTTTGTTGAGATTCATCGGACCTTCGCAGCATTTTTTATACCTGCTGAACTGCAGGTTGGACTACATGTAGGTCATCACGAAGCGTATGGGGTAAAGGAGTCCACTAGCCCAGGTTGGACGATTGTACGTAGGGAGGTAGGGACTCAGGAGTCCACCTAGGCACGCTTACAGCCAGCAGCAAACATAATTTGTGTGATATAAACGCAGCTTGCTCACCCTTACTCTTGCACCGAAGAAGCCTCCTTTTAAGAACAACTATTTTTAAATGTATGTAAGATAATCTGTTAAATATTTGAAGTAAATTATATCTGAGAAATGTTCATTACACTGTGGCTTTACTTAAGTTCTACCACAGAGGAATACATCAGCTGCACAGGATCAACTAGGTCTATGGACTTTTTATAGGAAGTATAGGATCACATGAAACTGAACAGCTGCACAGCAAATCCTCTCCTTGGTCCTGAGTAATCTATCTTGAATACCAAACTTAGTTTCATTGCGTTCCTGAAACATTTACTGTGTAGGCTAATAGTTAATACAGTGAGTAATACTAGTAATAAAATTTCACAGTAATATGCGCTATCTTGTTCAAGGGGGAAAAAGAACATCCGTTGCTAGACGCGGGCGCATTTTGGAATGACCGCATGATGACTTGGAAGCGCAAAAGTTTTCCACTGACGATACGTACAGCAACGCGTATTAAATTGCCCCACGGGCAAGATGGCGCATACCGTGAAACACCTTATTGCTTTTAAATCGAGAGTAGGCCTATACCACAACTTTTCATGTGGGCTCAACTTTTTTTGTTTTCCACCTTCATTCTTTTGAGGAACTTTTTATAATTTTTAATGACATCTTTGTTTTTGTTGCTAGTTGTTTTTGTTGTTGTTTTAAGAATAACAATTTCAGATTTACTGCATCCATAGATAGTAGAGCCATCAACAATGTCCCAAGAAGACCGCACACCAGCAGAGGATGACAAGCCCTTGCCTGCCCAGTCCAGCCACTGCGCATCTGGAAGCACAGAGTCCGAGACCTCGGACGACCTGTCCGAAGCCTCAGATACAGCTCTCTTTGGTGCCACCTCTGTCCTCCCGAGGCGGAAGCGTCGGCGGCGGACCATCATCGGGGCCGACCAACTCATGAAGATGGAGCAGCTCTACAAGCAGGAACAGTGGCCCGGACGGGAGAAGAAAGAGGCCCTGGCCAGGGAGATTGGCATGTCCACGCACTTCGTCAACATCTGGTTCCAGAACAAGCGCTCCCGGATGAAGAAGCTGGCCCAGGAGGAGGAAGAATTGGAGATTCTCCGCCAAAGCAGAAGCCCTGGGACTACTGTCAAGTTAGACTCTGCTCCAGGGCCTAGTATGTTGACAAAGCCAATAGCCATAGCTCCAAAACCAGCCTTTGGAAATCCCATCAGGAGTCCCCTCACGCCTGTTAGAATTCCTAAAGTAGGCCAGTGTGTGGTATTAGGGCACAACATCAGTGTCAGTAGTGGAAGTACAGCAGCTACTCCAGTACAGGCCAGTGGAGCATCTATACACCCGAGTCCTACTGTCAAGGTGCAGAATACTACTTCAAGCAGCAAAAAACACTCCAGAATACAGGTAATAATACTTGGGTGCTAATCAATTTTTTAATGAACCTGAATCTGGATTCTTTTTAAAGTACTCTCAAGAAAGACAAAATGCCACAGACTTGGAACAAATTCATCAGCTTTGTTTTCGATCATCATTCACCATTACCAATTGCTTTTGCAGTTTCTGTGGTTGATTTTATAATTTGAAACATTAAGTTGTGCATTCACACTAAAAGCATGTTAATTTTAGACCTAGGTTTCTGATTTCTTTATGTGTAAAATTGGCACTTCAGAATGTACATTGCACTTGTAGTTGTACTATGTATAGAAGACTAGGCAAGCCTATGAAGCTAGTCCTAGAGTGCACACAATTCTATCCAATTGGTTCAAAATTCGCTATTCACTGGAAGTCTTTTCATGCACCTGGTCTACACAATTTGCTGGATTTAGCCCATTCATTTGAGTAATCCTATATAAAAGCACTGCCCGGCTCAAAAATGACAGTCAGTCAGTCAATCAGTCGGGGAGTCAGTCAGTCAGTCAGTGATATAGTAGCCTTTCACCAAGGCCATCGTGCCTTAACTTTAATACAGGCATTAGACAAGGCCTAGGCGGTGAACCCACAAACGACTGGAGCGGAGACTACACTGTCTTCGCTCCAGTTGCTTTCGCAGTTTCGGTGCTTGGCCGCTCTAAGCCATGATGGCCTCAGCGAAAGGCTAGTGATATAGGTGCAAAGAAGAACTTGGCTGGCCCTCTGAGACAGGCTAAAATCAAACAATATCCAAAATGAGCTTTCATTTTACAGGATTCTAAAAAGTTAGAAGGTGAAAACAAACTTGTGGGTGATTGCACTTTAAACATAACAAATATCTTGAACATTCTGAATTTAGTCACTCCAGACGTCCACAGCCCCACCAAAGCCGCCCACTTCACTCCGGCCTCAGCAACTGTCAGTCAGCTCATTAGGACTCCCATTACGCAGAACCAACCACGCCCCACTGTCGATGCCAGAGACCACGGGACAGCTGAATTTCTTCAAGTGCTTGGTCTCCATGATGGCCTTGGAGGAAGGGGGGCTCATCAAGAAAGGCGACCCGGTGTTTGACGTGGCAGTAAATGCTGCCCTCTATGGCCTGCGGATGGCCAACGGCAACATCTTGACGTACAGGAAGAACCGAGGGCTGTTCATTCACAATGACCAGTGAGGCCGAGCCGCGAAACATCTCGCCAGGAATTGCAAGGACTATAAATGAACACATACAATGAGCAGCATCTTGCCCTTTTTAGATTTCATGTTGCAAACTGTATTTTTCCCAATAAACCTTTTATGCATTAAAGGGAAAATACAACATTTGCAAACATCAAAAAATAAAATTACCAAATCATTTTGAAATACCTTGCTGGACTGTTAGTGAATGAAAGTGTAAAGCATCCTGTAAAATCATGGCACCTGGTATACTGTCATTTTCAAGAAAAGTGGTATTTTTGTATCAATTTCCAACGCTGGTCGGCCGACCAGCGTTGGAAAAAACTGGCTTTTTTTCAAATACTGGCCCCAATTGACCATCGCATTTGTTTGCAATCGATTACACACCTATGAACGGGTACAAGCCAGCTAGACTGGTTCCCTGACCTTACAATTCCCCAATGTATGTAAACTGCTCTGTTTCTTCTTATATGGAGTCAGGGAACCAGACTACAGGAAAATGATTGTTTTTCTTGGTTTTTATAGCGTTTTCGAACCCAAAACCTCAAAAAAGTCAGTGTAACTATATTTGCTATATATTTCCAACCCCCCAATTCCATCCATTTCTGAAAATTACAGCAAAAGCAAATGATGTATATTCCCTTTAATTGCCACCAGACATGTGCAGTAAATGTATATGGTGTGTGTCATTGTAGGATAGTTTGCGCTGCACATATTAAATTCACCATTCATAGCAAAAAAAACTGTTTCGAAATGCATCGCAAGGTATACTTCACTGCACAATTCAAATGTGGCCGTAAAAAGGTCTGTTATCTTCGTGTTGTCAAACAGAATTATTTGAACACTGCTTTACCTAAATAAACAGCACACACGCATCATACATCTGTACAAATTGGCTTCATTCTTAACAAATATCTGTTTTGTTTACACTTTATTTAAACAATTCATATTGTTCCTTTATATTATCTGTAACATACACAACTGATTCCAAAGATTTCTCCTTACAACATGTTTGTATTTTATTTTCTGCAAAATTTTATTTATAGTATAACACTAAATTCTGTTTACTAATTTTGAAATTGTTTATTAAATTACAAAATGTTACTATAATTTACTAAAAACATGTAAATCACATTTTTTCTTTATATAGAGTTTGTTGCGAAAATGAGTGATTATATCATAAGAAATAGGACAGCCTATGAGAGATAAAGTCGTGCCACGTAACTGTGTGAATTACTATTACATACAGATTAGAGATTAAATTAAAGCCATTCTGTTTGAAGTTATACAGTTATGCCAATACAAACGAAGTAATGCTAAAGTTAATATTGAAACAACAGATACAACTTAAAAGCTGTGTATATTGGAGTGCTACATGTACATACATACATCAAGACAGATGGACAGATAAACTTTCTGTAACATGCTGTAAATTTTGATGGTTTATTGCCCACGCCCCCAATAAAGTGTCTGACAATGCTTCTCATTTATGTGTGTTAACTAGTTGTATTTTTATCTCTGTTTTATGTTTTCTTCCTGAAACATGATGATTAAACGAAATGCGAGGAACATGAAACCAATCAGTTATGCTTAGTTTGCCTGTTATTGGTGGAAACTTCTTACATGCAAATCTAACGGTCAATATGCAAATTGCGTGCAGGTCTTAAGTTGAAAGGTCACCAGACGGGTACCCTCAACGCGGAATTCTCCACGTTGAAACATGCATAAGAGGAGACTGGGTGCTTAACCAGTACAAAAGCGTTACGGACCACATTGGGTTCGCGTGGCATTTTCTTCAAGAAGAAAATTACTGTTTTCATCACTTTGGCGAGAAACATCTCGTTCCAGTTGTTGTGTATAGTCATTTTATAGTCTGTCCTGTCACCATGTTCAGAAGGAAGCTGGAAGCGCTCGGTTATCATCAGACTGACATCGATATAACTGGTGAGTGTTCTGTGTAGGCATTGCACCAGTATCGTGAAAAATTATCAACTAGGGCGGCCTAGCCCTAGGCCCTTCCCCCATGACATGCATGACAGTCTAGGCCTAGTCTGTTTCTGAGCTGACGCCACAGTAGTGGTTGAATACCGTGATTTTCGGAATATAAGCCGCGCGGAGTATAAGCAGCTGCACGCAAAAGTCTGCAAATTAAGATTTGACGTCTAAAGACTAAAGACTTAAAGTGAAAAAGCTCTGAATCAGTTCCATTTGCACTACGAAATCTATAAAAAGGGCCACAAAAGTCATATCAAAACATTTACTGTCTATACTCGTTAAGAAAAAACATATGGAAATTGACGATGAGAAATAAACACCAGGAATTGCTGCCGGCCGGTCCCCAGCCTAAAAGTTAGTGCATGGCCCAGCAGCCTGTGCCGGCGAATTAATTGATTTCGACAGGCGAATGACAACATTTTCCCGCAGCACTTGAGAGAGTATGCAACCCACCATGTGTTGTCTGACTGGAGCACTACAAATCTTGCTTTGTGGCAACAGATGCTGATTTGTTTTGTCCTAAAAATAAAGAGGCCTAGGTCTTTTTTTACAACAAAACTTATCAAATTGTTGTGATTACTAATGAGTACTAACGTCAAAAAATCCAGTTTTCGATCGTACTTTCTTCGAAAACAGTCAACACGATGCATGCATTTTCATGGACGAATCCATTAATTTCGTAAGGGGTGATTTAGCCCTTATTGTGCATTTTACATCGTTTCTTGAATACATTTACAGAAAAAATTATATTGTTACGTTGAACGACTGATTTTCCAATAAAGAAATGTTTCGACCTTCATAAAAAGTATTAGTTGTCCCTTTTTTTTTTAAACAGCGGAAATATTGGTATTATTATTCCCAAGAAAGTACACCCCTTTATTACCACAAATGATGTGGGCCACAAGTGTGTGCATCCCGTTCGTTGGTGTGACGTCACCTCCAGCACTTTCTGCATGATTGGAACCGGAAGTTAACGCAGCCCAAGCATTTGTAGCCAATGGGCGCTAGTAATCAGTGGTGTGCGCGCGTGTATGACGTTTTTACTAACGAACCGGCAGAACGGTCACTATAATAATGAAGACAGCTTTCACTCACGCACGGCTAGCCACGGGTATTGCTCGGTGCCTTTTCGTGGGGGTTTACCTTCGTGGGACGTGCTTCCACTGTTTGTTAATGACTTTCCGGTACCTCAAGTCTGGTAACGATTGATAACTTATTTCAGCAACAGATCTTTTCTTGTACCAGTACATTAAATACACATTTAAATCTCATTTTAATTCTTCAAGGCTCGGCGTATAAGCCGCCCTGTGTATAAGCCGCAGTAAACATTTCCATGGGCAAAATCATCGTATAAGCCGCGGCTTATATTCCAAAAATTACGGTACTTGTTGTGTAAAAAAGTCTATGTATTTTATTTACCTATAAATAATGGCGCCAAATCCCAGCTGCTGCACCCTTTTGGAAGGGTAAAATTTTTGGCAAGATTCCTATATATCTTGCCATCACTAATTTTTCCCTTCAGTGACCTGTCTAATCAGCCATCAGAAAGTGATAATATTTACTAAAAAGTCAAATTTAGCAGGGAAAATATTGAAGTATTTACTGAGAAAACATTTAGAAATTTTCAGACCAGTCTCATACTGTTTGTGCACAGGGTGACAAGTGATGGCCAGATATAGGAATCTTTCCAAATGTTTGCAGTTTTGGCTTAGTAGGCCTATAGGCCCTATTTAGGCCTATTTATTTTTTGTTTGAAATGTTTATTTAGCCGTGAACCGGTCTCTCATTTTAGTGCCTCATGCACGTGTATACAAGTAGGCCTACACCATATAAGATATTACATTTGTAAGCAACGCTGCTCAATTTCGAGTCCCAGCGTGACCATTGTTTTGAAACTTTATTTTTTTGTGTCCCCTAAAATCTGAATTATCTTATTTTTATTATTTTAAATTGAATCCTACATTTGGAAAGAATATTGCAACCTGATGCCACTTTTTTCTTCATATATCATCTCAAGGAAGGTCGTTAATTGCAATAATGATGATAAGACATGAATCTGGGACTGAGAAACATTTCAAATTTTGTTAGGAAATATTTAGAATTTGTTTTGACTCCCCATAGACTTTGCACACAACCGCTGAAGTGGCGTCAGGTTGCAACATTCTTCCCCTACATTTAATTGCACAGAATTTCATCATGTTCTGATTCATGGCTCTTGAGGATTTTTTTTTTACGTAGTGGCTATCGTTACAACAGCCATAACCCAATTTTCAAATCGTTACATTCATTACTACCGTTACAGCATTGTAAAAACGTAATGCGAATATATATCAGATTTACAACCGCCCATCCAACCAGAGCGCTTCGGTAGCTCGATTGGTACAGATGTTAGCTCAATGAGCTGGGGACCCTGGTTAGAAACCCTGCCGCACTACTCAACTTTTTTTCTTTTTCTTTTTTTAAATTTTTTGTTAATAGTTTCAGGTTTTTAATCAAATTGTTCTTTTTATTTTAGTAGATTTCATTTTCTTCTTTGAAATCAGTGGAGGCTTTTTTTTTTTAAGGGAAATAAAGTCCGAAACCATTTGGTTGATAGTCTGGTTTGAACAGCCAAAGATCATGACATTGAATACTATTACGTCATGGAACAAGACAGTTCTGAAACAATAGCAGTTGAAAGTCGCGTTACGGCTGCTGTAAGCCTGTAACGATAGCCCCGACGTTTTATTAAAGGAAAATAAAGTCTGAAATTGCAATAGGTCTGATTCCCATCTCTTGAATACGAAGTCGCAATGAAAATGTAAGCATGGAACCAGCAAAGATGTGTTACAGTAAAATATGGTTCACGGTCAAATATACACTGCCACTAGTTTTCATGTACAGTAATTTCCAGAGGAATATTGCAACAAGAAATTCTCAACATTTCCATGGAAAGTTGGCAGTAACGTTCAGACAACAAATTCGTCATCGGCACTACGAACTGACACTCAGTTGCGCATGAGTGCGCTGCACTCGCGCGTATTTTACAGAACCGTGATATTTTGGGTTTCAGGAACTGACATCCTCCAAAGTGTGGCACATTTAGAGTGCACCCCGTACATTTTTCGATTTCACGAACTGACACTGACCTGAATTTCACCGATTAAAACGGTTTTTAATTAAATTTTTGTGTAAGCACACAACTATACCGATGGATTAAATTCATGTAAACGTTCCAAACCGTTTTTCTCCGTATAGTGGACCAGCCAAAACGGCATATTATACTTTAGACGGCATTTTGGGGTAATAGCGGGCAACCATGTTAGATCAATCAGTCATAGGATGGGGAAGAAAATGTAGGTGGATGCCACCCTGGATTTTGACCCCAAAGGTCATTTAGAGGGTCAAAGGTCAAATATGATAAAAAGTGTATTTCTTTTGTATTTTGGAAGATTTTGGAACTTACTAGCGTAAGTATTGTGCAGAAAATATCTTTATCCTACAGTTAGGCATACCAGGCAGGTGTAATTAACAGGTTAAATTAAATATTTCATCTCCATATATAACATTGTAAGGAAAAAAGGTACTATTTTCACCTAACATATATAGAAATATACACACACAATATATATATATATATATATATATACATGTATGTACTTGTTTTCTTAAATTATACCTTGCACTTCGGTTATTACTGTGATGATTCACTGTACAGATATTACAATATATGATATATTATAATATATTACGTAAGACTTGAAGAAATAGGGAATATATCTCACGTGATTGTGTACATATACAGTTTTATTATTGTATTGGTTCATCGTCTTGGCCAGCTGGGTTGCAGCAGTTACATTTAGTGGCATCACACCAACAGGCAAGAGTGCACCTCAGATTCCTTCGGAAGCATGTGCATCGGGCTGCTGTGAACTTCGATTTATTTGGCACCACAAGTAACAAGCTCTAGACAGGCATCTGGGATAGGAGGTAACCGTGTCCAAACTGCTTTAAGGCAGCCTGACTCCATCTTCCAAGCTTAAAGTATCAATAGGAGAAGATATATCGATGTGTTCCTGGTCTTCCTGGAACCAGATCGTTGCCTGGTATTTTGCACGCACAGTGTGGAGTTCCAGGGCATCTCTTGTTGGCAGCAGTGCCTCAAAGCTCTTCTTAGCCTTCCCAAAAACTTGCAACCTGGCACGGTTAACAGCTCAGGAGTGCCATAAAGGTAACATGCAAATTGTTCGATAGGCGCAAGGTCTCCATCACGACCAATTCTCTTGACAAGTTGTGGTTGGTTCTAGAAGGTTTCCAGCACGACTTTTCCCTATGGCCAGTAAATTTAAGGAGGAGGTTGTATATCACAGCCTGTCAGTGCATGAAAGCTAAGCACATTATCCCTCACAGGTTGTGTAAGTCTCTGAGATATGGCATTAATTGGGTAGCATTTCCTCTTCTGAGCAGTCCCAGCGACCATCCATACTTCAGCTTGGGTTGAAAGGAAGTGAATCAGAAGTACAAGTAACATGACATCTGTGTCTCTGCAGACAACCAGCAGTCTCTGATATCCTTCTTTGACAGCCTCACATACATGGAGTATTATTCTGGTGTAGGCTTCTTCATGGTTTCCTCGAAGCTCGTCGTCCTCTCTTCTTGTTAACCTTGTTTCTGTTATCAGAGAACCCGCCTCCTGTTACCAGCTCGTACCTGCATGTATGGTAAATCTTTTCCTTTTTTCCATGATGGCCTTAGACAGAAACTTAGCAAGATTGGCCTTGTTTTCATCCAATGCAATGAATTGCCTCCAAACATGTAGAAGTGGCACATGGCGTCCATCAATGAGCTTCCGAATTGGCTTTTTCTCGCCTAGTCGCTTTGAACAGGTTTTTACCTTTATCAAGCTTTCCCCAATGTACCGATCAAACACCACATCAACTCTCATTGTGTGCAGTCCAAAGTGATTTGCCACACTTTGTACAAACACATCAGCATAGTCGCCAAAGTCTGACATCCTTGAGGCTTTCCAAGAGCTTGGATGAGTGCATGGCCATCGACCAGCACACGTCTTCTTGTCAGCATGAGGAACTTCTGGAGTGTGTTAAGTCCAGACATCAAGATGCTGATCAGCTCTGCCTTTGGTGTCGAGTTCATTTCACCTCCAGCCTTTGCCAAAGACACAGGAATTGGGGATATTTCATGCTTCAGTATGACCAGCATTTCTTATGGCCGACCTGCAGTAACGGCATTGAGCCGTCTCTGGAGTAACTTTCTGTCAGCTTTGATAGTTTTCTGTAGATTATGCTCGGTTGAAAGGTTTGCTTTGTATAGGTCAGCAAAGCTTTTTGAGTGATCTTTTCTAATCACGTCTTACACCCCAAAGTTGCCTCAATCAGGCAGCCACCTGACAATGGTGAGAAGGTGCAGCTATCCTCGATCTTGAGCTGTGAGTAGATCGCTCCTTGTGTCACTTGGTGCAGTGTCTCTTGTTGTCAATGATACCAGAGGGATGTCTTTTCCATTGGGGTCGTCTCCCTCTTCTTCAGTCAAGGACGGAGGTGTGTATTTGAAACACATCAAATCCGATTTTGTGACAAGCTTCTTCACATCGTCCACATCACGCTTTCTCTGGGAGTGAAGACTATACGGACGAAGGTGATTTCTTTCTTATCATCTTCCAGGTTGAACTTAATTATGTTTAAATTACGATCTTTTGCTTAAAAAAAATTGGTTTAAGTGTTCAGAATTGCCTCAGATCACACCACAGAGCGTCTAGAATCCAAAATCTCATGTCCTGTGTGATGCGTGATCGTTAGTTCTGACCATGTGATGCAAAACCTGTTTCTGGCTTGATCATTCCGTGTAATGCCAATTATACCGTTGTGCATCTTGCAAGTTTTGTTTATCCACTCAGTTGCTTGATCCGCGGGAACCTGGTTGAAGCGCCTGTGGGATCTCTTCACAACAAAATTACAATCGATGTACTCAGCATAAACATCTGGTGCTGTCTCCTCAAGGAGTTTCATGACTGCGAGATAGACAGGTCCCCATCTTACATAGTTTGTGTGGTCGTATATGGTGAGTCATGGCAGCATTGCTGCAAAGGCTTCAAGATTAAGAGTACGGTTACCATCTTTCTCTACCCTGATGAAGTCAAGCAGGATCTCCACCGTTTCCATGTATGTTGACCACAAGGTGAAGTTTGCATTGTTAGACTGCTTCTTGTCAAACTCTTTGATGAGCCTTGAACACTCTTACTGTTCAGAAAATTTGACAGCCGTTCCACTGCATTACACAGTTCCTCTGCTTTGCTGCCATCATTCTTTGTGAACAACTTAGCCACATTTCAGGTTAGTTTTTTCACTTCTACATCATGTTCGTGACCATTCTCAACCAGCCAGGACTCAAATGTTTCCCATTTGATGTGCCACAGAGCTTCATACACAAGTTGGTGCCCTCTCACAGCACGGTAGTAGGCTTTGTCATCAAGCATAGACTCTCTGTCGTGCTGGCTGCATACACACCTGCTTTAGTCCAGAGATCATCAAGGCCAGCATTTTCCATGTGTTGACCAATGGCTTTCAAGAAGTTGAAGTAGACATGGAGTCTCCCAAGAGAAAAAAATACTTTCTCGAACTTGGGATTCGCCCATACGAGTTCCTTGCCCCTGCTACACAGTGGCTGGTCAGCTGTAGTGAAGGTATGCTGCTGGCCCATATGATTTGAAATGTCCATAAAGGACCCCAACTTAGATATACACATTTGGAGAAAATCACACTTTTGTGTTTCCTAATGCCATATAGTTGCGTGTTAAAATGAAAGTTTATTGATGTATTTAACAAGCAAGGGATATGCACATGATAATGAAAATAGTTTTAGTGGATAGATCTATCAGTTTAGATAAAAATTGCTACATAATTAAAAAATGTGAAATTTGACCTCATTTGACCTCACTTGACCTTGAAAATGACCTTGAAATCCAAAATTGACGATGGCATCCACCCACATCTTATTTGTAATGGTTCAAAGAATTGATCTAGCATGGATGCCAGCTATTACCCAAAAATGCCGTGAATTTTTTTTCTAGAGGACTTTTCCTTGTTTGGCTGGCACACTAGTAGCATGCTTGAGTGTCAGTTCGTGAAAACGAAAATCTTCCTATTTTGGGTCAGTCTCTGATGTACGCACGCACCATACCAGGTGTAAGTTCGTGAAACCAAAATGGTTGATTACGTTGTTTTCACGAACTGACACCCACTTGCACGTGAGTGTCAGTTCATGGTGCCGAAGAAGAATTAAAAGAAATAAGATGATAGACAACACCAACTTTAGCTGCAATAGACAGTGAAGATTTTGAAATTTTTGGGAGTTTTATCGCATTAGAATAATGGAATAAATAACTTACAGAAAATCTTCTTTTTTCGTGTGTTGACTAGATGAAATGAATTGGCGCAACTTTGTCATTTGGTTGGAGGATCAAAAAATCCGGATGTACAAGATAGAGGAGAGACAACCACTGAGGAAGTTTATCAGTGGCGAGTGGCCCGAAATATTTCAACAGGTAAAAAAGTGTACTTAACCCTTTCCCAAATCCTCCAAAATCCTCTTTGCAAAATGGAGGATTTTGCAGGATTGAGGCAATATGGCAAAAATGTGTGGCTGATTTTGCAGGATACACTGTGTCAAGGTCTTGGGCTGGACCTTAAATTTGTGCATAAATGAATAAATTTAAGCCCAGATCATACTTGACTTGAAATCCTCTGAACTGCTCCAGGATGTCACTGGCTCTGCCTCAACATATTGACAGTGATTGCTGGAGGATTTTGCAGGATTGAGGCAGTGGTCACCCCTTCAAGGGCCGCATTCCAGAAATACAGAGGAATTTGCAGGATTGAGGCTGTATGCAATTTTTACATGGAGGCAGTTGGAGGAGTTGAGGATTGAGGTTGAGGTTACATCCTAGCAAAAATGCCTCAGTTAGGATTAATCCATAAATTGGGGCTTAGACACTACAGTGCCTCTATGTCCTGGGCCCCACTACTGCCTGTGAAAAAAAATAGGAAAATTTGGGGGTTTAAGAGCTGTGGAAATATAAATTGTCCTGCAACTTCATTTCTGGTTTGGAAGAGCAGTGAGTTACTAAATTGGGCATTTCTTGATGTCAGATTTCTGACAGTAAATTTCTGAGGAGACATATGATCTGACTGCTGGTGACTAGCCTTTGTTAAAAGTATAGCAGGGAAGTGGTAGTGAATTTTGACTGTCTATGATGTTTGACTGTTTAAAAAGCAGGAGGGTTAATAAAAAAAGAAAATTTTCCCACACAGTTTCCCACAGGTAGAAGTGAACATCTTAAACACATTCAGTGTTTTATGTCCAAACAGTGGGTATTTTTTCGTCTTTTTTTTTTTCCAGCCAGAAATTCTCAATAATTTATATTTATCTTTTTTTGCATACCAGTACTTAAAAGATCTACACTGCCCGTTGGACGGCCAAGATCGTCTAGCGGCCTGTGAGTGGTTACTGGCCCATGCTGTCAGACTGGACTACGGCGAAAATGGTAAGTACTGGGAAAGACGTGCTTCTTAACCCTAACCCTTCCACATCCTGAAAAATCCATCAAGAAGTTTTGGAGGATTTTGCAGGATTGAGGAAGATGCTGCCTGGGTAACATTTTTTTACATAGGCTTGATGACCATGAAAGGTAATATACAACATTTGCAAACATCAAAATACAAAACTACCGAATTAGTATGAAATAACCATAGAGCTATATTAAATTACTAGAGCGCTAACTCATGTACAATGTAATGCCTGATGGGCGCATTCATGTTTGTGCACAAACCTATGGAGAACTAGAAATTGTGTACATATTTTGTACGTCTATTTGCATATCTGCGTTGGTATTCCAAACCAGTGCGTCATCGAAGCCGATACGCCAAAAACCGAAACGCACGATCAGCAAATGAGCGTGTCATTTTGCTCTTCGCAAACAGCGCAACGCGTGTGAGTATCCGCTGCAGCCTTGATTAACCGTGTGTTTGGTTTTTTTTACCGTAACATGCATAAGAAGTTTGTGTACGTTCTACTTGTGCGTTGCATGATTTAGAGTACACTTTTAAAATTCAATCCATCTAATTTCATTATGTTCTACAAACGTGCACATGAGTTCAAAATGTCTGCGCCCAGGATGGCTTCAAAGCATCTCCGTGCGCAAGAATGAGGAGTTAGCGCTCTAGTAATTTAATATAGCTCTATGGAAATACCTTACTTGACTGTAAGTGAATAATAGTCTCAAGCGTCCTGCGAAATCATGGCTTCTGGTGTGCTGTCATTTTCAAGAAAAGTTGTTTTTTTTTTCAAAAACGCGGGGCTGTTCCCATTGGACTTTTCAGCATCCCTGATAACTTACCGTGGCTGAGCAGAAATCTTCAGCAACCACTTTAGGCCTGGTAGTTTTAGATCACGGTAAATTGACAGGGAGGTTAGTTAACCGTCCGTCCCCATTGGACTTTATTTTGTCATTCTACAGGAAAGTCGTGGTAATTTAACCAAAAAAGGTCCAATGGGAACTCGGCTTTAATGTATTTCTGATTAGGCCCCCCAAAAAAAGTCTCCAGTTTCTGGTATGCGCGCGCGTCGCCGTAGCCATGCGCGTCGGCAAAATGAAAAAGTTTTTTTTTCAATACAAGATGATGTCTCAAAACCGCCAAACTCACTGGTTTAACTGGAATCCTGCTGCTGCACAATTTTAACGTGTTTTTAGATGGGGTTATGATGGAGAATAAGCTTTATGTGGCCTCTCTGGACTCCCATATATTTGCACTAAGTTTAGTCGGGCACCATTTGCAGTCATCAGCCGACATTTGAAGCAAAAAAGTCGATTAAAAAAAAAAAAAAGCCGCGTCGCCGCACCACTTTTTGAGCGAGCTCCATACTAGAAACCGGAGACTTTTTTTTTTTGGCCTTAGTGTGTCATGTGTTCAATTATTAACGTTTTTCTGCCAAATTTCACAGTTGACAAGTACAAGGCAGTAACTGGCGGGGCACTGTCCAGACAAAATTCATCCCAGGCTGGGTCTGACGACCCCTTTGAAAATGTAGATGGTGAGTAGCCTTTCTTTCTTTTTTTCAAGTCTTAGATTTTTCAGACTTTGGACTGAAATCAGACCTTTTGAATCTGAGAAATTTGTGTAACTTTGCATGGAAAGTAGCCCAGCAGCATTTGTCCAATTTTCAGACATTTTTGGTTAGTTGACAATTTCATCCTTGTCTTTCGTCATAATTGCCTCTGATTTGGAACTTGGCCTTGATGTCAGATATTTCAATATTTGCACATTTGCTTCCATGTCATATTTTTCATCTCATATTTGTCCCCCACCCCTCACTTATGACATGAGAAGAGATCTAAAAACCTATAAATGACTATATTTTGGCACGTGGAAAACCTTTAAAGAAAACCCTATATTTTGATTTTCAAAACCTATTAAAAAAAACTATATTGATGAAGAGGGGTACAGTACAAAGATGGCTACTGGTTATTAATGCAAAAGAAAAACGTTGAAGTGCTTATGGAGTTGCTTGATCAACAATAATATTGTGCATTTATGCTGTGTATCAAGTCGGGTTGACCAGGCCTAACCAACAGGAAACATTATAGATATAAACTGAGTCCGAACCCAAACCGATCTAAACTCCCCTAAACTGACCCAACCTGACACGACAAAAATCAAGCAAAAACCGACCCGAACCGACCCGAAAAACTCTCTCGTGCTTCCAGCTTGGTAGCTGTAACTCTGACTGACAGTGAATATCTGACTTGGGCAACTGTGTACGCATTTGAAAATTGTCGTCTCTCAGTGAAGAATCATTTTGTACTGTATGGTTAAGACTCATAATGTTACCTACTGGTAGACCTAGATGTTATAGACTGTACTTGATAGACCACAAACCACATGCACATTCGCGGGGTGAGTAGACGTTGGTCAAAACGGGCACAGCAACTCTTTAATAATATTTGGTCGCGTAAATTTCTGAACTGTTTCGGCTGGGTTTTTTTTCCAGTTTATTTCGGGTTTCGCACTAGAATTGTACATACACCCTGCTGATTTTGTCTGATTCCCATATTCTTTACATCACTGGAATGCTTATTCATTGTTCTTGTCAGTGAGCCCAAAATCCCAGTTTTCAAAAATTGGTCCAACTGACTGGTTTTGTGCAGTCTATGGAATATTCCCTTACAGGGCAAGGGTTTATGATATACACGAGCAGATTCTGCGATTAATTATGCAAAACAAGACTGTGAGATCTTGACCTCGAACTTTTGACCATTCAGCGAGCGCCTTCTATTGGATCTTTGGTAACCTGTTGTATTACAAAAATATGTCATCCAAATTGACCAATCAACAGCTTTTAAAGTCCACATTTCTGATCGAAATGACGTCGCAGTTTCTGAAGTCGACTCCGATTGGCTGGCATGCGAGGTCGCATAAATTTACATTGCTCACATACAGGGTGAGTCAAAAAAAGCGAAACCCAAATGTCGGAGCGTTGTTTTTAATAGTAAAGTTCTGCATGTAGCCCTTTCAAAATATAGGACACAAAAGCCTGATTCATAGGCTTTCGTTTAGTACAAGAATCATTCAGATCACTTGTGTACTTTTCAAGTAACGGAATTTTAAATACAACCACCGTTTAAAGTTTTGTTCGTGTATTGCAAGAAGGTAAGTGTTCTTACGAAAACAAAACACATAGGGATGTGTGAATTGTTTTCGTTTTGCTGAAAGAACGCACGCCTTTTTGTGATCTGTGGACAGAACTTTAAAACGGTGGTTGTGTTTAAAATTCCGTAACTTGAAAAGTACATGAGTGATTTGAATGATTCTTGTACTAAAGGAAAGCTTATGAATTGGGCATTCATATCCTAGATTTTTCAAGTGCTACATGCAGAACTTCACTAAAACAATAGTCCTGACATTTGGGTTTCGCTTTTTTTTTACTCACCCTGTATATCAGACGTTGGTTTAAGGAGAGGGCTTAGTCAGACTAGGTTCTGTGCTGGAGGTTCGTAAAGAATGTGCTATTGGTTTCCTGAACAGTAGAGCAGTTGGGAGGATTCATGTAGTTCGAGAGTTAAATTTTACACCGCATCGATGCAAAATTCCCATTAGGACTCATCACGTGATGTTATTTGCTCATTGCAGTGACCAGTCCCGACTTCAATGCAGGCCTGACGTCAGTCTGTCAGTTACTGAACATACCCCAGCACTACGACCGGGTGACCACACTGGAGGCTATCAGTATCTTGATACAGGAGAGATTAGCACAGGATGGAACCGACCCCAAAACACAAGAGGTATAACAGAAACTCTCAATCACAGTTGACATGCTTAGGTCATAAGTCCAATGCTTAGGTTGTTATTGTGTTGTGTGCATTAGGTCTGACCTTGCCAGATGCAACAGAGTGCACTAGGTCTAACGCCAGCCTCAGGTTGACCTTGCGACAACACCGATCAGTCGGTGACTAACTTTTCAGGATCGAGCTGCGTCTGAGTTACAACCGTCGGGAACAACTCAGTCGCTGATTTTGTGCGACCTGAGTGTAACTGTGACGATATTAAAACGATCGGCATCAGTTGGGGCTCAAAAAAATCACCAGTCGCAAGAGTAGAACAATTTCAACTTCTGCGACGTGTTCCGCGACCATCACACGATGTCTCAGTTTTGTGACCTGGGCATTATTTTTCTGCTTGATGCCGACGGTTTCATCGTGGCGCAAGCAAATCGTGGGTCGACCTGAGGCTGGCTTAAAAGTCGGTGGGGCCTTGTTGCATTTGGGCAGACAGGTTGGCGTTGCCGTACTTCCCTAGCCTTCCACCACTGTGACCCTGGTTCGAATCCCGCCTGGCCGACATGTGGATTGGGTTTTCAGTCCCTGCCTGATTCCGCGGCTTTTCCCGGGAATACTCTTCTGGGGTTTTCCTCCCACTTTACTAAAGTAGTCAGAAATGAACTGCTGGATATCACATGAAACATCACCATCTAATATGGCATAACAAAGCAGGTTGTTACACCATGGTTAACAAATTCATTTGGGATCAGGCTGGCGGAGCGGTACCTTCCTCACCTTCCACCGCTGTGACCCGGGTTCAAGTTCCAGGGGGGGCAAGTGGCACCCTTTGCTTCACCTCGGGTGCCATTTGCACCCCTCAGGCATACTAACGTCATGGACTACATCACTGTCACAGCAGACAACAATTGTATTATATGGCTTCACTCCAAGCTAAGGCAATGCTTTTTTTCTTGGTGCATCCACTGGGTATATGGCATACGAATAAATAACAAAATGCAACGTGAAAAACGTTTACATGTGCATACCTGAAGTGCAAACATTGCTTTGGCTGAGAGCTCCCAGGATTCAGTCGTTAACAATTTACCGATGCCTTTCCTTTTTTTGCAGGGTATCGACTTTGATTTGAACAACTACGAGCTAGGCTTTGAAACCAAAGGTAATACTCAGTGAATTTTAGATCCAATCCTTCCTACTTTCTATTGTGTTGTTTCATCCTGTTCTTCGTCTGGGGGCAAAATTCAAGCCTAACTTTCAGGCAACATTTTAATAGGGCTGCTTACAATTTACCTAATATCCTTAAGAAATTTTCTGATTTCTTAAGGTTTTTCCTATATTTTGATGGCAGATCCAGTGTTGGATGAGGCTAGTCGAATCCTTCGACTCCTTCACGTGGCAGAACTACGCGACCTACAAACCAAGATCAACGAGGCCATCGTTGCCGTCCAAAGCATCACGGCCAATCCCAGGACCGACCAGAAACTGGGCAAGGTGGGCCGGTGACGAAGGCGAAAGACTTAGCCCAAGGACGGGGAAAAGATGAAGGACTCCAGTGAGTTTGGATGGAACAAAGGGCAGTGGCACATGTTGATGGGGACTCAGTCTGTGGACCATCCAAAATCTGTTATTTTTGTTTCACGATTCTGCCTTCTTTGACTCCAGAACACATTACACGATTAGGGTTAGTCACAACATGAACTGGTTGCAGTGAATTCAAAAATAGCTCTTCAGCTGCTGGAATGTTCCAAGAAAAAGACTTTGGTTTCAACTATCCCCAGCTAACCTTAAAACATTGTATAAAAAGCAGTTAAGTTATTCATTCTTGTGGAAGGCCAGTTGCATGTTTACAATGCATTCTCACTAAACGTGGTACTCACTCTGTAGTTGCGCAGTTCGAAAAATAAACTAATTGGCACAAATTTTTGTTAGTTATGCACACAAAAAAGAGCAAACTGCACCAAATTTAACCCATTAGTACTTGTATAATTACATTAAATGTATCTTCAAGTAAACTGGAATCCTCGATCCTGATGATCAACCCATGGCAACAAGCCATGCTCCATACTGCAGCAGCACTCCGCATATTGCGCTATTCTAAGATGCGCGCGCCATTCGGTACAACATGCACGTGTAATAGGATAACCACCAAAAGTTTGTGTACAGCGAGCGTATTCCATCTTTAATGTGCGTCAGGGAAGTTGTTCCTCATCCAGCTACATATACCCATTACAATTAGAATATTGTGGATAAACCTTTCCCGCAGTTCATACCAAAGACATGTATTAACAAGATGATTCCTAAACACAAGTATCCTCTTAAAAACACTTGAACAATAAGTATGCGTAAAAATAACAGCATGTTACACTTCTGTTGCTAAATATCTTTGTGATGTAACAGCTTATAATTGTCACAACTTGGGCAACCCCAAACCATTAAAGTACTGGTTTCAAACCAGATTTATTTACTTCTATTCAGTGTTAAAAAAAAGAGTTATTTTTGTTGTATTTCAGTGGCTTCTTTACTTCACTGCATGTGCATTAACGTTCTCCTATAGACAGTGGCCATATGAACCTTGACCTTTAACCTACCATGACAAAATTAAATATATCTCAAAGGCCAACACATATGACACTATCGGTCAGTATTTATAGACCCATAACGTAATAACAATCGACTGACGGTGTAGTACTGCATAATGTAATAAAAATGGCCGGTAGTGTAGTAATTGTTATTACACCATAGGTCAGTATTTAAAGACCCATAATGTAATAATCGACTGATGGTGTAGTACTGTCAATTTTCACTGACCGATAATGTAACAAACATGGCTGGTAGTGTAGTAAATGTTATTACACTATAGGTCAGTATTTAAAGACCCATAATGTAATAACAATCGACTGATGGTCTAGTACTGTCAATTTTCACTGACCGATAATGTAACAAAAATGGCCGGTAGTGTAGTAAATGTTATTACACTATAGGTCAGTATTTAAAGACCCATAATGTAATAATCGACTGATGGTCTAGTACTGTCAATTTTCACTGACCGATAATGTAACAAAATGACCGGTAGTATAGTAAGAGTTATTACACTATAGGTCAGTATTTAAAGACCCATACTGTAATAACAATCGATTGATGGTGTAGTAAATGTTATTACACTATAGGTCAGTATTTAAAGACCCATACTGTAATAACAATCGATTGATGGTGTAGTAAATGTTATTACACTATAGGTCAGTATTTAAAGACCCATACTGTAATAACAATCGATTGATGGTGTAGTAAATGTTATTACACTATAGGTCAGTATTTAAAGACCCATACTGTAATAACAATCGATTGATGGTGTAGTAAATGTTATTACACTATAGGTCAGTATTTAAAGACCCATACTGTAATAACAATCGATTGATGGTGTAGTTAATGTTATTACACTATAGGTCAGTATTTAAAGACCCATACTGTAATAACAATCGATTGATGGTGTAGTAAATGTTATTACACTATAGGTCAGTATTTAAAGACCCATACTGTAATAACAATCGATTGATGGTGTAGTAAATGTTATTACCCTATAGGTCAGTATTTAAAGACCCATACTGTAATAACAATCGATTGATGGTGTAGTAAATGTTATTACCCTATAGGTCAGTATTTAAAGACCCATACTGTAATAACAATCGATTGATGGTGTAGTTAATGTTATTACACTATAGGTCAGTATTTAAAGACCCATACTGTAATAACAATCGATTGATGGTGTAGTAAATGTTATTACACTATAGGTCAGTATTTAAAGACCCATACTGTAATAACAATCGATTGATGGTGTAGTAAATGTTATTACCCTATAGGTCAGTATTTAAAGACCCATACTGTAATAACAATCGATTGATGGTGTAGTAAATGTTATTACCCTATAGGTCAGTATTTAAAGACTCATACTGTAATAACAATCGACTGATGGTCTAGTACTGTCAATTTTCACTGACCGATAATGTAACAAAATGACCGGTAGTATAGTAACAGTTATTACACTATAGGTCAGTATTTAAAGACCCATACTGTAATAACAATCGATTGATGGTGTAGTAAATGTTATTGCACTATAGGTCAGTATCTAAAGACCCATACTGTAATAACAATCGATTGATGGTGTAGTAAATGTTATTACCCTATAGGTCAGTATTTAAAGACCCATACTGTAATAACAATCGATTGATGGTGTAGTAAATGTTATTACCCTATAGGTCAGTATTTAAAGACTCATACTGTAATAACAATCGACTGATGGTCTAGTACTGTCAATTTTCACTGACCGATAATGTAACAAAATGACCGGTAGTATAGTAACAGTTATTACACTATAGGTCAGTATTTAAAGACCCATAATGTAATAACAATCGATTGATGGTGTAGTAAATGTTATTGCACTATAGGTCAGTATCTAAAGACCCATAATGTAATAACAATCGATTGATGGTGTAGTAAATGTTATTACACTATAGGTCAGTATTTAAAGACCCATCATGTAATAACAATCGACTGATGGTGTAGTGCTGTCAATTTTCACTGACCGATAATGTAACAAAAATGGCCGGTAGTGTAGTAAATGTTATTACACTATCGGTCAGTATTTAAAGACCCATAATGTATAATAACAATCGACTGACATGACTGATGGTGTAGTACTATAATGTAACAAAAAATCAATATGCGGCTGGGGGATCCATTAATAAAGAAACAATAATGGACACAATTCAATCATGTTGTGGAAAATGCCATTTTAATTTTCACCCTTGCTCGGCGACAATTTAGTGTCAGTTCACTTTGTGTTCACAGAAATAATTTTATAAACATAATGACGTTAAATACAAGCTGAAAAATACAACCTACTTTACCATAAACATTTGTTAGAACACGCTCCTTATTTAGATACGTCACTGGTGTATGTATTATAGTCCAGTGAAGTCTGACAATATTAAGGAAAGACCGTCATTACACATTTCAAGGTATGATCAAAGTCTCTAAGAGTATTCCAATCGTATATCATGATACTATTTATTAAAAACTGATTTCTGCTACTCTAAAAATCCAATTAAAAGATCCGTCTGAAATAAATAAGTTTTTAAAAAAGGATGACGAGTAAAATACATGCAATCTTTAGATAAAAATACAGATAGAATACAGTGCCTTTATAATGGTGTTCAAATTCAATGGTCAAATTTCACAATCGTGAGGGACTTGATAGTATTCCTTTCCAGTACAGCGCTCAACTTGGGATATCATGATTAGAACAAAATAATAACTTAATAAAAGAACACCTTTCTTCCATGAAATTCAGTAAATAGTAAGTTCAGTGTGATTTTCCTTGAATTGTACTTTTGTAAAATTTATTTTGTGTCTTACTGACATAAGGGCACATCAGGCCTACTGTCTGTACAGTGGAACGTCGCTATACCGAACACCGCTATACCGAACATTCGGCTATACCGAACATCATCCTTGGCTCCCAATTTTTGTGTACAAAACGTACCAAACATTGTTGTTGAAAAATGTCAACAGAAGAGCGACAAATGGCCATTACTTCCCCAGGAATAGAAGGGAAAAGCCACCTGTGTAAGCTCAACTACTGTAATTACATGATTCAATGGTCGCCATGTATTCAAAGTCGTCTTTCAGTAACTACCAGGGCTTACAGGGTAAAGTTCTGCTCTCGTAATTGAAAAGATGAATGGGAAAGTTTGGCCATTTCAGCACGCAGTTTGTAAATGCCACTAATGTGTGAAAAACTGCAAAGTTCGGCATAGCGACGTTCCACTGTAACAGAATCTAAGCCAAGAATTTAAAGTTATACAGGCACAATGATTATAAATTTTAAAAATCAAAATCAAATTAAATAATTACAGAAAGAAACGTGAAAGAAGTATGAACAAATCTCCCTTTTTTTCTCCTGAAAGTTTGTTAATTAAGAAAAATAAAGGCAATACATTTGTAACTCTTCTGCACAATCCACCTAATTTTGAACTTGAACAAAAAACTGGCATTTTGTTTTTAAAGTGTCTCGACAGGAATACCACAATGAAGGGCAATACCATAACGTAATGGAGCATTTGTGGATTTCTCAGTGCTCTGATCGCATTCTAGAGGGCGTTTCACACTGTCTATAATCCCCGCATTGGATCCGGGTCAACCGCGGAGATTTCGGAATCCCCTTTCACATTAACAAGAATCCAACACGGCTTTGACATGGTTCCGGCGCTCTACGCAGGTAAAATCCAACCCTGGTTCAGACCCATGTACACACCGGTGAATTTCATTGCACTGCACTCAACAGATAGCCTTAACAGTCTTTAATCCTTCAATTTCAATATGATTTTGCATACCCCCTAGGGAGTTAGGGTTAATGATGCCCCTGAACATCATGCTAAAAAGTAAAATGTCCACTTTTTGTACACACAATTCTACATTTGGGATCCATTCTTTGTTAGTTTCAGTCTGGACAATTAGCAATTTCTAGCACCATTCACTCTAGCCTTAACAGACTTGGTCCTGTGACAGTAAAGCACCTTCATGATAAATACGTAGTGTAGACACAGAAAGCACAGAAATGTGGTTATACTGAAAGTTACTGGCAGACTAAAATGGAAGGTTATACGTCTAGGATAAACATAAATTTAAAAAAAGAAAAAGTTAGAGGTGCCTTCTATATATTTGGCTTGTACACACCTAAACACAAACTGAGAAAGACGTCACTCGAATAAAATGTGAATATTTCACGGTAAATTGTCCAAAAAATAATATGCTACAACTAAAATGCTTACGATGGTGCAGCATCACGCCGTATGCATTTTGTTTTCAAATTTAAAATCTACACTCTCGCCCGACTCTGCAAAAACCTGATCTAGGTTCCCTACATATTAACACAAAATATTTACTAATGTGGTTGCCAGTGTTAACACTTAAAATATTGACTGTCCAATGACAAGGAGTGTTACTTGCGTGTGTATGGAGGGATGACCAATGAAGTGGCTTGTCTACTTTCAATCCAATCTTTTTGTCCAATGAGAAAGGCTCAGTGGTATTTTCCGACCAATGAAAAAGTCCTGTTATGTATCGAGTCATTGGCAGTGAGCACCATAGGTTGTAGTTCACACAGACATAGCAGAACGGTTTTTCTACAAAGAAAAATGGAAAATGCAAGGTGTTTGTTAAAACTTATCACATTTCTACAAGAGACACAGACCACTCCCCATCCATCTTATACCAACCCATCCCAACCCCTATCCTTCCCCCATCCCTACCCCAAAACTCCTTTCCCAACATCTTTAAACTCTTTTAACCTTTAACTTATTGCCTACGTGGTTGGTAGGGCAAGTACAATACCATTGGCCTCCCAAGATGAGTGCATACAAGTCCCAAACCTACACCCCATGCTTACATCCCTCTACCCAATCACAAAACCCTAATCCTACACCCCTTCCTCCAATGTCCATACCCTTAATCCTATCCTCACCTTAACACACATGGCACATAATTGCTCTCGTGGTCAGTAGGACAAGCACACATCCACTGGCCTCCCAGGATGGGTTGATACACCATCCCTACTGCCCTCATGCCAATCCCATCACCAGATCCCCAACCCCCTACTTTGCCTATTCCTACCCTCCTTCCTCACCTTTACACTTGTGGTACATGTGTCTGGTTGCCCTCCAGGTTGGTAAGGCATGTAATTCCTCTGGCCTCCAAGATGGGTAGACACAACCCCCCTCCCTCCCTTCCCCAAGCCTACACCCCTTCCCTAACCTTTAAACACATGGCACCTCATTGCCCTCCAGGTTTGTAGGGCATGCACACATGCACACATCCTCTGGCCTCCCAGGATGAGAGGGCACAACCTACTTCCCCAATCCCTGCACCCTTAACCTCCCCCCCCCCCTCCTCATCCCTCCCTTCCCCAAGCCTACACCCCCCATTCCCTAACCTTTACAAACATGGCACCTCGTTGCCCTTCAAGTTGGTAAGGCATGAACACTTCCTCTGGACTCTGGACACAATCTACTTCCCCAATCCATGCACTCTCAACCCCCTCCCTCCCTTCCCTAAGCCTACACCCCTTCCCTAACCTTACACACATGGCACCTCATTGCCCTCCAGGTTGGTAGGGCATGCACACTTCCTCTGGCCTCCCAGAATGGGCAAACACAACCCAATTCCCTCATCCCTCAACCCTTGACCTCTTCCGTCATCCCTCCTTCCCCCAACAGTACACCCCTTCCGCCTCACCTTAATACATATGACACCTCAATGCCCTCCAGGTTAGTAAAAGTAAAGTCTGTCCCAAGCCTATATGGCCCATCAGGCCGGCGTTTATCTCCGGTTTCAGTGGCATGAAACGACTGAGAATATTTCTATTCCCCCTGGACAGGATGCCAGTCCATCGCAGGTTACTCCCCATTCCAGGTTAGTAAGGCATGCACAATTCGGGCGATTCACAATGCAGAGCGGAACCAAGAGGTTGCCATGGAGAGTCTATTTTTCAAGTTTACAGTCGACACAACATGAACAATTTGAATGAGTGTCAGTAGACAACTTGAGCTAATTTGTTATAGATTTGGGCATAGCGTTGTGCTGCCTTGCAAAAAACACCATATTGATAAAAAGAAAACAAAAGAGTAAACAGATACTCGAATCATACGCTTACGAAACTACTGACCGGAAAAAAACTAACAATTTCAAATGTCCTGCGCTGCGAATTTGTCGACCATTTCCCACAATGCACTGGGAAAAATGAGCTCCCCGTGGAAAACTCTTGGTGGAGCACTGCATTGTGAATCGCCCGAATTTCTCTAGCCTCCCAGATGGGTAACAGAGCCTACTTCCCAAATCCCTGCACCCTTAACCCCTCATCCCTCCTTCCCCAACCCCACACCCCCTCCTTCAGCTTCCACACATGGCACTCATTGCCCTCCAGGTTGATAAGGCAAGCACACTTCCTCTGGCCTCCTAGGATGGGTAGACACAGCCTATTCCCCCAACCCCGGCACCCTCGAACCCCCTCCCCTCAGCCCTCCCTTCCCCAAGCCTACACCCCCTTCCTCCTCACCTTTACACACATGGCACCTCATTGCCCTCCAGGTTGGTAGGGCAAGCACAATACCGTTGGCCTCCCTGAGTAGGTAGACACAGGCTGCTGCAGCCGCCGTTGTTACTGCTGCAGGCATTGGAGGTGCTTGGGCAGGAGGTGATGGCTGTCACGCTGTAGATGCGGCCGTTACCTCCCCTGGGTAGCTTCAAGTCGGTGCTCTCTGAACCGCCGGTCTTACTGATGGTCTGAATGCTCTTACTGTGTGAAAACACAACCACCCAAGTTAAAGGAAAGGATACTTATGAGGATGCAAAGGCATCAATCGCTTCTAAAACTTGGGGGGAAATACCTTGATCAGAACTTAGGCGAGCACGAAGCGCAAATTCCTAACAGTGAGGGGTTTTGGATTCTAGACGCTCTGTGGTGCGATCTGAAGCAATTTTTGACCACTTGAACCAATTTGTTTTATGCAAAAGATCATCATTCAAACATCATTTTCGAGTTTGCAGTCATTGAATCAGCTATTCTGGCTATAGAATCAAATGTAGGCTACAGTTTTTATTCGGGGACAAAAAAAGTGTGGGGGACAACCAATATGATACCCCCACTTTAAAAATTGGGGGGAGGGGGAAATCCCCCCCCCCAACTGATCGATGCAACGGAGACAAAGACAGAGTTAAGACCACTTCATACCTCAGACGAAAGCAGTGAATTTCAAGACGTCAAAAATAGAACTTTTATTGTGACTTTTGCCATTACCTACCAAATTTGCTTCGTACTGAAATTCGTGTTAAGTAATCTCCAAGTACAAATCACCAGGCAAATTTTCATTCCATACGATCATTTGAGGATTTTCATAAACTGCTGAGAAAAATTGATTTTGTTCTTTGTGAGGATTCCTCTAGCTTACAGTGCATTTGGTTGACTGCAAGTTGCTTTTTGAAATTGCCTCATGTGAATTGTAAATTGCCTTGTGTGGGTTGGCACCAAGGAGAGGCTTTTCCCGTCAGATACTCACGTTTCCCAGTCTGACCAGTAGAGCTTGAAGCCATAGGAGGCTATGCTGAAGGGATAGTTGGAGTTAGGGAGCACGGTGAAACGTGTCAATGGATCCCCATTCATGTTCATACACTCAATCCTCTTGGTGCCTGCAGCAAAAGAAAAGTTTGTTTTAAAAGAACGGAGGCCTTGTACCCAAAGTATTTCAACCTTGAGGTAATGGACATGATTTGCAAACATTCAACAATGAAACTGCCGAAATATTATGAAAATATCCTACTTGATTGTAATAAACTAATAGGATCAAGAACCCTGTGAAATCACTGCACCGTCATTTTCTACAATGTAGGAATTATTATTAAGTAAGATTTGAGGCTTTGCATGGTGGAGATACTAAATAATGAAAGGTTTGCGGAAACACCATGTGCGAATAATTTCTCAACTAAGAGAATGGTTCTGAAAAGAACCAGAGGTATAAACTTGACGTTATTATTGAAACCTTGTTATGGTTAGGCCCAAACCATCGAGAGGAGGGAAAAAACTCAGCTTTTTTGTCCAAATGACCAAATTTAGTTGAGTTTGCAACTGGTTACATAACCGTGAATGAAAAAAAATGTTCCCGAGTGACAAACTGGGGCTCAGTCCACAAAAGGGTGCAAGTCAAAACGTAAATGAACATTCTGGCAGGAGGGCTTTCGACCGAAACCTTGTTTTCGTCGAGAAAAATTAAGATAAATTTTCAGTTTTCACAAAAAGTATATCTACAGAGCGGAAATTCCAACAGTTGTTTTATGACTGCTCAACAATTATTGTGTTGTCCAAGTTGTTGACTTCTGGGATACTACACAAATGCATGTATCTGTACAGCACAACACCTGACTCGTGACTCAGACTCGGACACATAACTCACAATCGGACTCTCACCACATGACTCTTGACTCAGACTTACACAAAGTGACTTGGACTCAGACTCTGACTCGACCAGAACGACTCCATGCTCGGACCCAAACTCAAACTAACTGATGCAATGACAACCCTACTACCTAGAGTGGCCACTCCTTGGAAATTTTCCCAAGATCTTGGGAATTTGGGCATGGCCCAAATGGCACAGGTTTTCCAAGTCTTGGGTACACATATAAAACAAATGTACGCTTGCATATAGCACGAACGACCGCCCTGTTAAAGTTGGATCTTAGCTGCTATTCTGATACATCATCTTGATTGTCTTGAAAATTTTTAGGAATTTTAATGCAATCATCTTTGGGTTTTTTTCAAATATGGCGAGTGGCTGTGCTGGTGACCACAGTCTGACGAGCCCTCACATCCCAGGACTAACCTGCATCGGTCCAGCAGATCTGACTGGTGGTATAATCCAAGCTGAGACCGTTAGGTAATCCCAGGTTGCTATCTACCAGCACTGAGCGCTCACTGCCGTCCATGTTGGCGCGCTCAATCTTAGGGGCATCACGGTTCCAGTCGGTCCAGTACATAAGGCTATGCACAGTCGGAGGAAAAGGAAATAGCAAATAAGTTTTGTGTTCACAAGATGGAATTTTGCGTCGGGGTGATGTAAATCAAATTAGGTTTTGCCCTTCAACGACGTATAAACACTGTATGCTCAGTGTAGTACCTCCCGAGTGAAAGTTGGAAAAAATCACTCGGGTGGGACTCGAACCCACAACCTCCTGATTTCTAGTGCAGACGTCTTATTACTCGACCACCAAGCTAATGGGATTGGTTGGCTGGTTCGAATCTGATGTACATAGCAGTGGGTACCGCATTAACTATTCATAAGATGGAATTTGGCGTCGGGGTGATGTAAATCAAATTAGTTTTGTGTTGCAATTCTGGGGTATGCTTCATAGCAATTGGGATATCCTGAAGTACGTGTGGAGCACAAATATCAATGTTGTAGTCGAGTCCATCACAAGACAAGTCTGAAGTCACAGGGGTCAAACCATATCAAAGGAACGTTTTTATCAGTTCATTTGAAGAGCTTGTGACGACTTTATTACTTGTGTTGAAGTTGTGATAGACTTGTGATGGACTCGGCGTCAACGCTGGCACATAATGACAAAAGGGTTTGTTGCGGGTTCAGGTTGAAAGAGAGGATGCACTGGAAAATGAAGCTGGTTTCAACAATGAACCTTTCCAAAGACACTCTGACATGGTTGTTTTTTATAAGATTATGCTCCAAACTGTATTAATTATAGGATCATTTGCTTTTCATGCATTTTGTTCGTTTCCAATAACACCACTCAAAATCCAAAGAAGAATGCTCAAAACCCAACTTGTTGCAACTTCAGCTCAGTGGATATTACACTTTCTGAGAAAACACTGAAAACTATGCACAACCTTTTGATCACAAAACATGATTTTGCCAATAGCACTCTTTATTCCAAAAATCTGTCAAATCATTGGAAATCACCTGCATTTCTTGATTTCTTCTCAATGACAGCAAGCCAGACAGAATAATTTCACAGGGTGTTTAGTACAAGTACGATCTTTAATCCAAGTAAGTTTTTTGATAATAATTCGGTTGGCTACTTTTGGCATAAATGCAAGTTATCCTATTGCCTTTATCTAAACCTCTTTAACCCTAACTCCCTTGGCCTTTTTGCTAGGATGTAGCCTCAATCCTGCAAAATCCTCCAATTGGCCTCATGGAAAAATAGCATACAGCCTCAATCCTGCAAATTCCTTCATTATTTCTTGAATATGGTCCATGGAGGGGTGACCACTGCCTGAATCCTGCAAAATCCTACGGCTATGACTGTCAATAGGCTGAGGCAGAGGCAATGACATCCTGGAGCAGTGCGGAGGATGTCAAGTATAATCAAGGACTGAATTTATGCACGGCTGAGCATAAACAACACAAGGTCCGGCCCAAGACCTTGACACAGTGCATACTCCGAAATCAGCAACGCACTTTTGCCATGTAACCTCAATCCTGCAAATTCCTCCAATTTGCAAAAAGGATTTTGGAGGATTCAGGGCGGTTGGGGTTAAACATTTTCCACTGATCTACCTACCCGCCGATGGGGTCTACAGCTATAGCCCTGGGGTTGATCATGTCTGTCTTGAGGAGAACGCGTCGGTTGCTGCCGTCTAGGTTAGCCACCTCAATACGGTCATAGCCCGAGTCGGTCCAGTACATGTTACGGCTCAGCCAATCCACAGCCACTCCCTCCGGGCTACTCAGACCTGCAGGGGGTACAGAAACAAATCAATGAACCGGCAATAGGTATTAGAATTGACTGCCTTTACCTGTGGTACAGTTAAAGGGACACTGCATCCAGGAAAGCGCCCAAATGGGCTACAAAACGCGTTTTGAATGAAATGATGTTAATTGGAAAGAACATTCAAAAGTAACATATAAACATCCACACAACCATCCTTTAAAAACTGGGCGTTTTGGGCTTATTTCGTGCGAGAATGAATTTCGGGGTCCACTTTTGCGACCCCATCAAATTTGAGCTCGTTGTGATTTCAGCCGTAAAGTGTTTGCCTTTTGCGAACGTGTAAGAAACGACATTTACACATCGGTACTGTGTGCAATATTTTTGTGACGAAAGGAAAAACATATGCTTATGTAAACAACCAGTTTCTTGTTTTCGTCTTTTCTCGGGAACGGTAAACAATCCAAAGCATGAAATTTTCAGGGATTTCAGGATGCAGTGTCCCTTTAAACTATCTCCAAGAACAAAACCAAGTAAGCTTCTGAGGAATTTCCATAAACTTTTCGAGGTCTCCTTGCTCTGCATTTTGGTTGTCTGAAAATTGCCTCTTGCGACCGTGGCCTGAACTTATTGCAGTGAGACCACTGAGCACCACAAAAGTATCACATTGGAGCATTGAACATGCAAGGAGTATAGAGCATACATGCATAAAGACAAAGTATAGCAAATTGGAATGTAAACTGGAAGACCACCATAATCAAATATTACACATCACATTATGAGTTGTGCAGGATTCCATGACTTTTACATGTTTTTATTTTATTGGAATATCAACTTTCCACGACTCCTTGTATAACAAAATTCCATGACTTTCCATGATAAATTCCAGAAGTTTTCCAGGACTTTTCCGTGACTGTGGAAACCCTGTACTAACCTCTGCTAATCAGCACCTCCGTGCTGGATCCGTCTGCCTTGGCCCGGCTGATGGTGCGACCCGACACGTCCGTCCAGTAGATGTACTCCTCCTGGCAGTCGTAGCCCAAGCCCACGATGGTCTGGCCCGAGCGGAACACGATCTTATTGCCGGGTTTGTTGGCGTTGAGAGGCACGCGCATGACGGCCATACCCCGGGCATAGATCAGGGCGCCGTCGTCGAGCTCCGGTTGGGTGACCTCTGCGGTTGGGTAAAGGGGAAGGAAAACCAGGTGACGTTCAATAGGGTCAGCACCCAATTTCATGAAACTCATCGCAACTTACGATGCATCACAGTGCTGCGACACGCCGTATCGTTACGATGCGTCGCAGCTGCGACGCGTCCTGCGATCCATTTCACAAAACACATCGTAAGTGCAACGTGTCGTAGGTGTATTTATAGCACAGCTTAGTGACTGTTTTGTGTATTTAGTCAGTGTACAGTAAGTAGTTGTCTGATATTCAACAAAGATTCGTCGGATCTCCTCTCGAAAATTTGGCAGACGTGTGATGCAATTTTAAAGGAAAACAAACTCTCAGTGGACTGTATAGCTACTTTGAAATTTCAACTGCAATATTTCAGGCTAATTCATAATTATTCTATGCATTTTCTATTTACAACTTAACACATACAAAAAGGCTGAAATCCAAAACAAAAAAGCTGAAATCAGCTTTAAGGCTGAGATTTCACCCCCTGATTATAGTCTCGTTCATGTATTTTCATAGCATGAAACTGGCTAAGAAAAGGTCACTTCTTATTTCGCGATGACCATTTGACGCGTTGTTTATTGTTTAAAGCCGTTGTCAAGTAACTTATGACGCATTCAACACATCGCAAATTTCGTGAAGTGAATTATACGACACATCGCGAGTTTACACGCCGCAACTTGCGTTGCGACGCGTTGCAGCGCTTCGTGAAATTGAGTGCAGTGATAACAAATAGAAGTAATGAATAAATGTGTTAAAATCTGCTAAGACAGAGTTGTCGTCAAGACAATCACAAATCCAATAAGAAGTCAAATCACGAGGTAAGTCACAAGTGAATTACAAGTCAATCAAAGATCAATCGCGAGACCAATCACAACTCAAGGCACAAGTCGCTGGGAGTGAACAATAAGGGCCCATCTCAATTCAAATCCGGGATGAGTTCCAGACAAGTTGCGGGTAGAATCGTTCACTTGTCCGGAAGAAGCTCGGCATTTGTTCCCGGACAAGTTCTGGGAAAATTTTCACTAGCAACTGCTTGACTCACCAATACTGATAACTTCATTGAGGGAAGATTGCGGGGAAGTTGTTCAGAATCCCGCAACTTATACCCGATGCAATGTCCCAAACTTGTCCGGAACTCGTCCCAGATATGAATTGAGAAGGGCCTATAAACAGTTCATTTGAATAGCTTGCAATCGGACTTGAGATTGACTGACTCGTGACTGACTTGTGACTGACTTGTGACTGACTTGTGACTGGCTTGTGACTGACTTGTGACTGGCTTGTGACTGACTTGTGACTGGCTTGTGACTGACTTGTGACTGACTCGTGACTGACTCGTGACTGACTCGTGACTGACTCGTGACTGACTCGTGACTGACTCGTGACTGACTCGTGACTGACTCGTGACTGACTCGTGACTGACTCGTGACTGACTCGTGACTGACTCGTGACTGACTCGTGACTGACTCGTGACTGACTTGTGAGGGCTTGCGACTGACTTGTGGCTGACTTGTGACTGACTCGTGACTGACTCGTGACTGACTTGTGACTGACTTGTGAGGGCTTGCGAGGATTCGTGAGGACTTGACCACAACTCCGCAAAAAGATTCAGAATTTCTTGTAAGATTTGAAGGTTTGCTTGGCAAAGTGAGCATGTAAGTTTGCAGTTGCACCATGCAACAAATCTCTTTTGAGAGTTTGTGAGGTTCTGGAAAGAAGCCGGGGAAAACTCTGGAAATTTCGGACAATATGTTCTGCCTGTCGTCAGGAGACTGACATCGGGAGAATTGTTTTGCAAAGAAACAAGCACGAGCTGTTTGTGTAATGACAAAAGCTTCATCAAGTCCAAACATTTTCCATCTCAATGCAAATAAAAAATACAAAATTGAAAACTTTTCCCACCCAAAGGGAAAAAACTTCTTCTTACCTTGACAGGAGAACCCGTCGCCTTCATAGCCTGGCTGGCAGTAGCAAGAGAAGCTACCACGCACATTATAGCATGTAGCATATCGATGACACGCGGCACCAGACTGGGAACACTCGTCAATATCTGAAAAAAAGAACGTGCAAAACGTCATGTGATGTCAAGTTGTTTCTTACTGCCAATTTCCGCTTTAAACATTAATAATTGCCAACGTTGCCAATAAATATTTTCCACTAAGTACTTCCACGAAATAGGGCACCGCTTGTGTAATACTAAGAGATGGGATAAGGTCAAGAGCCAGTTTTCACATCTCGGCTTAATCTCCAGCTATGGATACAATATGGAATCATTTTAAAACATTTAGTATTACACCCACATCATATGCACCTAAATTTGGCCGAACATTAGAAAATTTGATGATTTACTGCTGAAGAAAGACCTCATATCAAAACCTTTGTGGTCAAAAGGACCCCATGTGAACCAGCCAAAAGTGCAGTACAGCCAGATGACCTTGGACATAGCGATAAGAACTCCCAGGCTGTGTGTATGCGCTGTGTGTATGCACATGTCCAATAAACAGACCCTACGTGCTCAGCCATGAGCAACGGCAAATTTTAATGGAGTTTAGATGAACAATTCTTTTGTGAATGATTATGGGCGAACCTTTGCCTCAACCAATCACAATAAGGCTTATATTGTTAGAAAGCTGACGAGACAAAGAATGACTCGAGAGAACTAAGCTCCCAGGTGGCGTTATTGAATGTTGTGATGATATAAATGGACCAGTTCTTGGCTGATCACGTGGTTTACACACAAAACTGGGAGATTTATGACTAAAAATGCAGTGTTCAACATAATTTTGGCAAGGGAAAATCAGAGTTTTATTTAGTTTTTGTTTCATTTTCTGTAAGAATATATTGTTGGGTCATACTGTAGTGAGAACTAAGGTACACTGTCGAATAATGTAGTGGCGGCGAGAGATGTGAAAATGAGCCTGTTTTCGCCGTGTTCTCTCATAGAGGTTGCACATGAAAAGCTGCCCGTTGGGTTAGTTCCCCAAAGGAATCCATATGACAGAGAACCAGGGTATTTAAACATGGGGGTATAAAATCTTAAAGCCAAAACTGGGATGTCGGCTAGGTTTGGAAACACCATTTAAAGGTTCCTACCTTCACAGACGAGTCCATTTCCCTGGAAGCCTGACCTGCAGACACACCTGAATCCACGCCCCTCTGGTATGCACTGGGCACTGGCGTCACAGGCTGAACACAGGTTGACCAGTGTGTCTAAAGGAATGAGGATATGAATATCAGTAAGATTTGAGGCTTTGCATGGTGGAGATACTAATGAATGAAAGGTTTGCGGAAACACCAATGGGTCTCCTCTACCCAAGGTCCTTCCACTGTATCTCCCTCAGTCACTCCTCCGCACATAGGTCCAGCTTCTCATCATGTCCAACGCATCCTCCGACAAGCCGGCGTCAAGGTGTACCACCCATCAGGCAACAAGCTCCAAGGCAGCCTCCACACTCACAAGGACAAGCAGGACGACTCCTCCAAGCCGGGAGTCTACCGCATTCCATGTGAATGCGGCAAAGTCTACATCGGGGAAACTGGTCGGAACCTCCCCACTAGGCTCAAAGAACACAGAGCACATGGACGGCGAGGGGATTTTGACAAATCGGCCATTGTCAAACATTCCCACATCAACGACCACAAAGTTGATTGGGACGCGGCTGAAATCATTGCACCAATCCAGTTCTGGCATCCAAGATGTATACTAGAAGCCATCGAGATCCGCAAGTAAAACACAGTTCCGTAAGACATCGGGTTTCACCTCAACGACATCTGGCTGCCACTCCTCCACACTGATGGGTCTCCTATACCCTAGGTCCTCCGCTATCACCTAAGACTGATGGGTCTCCTATACCCTAGGTCCTCCCTCTACTTAGACTGCAACCCTACTGTTCCACTTCAATGGGCACACCAAGCTTACTCTAGGCTCCCCAGCTACTTGGCATCCACACAGGATGCAACTTCACACTTCATTGATTTCGCTTCATTGATTTCATTGATTTTGACCAGAACGTCGAGTTTATACCTCTGGTTCTTTTCAGAACCATTCTCTTAGTTGAGAAATTATTAGCACGTGGTGTTTCCGCAAACCTTTCATTCACTGATATGAATATAGGGTAAGATGTACTTTCTGACATCAGTTGAACAGTTGGGAGGTGCCATTATCCTTTAGTGTAACTGCCAAGATTTCACTACACATAATTTACTATTCAATATCATGGTATACGAGGTGAGAAAAAAAAAACCCCGAACCCAAATGGCAGGACCAATTTTTGAATGAAGTTTTGCCTGTAGCACTTTCAAAATCTAGGATATGAAAGCCTAAGGATATCAATGAGCTTTCTTTTAGTACAAGAGTCATTCAAATCACTCGTGTACTTTTGAACACAAACACTGGTTTAAAGGGAAAATACAACATTTGCAAACATCAAAAAATAAAACTACCAAATCATTTTGAAATACCTTGCTGGACTGTTAGTGAATGACAGTGTAAAGCATCCTGTAAAATCATGGCACCTGGTATAATGTCATTTTCAAGAAAAGTGGTATTTTTGTATCAATTTCCAACGCTGATCGGCCGATCAGCGTTGGAAATAACTGGCTTTTTTTCCAAATACTGGCCCCAATTGACCATCGCACTTGTTTGCAATCGATTACAAACCTATGAACGGGTACGAGCCAGCTAGACTGGTTCCCTGACCTTACAATTCCCCAATGTATGTAAACTGCTCTGTTTCTTCTTATATGGAGTCAGGGAACCAGACTACAAGAAAATGATTGTTTTTCTTGGTTTTTATTGCATTTTCGAACCCAAAACCTCAAAAAAGTCAGTGTAACTAAATTTGCTATATATTTCCAACCCCCCAATTCCATCCATTTCTGAAAATTACAGTAAAAGCAAATGATGTATATTCCCTTTAAAGTTCTGTCCATTGATCACAAAGAAATTAAGTGTTCTTTCAGCAAAACGAAAACAATTCTCATAGGGATGCATGTGAATTGTTTTCGTTTTGCTGAAAGAACACTTCAACTGCAATATTTCAGGCTAATTCATGATTATTCAATGCATTTGGCCTCGTAGTACGTGGGACACAGACGCACCACATTTTCCGTGTTCCACGAGCGCGAGCATGATGACGAATTTATCTTCAAGCAAACTTGACGCACAGTAAAGATGGAACTAGCAAGCTTTACGCAAACCTTTTAGCGGTGTAGCGCATGCAGCTGGAATGTCGCTTGCATCTTAGAAAAGCGGAAAACGCGGAGTGCGGTATGGATCGAGGCTGTGCTACATGGTTACATGTAGCACGGCTTGTTGCCATGGATCGACCAATCAGGATCGCGGATTCAAGTTTACTTGAAGATAAATGTATTTATGTTCGTTTATGCATTTTTTATGGCATAAAACTGGACAAGAAGAGGACTTTTCTTATTTTGCAAAACTCGGTTTGCAGGACTTACTTCTACAGGTGAAGCCGTCGCCTTCATAGCCCTGGTTACAAGTACAGGAATAACCGCCATCTTGTGCCGGCGAACACTCCGCGTTGAAGTCACAGCGGTTGTTATAGCACAGGTCCACAGACACGGCTGAAAATAAAAAACCAAACATTGATCCTTAGCGGTAGACAGTGTAGACGCTCAAGAGTTGCATTGAGGATTCCATTCAGTTCATTTTTTTAAACTGATTCAGCTGACTACTGCTGGAATATTAAGCAGCATGGAATGGACAAAAAGAGAAAAAAACTCTAAGAGAAGTCTGTTTAAGTAAATCTACATGCAAATGTGTTAACATTTTTAAGCAACTCCCAAACTAGACCCAAGGAATTTTTCCAAAATACAGACGACTTTCGCACAGCATGAAGTCAGCTAGTGCTGGGCAATGTCACTTGTTAAAATAGTAAATATCATGTACAAGAAAAAAGGGTGAAAACATGAGAAAAATAAAACAATATTCAATGCACCAAGATAGCTATTAAAGCTGCATTGAATGAGAAAAAAATAATTTCCATTAAAAAAAAAATGAATATTATGCCGTGAATTTCAGACACCGCATTGACTTTCACAAGCTATTTCATGCATATGGAATTAAGGTAGCACAGTAAAACTTGACTAACCACCACCAAAAAACCCCCCAAAAACCACTCATTTGAGGGGTCATAATTTTGAATCTGATTGTTTTATGATGAAGTCATTTATATACACCTTTGGCAAATTTTCTTAGCAACATTTTGATACCCAGTTTGCTACTAAAGACTGTAAACCGTCCAAGATTGACAATGGTTTATGAAAAATGATGTAGTTTGAAATCTTCCAAATGTAAAGGTTATGCGAGGAGAAGTTGCTTAGCGCAAACACACATGCCTGCAATTGGCCCCTATCGACTGCACAGTGCCTGAACAAAGCGCGGGTAATAATTCAATGTCGAGTGCTACCATGCATACAAGCACTTTGCGATTGGTATTCCCCGCCTTTCGTTCTGGGCAGTGTAATATTGTCACGCAGCGATTTCCACTCGCGCGCTCTTTAAAATTGCAACTTTTCAAACTGCACTGTTGTTCATAAAATGTTGTCAATCTTGGACAATTTACAGTCTCTGGTAGCAAACCGGGTATCAAAATATAGCTAACAACATTCTCCAAAGATGTACATAAATGACGTCCTCATAAGACAATCAGATTCAGAATTATGATTCTTCCAATGAGTGTGGACTTTCTTTTTGGTTTTTTTTTTTAAATGTATCCCAGTGCTCCAGAAAAAAAATTGCTAGGACCAATGAGATGATGGCCACAATCTTAGCTGTGCACCAACCACCACAGAATCCCATATTCCATATTATGAACACCACAGAATCATTTCCACGATGTCGCAAAAAGATGTGAATAACAGATATTGATGCTATCTACAAACACAAGCAATATAAGACACTTTTGAAAAGGATGAAGTTACGATACTGTTGAACACTGGACATTTGTTAAACAATTACCATGTTTCTCCGAACAAATTTTGTACTAAGAATGCACGTGACAGCTCAAAACGGGTTGTGCTCGATCGTTTTTGTCAGCACAGTTTTTGTGTCCAATATCAGCTCCCCCCCCCCCCTTGTTTTAGCAGCATGTACTTTTAGACAGTACGGATGAAATTACATGTGCTACATTCCAGACAGATCATGTTTTTGGTGTTCGCAACATTTTTTAAAATCTTGCTGCGCATAGGCTTACACACGATATGACTGCAACCCACAATTCATGTACTGTGGTGAAGTAGGGGTTAAATTATTTTGCCAAAGTTCAGGACTCTCAGCAAAACAAGTGTGTGACTTGGGCATGCGAAATATGAAGTAAATGAAATGCAGCATATGCCTGAAATTAATGCCAGAGAACAATACAACAGTACAAATGAATATTCAAACCTGTTAGTCTGTTCATTTCCTTCAAAATAGCGAGCAGCTTGTAAATTAAATAAAGCATCATTTATCTCCACATCATAATGTATCCATAATTGGCTCCCGTAAGTATCCCAACAGAGCTGCCAACATCTCCTCTATAAACCATGTCACATTTGTTTACAAAATTTGATGATGTGATCACATGATGCCAAGTTTCTGTACACTGTTTTTTTCTGCACTGCATATACAGGGTTATGCAAAAGAAGGAAACCCACTTTTAGGCCAAAAAAAAAAATAAGTCGGTCTCTGGTCAGCGCGCGCGTCGATTTTAAGCATGCGCGTCGATCTTTTTTTTTCCAAAATGTTCCGCGGTAGCTCCAACAGCGCTCTCTATTTCTGCACCTCCTCATTTTTTTTTTACCAAAGAGCACCAAGGAATGGGAAGTTGCACCAAGGCAAATGATCAACAGCACCAAGGCAAATTATGGAGGACACCGATGTACATGAGGACACCAAAAAAGCAAAATAGTACCCCACCTTGTCTGTACAATCCAAGCTTGAAGAGAAAAAAAAAAAAGCAAAAAAAAAAAAAAAAAGCTGCGTGGCCGCGTCAATTCCGGAACTTTGGTCTGACCAGAGACCAAATTTTTTTTTTTTGGCCTTAACTGGAATTTTAACCTACTTACTTAAAGGGAATATACAACATTTGCAAACATCGAAAAATAAAACTACCAAGTTTTTACGAAATACCTTACTAGGATGTTGGTAAACGACAGTCTAAAGCATCCTGTAAAATTATGGCACCAGTTTTCCTCACATACCGGTAGTTCATTTCTGAAAATTACAGCAAAAGCCAATGTACATTCCCTTTAACTTATTTGAACTGTTTTATATAATGTAGTAAAGTATAGCTTTTCAACCATACATATTGAAAAAAATCTTTTAAAAAAATCGCAATAATAGTGTTATAATGCTAATTTGAATATAAGTCACTAAAATCAATATTCTCCACGTGCAAGTCTAGTGTAGTGGTTTTTGTCCTCAAATCAAGCTCCGGAGCTCAGTCAAGAGGATGGAATAAAGGTGTCCATGGACAAACAGGTTTGGCTCATGAAATGTTTAAACTTCCATATCTCAGAGACAAAATATGCATTTGCAATTGTTTTTTCGTCACTTATGTTTAAAGATCATTATTTTAACACCATTAAATTGAATTTTTGAAATATGCTCAACAAGTAGGTGAAAATTGCTGTCAAAAGTGGGTTTCCTTTTTTTTGTACCACCCTGTAGATCTCTTGAAATATGACTGGTTTAAAAACATTAAGTGTTTAATGTGGGAAAAATAAGATGCTTGAAATAAGATTGCCAGTCGGTACCGTGTCTGTGTGATGTCACAGGTGACATGGTCCGTAAAATTCATATCAACCAAATTTGAAATCCAACTTAACTGTTGTTGCTTATAACATTAACCTTTAAAGGGAATATACATCATTTGCTTTTGCTGTAATTTACAGAAATTGATGGATTTGTGGTTTTGGTACGGTAATATATAGCAAATATTGTTACACTGACTTTTTTGACGTTTTGGGTTCTTAGATGCTATAAAACCAAGAAAAACAATCATTTCCCTGTAGTTTGGTTCCCTGGCTCCATTTAAGATGAAACGGAGCAGTTTATAGACATTGTGGAATTGTAAGGTCAGGGAACCAGTCTACCTGGCTTGTACCCGTTCATAGGTGTGTAATTGATTGCAAACAAATGCGGACTAACTAAATATGGTCAATTGGGGCCAGTATTTGAAAAAAAGCCAGTTTTTTTTCTAACGCTGGTCAGCTGACCAGCGTTGGAAATGATACAAAAATACCACTTTTCTTGAAGCTCACCAGGTGCCATGATGTTACAGGATGCTTTAGACTGTCATTCACTAACAGTCCAGCAAGGTATTTCAAAATCATTTGGTGGTTTTATTTTTTGATGTTTGCAAATGTTGTATTTTCCCTTTAAGCGTACTTGTGGGAATATTTTTGGTACGTAGCACCTTTGAAGTTTTCACGAATTGGATGAAAAGCGGGCGTCCATCAGGAGCTTATGCTTATTCTATCTCCAAAATGTGGCTATTGTGATTTTTTGGAAAAGGTTAATGTTGCTTGTGGAGACGCCTTCTCATATCGAACCAATTTTACAGGCACTCAGCATTGAATTAATAGAAGTAAGATTTCCTGACTATATATCTACAGAAGATTACAAGCAGACGGTCATGGTTAATACAATTCTTGTTACTAATGCAATATGTATGACTGTTAGTCACAACAGCCCTTGCTTCAAAAACCCTGCTACGCTTAGTTAACTGTTACCAGTGTGCATCCATACTTCCAGCGCAATCTTTCGCTATTTGCATGGATAGCAAAAACATTCTACGCAATATTCTACCATTAGCTACAATTTGAATGGTTCGCAGCTACAACAACTTGGAAAAGACAGAAGAAACAATAAACTTTTAAAATTTCTTTTTTTCTATTCTATACATTATTTTTTTTTAATTCTATTGTCTACATATGCCGTGACCTGTGCAGTAATTGGCCACAGTATCAAGCAATAGAACACCTACCAGTAGCTAAAATGTTGCAACAAAATATTTGGAATCTGCCTAATATCCGATTTCAATAAAAACTTGGTATCTCAAATTTTGGCAATAGATTTAAAGATTGGGTATGAACTCTATGCATAATGTACATCATTGAAACCAGTGGTGCACACAAGGGGGGCCTCAGGGGGCTTGAGACCCCCCCCCCCCCCCCCCCCCGAAGAGGTTGTCAAAAATTTTTTTTAGTCACCTTGGTGATATGTATGTGGCCTATTTTCGAGTAGTATAATAGTGGTGTAAGTGACGCCACCAACGTCAAAATAGTCCCCCCCCCCCCAATTTAACTTCTAAAAGATCTGGGGGAAAAAAATTGTGAGCCTCCCCCAAAGCAAAATCCTGAGTGCGCCACTGATTGGAACATGATTATTCCCTTGTGTGTGTCCGATGGGCAAGGGGCCTAATAGGTAGCTGCCGATATCCGTGCACAAAAAAAGTGGAGGTTTGTGAATCCACCACAAAAATTGGCAGAATAGTTAGATGCACATTTTTGCATATTTTTCCTAAAATTGATCGTATTTGTTCACTGTGCATGCATACATACATGTAACCTGTCATCACAAATGAGTCAGAAATTGCCATTTTGCAGTATAGTGATGCAAAACCAATATTTGAAAGGGTGGTTGATTTTTTGTTTCCAGGTGAACCTCAATCTGTAAGTCCTGTTCTGCTTTTCCCATCCCCCCCCCACCCATTTTTTTTTTTTAGTTGCTCTATCAAACATCTGTAAAACCTACTTTCATCCCATTTTATTACTTGACAATTCATTCCCTGTTATACAATGGGATTTTTAAATGCCATTTTCTCAAACTTCAGTTTGACAACTTCAATTTAGTCGGTGGTCTTTAGTTCCGTTCGTGTGTCCTTGGGAAAGCCACTTCACCCAACTTGCCTCTCTCCACCCAGGAGTATAAATGGGTACCGGCATTAGCTGGGGAGTAACCTGCGATGGACTGGCATCCCATCCAGGGGGAGTAGACATATTCTCAGTCGTTTCATGCTACTGAAAACAGAGATAAACGCCGGCCTGATGGTCCACATTGGCTCTTGACAGACTTGACTTCTTTTTTTTTTACTTTAGTTCCGTAACTGAACTCAGTACCCCCAACATTATACACCATTAGAAAGCTCTTGTTCTACAGAATCCAGAAATACAAATATCTCACTTCTTAAAAAGTCTGACTTTATGCTCATTTTGTGATGATGAGTCACAAACGCATTCGCGCCATGACAAATCTCCAAATCCCCATATCAGTGCAAGTTTTAGGCAGATTAAAAATCTCGTTGCAACAACACTAAACTGACTGCCACCTGACTATCAGTATTTTGGTCTGGTACCTCGGCACGTGAAGCCGTTCCCTTGGTAACCAGCATTGCAACGGCACCTGTAGCTGGTCCGTGTGGGGATACAGCGGGCGTTGACCGAACACCGATTGTTGCGGCAGCGGTAATCAACAATTGCTGAGTTTAAAGTAGAACAACTTGGTCATTGACTACTTAATACATAATTCATTTAATCCACAATTACTAGTTATAACAACAGTACGGCAATGTTTCTAGGTATAGACCTTTCTATTCTTGGTTGGCAAACTGCAAATTTTGCCAACCACAGGTTGCAAAAGTATGGAAGGTCCAACACTGCAAAAATGAAGAAGAGTTATTACAGATCACCAAAATATCATTTGATTGTTGGAAATACAGCACTGTGAACAAAGCTAACATAATTCCTAAACATGCCTTTTTACTATGTATTGAGGGTGTTATGGGGACTTTTTTTGGAAAAATATGTTACCAGTGGTGACGCAGAGCCCTCTACTGTACATGCGCGGAGCCGTTTGGCACTTTCTTTCAAATACGACCACAGAAATTGTCCATTACACACTGTTCTCACCTTGACATGTGAACCCATCCCCGTTGAATCCCTGGTTGCAGTAGCACTGGTACCCCGACTGAGACGGTACACAGCGGGCGTTGACATCACAGTTGTTATTGGCACAGGGATCGACAATTTCTATCAATGTGAAAAGTACATCAGTAACAATTCAATTTATTACATTGTTTCTTGGGCAGCATAATACAACAATTTAAGCTTGTAAAAAGAAGTGGACGATTACTAACTTTCATCACAAAGGCACAGCACATAGTGTCAGGGGCGGATCCAGGAATTTTTGAAGGGGGGGTCAGGCCCGTCAGATTTTGTTTTAATCAGTATATCAGCTGGTCAGCTGGTACCCTTCTTCTAATGTGGGCGCTGTTCTGTGCTACGCCTCTGTGTCGGAGTGTTGCAGACAGCCAACAGGTAATTATTATTAATATAAGTGTCATCATTTTTTTTTTATCAGAGCAAAAACAGCCCCCCCCCCCCCCCGGATCAGCGCCTGAGTGTATGTAGCACACATGTTTTTTTTCCCCCCAAAGGCAGGTGAAGATATTTTCATGAATAATTCAGTAGTATCGATGGGAAAATTATGTTTATTCATGAAGAAAGAGCAAATCGCATCGAACCATTATTATAGAATTTGGGCTACATTACCTTGTTTTTCAAAGAAAGGCTGTCGTCAAGCTACCACAGTAGCCCAGTGAGATAAACTAAACACCGCAAAAATAAAGTCCATACTCATTGGAGGGGTCATTATTTTGAATTTGATCATCTTATGATAACATCATTTTGTATATACTTTTTGGGAATGTTGTTAGCTACATTTTGATACCCCGTTTGCTACCAAATACTGTAAATTTTTCAAGATTGACAACGATTTATGAAAAATGATGCAGTTTGAAAAGTTGCTAATTTAAAGAGTACGCAGGGGAAAATTGCTGCGTGACAATGTTATACTGCCCAAAACGAATGGCAGGGAATATCGATCGCACAGTGCTTGTTGTATGCATGGGAGCACGCGAAATTGAATTACTCGCGGTTTGTTCGGGCACTGTGCAGTCTTTAAGGGGCCATTAACGGGCACACCTGTTTGTGCTAAGCTATTTCTCCTCGTGTGATCTATTAAATTTACAACTTTTCAAACTGCATCTTTTTTCATAAACCGTTGTCAATCTTGGATAATTTAGTGTCTTTGGTAGCAAATGGGGTATCAAAATGTAGCTAACCAAATTCCACAAAGGTCTACATACATGGCGTCATCATACGACGATCAGATTCAAAATTATGTCCCCTCCAATGAGTGTAGACTTTCTTTTTTTGCGGTGTTTATGATAGTGAGGTTACTATGGATCGAAACATCCCTGGTTTTGAATTCACTGACGCCTTTTTTCTTCGACCATTTTTCTGCTTAAAAAACTATCATACCTCGACAGACAAAACCGTCACCGCTGAAACCATCGTTGCAGTAGCAATTGTATGCGCTGGCTGTAGACACACAATAGGCGTTGACATCGCACGCATTGTTGGCACATCTGTCGATTTGCGTGGCTGGAAAGTTAAAAAGTGACCAAAAAGAGAACAAGAGATTAATTCTTTTACCCAAGCTTGGTCTTTGACAAAGGCATTCCTATGTTGTTGTTCATCCTGTTATTTGTGGCTTACTTATGATTTAAGTTATGGTCGACTTCTTATCGGCTTGATTACAATCAAACTTATGCAGTGCTGGTGTCCCGAGCGTGTTCTTTGTTAGGCCAAGTAAAAAAAAGGTTTCTCATCTAGGCTTTTTCTTTTGAAGGAGGTGCCCCTCCCCCCCCCCTTTCCCCAAGATGGCGGATTATTCAAGATGGCAGATTCCCTTTTCTCGACTCTTTTCCCAATACAAAATTGTGTCCAAGGAGCGATTACCCTTTCTACATAACTATAATTTGTTGGAAACAAATATATTGCGAATGTATGAATTTATAAAAAAAAAAAAAAAGAAGTGGGCAGGAAAAGGAAGTGAGCAGGGACAAGAAGCTGTTTTTTCCCCTCATTGGCCTTATTTTAATTAAGGGAATAAATGTGTGCTCCGGAGGTTTTTATCACTCTGTTTAAGAACGCTTAGAGTCTGGGTGTTGATAATTACCCGAGCCGGAGGCGAGGGTAATTATCAGCACCCAGACTCTAAGCGGTCTTAAACAGAGTGATAAATACCGACCGAGCACATATTTATTCCCATTCATAAATACCTTTTCGGTAAAAAAAAATCAACTAATTCGTTCAAAAAATCCCGATTTTGTTCAACAAGTTAACTTCATACTTTTTGAAACATCCCTCTAGCAAAATAATGGAGTGTTCAGCTGGCGAGTAAGATGTAAACAACCCTTTGGCGTAGCATGTTCTGCGTGATGTCGCGCAGAACGCACCTGGGGCGTTTTGCATTTAGAACTATAAAATTCTGACTCGCTGGTAGTGTTGCGCATGCCTACGTGAGGATTGTGAACATTCAACCAATGAAACAGTAAGAGGCACTGGATTTTAAGAAGTCCACATTTTATTGTGACACTGGAAAAGTGTTTAAGACCAGCTAGCCATGTCTTTATCATCCGTTTAAGACCGTGACGGGCTCTCGACCAATAGGAATAGCTAAACTGCCTGAGGTATTTATGAATTAGTAATACTGATTGCACAAAGGGTTTACTAATGCCTATCCTAGTAATACAAAACCATTACCCCCGACTCGTCTTAAAGATTCAGTCCATCATTTCTAATTTGTGCGTTTTGTACGTTTGCTGAACAACTAAACCTGATGAAGTTTCAGCTCAGCTTCAGCTGTATATTTGGAGAAAAACATCATTCTAGGATCTTTATTTCAAATCAAAATTTGCTTAATCATGTTTTGAGTTGGGCCTGAATTCAGTGTCCGAGACACGTTCTCACTCAGCCAATTGCAGCTACGCAATGAGGCACACTGATACGACGAATTAAAGCAACCGCACACGCGTGTGCGTCATGTCAACACTTGCGCGCGCTTCACCGAATAAGAAAACGGAAATTGCCAACTGTGCGTCTGAAGCTATTTAAGACTACTTCCGCTGGATTCAATACAAACAATTTCAAAAATCCCGTACCTCGGCAAGAGTAGCCGTCTCCTTCGTAGCCTTGGTTACAAAAGCACTGGTATCCCGTCTGAGTTGGTACACACCGGGCATTTCGATCACAGTTGTTGTTGGCACAGAAATTTATCTGCTCGGCTATAAGCGAAGAAACAAAATTTGGGATAAAAAAAAGAGAAAAAGACAAACCTATCAATGAGAGAATAATTAAAACACGTCAACAACTCATGGGATATTTTAATGCAGTACCTTAGGCCAAAAAAAAAAAGTCTCCGGTTTCTGGTATGGAGCTTGCCCCAATAGTGGTGCGGCGACGCGGCTTTTTTTTTTTTTTTTTTTTTTTTGCTTCAAATGTCGGCTGATGACTGCAAATGGTGCCCGACTAAACTTAGTGCAAATATATGGGAGTCCAGAGAGGCCACATAAATCTTATTCTCGATCATAACCCCATCTAAAAACACGTTAAAGTTTGGCGGTTTTGAAACATCATCTTGTATTGAAAAAAAAACTTTTTCATTTTGCCGACGCGCATGGCTACGGCGACGCGCGCATACCAGAAACCGGAGACTTTTTTTTTTTGGCCTTAGTTAGGGTTCATAATAAATTGCCATAATATTGGTCACAATAATGGTCTGAATGCAATTTTGAATATGTGGAACAAAAAGAAATCAAAGAAATAAGTTTTAACAGTCTGAATTATGTTTTAGAGGTATATTTGACCCTTGAAAAATATAATGATTTAATTAACTGATTTGTTATATCGTGTGCTTGGATACTGTAATTTCATTGGTCTAGGACGGCCATGTGGTTGGACAATAACAATGCATGTCAGACGCTGAGGGTGATATCGCAATGCGTGAATTGGGCGCGTTGTGGAATCTGCCAGTGCACTAGCTTTGCGCATCAGGACATCAAAACCTTCAGTTTTCAACGGTTACATCACAGTGATTTAATTTATTTCTCACACAGTAAGTTACAACCATTTATCTTTTTGAGTCATTGGCACGATATAACAAAACTATAGCTGACTGCTGTGATGTGGGACATGCCGTTTTTAACCCCCACGGGGACGCATTCACCTCGGATGCTATGCGCCCCTCAGGTGTTAGAAATGTCATATCCCATGCATGGGCGTCGTGAGGGGGGGAGGGGGGGGGGGGGCAAGGGGGGGCACTTGTCCTCCCCCTGGACAAGCCCCCCCAAAAAAGAGGCGCAAAATCATATTGTTGCTAATTTAATGGATTGGGGGGGGGGGGCCAAATATCCCTGCCCACCCTCGAAAAAATGATCAATCGGGAAAATGCTAAAAAATATAGGGATTGGGGGGGGGGGGTTCTTTGCCCCCCTGTAGAATAAAAATCCTGGCGAGACCCATGGTCCCATATCACAGCAGTCAACAACTGTTAAATGTCATATTAACTATTCAAGTTTTATAGTAACTAACAATGCCAATAACTATACCACCACTATAGTTTTCAGGGAAAAAATTAGCTACTCTTGCATGCAATTTTTTTTTTTACAGGCAGAAAGAAATGCACATCATTAAAACAAAAACCACAAAAGCAAGAAAATAAACAAAAAAAACAGCCACTATCTACCCTCGCATGTAAAGCCATCACCAGTGTAGCCTTCAAAGCAGTAGCATTCATAAGCGTCTTGAGCGGAGGCTACACAACGAGCGTTCGTATCACAGGCATTGTTAACGCAGGGGTCGGTGGTATTAGCTGCAAAGAAATGATGCATGGTTGCAGGATTTACAAGCAAAGCCAAACGGAGCAAAGTTTAGAAAGCTGAGAAAATGAAATACATGTAGTTCAAGCTGCAAAACCAATAATGGTATAGACAAATCCGTTGAGTGATTTGACCACTAAACCGTGCATGTGGTGTATAGACCTTCATCATGTTGCAACCATTTCAGTCATGTTCCCTGTATGCAATAACAGTACTGAATGATAATGTGTTTTGTGCAAAAAGGAACCAGTCTATTTTTCCTTCCAGCCTCGCTTTGGTTTCGTTGATTTGAATGGGAAAAAATCAAGATGGCCGCCACATGATAATTGTCTATTGTTGATGTCCCCTAACGTGGAGCAGCCCCTCGTAGGGTACTTTGATTTTTGCCTCTGAAGGCTTTGCATCAAATTTCACAGTGAGTGAAATTTCATCAAGCTCTAAACATTACCGTTCATAAACCTTCAGTTCACCAACCCTTTACAAAGTTAAGAGAGCAATTTCACTCTGGTGTAACTTTCCAACTTTACTGCGAAGTGCGCAGTGAACCCTTTTAAAATGCGCCCAAGTATAAGAAAACAATTTTCTGACAAACACATAGTTGGATATGTAAGTGGAAATAATAATGGTTTATCAAATTTCGTCAATTTAAAGAAATTCTTTGATGTTCACTTGGGGATTTCCGGGATTTGTTCAAGTGTGCCACATTAGGGAACACTTGGCCAATTTTGTGCCCAATTTCCAGACAACACCACTGTTGAATTTCAGACTAAACATTATGACACTAAGATTGTTCACTAATCATTATAGAGGTAATAGTACCAGTATTTAACTGAATGAATGTGAAGCTTGTCCCCCCCCCCCCAAAAAAAAGGGTTTGGCGACACTGCAGGAGGAAAATTGGGGAAAACATCGATGAATTTTAAAATATTTTAACAAAACAAGAAGAACAATCAGCATCTATCTACCCATGCATGTAAAGCCATCACCGGAGTAGCCTTCAAGGCAGGAGCATTCATAAGCGTCTTGAGCAGAGGCTACACAACGAGCATTCATATCACAGGCATTGTTAACGCAGGGGTCGGTGGTATTAGCTGCAAAGAAATGATGCATGGTTGCGGGATTAACAAGCAAAGCCAAACTGAACTGTGAGGCAAAGTTTAGAAAGCTGAAGAAATTACAAGTTCAGGCTGCAAAACCTGGTATAGATGAACCCAGTTGCCATAAATTTGGCTGCGGAACTATGACTGTGGTGTTTTTGCAAATGCTCCGTAGCAAAATGGCTTTCACACTGTTGAAAAATATCCATGTTGGACCCAGGTCCAACACAGACCCTGTCACACTAGCAAGAATCTAACATGGTTTCTACATGGGTCTGGTGCTCTACACAAGTAAACTCCAACCTGGTTGGAAGGCTCTACCTGGGTAGAACATCCAAACTCTACAGCAGGTGTGAACGGTCCGCCTGCCCACCCATGCTGGGACCTGGTTCCGCTTATGCTGTACCCGTGTTATTTTCATCACAGGTAGGCGAGGCGACAGTGTGAAAAGGCCTAGAGGCCTTGGTCTAGACCAGGTCAGGACCAGGGTTGGAAGGCTCTACCCGGGTAGAACATCCAAACTCTACAGCAAGTGTGAACGGTACGCCTTGCCTACCCATGCTGGGACCTGGTTCCGCTTATGCTGAACCAGTGTTATTTTCATCACAGGTAGGCGAGGTGACTGTGTGAAAAGGCCTTGTTTACTGGGGAAATTGTCGACTGCACAGCTTCAAGATTGTTTCTTCAAACTCGCTCTCACAATTTTAGTATATGTGATTAACAGAACATCATCCAGGGTACTTTTGCTAGAAACCCTACCAAAGGTAACAGTTGTCTAAGTGACAAGCCTGCACAGTGCAGCACGATCCATGAGACCAATAGTCTCAAGACCAAACCACCTAGAGTCTGTGGTCACCTAATGCAGCAGGATACAACTGAGGCGTTGTTCAATGGGACTAGCTCTCATTGTCTCAGAAGCAGTCATTTATGCACTGGTGTTGGTAGCTGAATGCATCAAAGTGCACCACCTTCTAAAGCAAACCACTGCAAGTTTGTAAGAACCAAAAGATTCTCACCACTAAGCACTAGGATAAACACAACCATGCTTAATAAAAAAAAAAACTACAACAACTGAAGCTAATGATAAAGTTTCACGCGCAAAAAAGAACAAACTTCCAACTTCCAACAGGAATTCTACAGATTGAAAAGACAGAATTTCTGCAAATGGCTTAGCTTGCTTGAAGCAGCACAACCGGCACCAAGCTATGACTTTAACATTTAACGTTCAGTACACTTCAACTCTATAAAGATGAAAGCTTTGCGTATAAGTAATTGGTTGACCTACTTTGACCCCATAACTATGGGTCAGGTTAAGAGGTCACCTCAGACATTTTGTAATCTTTGATAAGGTCCAACGTGTTGACAGTGCTTCTTGTGTCATTTGAGCTGGTTTTGAAAGTTGACCTATTTTGACCTTTGACCCCATAACTATAGGTCGGACAAAGAGGTCACCACAGACATTTTTTAATGTTTGACCCAGGCCAACATGTTGACAGCTCTACGTTTGTCATTTAAAGCTATAGTCCATCATTTGCAGCTATCCGAAAAGTAACTGGCGTAATTATTGTTAAAAAACATACTTGGTTGAAAGATAGTAAGGGGACTAAACTCCCTGTGAAATTATTCTTTCTGGCGAGCTGTCATTTTGAAGTAATCAACGAAAGAAGGCTTTTCCAACGGTGCTTCTTAAGACGCACCGTAGGAAAATTTTAATTAGTAGTTCGTTTTGTTATTCGGCGAAGCGCGCGCAAGCATTGGCACGACGCACACGTGGTTGCTATAATTCATCGGATCAGTGCGCGACATCGCGTAACTGCAATCGGCTCAGTGAGAACGTGTTTCGGACGCCGAATTCAGGCCCAATTCAAAACATGATTCAGCAACTTTCGATTTCAAATTGAGATCCTAGAATGCTGTTTTTCTCAGAATATACAGCTGAAGCTGAGCTAAAACTTCATCAGGTTAGTTGTTCAGTACCCTTCTTTAGATTTTGAACACTTATGTTGCTTCATACGAACAAAATGCACAAATTACAAATGATGGACTATATCTTTAAGCTTATTTGAGAAATTTGACATTATTTTGACCTTGACCCCGTGATGACCTTTGACCCCAGTTTGGTCATGTGAAATGTTGGGGCTGGGCAACTGATACTTTTGACAAATTTTGGTTGAAATTGGTCAAAATATGTAGGAGCAATAGACAATTTGAACGTTTGTTACTAACAAACGAACTAACTAACTAACCTACGGACTAACAGAGATACATGGGTACTTGTAGCTGCTAAAAATGAGGAAACAACAGCCATTATCTACCCTCGCATGTAAGGCCATCACCAGTGTAGCCTTCAAGGCAGGAGCATTCATAAATGGCTGGAGAGAAGGCTACACAACGGGCATTCGGGTCACAGACATTACTGGCACAGGGGTCTGTGGCTGCAAAGAAACGGGGGCATGATTGCAAAGCGAAAAATAATGAGGGTGACATGCATTCATTCAAAAGACAAAGAAAGAAAGTCATGCAGGAAATGTATTTTTACTGACGAGGAGTTTTTGCTTTTTCAGGCAGCATACTGCAAGGCGATTCTTTACAATAAATGGTGTCAAATTGTTTTCTATTATGCATGCCAGGACGTCTTTGTGTTAATTTCCATTTTTTTTCAGCCCTTTCACTTTGGATGTTGTGTCTGGGTGAATTTTTAAGACCGCTCGTTGATAGTGTAGTCAAGTCTATTTCCGAGTGTGACAAGTTTAGACCATTCTGCGCAGGTCCCATGAACGAAGGACCCCTTCAATGGCGTAAGCATTGTGCCAACTATTGTTCAGATAATCCATCCTCGGGCAGTTGCTTTGTCTAAAATCTGATTACATTTCATCCCTTGGGATGAAATTTGCTGCGAATGTTTTAGGACATCGCATTTTCATGAAGTAAAGACCCGACTTTCACTGTCTATCTAAAAACCTTTTTCTTCTTATTCAAAGTACACTGTCTATACAGCCATATACAGTACAGTAATAAGACTCTGATACAGTAATAAAACTCCAATTCTGCTAATGCAACCTAACATTACAGTAATCTTTTGGACTCAAGAAAAGCTCTTGATCACAACACTAGTCTTGTACAATAACACAATTTTGTTCTGCTTAGGATTGTCATAAATGCATGACCCACAGTACATCTTAACGGTGCTGCAGCATGTCATTTTGACAGATTAAGGAGTTGTTCATTTCATTTCAAACAGTCACAATGAGGAGTACACCAACTTTTGGATATAATTTCTTTAAAACTTGATCGAAAACCAAAGACATTTCGAAGCACGAGAAAAACAATCACTTAGGTAGAGAACAGACAGAGTTGCATTTATAGGAAAACATTTCTGTAAGCCAGGGCCGTCCTGAATATACCTTATACTTGATTATCAACCAAATATTTGAATAGTTTTCTGCCGGATTGAATATTCAAACTTCGCACATACACACACGACTGTGATTTTATTTTTATCGTAATGCTGCGGCGCTTTATAGTCAGGTACCATTTTGTTGTTGACAGTCACTTTTTTGTCGACGGCTGTTCAATGTTCACATACTTTTAGCAGGTTAAAGCCCTTTTAAAGTTATCCAATACTTACGGCAAAACACTCCAGCGTCCCAAATTGATCACAACACGTAAATTGTAAACGGCACACGCATCGTGCAACTTTTTACCGGCACAGCATGCAGTTGCAGCTGGTAGTTTTGAATATCCGAATATTCGGTTAAACACAGTTTCGAGTAATTGAATACTAAAGTACTCAAAAACGGACTGCCCTACACTAAGCACACATCTCTAACCACAAATTTAGCCGTGCCATGAAAGCAGACCACAAAAAAATTGCCTCATTAAACTAGTTTTGTTTCAATTTGAAATGTCCTTAACATAAGAAAAATTGAATATAGAAAAAAAAATTGGCCACTATCTACCGTTGCATGTAAAGCCATCACCAGTGTAGCCTTCAAGGCAGGAGCATTCATAAGCGTCTTGAGCGGAGGCTACACAACGAGCATTTGCATCACAGGTATTAATGGCACATGGATTTGCGGGATCGACTGCAAAGAAACACGGCATGATTGCAGAGAATATGGAACAAAGCAAAGCAAATCAATGAACAGAAAATGCACAAGGCAGCAAGTCAGGCAGTAACTACATTAAAGGTAGAGTGGAGCATTTGCAGCTATTCACAAAAATAACGGACCAAATTATCATTAAAAAGCTTACTTGGTCTAGAGACAGTAATGTCACTCAACTCCCTATGAAATTATTCCTTCTTGCATGCTGTCATTTTGAAGAAAACAATCAAAGAAGTTCATTTCGAACAAATGTGTCTTGTGACACATTTTTGGAAATTTCTGTTTTGGAGTTGGTTTGTAATTGGGTGAATCAGTGAATGGGTGCAAGTGTTGATACGACGCATGTGTGGGGATGGTTGCTATTATTCGTCGGTTTGGTGTGTGACATCACGGAACTACAATCGGCTGAATGAGAATCATCTCCCAAAGTCTGATTTTGGGATTGCGCACTTCAAAATATGACTTTGAATTGAAATCAAGATCAAGAATATTGCGTTTTTACGGAATATACTGCATTCACAGAGCTAAAACTTCATTAGGTTTAGTTGTTAAACATGCGTCTTTATGTTTTGGGCGCTTTTGTTGCAAACAAAAAATCCACAAATTAATGACAAATGGTCCATTCTATCTTTAAACACAAGAATGAAGCAAAAGCAAAAAGAAACACAAAGAAAATAATATGGACTGAAGCTTATGTTTATGGACAGCAAAAATTTTTGGACATTTACAAGGAAAAGGTTTGTTTTTTTCTAAATGGAGAGTAAAGTATCCACAGTTTCTTATATTTTGCATTACCACATTGGAAATATTGACCAAGTCTTTTTACATTCAAAAGGAATATCGAGATACTTCACCAAAAACTGAACAGATTTCCTTTTTTTTGTTCTTTTTTTTTTGTAATGTAAATGCTATGTGAAAAAGTGGTTTCACAAAAAAAGGGGACAAATCAAACGCTATCTACCCTCGCATGTAAAGCCATCACCAGTGTAGCCTTCAAGGCAGGAGCATTCATAAGCGTCTTGAGCGGTGGCTACACAACGAGCATTCACATCACAGGTATTAATGGCACATGGATTTGCGGGATTGACTGCAAAGAAATATAGCATGATTGCAGAGAATACGGAGCAAATCAATGAACAGAAAATGCACTTAAGTCATTAAGGCAGTTAGTCAGGCAGTAACTTGATAAAACATAAAAATAAAGCGAAAGCACAACAACAAAAAACATTCAGAAAATAATAGGAACTGAAGCTTATGCACAGCATGAAATTCTGAAAATTCAAATGGAACAAGTGGTCTTTTTTAAATGGACAGAATTTTTTTTACATTTTCAAGAGAGACAATATTTTCTGTATTTCAGTGTTTTGGTCTAGTTCTTGTGTGAGGGATGTTTGAACTACCAAAATTGATATTCATAAGATAGAACTTACATCGGGAGTGATGTAAATTCAATATTGGGTTTTTCCCTTCACTGACGTAATTATATATATAATGTATACACAGTGTTTTCCTGAGTGATTGTGTGAAAAATTTACAAACTACTCGGTTGGGACTCGAACCCACTACCTCCTGCTTACAAGTGCAGACCCTTACAAAAAGTCATATAGGATCCTACAGGATGTATCTTATAGGATTCCTATACGAACTTATAGGTTTTTCGTCACTTAATATAGGATTAACCCCAACTCCCTAGGGGGTGTGCAAAATTGTATTGAATTTGGAGGATTCAGGACTGTTAGGCCTATTCTATGGGATTTATAGGAATTCTATAGGAATCTTAAAGGAATCTTATAGGAATGCTATAGGAATCTTATAGGAAAGCTATAGGAATCTTATAGGAATGCTATAGGAATCTTATAAGAATGCATTAGGAATCCTATCAGATTTGAAACAGGCAGCCAACACCAGCAAGCTCAGTGGTTAAGTGGTAAGACGTCTGCACTAGTAAGCAGAAGGTCATGGGTTCAAGTCCCACCCAAGTAGTTTGTGAAGTTTTTCATACAATCACTCGGGACAACACTGAGTATACATTATTTATAAAATTACATCAGTGAAGGGCAAAACCCAATGCTACGATAGATTTGTCCTCGTAAAGAACACATCAAGATCCAATACCAAAGACGAAGTTATTCCTTTGACTTGGTTTTCCCAACGTAAAAATCATGTGAAAAATTTGGATTCATTACGAAAAATTGAGCCATTATCTACCCTCGCATGTAAAGCCATCACCAGTGTAGCCTTCAAGGCAGGAGCATTCATAAGCGTCTTGAGCAGAGGCTACACAACGAGCATTCGCATCACAGGTATTAATGGCACATGGATTTGTAGGATTGACTGCAAAGAAATACAGCATGATTGCAGAGAATACAGAACAAAACAAAGCAAATCAATGAATAGAAAATGCATCTAAGTAATTAAGGCAGTTATGCAGGCAGTAACTCAAGAATAAAGCAAAGCACACAAAAAACCACACAGTAAAATAATATGAACTGAAGCTTATGTTTATGCACAGCATGAAATTCTGAAAATGGAACAAGTCTTCTTTTTTTTTAATTGACAAAAAAATATTTACATTTTCAAGAGAGACAATATTCCCTGTATTTCTGTGTTTTGAATTATTGCATTAGTCTTTTTGTGTGTTCCAGATTTGGAACTACATGTACATGTACCCAAATTGATTTTCACAAGATAGAATTTTGGGTTTTGCCTTGACCAATGTAATTTTATAAACATGTATACTTAGTGTTGTCCCAAGTAATTGTGTGGAAAATTCACAAACTACTCAATTGGTACTCGAACCCACGTCCTCCTGATTACTAGTGCAGACGTCTTACCACTCGACCAATGAGCTTGCCAGGGTCAGCTGGCTCCTTAGAATCTGACATAGCAGTGGGTACTACAACCAAACTATTCATAAGATGGAATTCGCGTCGGGGTGATGTAAATCGGAACCTGCCAACTGACCCCAGCAAGTAAGGTGGTCGAGTGCCAAGACGTCTGCACTAGAATGCAGGAGGTCGTGGGTTGGAGTCCAAACCCGAGTGATATTTTCACACAGTCACTCTGAGAAACACTGATTATACAGTCTTCACAAAATTACGTCAGTTGAAGGGCAAAACTCAATATTGAAAACTGATTGTCATTGTAAAGAACACATCAAGATCCAATACCAAAGACAAAGTTATTCCTTTGATTTTTTGTCCCCAATGAAAAAATCAAGTGAAACATTTGGTTTCATTCAGAAAAAATTGAGCCATTATCTACCCTCGCATGTAAAGCCATCACCAGTGTAGCCTTCAAGGCAGGAGCATTCATAAGCGTCTTGAGCAGAGGCTACACAACGGGCATTTGCATCACAGGTATTAATGGCACATGGATTTGCGGGATTAACTGCAAAGAAATACGGCATGATTGTAGAGAATACGGAGTAAAGCAAAAGCAAACCAATGAATAGGAAATGCACCTAAGTCATTAAGGCAGTTATTCAGGCATGAACTGGACAAAACACAAAAATAAAGCAAAAACACAACCAAACAACACAGAAAATAATATGGACTGAAGCTTATGTTTATCACAGCATGAAATTCTGAAAATTTAAAGGGAACAAGTGGGTCTTTTTTAGATGGACAGAAAAATATTTACATTTTCAAGAGAGACAGCCGTCTCTGTATTTCTGTGTTTTGTATTATTATTGCATTGGTCTTGTTTTTGTGTTGTAGAGTTTAAACAACCAAAAGTGATTTTCATAAGAATTAACGTCGGGTGGATGTAAATTCGAAATTCGGTTTGGCCCTTCACCAATGAAATTTTTATACCATGTATATTCAGTGTGATTGTCCCAAGTGACTGTGTGAAAAATTCGCAAACTACTCGGGTGGGACTGGAACCCACGACCTCTGCTTACTAGTGCAGACCTCTTACCACTCGACCACCGAGCTTGCCGGGGTCGGCTGGCTGGTTCGAATATGATATAGCTGTGGGTACTGCAACCAAACCATTCATCAGATGGAATCTGTGTCGGGGTGATTTGAACCAGCCAGCCGACCCCGGCAAGCTTGGTGGTCGAGTGCCGAGATGTCTGCACTAGTAAGCAGAAGTTCATGGGTTCGAGTCCCAACCGAGTGATATTTTCACACAATCACTCGGGGAAACACTGAGTGTGCAGAGTTTACAAAATTACGTCAGTGAAGGTTAAGATCCAATATTATTGTCATTGTAAAGAACACATCAACATCCTATACCAAAGACAAAGTTATTCCTTTGACCTTTGAAAAATTTGGTTTTAAAAAAAATTGTTCAAGCCATTATCTACCCTCGCATGTAAAGCCATCACCAGTGTAGCCTTCAAGGCAGGAGCATTCATAAGCGTCTTGAGCGGAGGCTACACAACGAGCATTCGCATCACATGTATTACTTGCACATGGATTTGCGGGATCGACTGCAAAGAAATACAGCACGATTGCAGAGAATACGGAAAAAGCAAAAGCAAATCAATGAACAGGAGATGCACCAAATTATAAAGGCGGTTATTCAGGCAGTAACTTCACAAAACACAAAAATAAAGCAAAAACAAAAAAAACACACAGAAAATATTACAGTACCTCATAAATTTATCCGGCAACCGCGGCATTTCATTGGTCCATTCCAGCAACTCAAGCGTGTGAAAGTTTTTACTATAACCCCACGTCGTCGTACGCGCGCGTGACGCGCAAAAACCAGGGAGGTACTATCACACACCTGGTTCGCAGCCTTAGATTTGTTCCAGTACTGTGTTATCTCGTTACCAATGACGCATGTGCTTGTACATGCCTACCGTGGAGAACACCAGTGAGGACAGTTGCATGTGCCAGTCTATTACAGCATACATCAAAATGGCAACCGGTGGTGCTTGCTTTGCGATTTTAACCAAGAAGGAACTTGGTGAACTTTTTCACAATAATAACAAATCCATTGCTTTGTGTGAATGTTAAAGTTATTAAATGACACAAAATTAACATTCTACTCTGTTTGTCTCCTTAAATTAAAATATTGTTTCACTTTATCCAAATACTACAAGTTCAAAAACATGATGGAATGGACCAGCGAATACCGTAGCTGCCTGATGAATATTTATGAGGTAAAGTAAAACAAATACAGTATGTTTTGGCTGGGAAATTTCGCCTCGGAAGATAGTCCCAATCATCCAACACCTCGGGGTCATTAGTTTTCACTATTTCTCCGCAAACCATGTTGTATTTGTATAATATGATCTGAAACTTATATTTATGCACAGCATGAAATACTGATGTAAATTCAAACCAGCCAGCTGACACTGGCAAGCTTGGTGGTCGAGTGGCAAGACGTCTGCACTAGTAAGCAGGAGGTCGTGGGTTCGAGTCCCACCTGAGTAGTTTGTGATTTTTTTCATACAATCACTCCGGGAAACACCGAGTATACAGTGATTATAAAATCCCGTTGGTGAAAGGCCAAACCCAAAATTGAAAATGTATATTTAAGTCTAAGGAACACATCAAGATGAAGATCCAAACCCAAAGACGAAGTGTTTCCTTTGATTTTTTTTTTGAAAAAAAAATTGTGTGAAAAATTTGGTTTTATACAAATAAAAGAAAATTGAGCCACTATCTACCCTCGCAAGTAAAGCCATCACCAGTGTAGCCTTCAAAGCAGTAGCATTCATAAGTGTCTTGAGCGGAGGCTACACAACGGGCATTCGTATCGCAGGTATGATTAGCACAGGGGTCGGTGGCATTATTAGCTGCAAAGAAATGGTGCATGGTTTCCACAAATTAAAGCAATCAATGACCAATGATGCACGACAGTAACAAATACGAGGCAATCAGCTATGAAAAAAAAATGGCAAATCAACGATGTCGGCCACACATTTTGGACAATTCAACTTTGCAACATGCGAACAGGCCTCGGAACCTCTTCATCACAGCTACTTTCTGTTCCCAAAACTCGCCTGGCAAGCTACGGGGACCGGGCCTTTTCCAGCTGTGCACGTCCTCTCTGGAATTCCTTGCCAGACGAGTTTTGGGAACAGAAACGCCATCTTAAGACTCGTCTTTTCAATCTTTCATTTAAACCACAGTGATTTGCTAGTGACCGGCGCCTTTGAATGGTCCTCCAGATACTGTGCGCCTTATAAATTATCTGTTATACGTGTAAAGGTACCACTAAGGAGACACGTTATCGTAATTTCTTCGCACGATGGGAGACATCGGTCATTAGGCAGACATTTTCATGTCTCCCTTATGTCACAGCCCCCCTTTAGAGGCACAATTTTATTGTCGCAATTAGGTTATGTTTGTTGCTCATGGTCTAATTAGTAAACATACCGAAATTCGTGGAAAAAGGACAAGGGAATAGTGGGTTATGGCACATTTAAGTTTGAAAATTTTGTGCACAAGTCTATTGGGATATCTCCCAAAAGTCCAATCCAGGGTAATACTATTATCTATATTATAAATAAAAGTTATTATCATAAAAAGGGATTTTTAATTATGAGAAAACGTATCAGTGTCTACAAGTTAATAATAAAATTATTCATCCAACTTTTTTGCTATAGTAGCAATCAGCTCGAGTCACCATAGCATCAGACGTACGAAAACACATTGATTTTTGTCGTTTACTCATTAATTTATTCAGTTACAAGGCAACAGCTAAACTGTTGAACACTGTTAGAAATAAACTATCCCTCAATAAAATACAGACAATAAGCTTCAAAATAATATACATGTTTCATTTGTGGTATTTGGATTTTTGTTACATTTTTCATTGAGGTTTATTATTCAGTGGATTTCCTCAAAAGTAAATGTAACACAAATAGTTGCGGGCGGTATTACGTCACCCGGTGAAAAAATCCATTCATGTGCACACCAGTTTTCATTGGTTGCTATGTATTACCATTCAGCACTCCAGATTCAAGAACCATTGATTTTCAAGCAAATGGGTCTGGGAGCTAGATAAGCCAATGTAAAATATTCCCAGATGTCTGTGCCCGCCTATAGTCAGGCATGCAACTGGGAATTTAGAAGGAAAAAAACGAGGAAACTCCAAACCACACAAGACTTTGTACAGTATTTTTCAATTTGTAATGGCATTCATGAGAAGTACAAAACAAGGAAATCAGCAGATCCAAGGAAAAGTTGCATGCCTGTACAGTTTGATCTTATCAACTTTACTCCCATTCTGTGAGGGAAAGTCACATTGGATTAGGAATAAAAACACACACTCTACCAAAAACTCTCCTGAACAATCCTCTGTTCCATCTTGAAACTAATGCACTGCATAATGCACACACAATATCAAGCCAGGCTCATTGTCAACAGCATGCATAGATACTTACCGGTACCTCTGAGGACTTTAAAGCAAATGGCAAATTTGATGAGAGAAGGGCAACAGAAAATGATTGAACTTGTTGGGGGGGGGGGGGGTTATGGGGTGAGGATTCACATTTTCAGTGAAAATCGATAGAGTACCTTGACATGTGTATCCATCCCCTCGGTACCCGGGGTCGCAGAAACACTGGTAACCGAAGACGGCCGACACACACCGGGCATTGGGGTCACAATTGTTGTTGGCGCAATGGTCACTTTCTTCCTCTGCGTGGATAAACGCAAGATGTCAGGGTTAATGGAGCGTTAGATCTCGGACTGGGATGACCTGGGTTCATGTCCTAAACTTGGTTCCCTTGTCTAAGGCCGAAAATTCATGCGTCTGAGTTTTCGATGCATGTATCGTGATGTGCAATTGTTCCAAGTCGTTCCGGTCCTCAAAAATGTGTACATGTAACTGTCGGAAGAGGAGGCTACCACTGTTCCATGTATTTCTTTGAACACTAGACAGACTTAATAAGCTCAACTAAAGAGCACATTGCAGTTTTGTGCGTAGAAAAATCAGGCCCTCGCACACTGCTATAAGTGCACAGGTGTAAGTTATGTCACAAACAACCATTAGTGGACTAATGGTCCCCACCGCAACTTACACCAGGTAATCAGATGCAGCCATAATCATGGCAAACGGCAATGTAAGAGGGGGGTTGGTGTGGTGTAACCACCCCCTCCCCAACATACTTCTTGGTTCGTAATTCAATACCTTATGGAGACATGTGTACAATAGGGAACAAAAGATTGTAAAGGTCTCAACAAGGCAATTTCTATAGGTGAATACGCCAAGGTTTTCATGAAATAGATATATGGCTTTTACTCAAAACCTAGGAATTTCCAAGGTGTGTTTATAGTCGCAAATTGAAGTATTTTATGTAAGGGATATTTGGTCCGAAATTCAGCCCAGGAAATTAATTCTGGTTAAAATGGGAGCATTTTGAAACTAGATTTTCACACTCTAAAGGCCCTGTCACACTGTCTGCGATCTTATATGCGCTCTCACTGCGTCCTTGAAAAAAACCTGGGGCGCAACGACAACTACTAGATTGCAACGACAACTACATAGGTCGCCAGATGGGCGCCAGAGAGTCTTAATGGTCTCCGATGAGTGCAAAGGTCTTTGAACATGCTCAAAACAATCGCAACACCTCTGCGCTCTGGCCAGGGCGCCGTAATGACGCAACTCGGGTGCTGTGCGAGCGTGAATCGTGCGACATTGAAGTGGCATTGAGGCAGCTTATAGGCGCAAGGCAGTCAATGTAGTCTCTATGAGAAAGTAACTTGACTGCGATGAACTTGTATAATATTTTTTAAAACTGGACTGTGTATTGACCGTTTTGTCGTGGTATTTATACAGCGCAAGTGACGTCACATGAGCGTATATTGGTCGAATAGAGAGTGCGACGCGAGCTACTAGGACGTATCAACAGCGAGTAGAGCGTAGTGTGGGCGCAGTGACAGTGCAGCGGCAGCGACTAGATCGAGTAATTGAGCTTGACAGGGGCGCATAGAGAGCGAGTTGAGCGCATCGTAAGCGCGGGAAGAGCACAGTATGAGCGTAGCTTGAGCTTCTTTGAGACAGAAAGTTGTCATTTTCTTGCGTCCTCGCTGTGATTGTTCAATTTATGAGTAAAAAAATTGGTCGCTGTAAGGTCTCCTATGAGAGCGCATATAATGTGACAGGCCCTTAAAATTGTAGTTCACGAGAACAAAGAGATGTCTTCATGAGGATACATATTCCAGTATGAGTGTTCTCGACAGTAAAATTGTCGTTTCTGTCCTTAAAAGTGTGTAAATGTAACTGTCGGGAAAAGAGGCTACCATGAAGGGCACTGCCTTACGAAGAGAGTCGTGCAAAATTGTTTTCAAGATGGCAGGCGGAGGCGATTCAACAACTGTTTTGTGACCGAAAAGAAATCATGCCCAAACCTCCGTGTTCAAAGCTGTTATTATCGTCGTGCCAGATGTTTTACTTACTTAAAACATTGCGCAGTTACGCCAAGTTTCGTGAAATTGCTTAAGTTTATTGCGCTTTTGCGCATCAAATTTATTGTGCGAATCCTACGAATGGCGAAAGTTACGCACTGTTTCACAAAATCGGCTGCTGCAGTCCTAGATACTCACCTCTACAATTGACGCCATTCCCAACATAACCCTGGTTACAGAAACATTGGTAAGTGCCTGACGGGGAGGGTACGCAGCGAGCGTTCACATCACATGCATTGTTATCGCATGGGTTAACAACGCTTTCTGTAAACAGACACAGAGATACACACAAAAGCACCAAAAAAAAACAATGTACTAGGCTGATGACTCATGCATATGCATAATATTCAAGTACAGGGTGAGTAAAAGAAAACGAACCCAAATGTCAGGACCATTTTTTTAATGAAGTTCTGCATGTAGCACTTTCAAAATCTAGGACATGAAAGCCCAATTCATAAGATTTCTTTTAGCACAGAATCATTCAAATCACTCATGTACTTTTCAAGATATGGAAATTTAAACACAAACACCATTTTACACTGTTGTACACGGATCACAAAAAAAGTGTTCCTTCAGCAAAACAAAAAACAATTCACGTACATCACCACGTGAATTGTTTTCATTTTGCTGAAAGAACACTCACCTTTTGGTGATCCGTGGACAGAACGGAGTGTTTGTATTTAAAATTCCGTGAGTTGAAAATTACACGAGTGATTTGAATGATTCTTGTACTAAAAGAAAGCTTATTAATTGAGCTTTCATATCCTAAATTTTGAAAGTGCTACATGCAGAACTTCATTAAATAATTGGTCCTGCCATTCATATTATTTTTTTTTGACTCGCCCTGTATACATGGGTTGAAATACACAATGGAATTACTGCATCACGAAGATGAAGAATTTACTATTTTGTTTTGCTCTTCATTGGCGTAATGTTTAAATCGTTGCAAACTAAGTGCTGGCAGAGAGCTTACGAAAAAAATAACACATTTTCTCAATTGAGTCTCGAAACCATGACTTCGTGCTTACAGAGGTCGTGGGTTCGAGTCCCACCCAAGCAAGTTTGGGAAGTGTTTTTCCTCACAAGCTCTCTAACAGCACCGAGTATACAGTGCTTGCAACATCACATCTGTGAAGGGCTTAAGCCATTATTGGAAATACACTTGTTACAAAGCATTCAGCATTATGTGCATTTTTTAGGATGGTATGATTTTTCTAAATGAAAAGCCTGCTGTGCTTGGGGGACATTTGTCTTTACTAAGCATGACAGGGATCCATGCATTATTATTTGCATGCATTACTTTTTAATATGACTGCACATGCACACACAAAATGTTTTTCATCCAAAGCAGGGATAAGGGTCTTCCTTTTGTTTCTATGGTTCTCATATTTTTTTTGTCTCTGAAGTAGGGTTAGTCGGTCAGTCCGCGAACAAATTCTAATCTGAAGAAAAAACAAATTTGCACTTGCACCCGCAAAGATGGCAAAATTTAATGATGCCAAGTGCATATTGTCTCTTGTTTTGTTTCTTGCAATGAGATTATCAAGCGTTAATATCACTGAAAAAAATGATAATAAAGCCATTTTTGGCAAGATGTAGTCGACTTCCATTATATCTGCACCATGCAGCTCAATAACCTTTTGCCTGTAGCGGCAGCCAAGACATAAAATGCAATGTTAGACCCCTTTTGAAGTTGAGAGGCAACATCCTTGTATCTTCTGGGATTGCATTAGTTACCTTTTTTACGCCCTGCTTCGAGTAACAGTGGATTTTATTTTCCACCATTTTTCAAATAACTCAGAGCCTGATTGCCTGAAGTTGATACTCATATTTTTAATATTAATTTAGCTTTTTATTAGTGGGGTGCCAGACAGGGTTGGCAGTTATAAAGAAAAGTGTTTTTTGGGGGGTTGGGAGCCCACAATAGGGTCGGTCGGAAATGAGAACCAAAGAATAAAAAAGGGATGCCCTAAGCATTTCTCCTGGTTTTTGTTGGTCCTTTTTAAGAAAGTGTACCTTATTAGAACTCTTGTAGCCAAAGAGACCTGAAAATGTTCTTATGTCTATTTTGAAAAATGTCATGCACTTTGACTAAAAATCTTCAGCTACTTTAATGAGACAAAACAAGGCTTGAAATTAATTCCTGAACATTCCTTTAACATTGACTTTAATTTTGAGGGAATTTTGAACCACCCCTACCCTGACAGTTGTAACCGTTGCCCGTGTATCCGTCATTACAATAGCACTGGTATCCTGCCTGAGTTGGTACACAGTATGCATTAGCATCGCATGCATTGTTATCGCATGGATTTGACACTGCTGGGGAAAAAAAATTGGACGAACATTTACAACCAAGCTTTAAAGGCGTATAAGGATCATTGCATTTATCCCAAAAGTAACCCACCGAATTATTATCAAAACGCTTACTTGGATTACAGATATAGTCCATCATTTGTAATTTGTGTATTTTGTTCGTTTGAAGCAACAAAAGTGCTCAAAATCTAAAGAAGGGTACTGAACAACTAACCTGATGAAGTTTCAGCTCAGCTTCAGCTGTATATTCCGAGAAAAACGGCATTCTAGGATCTCAATTTCAAATCAAAAGTTGCTGAATCATGTTTTGAATTGGGCCTGAATTCAGCGTCCAAGACACGTTCTCACTGAGCCGATTACAGCTACGCGATGTCGCGCACTGATCCGACGAATTATACCAACCGCGCATGCGTGTGCGTCGTGCCAATGCTTGTGCGCGCTTCGCCCAATAACAAAACGAACTACTAATTTAAATTTCCTATGGTGCATCTTGAGAAAGCTCTGTTGGAAAGGCCTTCTTTCGTTGATTACTTCAAAATGACAGCTTGCCAGAAAGAATAATTTCACAGGGAGTTTAGTCCCCTTACTATCTTTCAACCAAGTATGTTTTTCAACAATAATTACGCCAGTTACTTTTCGGATGACTACAAATGATGGACTTTAGCTTTAAAGATCGTACTGGTGCTAAACACTCCGTGAAATTATTCCGTCTGGCTTGCTGTCATTTCGAAGAAATCAAGAAATGTAGGTGATTTCCAATGATCAGCCAATTGACTGAATTTTTTGAAATACAGAGTGCTGAATTTTTTGAAATACATAGGCGAAAACGTGTGTCGTGATCAAAAGGTTACGGATAGGTCTTTTTTCAATGTTTTCTCGAAAAGTGTAATATCCACTGAGCTGAAACCTCGACAGGTTAGGTTTTTACATTCTTCTTTGAATTTTGAGTGGTGTTATTATGGGAATGATCAAAAAGCATGAAAAGCAAATGATTCTATATGCCTTCAAAAATGACAAACTAATGAATATTCATAAACATATATCAGGTTTAAAACTGTGGCATACACAGTTACGTCTTTGACCCTACTCTTCGAAAGACAAATCATGAATTGAACAAAAAAGATTCATCATCTTTGTCAGATTAAGTAAAATAACATTTTACGGAATACCATTCAAGTGAAATAATGCCAGTTGACAATGTGTTAGACTGAATTCGTTTTTCATGCATGCGATGTTCCTACAAATACGTAGAATAAACAATGAAATTCTGGTTGCTTTGGCGGCATTTTCAGATAGCCAACAACTTTCTTTAGCAAGTTGCTATTTGATACAATCGTTTTAGTACAGTTGGAATTGTTTAACCACCCCTACCCTGGCAGTTGTAACCGTTGCCCGTGTATCCGTCATTACAATAGCACTGGTATCCCGCCTGAGTTGGTACACAGTATGCATTAGCATCGCATGCATTGTTATCGCAAGGATTTGACACTGCGGGGAATAAAGATTTGGCAGATCATTTGAATAAAATTATGATACATCTTATGAACATTCATTTGCATATAATCCGATTTGTAAGCAAAATTGTGGTATGCAGAGTCTCGTGTCTATGAAACACACAAATGATAGCACACAGCAAGAGATTAAGATGTTTTTCATGCTTGCTCTTTTTTATGGGTTATGCACAATTTTGGAATTACTTTTTTAGGTAATAAAATAATGCTCAGAAAATTCCAATTGACATTGACAGAGATGAAACATCTTTGTGTGATTTTTATTAAAAGATATTAACAATATGAAGGCAAAATCGTGGCTATTTTTTAGGGAACAATTTTACCTGTAACTCCACAAGCCAATTTTTTATTTATTAATTTAAAAATTTTTTTTTGAGAATTGGGAGAATTTTGAACCACCCCTACCCTGACAGTTGTAACCGTCGCCCGAGTATCCGTCATTACAATAGCACTGGTATCCCGACTGAGTTGGTACACAGTACGCATTAGCATCGCATGCATTGTTATCGCATGGATTTGACACTGTGGGGAATAAACATTTGAAAGACAATTGCAGTGTTAAAGCAGGCAATGGGGAAAAGCACTAGTTTAAGCACAAGCAAAAGTACAAGTTTAAGCAGTCAAATACTAAAAACCTCTCTACTTATGAAGATTAATTTAATTTCCTATCGTGCCTCTCTGCATTAATGCCCTGTAACATTGTCTGCGATCTTATGTATGCACTCTCACAGCGTCCTTGAAAAATAGCTGGGGCGCAACAACAACTACTAGATTGCAGTGATAACTACATGGGTCGCCAGATGGGCGCCAGAGGGTCTTAATGGTCTCTGATGAGCACCAAAGTTTTTGAACATGCTCAAAACAATCGCAACACCTCTGCGCTCTGGCCAGGGCGCCGTAATGACGCAACTCGGGCGCTGTGCGAGCGTGAATCGTGCGACATTGAAATGGCATTGAGGCAGCTTAGGCGCAAGGCAGTCGACGTAGTCTTCATGAGAAAGTAACTCGACTGCGATGAACTTGTAGAATAATTTTTTTAAACTGGACTTTGTATTGACCGTTTTGTCGTGGTATTTATACAGTGCAAGTGACGTCACATGAGCGTATTTTGGTCGAATAGATGCTACTAGGACGTATCAACAGCGAGCAGAGCGTAGTGTGGGCGCAGTGACAGCACAGCGGCAGCAACTAGATCGAGTAATTGGGCTTGACAGGGGCGCATAGAGAGCGAGTTGAACGCATCGTAAGCGCGGGAAGAGCTTGAGCTTCTTTGAGACAGAAAGTTGTCATTTTATTGCGTCCTCGCTGCGATTGTTAAATTTATGGAAAAAAATTGGTCGCCGTAAGGTCTCCTGTGAGAGCGCATATAATGTGACAGGCCCTTTAAGGGTACGAAAGTTGAGTCACAGTTAACTCAGAGGTGAACTTTGAAAAAAAAAAATTATAAAAGTTGGGGCAGGATTTTGTGCAGAACTGCAATCTGTCAAGATTATGTTGATATCGGGGACAAATCTCGTAAGGTTTCTTAGCAATAAAGCTAAGCGCAGTCTGGTTTTCAGTTAAGCAGAAACAGGTTGCCAAACCAAATTGTTATATCGTGTCTTGAATACCGTATGTTCATTGGTCTAGAACTGCTACGTAGTCCGTCTATTTAAATGACTGTTTGCTGCATATACATGTACTCATATAAATTAGCACATACACCGCTTTGCTCGCGCGTGAAGGATGCATGGAGAGGACTTTTGCTTTAGGAGTTTTTCAAAATGGTGTACAAAGTGAAGCAGGGGTGTGATTTTGAAGAAATGCAAAACACATAAAATAATCGGCAGAGGGTTTGGGGGCTGCTGAGGGCTGCTGAGGGCCCCAGCGCAACATAGGGTCTATGGCATATGTTTACCTTTATAGGTAAATCTCACTAATTCCGGATTTTAAAAGAGATATTTTTTTTTTTTTACATCCTGAAATTAGGAAAAGTCCTGACAAATCTCACGTCTGGTGCAGGAAGGAAGGAAGGAAGGAAGATTAAGTCACACATGAATCTTGCATAGGGGAATGCATCATACAGCAAGTGAGTGGGCCAACTTTTGACAGCCAGTGCTATGCTGTGGCATGTTTTCTTCAGGCCTTCGTGATTCATTGGCAATTACTGGACTGACCTTGACATCTGAATCCGTCCCCGGTGAATCCCGCGTTGCAGTAGCACTCGTATCCCTGCGTGGTTTCCACACACCGAGCGTTGGGGTCGCATCGGCTACTGGCACAACGGTCAACTGTACGAGAGGGAGAGAAATAACAGCCACATATGCAAACAAGACCACAAACGTATCATACATGTTTCAACTACAACGGATTGCCTAGATGCAAATCAGGTTTCAACAATGGCATTGGTGGTGCAGTTCGTATAGCGCTCGCCTCTCACCGCTGTGGCCCGGGTTTCAATACCCGTATCGGGTCATATGTGAGGAGAGTTGTTTGTTGTTTCCGTCCTGCCAAGAGGATTTTTTTCCGGGCCAACTGGTTTTCCTCCCTCCGCAAAACTCAACACTTTCCATCTGACTGTGGTCTGTGGTAAGACATGGGTTGTGCGGCGGCTGCCTAAAGCGCTTTAACATGTTTTTGGCTTGACCACGTTGTAGCTTCATCCTTCGCAATTCAGCTTCTGCTAAGGACGTTCAGCTCCCCAAATGTATTTATTTATATATTTTAAGAATGTTTAATACTACTATGATAGCAGCTAGGATATTTGCCAAGGGAATTTTTATGATTTGGTTTTTTTTTCATTTCTACAGCCCAAATTATGCTCTATAGAGAACAAAATTGGATGCAGAGACTATATTTCAGTCATTCAAACACATTTGAAATTAATAGACAAACCAAAACAAGCTAACTTTTTAAGATGACATGATTAACTTTTTTGAAAGAATATAGTATCCAGACGCCACTTCTTTGGTTGTGTACAAAGTCTACGGAGGGTCGAGCGCATTTTTATTAAAAGTATTAATTTCTAGCAAACTTGGACATGTTTCTCAGTCCCAGATTCTTTTTGTTTTCAACATTTTTGCAATTACTGACCTTCATAGAGGTAAAACAAGATGAAAAAAAGTGGCGTCAGGATGCAACATTCTGAGTTATTTACTCACCACTGCAGGTGTAGCCGTCTCCCTGGTACCCGGCATTGCAGGCGCAAGTGTAGCGGTCTGCCTGGGGTATGCAGTAACCGTTGACATCACAGCTGTTCTGAGCACATGGATTGCTTCCTGGATGTGAAAGCAAAATAAACAAAGGCATTCTGTATCACGCAAGGACATAATTTTATGGTGTCATTGAAATTTGGGTTCCTATGAAATCTGAAGCCGATTTCATGAAACAGTGCGTAATTTACGCCATGCGAAGGACTTACGCAACCAATTTGTTGCGAAGCTGCGCAAAATCTTACAATCGATTTCACAAAATTTGGTGTGGCATCGCAACGTTTTAAATAATCTAATCATCTTGGATGAGGATAATAACAGTATTTACGATGGCTGTTTGTATATGAGTTTGATCGTTCATGAAACAGTCATTGAATCACTTCCGCCTGCCATTTTGAAAACAGTTTTGTATCTCTCAAATTAGGTTTTGCCCTTTACCGACGTTTAAACACTGTATACTCAGTGTGTTACCTCCCGAGTGAAAGGTGGGAAAAAATCACTCGGGTGGGACTCGAACCCACGACCTCCTGCTTTCTAGTGCATATGTCTTACCATTCGACCACCGAGCTAACGGAATCGATAATTTGATTGTTATCACCCTGACGCAAAAAATAGTTTTGTATTTCTCATCATTTTGTCACAGAAAAAGCTTGAAATCGGGGGGAGCAATAAAGTAATAAAATAATGAAATAATAATAGAAATACAACTAGGATTTGTTCCTTACCTGTGCACGTTTGGCCGTTTCCCTCATATCCTTCATTGCATTTACACCGGAACCCTGAATCTCCAGCGGGCAGGCACTGGGCATTACGGTCACAGTTGTTGCTGACGCAAGGGTCGTCAATTTGTTCTGTTTGCATAATACAAAAAATTGGTAAAAGTTCAGATAAATACTTTATTGACACTGTTTTCCTGTTTTCTCTTGTAACTGATTATACTTGAAAAATAGTGTTAAAAAAAAAGTTAGGTTGAGGGGTTAGCAGAAACAAGACAAGGATATCCCGCCCCCGGACAGATTTTCCTCATTTGCCAGGGTACTGTGCCCCCTCCCCACCCACCCAGACAGTTTCTCCTAGGAAATAGTGTCCCCTCTGGGACATTTTGTCCCCATGCAGAGCATGTTAAAGTTCGAGACTTGAACTCACATTTCGTCTTTATAATATAGACTTCCTTCCTTCAGTATGAATGAATCTGCTTTTCTGCGGATGGCTCTTTTCTGTTTTTATCTGTGCTATCTGGGTATTTCATTCCTCAAAATACTGCAAAAAAATTGTGCTTTGGACACAAATTCAGCATCCACCATGATGGATTAACTCACACTCACAGTATAGTTTGTGTACTGCAAGCGCATGGCCAGTGTGAACGTTACTCCGTGTCTGGTTGGGGTAAAAAGTACATTTCTCATGTGCACCAAAAGAATAGATCTCTCACAACCAACAAAATGAATCATGACCATATATTCACAAAAATGCTATGAAGACCAGTAGCAATAATTCATTTCTAAAAAGTATCAGTTGTATAATCTCAAACAACAGGCGGGCATAGCCTGTATTTGACCTAGAACTAGGAGGACAAAAAAGTCAAGTCCGACTTGAGTGGCTTTTTTTTTAACTTTAATAAGACTTGACTTGGACAAAAGGTGACTTGTGACTTAACTCACATGTAACTTGAATAAATTTGGCTCACTGACATTAAAGCTACAGTACATCATTTGCAGCTTTCCAAACATCAACTGACAAAATTATTGTTGAAAAGCATACTTGGTTTAAAAAAAGTAATGGGACTAAACTTCCTGTGAAATTATTCTTTCTGGCAAGCTGTCATTTTGAAGAAAACAATGAAAGAAGGCCATTCCAACGATGCGTTTAAAGATGCATCGTTGGAAATGTCCATTAGTAGTTAGCTTTTAATTCGGCGAAGCGCGTGCAAGCATTGACACGACATGCACACGGTTGCTATAATTCATTGGTTCAGTGCGCGACATCGCATAGCTGCAATAGGCTGAATGAGAACGCTGAATTCCGGCGCAATTCAAAACATGTCTCGGCAACTTTTGATTAGAAATCGAGATCCTAGAATATTGTTTTTCTTGGAATATACAGCATTCACCGAGCTTCGCACCTTCTTTAGATTTTCAGCACTTTTGTTGCTTCAAACAAACATAATGCACAAATTACAAATGATGGACTGTACCTTGAACGCTTTGTTAAAATAAACACAAACTTTCGGGCCTGTATAGGAGTATGGAGGAAGTTACGTTATCTTGAAAAAATTTACTTGAGACATGCGCCTTGACTTGGAAAACATTTACTTGCGACTTGACTCGTGCAAAAAATGACTTTGTTACAACACTGACAAATTGTCCTTGTACCTGAAGCAGGCGTGACCTTTCCGATCATGGAGAAGCGTAGGATCTCTTCACTAGCCTCATAGATCAGGTAGGTCTCCGTCATGCTGACCCGCATGAAGTTGAGAATGTACTCCGTGTCGGCCTCGTCAGCTGAACACTCGTCGTACTCGATGGTTTGGTCCATGGTGTAGGAGATGGTGTCGTCGTTGACTTGCAGGGATCGCTTGGCAAACGTGTGGATCACACCTACGAGAAGTAATCGTCGCACAGGGATGTAAAAAGGCAGGTTCATACTTACCACGAATGAGAATGCGAAGTGAATTTGACGTCATGAAAAATTCACTGTGAAGTTCAGCGGAGTTGAAATATGTTCAACTTTTGCGAATTCCAAGAGCATACAAACTTGCCACTACCGTAATTTCCTGCGGATAAGACGCGTCTTATCTGACTTTCTAGACCACAAAAACATCGCTGCGCCTTATCTACAGGTGCGCCTTATCTGGTGTCGCTTGAGTTCAAAGTGACGGTCTTTGTGTGAAGAATTCTTTCAATGCCGCAATCAATAATGCGGTCAACCAAGGCTCAACTCTCCAGACATTGTGACCGTATTTTCATTCCAACAATGCCGCGATGTGTTGATCCCCCATGATCGTGCTTTCATTCCAACAATGCCGCAATGCGTTGATCCCCCTTAGTGATCGTGCTTTCGTTCCAACTATGCCGTCATACAAACGTTTTTTTTTGTATTAGTCACCGGTAGAGGGCGCAACATCTGGCTCGGAGGGACTGGGCAAGTCTACGAATCTGATCCAGCGTGCGTGTTGCAATATCTTCAGACAGCGCGTGGACCATCGTTTCTGGCCGCTGATTGGGCCGCACTGCATTAACAAAAGGCCAAGGAAGGCCAGGATCGGAAACCGCAAGCAAGCATGCACAGCGCGCGTTGGCTGAATGGATGAAGGTCGGTATCAATTTACATTGGTCTTTTCTTCATGGCTCTACATGTGACCAGCCAATGTGGTTACGGTTTAATTCATCCTCCGAATAGTGTGATCGTTCGAAGGCAACACAATGGCCCCTTTGTGGCGATGTACCGACACCGGGTGACGCCTGGTGTTCTTCTGTGTGCGGTCAAACATGCGTCTTATGCGGCGGTGCGCCTTATCTGTTGGCGTTTGAAATTTTTTTGGGTGATTTTAGGGACCTGCGCCTTATCCGCCGCGCGCCTTATCCGCAGGAAATTACGGTACATCACAACTTTGTGTTTGCTTTCACGCTGAGTAGGAACTGGCCTCAAGCTTTTTTGCAAATTAAGACTGTAAACATTCAAAAAGTCTTCAAAGAGAAAAAGGGTGTGATGATCTTTTTGATGTTAACAGGGAATCTGTAACCTCATACATCAAAACCTGGCTGGTGAAATACTCGCATTTTGACGACGAGCATAACGTAAAAGGCAAAACGACGTATCTTGTATAATTACGCCCTTTTGCCTCGTCACATCAGTTCACATCTAGCACAAAACAGCCATGCATTTCAATAAACACCCTTTTGTCAAAGAAACATTATTAAACAAGTACAATTTTGATAGAGAGACGCCCTGCTATCTTTGAAACGGAAAGCCATATATGGACTTGAAACGGAAAGCCATACGGACTTGGAAGTTCTTTAAATGGAAACAGTGCCTCCAATAATCCCAAAGGTGACTTCATCTCAAAAAGGCCAAAATTCAAGTTACACCCTTTTGCCGTGTGAGGGCTGATCTACTGTTCAAGCACGGTTGTCCATTGCCTAGACTTACCAAGTCGATGTCGCACATACTCCTCCTTGTGGTCGTCCACGAAGACATAGTCAGATGGCGTAATCTCCGGTATGTTGCCGTTCCAATCGGCTATGACTCGGATGTAACCATTCTCATCGACACCTGGACCGAGTAAGAATATTGTTACAAACACCAAGCATTAATTCCAATAGGAGTCAATGCATGCTACACTGCAAGTTGATAAGAGCTGATCAGGGGTGAGCTTGGGAGGGGAATGAATAATCCACAAAATAATCAGCAGAGGGAATGAAGGTTGCAGAAGGCCCCAGAACAATGTCGAGTCTATGGTACACATGTATGTTTGTATTTGGGCAATTCCAGACTAATGGGCCCAAAAGTGTGACATTTGAGAAGACAATTTAAGTTTATTCATACGATGCAATTTTACGTCGGGGTGATGTAAACCAAATTAGGTTTTGCCCTTCATCGACATATAAACTCTGTATACTCAGTGTGTTACCTCCCGAGTGAAAGTTGGAAAAAAATCACTCGGGTGGGACTCGAACCTACGACCTCCTGCATTCTAGTGCAGATGTCTTACCACTCAACCACCGAGCTACGGGATCGGTTGGCTGGTTCGAATCTGATGTACATGTACATAACAGCAGGTACCGCATTAACTATTCATAAGATGCAATTTTGCGTCGGGGTGATGTAAACCAAATTAGGTTTTGCCCTTCACCGACATATAAACACTGTATACTCAGTGTGTTACCTCCCGAATGAAAGTTGGAAGAAATCACTCGGGTGGGACTCTTGGGTTCGGGTCCCACCTGAGTGATTTTTTCCACCCAAGTGATTTTTACAATACCCATTTCTTTTGCTCTGTAACTTCTACAGAGGAAAACATCTCTACTGCCAAATCTCAGGAATTCCAGATTTCAAAAGGGATGCCTTAAAAATCCTGAAATCAGGGGAATAAACCTGACAAATCTCAACCCCAGCTAATAATGGACACAAGGAGACATCACATTTTCTACTGGCCATGGACATTTTACTAGGCAAAAACAAAAAAATCATGTTGGATTTTGTTTAGCACGCTTAGCAGCTCCATATTGCTTATAACTGATTCTTGGCTGATTTTGCCAAGCATGTGAATTTGATAAGCAATGTTTATTTGTGACCTGTCTTCACAAAATGACCTTCAAGTCAGACTTTTTAAGAATTGAGATATTTATATATTTGGATTCCGCAGAACAAGAGCTTTCCAATGACATACAACATTAAGGGGTAATGAGTTCAGAAACGGAAATATAGACCACCAGTGCACTTGAAGTGGTTAACCGATTCTTGAGAAAATGGCATTTACAAATCTTGCAGTTGTGTTTAAAATACAATGAATGCACAGTCACGTGCACGTGATGCAATATATTTTAAAGATGTTTGAGAGAACAAAAAAATTTGAGAAAGGTAGCACAGGACAAGTTTACAGATTAAGGTTCACCTAAAAACAAGACATCGACCACCCCTTTAAATTTTGGGTTTTCCCCACTGTACCGCAAGATGGCAATTTCCGACTTTAAGCTCATTTGGCGATGACAGGTCACATTTTGCTAAGCGGATCTACTAAATTGGGCGATGGTTGTACATCATATGAAGGGTTTTATAAGAACCAAAACTCACCTTGGAAATCTTGGGTGATGAGCATCTGCTCTCCGGTGCTGAAAGTTATGTTCAACGTCTGCCTGAATTTACCGCCTGGCAGGAAGGAAGTCAAAGTTACAAGTACCATGAGCATGATGATGATCATAATGGTGAATCAGGACCAACTCTCGTTGCCAACCGCACGCCCCTGCCAGAAGGGTCTCGGGTGTGCTCCTTGCCCCCTATCTCTGACTTCTCTGAACCCCTTATTTTTCTCAAACCGCCTGCAGGGCCATCTTGCCAAAATGCAGAACAGTCAAGGACTGACTTTTCAGGATCAAGCTGTGCCTGAACAAACCAGTCGCTCATTTTTTAGCGAAATGAGTGTAAACTGTGACGATATTAAGATGATCATTGGGCATTCAAGAAAATCAAGTCGCTAGTGTAGCAAAATGTCAACTTCTGCAGCCGGGAATCAAATGTGTGCGCAGCCGGATCATCTGCTTTCATTGTAAATTATCGTTGCTTCGTGGGTGACACGAGCATGCATTGCGAATATTCTGCGTCGAGATCCCGCTTGTTGTACAATAATCACACAATTTCTCAGTTTTGTGACCGGAGCATGACTTTTGCCCTTGATGCCGACGGTTCGGTCGCAGCAAAAGCAAATCGCAGGTTGCCCTGAGGCTTGCTTTAGAGTTCAGTTGGTCACATCCATACACCTTTCTTAATTAACCCTAACCCTCCAAGGCATTTTGGCTAGAAACCCTGCCAAACGCAGCAACATGCAACATTTGTCTAAGTGACAAGCCTGCCCAGTGCAGCAAGATCCATCAGGCAAAAAGTCTCAAGGCCAAAGTGCCTCAGAGTCTGTGGTCCCAAAACGCAGCAGGATACAACTGTGGCATTGTTCAATGGGACTAGCTCTCATTGTTTCAGAACTGGCCGTTTATGCACTGGTGTTGGTACCCGAATGCATCAGAGTGCGCCAGACTTTTCCACCTGATGCACTGTGTTGCGTCTGGCAGGATTAGGGTTACCACAATTAACCAAATCTGTTGAGCTCTCCCAACCAATATCAAATGAAATACCTTCCTTTTTTAATCTCACAGAAGAGCGATACAGCAAAACATTGAATTGACAATGAAATGAGAGACAAGACTCCAAAACAAATTTCCCCCAGAGGTAAGAGGTGCTACTACAAGGGTTGTACTTCGCCTACACTTCGCCTTGGCTTCACCTCAAGAACTAATTTATCAATTTAAGCAAATATCAACTATCCACCCTTTAGCCATGTTATATTTTTCATTAGAGCACCTACCTGTGAGCATAAATCCGTTATATCCCTTGCCGCTGGGTAAGGCAAAGAGCCAGGCCATGACTTCAGCGGCCGGGGTGACAGCCTGCAGGGAGTAGCTGATCAAGGGAGACAAGGGGCTGACGGCGGTGTAGGTCCGGGCTTCGTTCAGGTTGATGAAGGAGTGCAGATTGGCACCTTGGAAGGACACGCCATTCACGTTTCCGGAGACCAGACCGTTCAAGCGCTGTCTACCCTCTGGATTGCGGAAAAAAAGGTTAAGACAAGATCAGGGATGTGGAGTGCTGTGGCCTTGTGGTCAAGGGCATTGGATTTGTGGTCTGCGGGTAAAGCTGCAGGTTGTGGGTTCGAGCCCAGCCAGGGGTCATGGTGCATGTGCCCTTGGGCAAGGCACTTTGTCACTCACTGCTTCTCTCCACCCAGGAGTAAATGGGTACCTGTGAGGGCATAGATGGCTGTTGTGATTGACTTCGCTTCCTTGTACAGGCTGCATCGAGCTGTATACTCTCCAGGGAGCTGAGATGGTATTTGGAATGTATTTGGGCCCAATGAGCAGGGGTAATAATGATGTAGCGCCTTGGGCACCAGTCCTGGTGGATACGTGCGCTTTATAAACACCCACTATTATTATCATTATGTAGTTGAGTCCATCACAAGTACCTGCAAGTCCACCACAAGGCCTCCAGTCCCAATTCAACTCACAAGCTACTCTAATGAGCTTTGACAAAGGCATTCCTTTGTTATTGCTCATCCACTGTTTCTTCCGACCAAAAAAATGTCCCCCAATGCTCTGTGGTACGATGGGGTTAGGGGCCGGCTTAAGGCCCCCAATTTGTTTTGGATTTTAGATGCTTTGTGGTGCGGTCTGAGGCAATTTCTGACCACTTCAACCAATATTTTTTCAAGCAACAGATGGTGCTGTACGCAGTGGCTGCCATTTTTTGCAAAGTCACTTAAAAAAAAAAAACAAGGGCTCGTTTTTGGAAGGGCCATGCCCCCTCCTCCATTGAGCTTATGCGCAATACGCATGTAAACCAATACACAGAGGCAGGTTCCCCACTCGAGTGTCCCCCAGTCCTAATAAGTCGTAAAAAAGCGCCCTCTCTTTTTCGGGCATTAAATTCAATTCAATTCAGTTGACATTTATTTAGCACTCTCCAATAAACCAATACAAAGTTGGATAATGTAAGTACAATACAGTTATATTTAAACAAGCGATTACAAATGTAAAGGTAATTACCACCAGAAAAAAAAAAAATAATGCTTTTATTGAATCTAATTATTTAAATTAAGATTAATAGCAAGCGAAGTTGAGAAAGAGTAGCCAATTGTCACCAATTTCGGACATCCCTCCCACCCTTCTCCCAAAAAAAAACCCATTCTAGATTCTTCTTACGTGGGTCCAAGCACTGCAGTCCGTTTCCAAAGAGGTTGGGCGGACAGACGCAGCAGTAGCCGTCAGAGAATTTCTGGCAGCTGGCCTGCGAGTGACAGGTGGAACAAACGTCTCCCGAGTCCGGGTTCAGCCCTCCGTCTACGTTGAAGTCAACGTCAAATCTACCAGCTAGGAGAAAGAAAAGGTAACTTTGTTGTGGATCCAAACCTGTAGAAATATAAACCTTGAGACTTCATCGGCCAGTTTTGTGGACCTGCTTAGAACGCAAAATATGCTGAGCACAGAAACATTTTCTTAGCATGAGCGGGTTACCAGTCCAAAATGATGCGCTGCGTACATGTTTATTCCTTGTGACCAGCTTATGTTCAGCTTACTAAATAAAATTGGTCAGAAAATATGGATCTGGTTACTATAAATAATAATATAAAGACCAAAAAATCATCCTAATCCCATTCGTTACCATCTAGAATCACACACGCTTGTTGAGTAAGTCATGGTCACAGTGCAAACGTATGCATGCACGTTTGCTTTATGACAAGAACTGCGCATCTCAAGTTGTACACTAGCAAGGTCATAGAGCATTATGACAGCGGCTGCACAGTGTTTTACTTATTAGCTAAATCGACAGAGCATTTCAATGCCATATTTTCCTTTAAAAGCTGTGGTATACATGAATTGTGAAACCAGGAGTGTACTGGGTGAATCAAAAAGAAAGTGACAAAATTACAATAAATATTTTTTCAAATATGTGGCTTGCACCATTTCATAAAACTAACAGAGGGATAAAGTACATCTTACTGACTTGTTACTGTGAAAACTTCACGAAATTTGCATATTCTATTCCCAAGTTATGTCTATTTTAATAAAAAGAACACAAAATTCAGGTGTCCGCCACTGATCATTTAGCGTCCTTCGAACTGATGAATACCCATTAAATACAATGTGACGTCATCTCAATTCAACCATACGTACTTTACACGGTGTAGCCTAACACAAATGGAACCGGAAGTTAACGCAGCTCAAGCATTTATCCAATGGGTGCTAGTTACATGTATCAGTGGTTCGCGCACGTGTGTGATGTTTTTATTAATGAACCGGATAGAGAGATACATACCTCCAGCACCATCTCCATTGGCCTGATCACCTGTAGCCCGCACTGGTCCAGCAATCGTATCTCCTTCCTGCCCCCCAGCCTGCCCCCCGGCCTGCCCTCCGGCCTGCCCTCCGGCCTGCCCTCCAACCTGTCCCCCGGCCTGCCCCCCAGCCTGCCCCCAGCCTGCCCCCCGGCCTGACCCCCGGCCTGTCCCCCAGCCTGTCCTCCATCCCCTCCTCCCCCGACCACCACGACTGTGGTCGATGATCCACCGGGGACAGATGAGCCTCTGCTGACAGTGGACGACTGGCCCGTGCCGTCGCCCACAACGAGAGTGAAGGTCGAGCCCCCACCCCCTTGGGTCGAATCTCCCGCTCCTGCACCGGCGGCATCAGAGCCTCCTGGGGCGAGCAAAATCAACATCTTTTTATAAAGAGCAACTCCATCACAAGAAGGTTTGAAATTTAAGATGTGTTCATGATGGTTTTCCTCAAACCAAATAGGTCTGTATGCTATTCAACTTCACTGGGACATTGTAATCAGTGCTTAAAAAAGGAATATAAAGTTGAACAAAGAAAGTGACTGGACTATTTAGAGCTTTTCAGCCCTACATGTGTACATGTCAGTTTGTCGTTCCCCATTAAATACCCAGTAAAGCTTTACCTGTGGTTCCGCTAGTTGCAGAGCCGCCACCTTGCAAAATAAACGTGGAAGAACCACCTCCACCTCCACCTCCACCGCTGACGTCAGTGTTGACAACAGAGCTATCGATGATGGGTTTGGCGAACCCCCTGGTGCCCAAGTTAGCCCCGCCCACCTGCCACGCCCACATGCCACCCTTGCCCACGTTGGTGAAGCTGGAGATACAAAAGACAATTTGCACAAAAAATATATATAAATATTTATAAAAAATAAGAAAATGAAATAATGAAATTCAAGCATTTTTCCTTATTTGATTTTGAACTGGCTTTGGTAAGTTACATGTTAAAACTTGTAATGTCTTGGAATTTGGGAATATGTCTGAGATGTTACCAACCTCCACTACAGACTAATGATGTGCATCGGGTCAGGTTGACCCAGCCAAACCGACCCGAAACATTACAGATATAAACCGAATCCGAACTGAAACCGATCTTAACTCCCTCAAACCGACCCGACCCGACCCGACCCAACCCGACAAAAAATAAGGTAAAACTGACCCGAACCGGAAAAAAAACCCAAATACCAGGCTTGGACAAAGTGATCACTTTTTTGGTGCCTGCCCTTACCCACGTGGCATGAATTCTTTTGCAAAATCATTGTCTCTCTCTATGTCATACTCAGTTGGTTGATCGAGAGTAACTCCGCTTATTGAACAAACGCATGGTATCATCACGCGGTATCATGAAAACTGTTACAATGTATCTATTTCACTGTCAGTCCCATCCGACTGGAGAAATTAATACCGTGGGAACTTGATAGTGCGCTCGGTGGCCACACCACACTAGGGCTGCGGTCACAGTGACTGTCAATAATTTTGCATCACCTAAATTTCTCAACTGTTTCAGTTTATTTCGGGGTTTTTTTGGTTTATTTCGTTTTTTTCAAAAGATGGCTAAACCGACCCGACCCGACCCAAAAATGAAAATAAACCTGATAATAAACTGACTCGACCTGACTGAAAAGATGGACAAACGAAGTCAGTTTCGGGTCGGGTCGGTTTCGGGTCGGGTTTGCACATGCACATCATTACTACAGACACATATTTCACTTAAAACCAGATTTTTCATTTAAAGAAAATCTTATTTGTAGACAATCACTCCTAAAACATGTTATAATATTGGTAAAAAAACATTAAAATCATCTGTTGGCAGTAAGATTTGGGAGAAAGGGAAGGAGGGGGAATTTATCTGAAACTTATTTCACAATTTGAGTTTCACCAGTGGAGACCCAGGGGGCCTGGGCCTTAGGGCAGGGAGCACTTGATATACACCCCCGCCTGAGGGACAAGGTGATTTATAACCATAAAAGGCATTCGCTGACGTTTGTTACTAACCAACCGAGAGACAAGACGATTTCTTGAGCTGCTGTCCGCAGCTTACATACTATGAATGAGAAGTTTGTTTTTCAATAACCAATGTACTTAACACATTCAAATTTATCAAGGCCATCTTACCCAGAGGTTAAAAAGCTTGAGATGTTTGACGAGTATCCAGAATAGAAGGAACCATTGGAAACATAAGAATATTCCATTGACCATGTTCACACAATGACACGTGCTTCCTGTGATAGATGGCATTACTACCATTTTAGGGGGTGGGGCATGGGGGTGTTGAGAGTGGGGGGGGGGGTGGAGTGGGGGTGTTGGGAGGGGGTGAAAGGGGGTCAGGAGTGTCACTGGTTCTTTTACCTTGAGACATGACCACCAATGGTCAAGTGAGATCCGTCACCATTACTGAAACCAACGATGCGGTAGTCGTTGGTCGCTGCTCGGTTCGCATCTTCATAGATGTAGAAGACAAAGGTTTGGTCTCCATCCGATGGCATTACAAGTTGGAAGGTAACAACCTAAGAGAAAAGAAGAAAAAAGTTAAGGCACCTTCTTCAAATGTTCAGGTTGGATTGGCCAATTCATAAAACAAATTGCATCTAACCTCTTCTTCATCCTTGAAAGACAGCCCATCCCAGGTGGCTATCATCAGCGACCTGGCCTGGAAGTCTGTCCGCCCAAAGAATTGGCTGACGTCTCGCGAGGCTCTGTTGAGGACCTCCGTCCCGAAGGCTTCCCGATAGGAAACACTGCCTCCATACCTGCAAAATGAGACACCAGGGTGATATGACTGAATTCGTGCTGAATTCTGGAAATACCAGTGAGCCCAATTATACCCCAAGCCAATTTTGAAATTACCATGTATGGTTCTGGTAACTTTTACTGGGAATCACACATGCTGTACATAGAAAAATAATAAAATAATGTGACCGGCTCCACAAGGGTATTAAGTCGCGCTGAGCATTATTGTGAAATGGCCCACTCAACATTGAGAGGGTGACAATTTTGTCAACATGTGATTCTCATTTTTTGTCATGAACGATATCTTTATTACCTACAGTTTCAGGTTTCACTCACAGAAAAGTTGATTTTGATGAACAAAGTGGAAAAAACAACCATTTTGTGGGCATCATTTTGTCGTTCTACAACAAAGCCAGCTATTTCAAAGCCTGTTTTCTCAGTTGTGTAATTTGAACTCCAAGGAAGTAATTAATATGCAAATTTATCATATCTCCAGAACGGGAGGGGCTATGGAGCGCTATTTACCAAATGAAAACTTACGTTGTGGGCTTTCCAACCATGTATATAACTCAATTTCACTTTTTTGCGACATACATCTGCCGCTGAGCTGACATACCAGCGAATTGACGATTTTGGCGATTTTGAGATTTTGTTATTTTGGGGGTTTAAAAAGGTTGCTCCTTCAAGTATTTATGCCAAAATTCTTAATTCTTGTCTGGATTTTGAGATTCGGAGCCCCACCTGAGGCGAATAAGTCACAATAACAAATCCATAATTTGACATAGTATACAAATATTGAATGCTTCGAGTAGTGTAGTAAATCTAGCCTCCCAAGGTGATCCATGGACATTCTATTTTTCCGAGGCAAAGCCGAGGGAAAATAGAATGCTCCATGGATCACCGAGGGAGGCCAGTTTTACTTCACCACGAGATAAAGCATTCAATATTTGTTTTTATAACACTTCACCCACAGATTCTGCTTGGTTTTAATATTTTAAATTATCCTATCTGAACACAATTAAAATAAATTCAATTTCAATACAAAATTGGTGGAAATGTATTTCTCTCTTCCAAACCACCCCTTCACGAAATGTTTGAACCCAACTCTGTGGCGCGCTCTCTTCGGAACAATATGCGCTATGTGCAACGCTCAACGCGCACACCAGTATGCATTTGCACACAAATGCCGCGCCATGGTATAGTACTTTAGTTGCTAATGGTATAGTACTTTGGTTGCTACGGGTATAGTACTTTTGGCCGGGCACTGAAAGATAGCAAAAATAGAAAGTACCATGTGACTCGCTCTTGGCCAATCAAGACACAGAATCTGTGGGTGAGGTGTTATAATGATGAATACGGAATTTCGCTGGTAACCAGCTAATGTAAGGCGTGCGTTCAAAGTACCAATGATTCAACCAATGTTATTCGTCAGTTTGTCCAATTGTCAAAAAGAAAAGAATTAGAACCAGTCACGTGATATTACATTTTGGTTGGTAACCATTTCTTTTTGGCTAAGCCACTTTTTTCAAAGCTTAGCACACTCCTGTGCTTTAAGCTCCAATGAAATTGCCTTTTATTCAGATCTATATGTTGAAAGTACATGTAATCTGTATTGGTGGCACGATTTATAGGCAACAGAAATGCTGACCTATTAGTCCTGCTAATGATATCAGCATTTTATACTGGGTTTTGTCCTTCACCAAGTCATATTTTTTTTATGAACACAGTCAGAGTAATCAGCATTAATGTGAACATCCGAAGTATGTGTACAGACATAACAGAAACAGCTGCAATCAATCTGGGCAATGTCATCCTAGCCAGCTGAACATGGAAGAGTACATTACATTTATTGAGTCATTCTTTATGTTTTCAATACATTTCACGGATGCTGTCGAAGGACAAATGTCTCGCATGCTTTATTGACACAGATTGTAATAATGCAGGTTTTAAACTTTGCGTTCCCCGCCCTCATCAACAAAACCGGATATTTCCTATCTTCACTTTGAGCAAAGATTTTCTCATAGTAAATCTTTAAGTATGTGGATTTCCGGGTAATTCGGGCGAATCACAATGCAGTGCGCCACCAAGAGTTTGCCACAGAGAGTTCATTTTTCCCAGTGCATTGTGGGAGATGGTCGACAAATTCGCAGCGCGGGACATTTGACATTGTTTGTTTTTCCGGTCAGTAGTTTTATAAGCGTATGATTCGAGTATTCGTTTGATCTTTTCTCTTCTTTTTATCAATGTGGTGATTTTTGGTAAGGCGGCAGAACGCTATGCCCAAATCTGTAACAAATTAGCTCAAATTGTCTACGGACACGCATTCAAATGAGCCATGTTTTGTCAACCGTTGACTCTTCATGGCAAACTCTTGGTGGCACACTGCATTGTGAATCGCCCGAATTGCAAATGTTCCTATTTTGCCTTTAAACAATCAACATGAAATGATTTTTGGTAAGGCGGCAGAACGCTATACCCAAATCTATAACAAATAAGCTCAAATTGTCTACTGAAACGCATTCAAATGAGCCATGTTTTGTAAACCGTAAACTTGAAAAGTTGACTCTTCGTGGCAAACTCTTGGTGGCACACTGCATTGTGAATCACCTGAATTGCAAATGTTCCTATTGTGCCTTTAAACAATCACCACATCTCCCCATAGATGACTGACACATTTTGGTAAATGTATCCTAGTCCCACTGCCTAATGAAAAAGCTAATATTGTGCGATTGCACAATAAGCTCGAACCGTCTTGCATGCAAGTCTACCGGAGATTGTGCGTAACAAGCCCAGGCCGAGGCATCCCCCACGCCGTTCCACGCGCCTCGAGGCCTCCCACATGGAAATCGTGCTGCGCTAAATCTGTCCCCGAAAATGGACCAAAATTAGCCCCCTAAGTCTCCCATAAAATATTGCTTTTTCACGTGGTATTATAGTGCGCTGTATACCACTGGACTATAACATTACTGCACATACATGTATCTTGCCTCCAAAATTTACAACATTTTTAATAATAACTTCACAAATCGTTAAAAACAATTTATGTGAAGTGTGTGATTTATTTTGTTTGCTTTTTTGTGAAAATTTAAATTGTGTATTTTATGGGAAACTTAGGGGGGCTGTTTTTTTTATCAATTTTCCAGGGACAGACCGACTGACCAACCGACAGACCGACTGACCAACCGAATGTACTCCAACAAAAATGTCTTCAAAGACCAAGTTCGTCATGTACTAACGGTTTGGAATACTCAGTCTTCAGAAAACAGGGGGGGGGGGGAAGAGTTGACAAGTTTTTCAGAAATCCTTTGCAGGTTTCCCCAAAGACTTGTAAAGGTCCAAATCACTGCACTTTCAACAGATTGTACAACCGACTTATCAGTTTTGAGTTATAGTAGTATTTTCCCCCAAGGGAAATCTGGCTGTACAGCCACGCCATGACCTCAGAAATGAAATATGCCAGTAGATCAACACAAACGCCTCAAGCACTGGGTGAAATGGAAGAACTCTGTACATGGAGTGTATGTTATTTTAAAGAGACCTTCGATATGTTACAGTTATGGGTAACTGCATTACTGGATCATAAAACAGAGCAATACCTAATGGTATTGCATTGTAAATGTACATGTGTGTACAATGGGCATTCAATGTACTGCAATGACCAGTTTGTACAGTACTACATACATGTACATGTTTTATGCAGGCTTACTTTAGAAGTATAACCTTGGTTGGAAAAGCTTGGTGGCTAGTAAATCCTAGGTTAGAAATACATGTAGAATTGTGACAGGAATTATCTAAAGTAAAATAAGAGCTATTCAAACTACATGTACAGTGTACCGGTACCGGTACATGTAAACTGTTAACTAATGGGAACTTGTAGGCCAAAAGAATGAAAGTTGTTACAAGTTATGGTCAAACTGTACTGAAGGATGACTTGGAAAGATTAAACAGACATTTTGCTCAATGTTGTCACCATGATATGTGACTGAATGAATCATTTTGATGGGCTGGGTCATATACATCACAGTTTGGCTGCATGTAACAACATCTACCGGTAGATCAATTTGATAATTTTGCTTCCTGTTCCTGCTCTAGGCTATGCATGCAAAATCGTACATGGAACCTGCCCAATGGAAGAAAAACTCTTGCTCTAAGCGAGAGCCATGAACTGGTTCTAGATCGTATGGCGCGCAGAACGCACATCTAATTTTATTCTGTATATATGCTAACGGAGTCTTATATAGCGCACGTATCTACCAACAATTAGGTACTCAAGGCGCTGGAAATTATGTCTATTATTAAAGAAAGGTAAATAAAGTATATGAGAAATATGAGACCCATTATGTAGCACCTATAAGGGTTGACAAGGTGCTACGGCGCATATTGCAACCACTGCCAGAAACACCGGGGCAAACCCCTTCTCTTAGCGATAAGTGTTACTGGGTTCTTTAACGTGCATTACACAACACACGGGACCTACGGCTTTACGTCCCATCCGAAGGACAAAGCAATAGTGGTAAAGTGCCTTGCTCAAGAGCACCAGCACCACGTTCCCACGGTCAGGATTTGAACTCATGTACCACGGCACACGAGTTGAACACCGTTACCATTGGACCACAGCACAATATGCCACAGCATCTTCGTGTGAGTGTTAGGCATCAGCAATGTCTCTCCCAATGGTCTCCCCCAACTCTCCCGTTCTTACCGTTGAGGGGGTACTTGTGCACGGAGCCCATGCCAACATACCTGGTATCATAGTCTGCACCAAACGGGGCAATGGTTTCCACTCGGCTGTTCTTCAGTGAGACACCAAATGTGTACGGGGCCCGCCCCTCTACTTGCACCGGGGCAAACGTCACAAGACCATCTGTGTTCACCTGAAAAACAAAACGAACACAAATATATATGCTTTGTGTTAATGGACACATTTTTCTAGCATTTACATGTAAGGCCAATCAACATTGATATTTAGGTTTTCATCACTCAAGATTGAAACAAATCGGTCGGGAGGGGAATTTACATTTTATATTTTATAAATTCCACTTCTTCACATTCAAAGTGAATGGAGGAGACAACGTCAGATAAACCTAAAAGAAGACACAACCAAAATGAAAACTACTTAATATTAAGTACCAGTCAGCTGTTTAATGACCTACGGTTTATGTCTAGAATTTCAAAGGGTAATGAACGTCACAGTTTATAGCAGACTAGGTTTACAGTTGACTGAGTGTTCAAACAAACAATGCAACAATTGGCCTACCCTTGCCAGCTAGATGTCAAACTTTGAACTTTAGAAACGTTACGACCAGGGGGAACTGCACAACACGCGCTCACTGTACGGTGCCTAGAGCGTTGTTGTATCAATACCACATCGACTCGTCATGGTTCCCCGACTATACGATGATGTATGCATTAGCACTATAAATTCGCACGATGTGCTCAGAATATCGTGCGTGCACAAAGTTTGGGGAGAAATCAGTGCGACCATGCCAGTGGATTTGGTGAGAAAGTTGTCTGGAAAATACACTTTTTTGAGAGAAAAAAACACACTTTCATAAAAAAAAAAAAAAATATGAAAAAAATCGGGGCGTGAGTGAAAATCGAGGCGGGCGGTTATGAACCTAAAAATCAACGTTGATTTGTTTAAACAGCAATGTTTAAACCGGTTGCGAGACCCTGCGCTCTTCCCACGTACCGGTAGTTCATGCCTCACGCACCGGCTACAACCGGGTGCTTGAGATCTACTTATTTGACCGAGATGTTGAACACACCATGTGCACTATAGAAAATATGGATTAAAATGGTTTCAAAAACTCGTTTAAGTTTGTCATATTTAAGTTTGTCATATTTTTTGTTTGACTAAAAAGCTATATTACGAATGGAGGGCTGTTATCATGAGCGACCTGCAGGCCCTTAGAAGCGATAGAACCACACATTTATAACTGCTTCATCACAATATTATCCCCTTCTTAATGTGTGGAATAAAGTTCATTATATTAGAAAACATTAGAATCATAACATTTAACAAACTTGACCAAACAAAAATCTGTGAGGAATAGCCACAGGCTACCTTATTTATGCACATATTGAAACAATACTTGCAACATTTTCATTTGATAAATGTACATGTATGAGTGTATATTGTACTGGTACATGTACAAATGTAGCTACTCTGTTGAGCACTTTTTCAAAAACCAAATGAAATTATTGCAACTTTTTTTTTTCACGTCCCAAAAATGTCAACTCTATCCCCGGATGCTGGTCCGTATACATGTTGTACTCTCAAGTTTATCAAGAATACACAGCTTCTTCTTTTCAAAATGACATTTCACTCTGCTGGTGACTCAATCCATCCGTATCTTAAAGACTGATCATGAAACTATAGGAAGTGATCGTTATCAGTTTCATTACCTCCTAATCATGTCATGAATCTGTTCCAGGATGGATTACATATATTTCCACCGTCAGAACTGGAATGCAATCACAACAACATATGGCATACACCTGAAACCCTGATGTAAATGTCAAAGTAAAGACTGTTGATAGCTCACTGTAGTGTTGGAACGTCCTCACGCCCACGTCCAACTGAAACTGCTCACATCAGAGGGATCAGGGCCCGTATTTTGGGGATCGGGACCTCAGTGGCATGATGAGATCAGAGGGTTGATGATAGTACCCAGAGGAACAAATTGGGCGCATGTAGCATCCCCCATGGCCCAATCAGTACAGATCCATGGATCAATGGTGGTCTAGATCATCTGGGAAAAATATTGCAATTTGTACTTCTTGGGATATTTTCCCACAAGAAGTAATTAATGTAGACAGGCCATTTAGTTTAGGTATGTGTACATGATGTGCAGACCATCTCTTGTGGCCACAAAAATGGAAGGAAAAACACAGCTAATGTGCTCAGAAGTCCCACATAACCATGGAGCTAGGAACACACATGTTGCAAACTGTACATGTGAACCAGTGTGTAGGCATACTAGTCCATTACAATCTAACTGTAGCCAAGCCTAACCCCTACCACCCCCCACCCCCTCCCCCCAAAAAATGTGCAATGCATTATATTAATGGGAGCTGAGGTTGACATTGAACAGCATGTTTAAACGAGGACTGTGGTTAACCATAGTATGACTACATGTCACTTTACTTAGATGGAGGATGGCTGGACAACTCAAGTCGACTATTTGGAATCGGAACGCGGGCACGGATCCATCACTGGTATACAAATAATGAATGTTTGTGAGTGCAATGGTACAGGTAAGAATAATTTCATGAGGTGACAGATGAAATGTTCCATTCCACGAGGCGAAGCCGAGTGGAATGGAACATTTCATCTGTCACCGAATGAAATTATTCTTACCATTGCACGTACGTGAAACATTCATTATTTGTTTTATACCACACCTGAATAAATCCTTGTCATCTGATTGGTTGACTTTTAATAGTCAATTTATTCAGGTTAAAAACTGTTTAAAAGTGCGACAAGTTCATCATATCTATATTAATGCAAACTGTTCGACAGGTTAAGAACAATCATATTCAATTTATCTCGATTTAAAACAGCGCCACCACCAGCAGCAGCGACACCATGCAATGGAAGTTCTATTCACAGTGCAATAGAACTTCCATTGCACTGTGCGCTGCGCACGCGCGCGCGCACAGTGCAATGGTACGAATAATTCAATGACGTGATCAACGATCCACCAATCAGATGACTGGGATTTATTCAGGTGTTGTATAATTACCAATAGCCGCACGCATTATAATGCACAGCAGGGAGCCAGGACCGAGAAGTTATGTGATGACGTTTTGACCATCGCTTGATAGGAGGCATTCACACATTACTTTTAGTGCCCAGGACGTCACAAATCAACCAAGAGTCGACTAATGGCCCTCTCCCACACTTGCTCTTCGATATCAACTCCATCCCTACTCCCTTCCCTCAACAACAACAAAGAATTCAAACAAAGTTCCTCTAAGTACATGTACTTGTATGATAGGGGTGTGCATTTATGGGTAGTACAGGAACAAGGTACCCGATTGAAAAACAAAAAATGGGTACCTGTTAAAGAGGCCCAAACCCAAAATTCAAATATCGGAAGTTGCTGTTCAGATTTTTCATAAAGGTCCAAACGATATTACTGCCACATCAGTGCATCAATGTGAAAAGATACAAGTGTGTAAGTGTACAGTAATTAGCGCTAGCTTTATGGTGAAAACTGCAACTTTCGCGAGCGTTATAAATGTGAATAATGTTTTGTTTTCTCATGTACATGTAGCCTGGATTTCATTTTGAAAATTCTCCACAAATGACATTCACAACCTTTCTTTTCCACTGTCTGAGAAGTAAAGTTGGTTATGGGTACCCGATCCCATAATCTGGAACCTATTCCTGACATCAGTGATCGGGTACTCGGGTACTCGGTTCCAACGCACAACCCTAATGTATCTTACTCTGCCATTACAATCCACAGTACACATTTATGTAGTTTGTATTATAACACCTCACCCACAGATTCTGTGTCTTGATTGGCCGAGAGCGAGTCACATGTTACTTTCTAATTTTGCTATCCTTCTGTGCACGGTCAAAAGTACTATACCCGTAGCAACCAAAGTACTATACCATTAGCAACCAAAGAACTATTTCCACGGCGCGGTATTTGTGTGCAAATGGATGCTGGTGTGCGCGTTGCAAGTAGCGCGTATTGTTCCAAAGAGAGCGCGCCGCAGACTTGGGTTCATACATTTCGTGAAGGGGTAGTTTGGAAGAGAGAAATACATTTTCCACCAATTTTGTATTGAAATTGAAGTTTATTTCAACTGTGTTCAGATTTATATAATTTAAAATATTAAAATCAAGCAGAATCTGTGGGTGAAGTGTTATAAAACAAATATTGAATGCTTTATCTCGTGGTAAAGTAAAACTAGCCTCCCTCGGTGATCCATGGACCATTCTATTTTCCCTCGGCTTCGCCTCGGGAAAATAGAATGTCCATGGATCACCTCGGGAGGCTAGTTTTACTACACCACTCGAAGCATTCAATATTTGTATAGTATGTTATTGAGCAAAGAGCAAGGAAAACTTGCATTAGGGACTACATGTACATAAACATACATCAACATACGTGTATCTATGTAATGCCACAAAAATGCACATTTGTGGACCTGTGGTTTATTATAGAAGTCATAAACAGTCCATACACTTCCAGTCTTGTACACACATGCCATACACATGTGCAAGTATCTCCACCACCGCAGTCATCGTAACCTTATATTATATTGTCATAAATCTTGGGTCAATATTTGCGGAACTAAACCACACCGCACATATCAAAGTTGGAATAGTTGACCTCCAACTGATATGCAAGAGTAAGGTTTCCTGACAGGGGAGAATACAAGTACTTGAATAAAAATCTCAATGGGTGTAAATTTAATTACATGGGTTAACTCCACTCTCTTCCACCCCTCCCTCTTCTTCAAACAAATTGATAATGAATTACCCCGGTACTTGATGTGATTTTTCTGATGTTTTATGCATACATGCATGTAAATTGTACATGAACACAGGTCCATAAGTTCTTTTTAAAGTTTCTAATTATTTAAAAAAACTTGCTTTAAGGCCAAAAAAAAAAATCTCCGGTTTCTGGTATGGAGATTGCCCAAAAAGTGGTGCGGCGACGCAGTTTTTTTTTTAACTGATTTTTTTTGCTTCAAATGTCGGCTGATGACTGCAAATGGTGCCCGACTAAACTTAGTGCAAATATATGGGAGTCCAGAGAGGCCACATAAAGCTTATTCTCGATCATATCCCCATCTAAAAACACGTTAAAATTGTGCAGCAGCAGGATTCCAGTCAAACCATTGAGTTTGG